ACGTTTCCGACCCACTCCATGGGGACATGGTCGTACTGACAACATTCACGATCGGAGTCTCCACGTAGTATACAGTTTCCACCGTTTCCTTGCCATCGTCGTGAGTAGTGAGGATGTTGAATAAGTTGAGGTCTCAGACCCACTCCATGGCTGCACCGTCGTGCTCACAACATTGACAATAGGAGTTTCCACGTAGTACACAGTTTCCACTGTCTCTTTTCCGTCCTCTCCTGTAGAAGTAGCCAGGCTTGTCAAATATGTCGAGGTCTCAGATCCGGACCATGGTTGGACCGTCGTGCTCACAACATTCACTATTGGAGTCTCCACGTAGTACACAGTTTCCACCGTTTCTTTGCCGTCTGATCCTGTAAAAGTTGTGAAGCTTGTAGAATACGTCGATGTCTCTGACCCACTCCAGGGTTGGATTGTCGTGCTCAGAACATTCACTATTGGAGTTTCCACGTAGTACACGGTCTCCACTGTTTTTATACCATCTGCTCCAGTCAAAGTTGTGAAACTTGTAGAATAAGTGGATGTTTGAGATCCACCCCATGGCGTCAAAACAGAACTTCTCAAAGTTACAGTTGTTGGCGTTAGGACATAATACACGTCAGTTTCGGTTACATGCCCATCCGTCCCAGTAGCTAGAATAGTAGATGTTGAAGTGGATGTTTTTGTCCCTGACCAAACTTTAGTCCCTGCCACACCACCGGTTATGGTAGTCTGTATTTTTGGACATGATCCTGTGTCACTATACCAGGATACTAGAGAACCGAAGTTTGAACTGGTGAAAATCATGCCTGGGCCCTTGTAAGAAAATAACCCTACAATGGACGTCAAGCCCGCAGCTACGACCCTTATGGGATAGCTAACGCCTGCCGTCAAAGTCGTGGTATAGGTATTGCTGGTCAGAGAGATAACAGCATTGATTTTAATGTCGCTGACATTGGTACTGTAAACCTGAGAATTACAGCACGAGAAAGCGGTTGGATTTCCCATCAGAAATATAGCGTCAAGGTTTCCTAAAGTAAACGTATAGGAACCGGAAGTTGTAGGAGTAAAATAGCCCTCGATCTGGACGGCACCACTAAGCGATAAGCTCAGACCAAGATTTGATGCGTAAGATGTAGTAACCCCATTCAAACTCCCGGGGTTGAAACTGATCAGTTCCTGAGCGGAAGACAGAAGGAGACCTGACTGACTCACGGTCTGTATTCTAAATCCACTAGTAGCCGTGCCTGACGGACTACAACCATCCAAACTGTCCGTAGTTGCACCCTGCGCAAATTGCGCGAGGAGAACTGCGAACAGCAGTTGGCAGAACGCCCTTATAGGCGTAAGCATTTGTGCCTTAGGGTAAGTCCACTATCTCAGTGTATTATAAGTAGACTTAAGAATTTTACTTGCTGATGCTTGTTAGTTTTAGGCCGACAGGCCAACATTGTGGAGACCACACAGCGCTAATTTTTATATATCATCCTTCCTCTGTTATGATGATGGTATCTCCTCCAGAAGGTATTGTATTTTCCGTATACGCACAAGCTGCATCTAGAAAGAGAGAAGCACATTGACGTACACGCATCTCGACTGACGCATTACGTGCTACCCCGAGAGACTTCAACCACAGAAATGTGCGCGATTTGTGCTGGAAGGGTCAGGAAGGAGGGCCCAGGCTGATAATTTTTTCCCTCTGGTCCTCCTTTACAGCCGGAAGACACTTGCAAGCTTGACGGACTTACGCAGTTGGCGCCATTTCATGCCTTGTATGCCTCCCTACCTGCCCGCGGCAGTGGGGGATCTGCAGAACGAATGAAAATTTCATCACGATCTCGACCGGAATTCGCTCTATGAATGTTTGTTAGTCGGTTATTTCTCTGCTTTCGTAATCTCTGCATCTTGCAAATCTTTCATGAAAGTTTATCTGCAATCGATTCTCGAACAATGAAGCAGTCACATGGACAGGAATTCGGGGCGTGAGACCGCCTTTCTACAGTAATGGGAGGGCTCTGGGTACGACTTTTAGGCTCCCACCATGGTGCAGGAAAACAAAGCGCTATGTGCGATCGATGTCGTCCGATTTCGCGGCGACCTCAACCGACTGTTCTATTGCTATGGTGACAAGTCGCCTATGACATGTCAAAAAGGATGTCAAAGTTTTGCCAAAACTTGGAGGAAACTTTTGGATCAGTGAAGAGTGCCGTCGTCCGCCTTTAACACTGAGCGATAGTTTGTAGAGTAGGCTTCACGCGTTTATTTGGCGTTTTTGACGTGAGAGAGATGTCTGAGACAAGTGCACGTGGGGGCTTGAATCCGCTACGCTACATGTTGAGGGTGTATGGCGTGGTGTCAACGAACCATACGAATGTCGGCGAGTATCCACGTAGGAAGTAAGGTGGTGGGAGCTAAAAACATACTTTTCTGCCAATAAATAATACATAAATCTCAGTTATTAGGCCGCCCCGTATATGAAGAGATACTGCAAATGCGGGAGCTAGGTAGATGAGTTTATCAGCTTGCAAAGCCCGCTACCCGATACCAAAACTCGAGTGTATTCATCGATATCCCAAAGTACCTTCGGGGAAGTTTTAGGGGCCCTGTTTCATTGGCGGGAAGATTTACCTGAGGAAGTCGTAATTCGAGTATGTGTAAGATAATCTTACACCGAAATGCCAAGCCCGATTACTGGTGTTGAAAGAATTCACTTTTGGTCTCAATACGAACGATTACACAAACAAACTTCCGGTGTCAGAAGCCTCACAACTTGGATTCTGACCTGAACGTCAACGAAACCTAGGGGCCTTGATTACAGGTGAATATGTTAGACTGGTGAAAAATCTGCCAATTTCCGTTACTTTGCCGCTGAGAAAGCTATTTGCCGCTGGGAGAGCTATAGAGGCCTGCTGTTTGTCAAAGGCCTAGTAAAAGACATTGTCCTTCGTCAAGTCAGACGCGTAAACAGTAGAAATAGGTTAGTATTTTGGACAACGAATGGTTACAATTCAAGTAGTTGTCGTCCAAGCATTGGGCAGTAGCCGGATATCACATGATCATCTTCACGTGTCGATATTCTGGAGATCCTCTACCGGCTTATGTACTCAGAATAAAAGATTCCTATGCGCCTACCCTGCGGTGTGTGAGTTATATGAATATGGTATTTGATGAAGGAAAATGAAATTGGTCTTCGAGCTTCATAAATCAAATACTTTTGTTAATAGGCGTACGATGGTCTAACCTCACGATTTTTACAGCTTGTAATAGATTCGTTGCTTGTTCATGGGAACGTAAGACAAGCGCAATTCACGATGTTGTGTGAAACATACTCCGCATCGTACCCGGTAACTTGAAATGTAGATAAACTACCCTATATATTATCGAGAGCCGCTCACTCATAGATTCAGTGAGGCCGTCGTGACCAAGTCATAGAGCCCTCATTGTTAAAGAGTATGATGTACTGTAAGTTTGGAATAGACTCGTGCCTCTCGAAGATCCTCGACTGGCCTGGTGCCCAATATTTAGCTGATATCTTGAAATTCGAGACTTTTGATTTAATGTTTTTAATACGCGTGCAAATATTGAGCTACTTTCTTGAATTATGAGACCCATTTAGGAAACTTTTTAATGAAATAATAAATATTCACTTTGAGCTCCAGAAATGTCTTACGTTTACAAAGGTGCTGCCCTTAGTGAATCTCAATTATCTCTGGAGTGCAAGTATCCCTCACTTCAATAAAGCAGACCCACCACCTGGCTTAAACTACACTTCTACATACGCTGATGTAGCCTCCCTCAGCAACGCTAAAAGATGCCCTGGTATGAAATCAAGGCCAGGATAGTATTCAATTAATATGTCAGAGCGGCCTAGCGCTATACGTTCCATGACATCTTTTGGCGTTAAATTACATTACCGAAAGTGACATTTCTGTACAAAGTGATAATTTAATTATGGAATAGGTGCTGAATATATAGCATAATCCGCATGTCAACTGAGGGATAGAATGATCGTACAGGAAGGGTCATAATAGAGATTATCGGAGAACACTTTCACACGCGATAGACTATATATCAAGCTCTGCTAGAAAACTTGCACTTGGCTTATTTTTTTACTGAGGCGAATCTGATTCCTTAGTAGAAAGCTTGCCAAATTTGCCTTGTAAGTCGGACATAGTCATTGTAAGATGAGTAACTTGGGTCTAGGGAATTCTATTTATCTCTCTGTGATTATTTTAGGCATTAGAATTGGTTCAGTTACCTGAACAAAAGCCTGGTACTTATGCAATTCTCACTCGATGACTCTGGTCAACAAAATTCTTAATCACCCGTTCTAGATCATTCTATTGCCCGTGAATTACGGCTTCAATACTGTACGATGCCGATAAAATATCAGTCACCAATCCCATTGGACAACAGTTGTTGTCTTCAGCTTGCCTTAGGTGGTAAGTCGATTTTATGGCCTCGGCTATGTTTTATCATTCTGTACCACTGTGTCACATATTTCCTGACGCTGATTATGCGACTAGGCGAACATCACCATCAGTTTCCTCACATTATTCCCAACAATTTTAGTACCTGAGCGCGCTTTTTGGATACTTCCCACAATTCCATCTCGAATGGTCGAGTATTTAAATGTACAGAATGTGCATACCACTATTGTAGCTTTTATCTCCTGTGGATGTGCCCTCTCCCAAGGCCAATTTAATTCACATTTTTTTTCACATGATGATTAAGACTAAAACCGTCGTGATATAAGCTCTATCCTCTCTGACAATGAAATGGGGTGCAATGAGACCCTGCCACCGAGTGGGGGTCAGCTAAGATCAGGGTGCACATGGGGAAAGAGGTAAGCGTGTTCCGCTAAAGTCTAAGTATCGCAAACCCTTCCGATGTATACCTGCAGTGAGACCCTGCCACCGAGGGGGGGTCAACTAAGATCAGGGTGCACATGGGGAAAGAGGTGAGCGTGTTTCGCTTAAGTCTGAGTACCGCAGACCCTTCCGATGTATACCTTGTTATGACACTCACGAAATCTCTAATGCCAAAATCTCAGGCTTTACATTGGACGAAGTCGCAACGAAAGCACGGCAAAAGAACAATGATATACATTCATGCACACCCTCTTAAATTTTGCACATCTTATTGCAGCATACACTTTGAGGAGGGAAGTGAAGGTGAAAGGAAGGCCATAAAAGCAAGTCATAATTCACTTTCCATAACCCTCTAAGTTCCGTCTGGTTAACGACAACAGAAAATCGATAGTTTGAGTCTACGATGACTGACCTCGGTAATGGAAACAACTCCTCTAAGTTAGCCATGGTTTTCGGCGAAAGCAAGAATGTTGTGATGGAAAAGCAAATCAGTGCCGAATTACATAGCGAACACTCAAGGAATTTCGATGAACTAGAAGATTCCAGGTCAATCGTTATCCGCAAGGCAGAGATCATGGCAAAGCAATATAATACTTGGTTTCTGAAAACACTGTTTTTGTTCACTGCATTCATATGCTCACTTGCATATGGGCTTGATAGCATCATCCGGAGTATCTATATGACTTACGCGATGAATGATTATCAAACACACTCTTTGTCGTCCACAGTGGACGTCATCAGTCTTATGATTGCCGCTATAGGACAAATTTTTTTCGCTGGCCTTTCTGACATATTTGGCAGACTTTCGATGTTCATCGTTTCGATTATTTTTTACGTTGTTGGTACTGTTATTCAATCGCAAGCTTATGACGTTCAAAGATATGCAGCTGGCTCGATCTTTTACAACGTTGGGCTAGTCGGAGCTATGTTTCAAGTCGGGATAATATTATCAGATTGTTCTAGCTTGAAGTGGAGGCTATTCTACAATTTTGTTCCTGCATGGCCGGCCCTCATTACCGTATGGATCTCGGGGAATGTCATTCATGTTGCCAATCCGTTGGAAGATTGGTCGTGGGGGATTGCCATGTGGGCATTTATCTTCCCTGCAAGTTGTCTTCCCATGATAGCTTGTATGCTCCACATGAAATGGAAAGCAAGAAACGAACCGGAGTGGGAGCTTTTAAAAAGTGAGAAGTCTTTTATTCAGACTCATGGAGTAGTGCGTGCCTTGGTACAGATTTTCTGGAAGCTTGACGTTGCTGGAGTGCTGCTGCTAACCGTTTCCGTCGGATGCATACTAGTGCCGTTAACAATTGCAGGTGGTGTGACTACACAATGGAGAAGCGCCAAGGTAATTGCTCCTTTTATTCTTGGTTTCGTCTTATTCCCCATTTTTGTCTACTGGGAAAGTCAGGTGGCTTCAGCTCCTTTGGCACCTTTCAAGATGTTGAAGGACCGTGGAATTTGGGCCCCACTTTGGATCATGTTTCTAATTTGTTTCATTTATTCAATGGCGGCTGGCTATCTCTACACGGTGCTGATTGTTGCTGCGAATGAAAGCGACTTGTCGACTACCAGAATAACAAGCTTATACAGCTTCGTGGCTGCTATTTTCTCCCCAATCCTAGGGGTGGTTGTTGCGAGGTCTTCTAGATTGAAGCCATTTACTCTTGTGGGATGTGCATTGTACTTTGTCACAATGGGACTCTTCTATCACTTCAGAAGTGGTGAAGATGCTGGTAGAGGAGTTATCGGTGCTATGGTTGTGTGGGGTCTGGCTAGTTGTCTTTATGACTATCCAATAATGATTGCTATGCAGACAGTGACCTCGCACGAACATATGGCAACAGTGACCGCATTGAACTTGACAATCTTTAGAATTGGAGGTGCAGTGGGCTCTGCCGTTTCAGGTGCTATTTGGACCCAAACTCTATATCCTCAATTGCTGAAGACATTAGGAGATCCCACGTTGGCAGAAGCAGCGTACGACTCACCTTTGAGCTTCATCCTCGACTACGAATGGGGCTCTTCAGTCAGAAGCGCAACGGTTGAGGCTTACCGCTATGTGCAAAAATATGAAGTGCTAGTGGGACTGGTATTTGTAGCACCTATGTTTATTCTTACTTTCTTCCTGAGAGATCCTTGTTTGACTGATGACCATGGGCAAATCTTGGAAAAAGGTGAGTACGTTAAAGGTAATGACGACCCCATCACCGACTGGATTTATGCTCGATTTTCAGGCTTAAAGAAGCAAGAATAGGTTACCGTCAATTTCTCAAGCAGACTTAGCCATTGTTCATCGGCACTAATTTCTTGTATTGACGGCGAACTTAAGAAATAACGAGCCATTATAAATACAAAGAACACGGTCCGAATGGGATCGTTTGATTATATGATCAGAATAATGATTAAATAGAAATGCGTCATGGACATAATATTGTTAACCTTTTGTACTTCATAAAGGTGTCAGTGGTTATATACACGGAAGGCGAATCTATAATCAACTAACGGGCACCTTGATAACACAACACCGGTCCCAGCGTTCAGTTCAACATACAAGAAGCACATTTGTGCAATTTTGGCTCGTAAATTGTTTACGAAGTAATTTGACACCAGTAAGTAGAGATTGTTGGTTTTTCGATAATATATTGGCATAATATGACGCAATTGTAAACGTTCGAATGTTCAGATGAACGCCTCATAAGAGTGGCGTTGTCGATCAGCGTGCAAAGAGTGCTCTCTCTTCCACCTCGCAGCCATTTTTCACACGATGATGCCTTATCAAAGGAATAACGCGCTCTAAATGTCATGGTGCAGTGGCATGTTTCCGCGCCACCCGCCCATATTTCAGCATCGGGAGGAATGCAACCAGGTGCTGGAACGTTTTCCGCTGCCAAAGGAAGATAAAATAAAGGACGTTGATTTATGCCTATCGAGACTTCCGGCGACGCTAACTAATCGCTTCTGTTCATTGCTACAGGGCTAAACTTAGGCAGAACATGGATCAGACGTTTTTCAGCTGACGTATTGGTTCCAGTGGACCATTGAAGTTGACTTACTGTTGCAGCCTGTCTCAAAAACCTGCTCAAAGGAAGTTTATAAAGAGAGCACAATGTTTGTAAACTCCGATCAAGTTAGTGTGACGCAGTTCCGGGCACATTGCAGTAAGCCAAATGTGAACATGCCTGGCTCAACTCGAATTCTGCAGTGAACAGCGGCAGCGAGAGTAGCGATGATGAATGTACAGATTCCCAAACTAGAATTTTTTTGAGGCTCTAGTCCGATTGGTATCGATAAGTCAATTTTCAAAGGCGGCCGATCTTATTTCACCAGTGGAATTTTCCTTGATAATATAAAAAAATCTCACCAGTTGCGCCATCAACACACACCACACGTTATCGCTTGACGAAATTATTGAAGCTTAGTGAGTTGGAATGGTCGAAACGTCGTTTGGCCACGAGTTTAGAAAACGGTATTTCACTCTGTTAGATCCCAGCGTAATACCACTGAATCATGGATCTTTCGGAACGACCCCAACATGTGTTATCGAGAAGCAGAGTGAGATCTCACATCGCCACGAGTGGTATCCCGATCACTTCGAAACGTTCGAAGCCGAAGATTTGTACAAAGAACAGATTTTGGCTTTGGGTCGGTATATTGGGGTTGATGCGAAGAATTTGGCATTGGTAACGAATGCAACCACTGGTGTTAATACAGTTATCCGGTCAATAAAGTGGGACTTCTCGAATGATAAGGTTCTGTTGCATTCTACCTGTTACCAAGCTTGTAAAAATACCATCAAGTTCATGGCGGAATACTATGGCTTACGCTATGACGTGATTGAACTCAACTATCCACTCGAAGATAACGACGTACTCTCCGAATTCGATAAGAGACTCGCAACCGGTGAATACAGGCTGTGTATGTTCGACATGATATCTTCGATGCCTGGTTTGAAGCTTCCATACCAAGAACTCATCGTGTTATGCCAAAAGTACGCAACACTGTCTTTACTGGATGGTGCACATGCAGCCGGTCTCGTAAATTTGAGTTTCTTGAATGAATTGAAGCCAGACTTCATGACAACAAACTTACACAAGTGGCTGAGCGTACCTAAGCCTTGCGGGCTGCTTTATGTACACGAAAAGCATCATGGAATGATTCAAACATGCCCTATTTCTTGGAACTACTCGTTAGAGGCGTGTCAGCATATTGAAAACCCTAAAAATGAACAAGAGATTCAACATAATGAGCAGTTGCTGCACAAGAAATTTTGGTTCGTGGGCACCGCCAGCTACTCTCAGTATTTCTGTATTAAGGAAGCCATCAAATTCCGCCAACAGATTTGCGGAGGCGAGGAAAGAATCCATGCTTATCAACGGAGTTTACAAATTCAAGCCATCAAAGTAATCAAAGATACTTTTGGCACTGGTTCTGAATTGCTGCAAAATGAAGGTATGACTCTTGTGACACCTGGTATGTTCAACTTGAGTTTGCCTCTTCCAGAAAAATATGAATGTATCTCAAAAAAGCTGCAACAAGATGCATTTTATTTCAGAAAGGTCAAATTAACTTGCGACAGAATTGCAATGGAAAGAAAATCTTATGTTCCGTTTTTCTTCCATAGCAAGAAGCTTTGGTTTAGATTCAGCGTGCAGATTTTCAACGAAATTGAAGATTATGTCCGCGGAGCACAGATTCTGAAGGCGATTATATTTGAGACCTTCGATAAAGAATTGAGCCTCACTGTCTGATAATGTCTGATAGAAAAATTTGTGAGCTTATTGGAGACGCAGAACGGAAGAATTGCCATTGGAAAACAGAGTCGGTAAAAATTGAAGTCCATTGGTCGATTTAAACCTGTCCCCCCCCCTCTCATCCTCCTCCACCTCCATGGGGTCATTTCCCACTGATGATTTCAATGTCCGCTTGAAATAAGCACCAAGCATAGAGCTGCCCTATCACTTTCTACCGCTACCTATCGCACTTTGGAGAAGTTGATGCTGTGGTCGATGCATGACCATCTGGACATCTCTGTAAGAATTTCAAGAGGGTGTCACTTTAGATGACTCTATCCTTCCTGATCCAATCATTGTGAATTACTTGCAACTGACGCTAGGTTGGTACTCGGTGAATACATTAGTGAACCTGATTTTCCAATGGATATATCGTATTTTTCCCACGCTTCTATATATGCAGGGACGTTTTAACAGTTCTTAGAAGCAGGTACCATATATTTGACTCAACACAATGCCGGGGCTTACAGATTTCACCAATGGTTATGCAATACCTCCAACCAGTGCCTTTCAACTTGAGGTGCAGTACTGGATGCAAGGCTAACGGACAGAGCTATTATGTAATCACATTTTTCGTCAAGACACTCTTAGGATATCAAATATCAGGTAACTTCGGCAAATGTCGGTACAATTGTTAGTTATTACGGTAGCTAACAAGCATATGCGGCCCGACGCTCGATACAATAAAACTAGATGATGGAGAGATGGTATAAGATTGGCCATCTATACGACGATGGCCAGCAATTCATCCTTCTCACAGGACACTGGGTACAACATGACAAGCAGTACTAAGAGTCCGCCTCGATGGAGGGCATTTCGGTTCAGCCCAGCTAAGATGCCAAGATAATGAGTAAAGCAAACGAATCAGTCAGGGTAGAAGTAGAGAACACTGATGCTTCTGAGTCTGTGAAGTCACATAAATCGTTGGTTATTTGAAAACAGAAATTATGGCTGCGCAATATAAGCACAGGTATCATTGGGGAATGCTGCTGTTCGCTGCTTTCATCTGCGGCTATGGCTATGGAGTCGACGGCTACGTTCGGTATTTTTACATCGGTTATACTGCCCCCTGGTATAGCAACCATTCGCTCATTTCTACGATCACGACACACACAACTGAGATCGATGCAGCATCCCACATCATTTTTGCCAGGTTCTCAGATGTATCTGGGAAACTGTCGTTGTTTATAGCAGCTATTGTGTTTTACGTGGTCGGGACTATCATACAGTCGCAAGGCCGTGACATCCAGCTGGTTCGGTTTCATGGATTACAGGATACGTTGGGATCCGCCTAGCCTTAATCCTCATTCTTTCTGACTTCTCATCTTTGAGATGGGGACTACTATATCAGTCTGCACCACCATTATCAACACTTGGATTACAGGAATTACCATAGGGCGCGCTAACCCGCAATAAGAATGGCCTTGGGGAATTGATATGTGGTCTTATATCATTCCTCTCACATCGCTGCCAATTTTCGGCTGTATGGTGCACATGAGGCCCTAGGCTAGTAAGACTGGACAATGGGCAGCGTCGAAAGATCAGAAAAGCTTGTTCCAGTTCCATGGATTTTTCGACTTCTTAGTGGAATTATTTGGGAAGCTGGACGTGGTCGGGATACTTCTGATGACTGTATCGATTGGGTGCATGCTAGCTCCCATCACACTGGCAGGTGGTGTGCAGTCGAAGTGGGATAACCCACATTTAATTGGGCCACTAGTGCTTGGGGTCGTCTTGCTTCCCATATTTTTGTTTTGGGAGAGCAAATGGGCAACAGAGCTGGTAGTTCCGTACAAACTTGTCAAAGACAGAAATATTGGGGTGCAGCAGGCTGCCAGTTTATGATATAACTTGGCAGCAGGTTATATTCAGGTTGTATTTACACCATTTGCTGTGAAGGAAAGCGTGAGTTAAGCTGCGGTGATTAACTCTCTATCCAGCATTGTCTCTACGGCCGCTTCAACCTTTTTCTCATTATGGATTACAAGGTGCACGAAATTGAAGGGCTACATCATTGGTGACTGTGGAATATGGATGCTCACAATGGGTCTTTTCCACTACAGAGGTGGCGAGTTCGCCAACTCCGGGATCATTGTAGCTATGGTTATTTGGGGGCTGGGCGATACTTTGTTGATTGATCCTACAAAATTTTCTATTCAGTCAGCAACTTGCCATAAAAATATGGCTACTGTAACTGCACTCAATTATACTATCTACAACGTTGGATTGGCTGCCGGTGGTGCAGTTTTTGGAGTCAACTGGGCACAAACTATATTCAGGGCCATGTTTTCAAACCTGAGGAACATTGACCAAGCGGTGGAAGCCTATAGCTCACCTTTAACATTCATCTTGAATTACGGCTCGGGAATGGCTGAACGTGAAGCTTTTGTAAAGGCTTACAGCCATGTCCAACAATGTAAAACAATTGTTGCTCTTGTATTTACGGTTTTTTTGTTCGTCTTCGGATTATGCTTGAGGGATTCCCCTTTAACCAACAAAGTTGGACAAGAAGACATCGAAAACGGAGATTATGTTGACAAAAAGCACGACCTTCCTATTATTGACTGGTTTAGAATTGGCTGGAAAGGTGCGAGTAAAAACGACTAGTTCTATGTGAGTATCCAGCATGAAGCTGTTGTAGTACAGGCTGATTGTTATGACAGTCCAGTACGTGTCTAATCATTCTGTACTCTCCATCAACATAGCTAAGTACGCTTGAGGCTCAAAAGAGTGGATCCCAGAGAAGAATTATTGGGCACCTATGGACAATACTATTTTGTCACATTTTTCTCCATCAATTTACAGTTGGCTTTGAAAAATGACAACCAAGCAAAGCGCATACTGTTATAACAGTCGTGGCCATGCTGAAGGGACACCTCGCTTATTTCTAATTATTTGAATTAACACTGGACTGCATTGGGAAAAACCTTCAAGCTCTGTAGTCGGAACAGGAAGTCTCCGCTCAAAAAGAGATGTAATCATCAAAACAGGGACTAATAAGTAACAATCGGGACACTTTTTGTCATATCCCAGTAGTGACTGTAGCACCACTTGCTCATTGGTCCGCATGGAATCGCCGTTTCTTATCAATACTCAGCATTCATTACCGTAAATTTCCTCATTGGGTAGAGGGCTCTTCCACCCAGCCGCACCTTTATATCTGAGGTAGGGCAATTCTATACCACCTTTAGTGATGATGCCCATTGCATCCCTTCCATGGAAGGGCTTCAGATGTGTGGAAGTTTGTTGATCAAAGTGACGCTTGCATATTTTTAAGTGACGCTTACATAAAAAAGATAAGATAATCAGTGCTTTGTTTGTGGGATCTGCAAGATCCGCTTCGAGGCACCGGAACCGAGAGAAAAGTTGGCCATCTTCTGCCCAAAACCATACCTCAGTAGCTCGATAATTTTATTCTATATAATGGCCATCTAAGCTGCGTGCTGGTACTTCGACGAGCGATGCTTTAAGTTCAATACCCTTATTCACTTGAATATACATAACTTGTTCTTTTACACAGTGCAGTTATGAAGTTTAGCTCTTGTTTACTCAACACAGCAGCTCTTTTACTCGGTAGCAATGTTGCTGCCGAAGTGTTTATTGTTGATAATGACACACCAACATCTTTGCAAGTGCTCTTGCCTTTGGCGGCAGGGAAAAAAGTGCTAGGTATTACGACCAATTTGGGAGATTACGATACGGAGGCAGCTACATACGAGGCGGCCATGGCTCTGTCGCCAGGAAACTTAACTTCATGCGTGCCAGTTTACAAAGGTGCAGAGCAGCCACTTGTCTTGGACTACAACACGTACCATTTATGGCAAGACCTTTACGGCAGTATAGTGTGGCAAGGTGCCTGGGACAAGACCTACGAGAGCCCTGTCCCAGCCAATGCTACTTTCGAGTACAACAAAACGGTTGGAGCCCCACAATGGATTATGGATACAGTCAAAAACTCCAAGGATAATGTAACGATTGTAGCGGCTGGTACCATGACAAATTTGGCCATTGCGCTAGCTCAATGGCCCGAAATGGCCGAAAAGGTAAAGCTGGTCATCATGGGAGGTTACGTTGATGGCCAAATGGCCCAAGTCACGGGTGGTGATTTCGTCAACGATCTGTACTCCGACTTTAACCTAATGATCGACCCAGAAGCAGCGCAGAGAGCCTTGTCTGCATCATGGAGAGAGTTAGTGATTGTGGGTAACATCAGCTCCCAAGTTTTCCCAACACAAAACCTTTACAATGAATTGGTTGCTGTATCTGGAGGATTGGCAACTATTGAAAACAAAACTTCTTTGGCGTACGTCAAGGAAACCGTGGGCAATGGAACTCTGCCCTCTTTCAACCTTCCTTACTGGGATGAGGTTGCATCTGCAATTGCAGCTGCTCCAGATATTGTGACAGGGTCATATGAAGCCTACGTGTCTGTCGACACCTCGTTCTCGTCTCCTTTTTACGGTAGTTTGAGAATGGTACCCTCAGATTTACGTGCGAAGAAGGGTGTGAAAACGGGTAAAGCCACCATGATCACTTCAATTGACGTCGACAAATTCAACGACTTGATTGTGGACGCCTTGGTTAGAGACTGGACTAACTACTGCACAATCGGCAATGCGCCAAGTGTTGCCATTTTGTAATATAAAATCACAACCTATTTGTAGGAATGTAACAATAATACCCATGCAACGAATTAGATTCTATTCCAAAGTAAAGGTCCAACTTTCCTATCTGAGTAAAAAACAAGTCTTGTGAAATAGTAATATGTAAGACCAAAATATTAAAATGAGCTTATTTATAAGATTAAGCTTTGAGCATGTATACTTCTCTATGTAGTTTGTCTTGAGAATTCCATCAAATTGTGACAGTAGTGGGAGAGGCCGTAGCATTTCCAACACTCCAAAAATCTAAAAGCAAATGTTCACACTACATATTTGTGAATATTTCATCTGTTGATTACATATGTGCCCTCGAAGCCCGAACACGTCTAAATTACGTTGGTATTGTTAGAAATTGTTGGGAATAATGTGAGGAAACTGATGGTGATGTGCGCCTAACCGCATAATCAGCGTCAGTAAATACGTGACACAGTGGTACAGAATGATAGTACACAACCGAGGCCATACAAATCCAGCTACAAGCTAAGACAGACCGAAGAGAACAACTGTTGTCCAATGGGATTGGCGATTGATGAGCTAGAGCCGCCATCCATGGATCACAGAATAATTTAGAACCGGTGATTAATAATTGTGTTATCCAAATCACTGAGCGAAAATTGTATAAATACCAGGCGTTTGTTCAGGTAGCTAAACCAATTCTAGTGCCTAAAATAATCACGGACAGATAAATAGGATTCCCTAAATGCAAGCTGATCATCTTACAATGCCTGTCAACGACTTACAAGACAGATTTAGCAAGCTTTCAACTAATGAACCAGATTCGCCTCAACATGTATAAATACCAAGAGTTTATCCAGCTAGCTGAGCCAGCCCTAGTGCCAAAAGGAAGCACAGAGAGATGTATAGAGCTCTCTAGATCCAAGCTACTCATCTTACAATGTTTACGAACGATTTACAAGAAACTCTGGTAAGCTTTCTACTAATGAGTCAGGTTCGCCTCAATATCAACAAGCCATGCAAAAAGGGGCCGGGGCCGTCCACAATAGCGCTTACCCATAGTTGGTATACAAAGTGCCATTTTCAAACCATCGAACGGGTGTCACTCGGGTCGTTATGTATCCGACACCTACTGTACTGACAGGCAATCGCGTGCACTACTACTCTTTCCCACCGGCCATAGCCAGGGACGCGCAGGGCCACTGTGCTGTCTTCTGTCGAGACCTTCCCAAGCTGGTGTGGCCGGTACAGTTAGAAGCTGTGCGATGGTGGCTATTCGGAACCCACACACCCAGACACGAACCCACACACCCACATGGCACCCACACACCCACAAACGTACAGAGCGACCAGACTGCGCTCCGGCCGGCCCGGTCCCGGGTCTCACCGCTTCCCGTCCCGCCGCCGCACGGTCCCCCGTATACGCGTTCCACCTACTCTGTTTATCTCTCCTGCCGTCACCATCCTTTGCTCATTGTTCTCGACACACACACCACTTCTTCCCTTGTGCTTTCTGGCCCGGATAACGGCTAAAATTTTTTCCCCCGCCCCCGTCTGACGCGCCACAGCCAGAATAATCACCAGACTTGCCATTTAGAAAAATCCAGCTGACCATGGCACTAATTACGGGTGGAGGGTGGGCAAAAAAGCCAGGTATATATATTGGTAAATAATAGGGTCAGAATTGGACTCGGTTGCGAACACCTAGTAAAGTTGTTTACACATCGATTTGTCTAGACAATTGACTGTTTCCAGCACCACAAGGTATTGTAGACAGCTTAGCTCACGGGTTAGCCGCGAAAAGTCGAGAAAAACGGAAGAAAACAGAAAAACAGCCGCACTTGTTGCTGTCATTGTTGTTGCGCCCCGTTCATATTATTTGCCAGCCACAACTACCAGGTAGTTAGTCACATTCACCGCCACAATGGTTCGTTTGGGTCCTAAGAAGCCTCCCGTGAGAAAAGGGTCGATGGCCGACGTGCCAGCCAGCTTGATGGAACAGATCACGCGCTTCGAAGAGGTGTTCACGGTGCCTGCGGAGAAACTGAAGGAAGTCACGGAGCGGTTTGTCGGCGAGCTGAACAAAGGTTTGTCGAAGAAGGGCGGGAACATCCCTATGATTCCCGGCTGGGTGATGGACTTCCCCACGGGTTCGGAGACCGGCGACTACCTGGCCATCGACCTTGGTGGAACCAACCTGCGTGTGGTTCTCGTCAAGCTGGGCGGAAAACGCGATTTCGACACCACCCAGTCCAAGTACAAGCTGCCTGACCACATGCGCACGGGCTCTGCTGACGCGTTGTTTTCCTTCATCGCCGACTGTCTAAAGGCTTTTCTCGACGAAGAGTTCCCAGAGGGCGTGGACCACGCCTTGCCTCTGGGCTTCACCTTCTCCTACCCAGCGTCTCAGGACCGCATCAACGAAGGGTTTCTACAAAGATGGACCAAGGGTTTCGACATTGATGGTGTCGAGGGGAAAGACGTGGTGCCAATGTTGCAAGAGCAATTGAAAAAGCGCGACATCCCAATCGACGTCGTGGCCTTGATCAACGATACCACTGGTACCTTGGTTGCCTCCATGTACACCGACCCAGAGACCCGTATGGGCTGCATCTTCGGTACCGGTGTCAACGGTGCCTACTACGATGTTTGCAGCGGTGTTGAAAAGCTACAAGGTAGATTAGCTGACGATGTTGACCCTGATGCCCCTATGGCGATCAACTGTGAATACGGTTCCTTCGACAACGAGCTCATCACTTTGCCAAGAACCAAATACGACATACTCGTCGACAAGCAATCCCCAAGACCTGGTCAACAAAGCTTTGAAAAGATGACCTCCGGTTACTACTTGGGTGAGCTACTGCGTTTGGCTTTGGTGGACTTGGCTGGCCAAGGTTTGATATTCTCTGGCCAAGACTTGTCTAAATTGGAAAAACCCTACGTGATGGACACTGCCTACCCTGCTCGTATTGAAGAAGACCCATTCGAGAACTTGGAAGACACCTATGACATTTTCAAGAACGAGTTGGGTGTCGAAACTACCAACGGCGAACGTAAGCTCATCAGACGTTTGGCTGAACTCATTGGTACCAGAGCCTCCAGAATGTCTGTGTGTGGTATTGCTGCTGTCTGCAAAAAGAGAGGTTACAAGACCGCCCACATTGCTGCTGACGGTTCCGTTTTCAACTTGTATCCAGGCTTCAAAGAAAGAGCTGCTGCTGGTTTGAGAGACATCTTTGATTGGGAAGTTAAGAAGAACTATGAAGACTACCCAATTGTTATTGTCGCTGCCGAAGATGGTTCAGGTGCTGGTGCCGCAATCATTGCCGCTTTGACTCAAAAGAGACTCGCTGCTGGCAAGTCTGTCGGTGTCATCAACTAAGGAGGAGAATTTATTCTATCTGCAGAGGTTTCCCAGAAAGATGCCTCCTAGCTCCTTCTTTTTTCTCTTTCTAACGAATAATGAATGAACTTTATGTCCCCTCCAGTTAAGACCTTGAACGATTCCATTGAAAGATTATACTTATATATATTGTTTCCGTTTTTTTATTTGAATAGAATATACAAGTGGATAGATTATGAACAAAGCTGTTCTTAAAGAGATCACTTCAATGTTTGCCCGATGAGTGGCAAGTCTATGCCCTCCACCCCGCCAAGTTTGGAGTACATACCGCGGGTTGCCGTGCCTAAACTTCGCTTTGTCATCCATCAAAAACCTCTCGTTTCTGGGCTCCAGAATTTATTCATTCCTAATTACTTTTATCCTCGCTACACAATGCTTTCTAAATTGATGGCATAGTCTAGGGTTTTCTCAACTATATTTGCCTGATGATCATCTTGCAAGGTTTCTTCCTCGTCAAAAACAATGCTACCGGAAACCACTTTCCATCCCCTAGCAAGAGCAAATTGCTCTGTATCCTTTTCACTCTCGAAAAATAGCAATGCCTTAACATTAAACAGAGGCAATCTCTTGTACGAAAGCTCCGTGTTGCGACCAATTTCCTCTCTAATCGCATCCATCAATGTTTGTGTAAAAATGTTAAACTCCTCAACTTTGGACTCGTTATTCAGCAAATTCCAAGCCCTTTGATAGGAACCTTCCATCAGCCATTTTTCCACCTTAATAGGGTATGACAAAAACGTATCTTCCTCCATATTACCCAATCGTTTCCCCAGAAATTCTAACTCAGAATGAAACCTCGTTACGTCTCCTTGTGACAATAAAATCAATAGATATAAGCTGATCAATTTGGATCTGTTCTCAGAATCTTCCAGTTTGGGAATATGGCTGAAGTAGAACACCCTCAATTGTGACGAGAAACTCTGGAAAGATTCGAAATCTCTATTTCTCACGCTGCAAAGAGCACCAATCTCCAGGATTTTCCGAGCACTCTCCAAATCGTTTAAATATCCTTCGTTGTTGCGAGCCCTAACTAAATCAGGGACCAGCAGATTGTTCTTAATCAACTCAATTTTGATGGGTGTCAGCAGTTGCAAGCAGCTATTATTGTCACCTTTACTGAAAGCAGCATTTAAACTCCTTATCAAATCCAAAAAAGAGGGCATTGCAATACGTCTAACACACTTCCGGCGTACTTCCTGAGTTGCACCAAGTGCTTAGTTGACTACGGTTAAAGTGGCAAATATATTGATTATGCATATCACTAAATACGATAGAGGAATGGGTGAATAGGACTTAGCTATAATGACTCTCCGCAAGGTCTGGGATCCTGGCCTGTCGAAGTGGAATTCCGCTACACTCCATGCCCAAGATATCCCTGAATTAGGTGTCCTCATAAAATTGTACACCAATCTTGACTTTTTCGGAGCTTCCCCGAGATAATTTGCGAATCTTCTTTTGAAGAGTGATGATTCTGGTCCTGACTGAGGCACTGGTTTTCAGATCATCTTTGCTTATACGGACGAAAACCTCAAATTCTCGGCGTTTGGAGCTACCTGCGATAGGCTTGTCATCGACGCTGAAATTATGCAAGTCTTTTTCGACGTTTTCCTTCTGCTCAATGTTGAAGTTGAATAGACCATCTCTAATATTCCCACCTGGATGAACACCACAAATGACAAACATGATCGTGCCGATATACTGGGTCCACCAGACGATGCGTTCTCGTTCAACCTTGTCTCCATCCCGAAGCACGACGTCCTCAAGCAACTTCTTGTGCTCTAATTCCTGATCTGGCATATCACCTCCCCACCGGTTACACAAGGCGATTCCTATGAGTGCGCGTGCTCTATGGGAGAGACCATGGCATCCTGCCAAAATGCCTGTGGTAGCGACATGCAGAGCGGCTGTGGGTTGCAGTTCTTTAGGATATGATGCGTGCACGAAGGCCAAATTACAAAGAGCCGGCGCAATCCTAGAGTACACGATCTTGGGCACGTCATTTTTTGGCAGTGCAGCTCTCAAAAGCTCTAGGTATTTTGGTGCTAGCAAGGGAGCGTATGGTCTTGTTGCAACAAGCAAAGGATCCTCAGCTCTTGCCTCTCGAGGTAAAATTGAATACAATGTGCCCTCTCTTACACCACCTTCACTAAAATGGACAGTTTTAATATCCGGCAAAGATTCAAAAGCAGCACTCATCAAGAGTCCAACCGCCGGAAGCTGCGAGGCCCTACGTTCTGAAACTTTGAAGATCTTTTTGGATTTAGGCACTCTGCCCTTCATTAAAAGATAATCAGCCATACTCGAGAATTCTTCAAATGAGCAAGAGAAGCCATTGATAATTGTTTGTATAGGATAATCCTTACTCTGGGATAATAGCAAGTGTCCCATCCCTCTTAGTCCGCCCCCACAAGTAAAGAGGTCAAATCCACCATTTTGGTGAGCCTCTTCTAGCATTTCCTCCGGAATGCCTATCTTAGTAATTCCATCTCTGTATGCTTCTTTTATTTCGGCAAACAATTCCTTTTTGTCTTCCAGCTTCATTCTTCTTGAAAGCGCGCCGGCACCGTAAGGAAGTGACACGGGATTGTTTGACATCTTAATTTCTCCGTCAACGCACCGTATCCAAGAAATTTGTGTACTGCCACCCCCCAGATCCATGTACAACCCCGAGACGGAATTGAAAGAAGAGATAACGCCATATGCACCTATTTTGCCTTCTTCTTCCTTGGGCAATAGCTCAACGTCCCACTCAGTCGATTCAAAAACGGCATTGATGAATTGTTCTGAGTTGATGGCTTCTCGAGTTGCCTCAGTAGCCACTACCCGAACAGCTGTCTCCGGCACACCGAAATCATCGCAGATGAGTTTGAACCTTTTCATGGCAGCACTCACCTCTTTGATGGTATCATCAGGAATGGGCGCTTTTTGCAGAGAGTTGGCTGCATACTGAACCTCAAACAGAGAGATACCGACTCTATCTTTGAAAACGCAGGGCATAATTCTAGCATGGTGAGAAGCTTTTGATGAAATGCTAAAACGAATCCCATTGGATCCCATATCAACAACCCCGCATAAGTTTCTAGAGACGACTTCGGCCTCATTGTCACTATCTGAAATGGCAGACATGTTGAGCTGGAGCTGGGCTTAAGTTCCGGTTGTCCACAGGCGGTCATAGAGCTCACATTTAATTTGGAAGTTTCTAAGTGAATCATAATGGACGAGTCAATCATTTAGACAACATCTCTATGCTAAACCTCTGCTAAGACTTCATACCAATCTTCGTTTGGATTGTCTTGAAAGCGATGCTCCATCGTGAAGTTCACAAATAAGGCAGTCTTGCTCGGCCCAGGCTCACTACGGCTCTTCCATCGAAATCAAATGGCAAAAGGTTCAACCAGAAGCCACATCTGACCATGAGGTTGGCGTAGTTGTGGGAATAGAAGGCCATCAATCTAACAAAATATATTTACTCATGATCTACAAGAGACAAGATATTGCTTCCTGGAGAGTAAACTATTTCGTCGTGTTTATTTCTGCATTGGTTCTGTGACTGTAGTTTGGTCTGCCGTCGAATCATCCTCTGTCATGGGCAGTATAGACGATGTTTCTTCAGATAGTAGCTCGTCGAGCCCCGCATGAATGTGTAGAGTTTTACACGACTTGTTGAATTTCGCACCTCTTTGCGGCACGAGCAATATACGATACTGGGAAGAGCCTTCTTTGAGACTCAAGGTGACTTTTTTCTGAGCTGTTTTCTCCTCTGGGCGATTGGTTTTTGAGTAACTGTGATTTGGCTGCCTGCTGCTATCGGAATTTTCAGTTGCTGGAGCTGCATGCGCGAACAGCTCTATTATATCGTCATCATCATCATCATCATCGTCATCATCATCATCATCATCGGCACCATTGCCATCTGATGAGTTTAGTTGTTCTGGAATATATTTATGTGCAGAACGCTCTGCAACAGAACAGCGGAATGGGGCAAAATCGGCTGAGCTTACCGAACCACGGCTTTTGAAAGGTGAAGAAACGTTTTCTTTTGCGGGAATTAGACAAAAAGAAGCCATCTCTGTGAGTCCTGGGATGTTTTCACAAGAAGCTTCAACCTCCACTTTTGAACCCTTTTCCAACGCGGATGAGATGACGAAGTTAGCGTTTTTCTTTTGACGGTTGAGGCAAAATCTTTCGTAATGCAGAAGCATACTATTGTTTCGGGATACGACAACATTTAATGCAAACTTATCTTCGGAAATCGGTAAACCTTTCAATATGAGTGCCACCGAGATGGACGTCTCTAAGTTGGCACCATTTGAAAGTTTGGAACAATGGTTAATGGTGATACGTGGCAATTTGGCAATTTGACTCCTGAGACTTCTAAACTTTGAATCAGTTGCATTCAGGGCCCTTTGAATATGCCATGGATCTGCCCTTTGAAGAAGGGAAATTTTGCCTAATCCAGCGTTCCCCAAGGTCACAACACTTTTACTGTCCAAGCATTTTAGATATGTGAGTGATTGGGAGGTATCTGCCCAAACTTTGGAATGTACAGAGCTTAGCAACACCAAGGTTGCTTTCAATGAATTCAAGTCCCCCTTAGCAGCAAAGCAGTCTCGCATTCCTCTCAGAATTCGTATTGCTGTCTCGGAGACACGAGCCATTTCTGCGTAGAAGGAAGGTATGAGCGAGAATAGCTCCCTTAGTTGAGGCAGCTTCGAACCACTCAGTCGAAACTGGAGAAGAATTGATACCTTTTTCTGTAGATAGAGACTATCGCTCATATTTTCATTCAAATGCATCGGAACTCTAATAGAACCCTCATCATCTACTGCCCGCAGAAACTTCTTATCACCGGAACGTAAGCGCAAATATTTGAACTCTTCTACCTTTGGCAAAAAGTGTACGATTTGATCTAAACTCAGCTCTTGGGAAAGAGCTAAAATTTTCTGCATTGTGGTCAAGGTTAATGAATTCTGAGACATTGAAGCGGAGAAACTCGTTCCATAGAGTTTATCGCCATCTTCCCGAATCAACCGAGAACAAGACAACTTTCTGAGCGATTCTAAACAAAGATCAAAGAGCTCGCTGTCCATGGAGTTCGAATTTAGATTTTCCTCCAAACTTAAGCCCTCATAGTAGAGACGATTCTTTGTTAAGCGGGTGTATAGAAAAGACTTTTTAAGCCATTCTAGGGTGCCTTTGGTGGAGTTGATAACCCCCGCGTTGACCTCCGAGCAAATGTGATCGGATAAATTTTTGTGGAGACTGCTTTCCACGCTTTCTAAGCAATAGTTAAGGTTCTGATACTTGGTTTTTGCCTCATGACTTGTCATAATAACGGCACATCCATCGTTTTCATATTGTGGCCGGCCTGCTCTCCCTATCATTTGCAAGACTTCCATAGCACTGTAATCGTTGTTAGCGAAGTCGCTCCCAATGCAAGTTCCTTTGATAATTACTAAATATGCCGGAAGATTCATGCCAACGGCGAGAGTAGTTGTGCAGCATAGTACCCTTATGTTACCATTGTGAAAGTTTTTTTCGACCAATGCCCTATCCTCAGCCGAAAGTCCTGCATGATGGAATCCTATCCCGAACTTGAATACTTCCTGTAGGCTTTTATCAGACATATTCGACCAAAAATCTTGTCTCAAAATATTGCTTTGGATTGGACCCTTTGAGGCCAGATATTTGGCACATAGAACGGTAGATTTCCGACTAGAACAGAATATCAATGTAGGTTTTTCCTTGCTATACTTCTTTAAAATACCGAGCAGGCGCTGATTCAAAAGGTTATCCATCTGGAAGAAATTTTTGTGGTTGGCGGAATATCCGTGAATGAACATTTTCAGAATGACTGGCCTGTAACTCTCATCAAACTTCAGAGACTTAGCCGCTTGGCCGTCAAAAGAGTCAGCTCTAAGCCATAGCGCCAAGTCATCCGAATTTGCAATGGTACCACTCACTGCAATGATTCTCAAGCCCTTCGATAACAAGTTCAGTCGCATGATTCCAAGTTCCAACGCTGCTCCTCGTTCTTCTCTGATCAAGTGAATCTCGTCTACTAGTAAGAGAGAGACGGGACAGATACAATCAGATTGGACTCTTGGGTTTCTAGTCATAGAGTCTAATTTTTCCGGGGTTAAAATTCCGATCTGGAAGTGCTTGAATTCCTGCCAAGAGAGTTCAGTGTCGCCAGTGATCAATCTAACGTTCAGATCTTTGAAAGCCTTAGACCATTGCCTGAATTTTTCGTTGCATAAGGATTTTGTGGGTGCGGTATAGATAATTTTCAAGGCAGAGGGTGTCTTTTTCTTGTGAAGAAGTGAGAGAATGGCCAGTTCAAAAAGAACTGATTTCCCCGATCCTGTTGGCGCACTCACCACTACGTTTTGTGATGAATTAAACACGTAATCAAATGCTTCCGATTGCATTTTGTTAAATTTTGAAAAGTGAAAGAAGTTTGCGTAGGCACGGGGGAGAACGTCAGAACAGACAAGTTCCATTTGAAGCATTGAAATCCTAGGACCGATCAATCTCCTTTTCTTATTAGCCGATGTGTTGAAGGCATTTGCATTAACTTCGTCGTGTCTTGACTGAAATTGTAATTTTGAGAGCCATAAAAGATCATCATTCTCGCTGTCCAGCAGGTGATTGAAGCGCAAGCCGATATTCGCCCAATTGGATTTTCCATCTCGGCGGTTAACATCTTCGTTCTGGTTTTGGACCCTTCCCTTTGAAAGGGGACTAGTGCCAACAGTTCTCCGTTCTAGGGTTGTTAGTGACCAGCGTTTTTCATGTAGACACCACTTTTGTGAGTGATAACAAAGGTTTTACTTTCCGCTCCCTGTAAAACGTTTAGGACTGGGTCCACCAACGATTACACAGGCGAAAACAAAACGTATTTACCGATTGACGTATTGCAAATATTATAATAGCTTTGAGCTGGCCTTTCAGATGATGAAGAATTCATTGGGGCCCAGTATTGGTATTCTCTTTACATTTAGACAGGTTTTGTATTCAACTAAAGCCCATCGATATTTTTGCCTTTAAATAGATGATAAAGGAAAATCATGATATAGGGAAGACCATTGACAAGGAAAAAGGGTATCAGAGTGAAATGACAGATCCCACACCCGACGTATCAACAACTAATCCAGCTACTCCAATCGTCTCTGAGCCTGAAAATGTGGCTTCGAAAGAGCCCAGTAAGGGCGGTGATAGTCCCCAGGTAGTGGAAAAAGACTCGACAACTACGACAATTCTCGAGAAGACTGAACCTAAAGAGCCCAGCTTTCCTCCTGAAAATGCTGAAAAGCTTAAGACTGCTGAAAGCCCGCAATTGAAGGCGGAAGTTACGGTGGATAATGATGAACGCAGCAGTAAGAGTAGGGAAACATCCGAAAGGCTTCAATCTGATAGCGACGAAGACGCGGGCGACGACGCAGATTCCATTATTGACATTGTCTCAGAAAGTGAGGTCAACGAAGCAGCCAAGCAGCTATTGAATGCGAAAGCTCCGCAAATCAAAGTGAATTACAAGGGCGACACGTTTTTGTTGCTTGGAGAGTACGATGGGGACAACGGCCAAGAATGGGACAAGAAAATGCTTATTTGTGAAGATACAGCAGATTTACACCGCGGCTGTAATGTGATTTTTGGGCGCATACGGGTATTTCTTCAAAACTTGCGTGGCGGCCTGGACTTGCTTTCCCGAGAACTTCAAATGGAGTTTCCTGATCTTGATCTGAGAATGGAGGAAGATAACATGTACAACAAGGACATTACAATCAATGACATTGTGTCAATCTTTAAAATATTGAAAGATAATTCGATAAAGAAATGTGAACCAAATGTACCCACTTTTTTGACTATCAATGTCAGCACAAAAGGACGATTTGTATCGCGCTACAATTCGTTGGTCGAACTATTAAGCGACAACGCGACTTTCTCCACCATCAGGGTCTTCAGCAACGACCAAAGCCATCCGGTAGTGCTGGACGATACCGAACAGCCCGATTCTAATAACAAGGAAGTTATAATCATGTCTTCCGATGATGAGAAGGGGGATCTAAAGCAGAATACGAAGAGCATCGAAGAAAATGCTGCTCCTGTTGAGAATATTGAGAAATCGGATGCGATATTGGAGGAGCAACCTTCCGATACTCTGAAGCGGAAAAGAGAATCCATTTCTGATGGTTCAGAACCTTCCAAAAAGGACTCCCCGGACAAAGAGGTTTTTGAAAATGAGGTTCGTGAGAAGGAGTTCCCCAATGATGAACTGTTGACGGATAGCAAGGCTTAAGTTTGTGGCTGTTGGTTTTGGCCCGAGTCCAACATGATAAAAATGTAAAATATTTAACTTAATTTGACGTCGGTGGTCGGTTGTGGTGATTGCTACAGAGGCCTGTGTCTGAACTACAGCAGGCCAGGAGAAGAAAGGACAAACTTTCTTTGGCAGTTGGGGCCTTCCATGGAGCACAATCTTAGCTAAAATTTAGTAGCAATGTGAATCTGTACACTCACAACGGTAAGGGAAGTACGTGACCAGTACTTTTTGCTCGACCCTTGCGTGCCTCTTGGTTTCTGAGTGCTCAGTGTGGGCTCCCAAAGCTACGATTGCCTCAATTGAGTTTCAGATCTCGCACTCAAACGTGAGTGACCACTAAAATTTTTGGAGCGGATCCTAATCCCTTCAAAGATGCTAGCCAGCGTTTGAGACTGCGGCAGGAGGTTTGATGGAGGATGGTAGCGACACGACGGCAGATTCCAATGTCACTAGTTACGTCAGTGACGCTCGCCGTCAATAGTTAAAGTCGTATCGCGTGCTGTGTATATTAGTTTTTCAAACTAAAAGGGACCAAATGTCCAGATCACCAGAAGCTATCAACAACCTGGCAAACGAGTCGCGATATCAACACCATGGTCGTTATTGCTGTTTCGATTATCACTCGTCAGGGCAAACCCCTCCTTTCGAGGCAATTCCGTGATATCAGCAAGGACAGAGTCACAGAACTGCTCTCAAACTTTCAGGGACTTGTGGCCAACTCTTCTTCGCAGCATACTTTTGTGGAAGATGAACACGTTCGATACGTATACAAGCCCTTCGACGACTATTACATCATCTTGATCACCAACCGACAGTCCAATATTATCCAAGATTTGGATACGTTGAAGCTCTTCGCCCAGAGCATGAATACGTACCTCAGCAGTTTTGACGAACATGAAATATTCGAAAACGCGTTCGAAATCTTGAGTTCGTTTGACGAAGTTATCACCATGGGCTACAAGGAGAACCTTTCAATGGCCCAGATCAACACATACCTGTCGATGGAATCTCATGAGGAGAAGATCCAAGAAATAATTGAAAGGAACAAAGAGTTTGAAGCTGCTGAAGAAAGAAAGCGCAGAGCCAAAGAGATATCGAGGAAAGAACAAGAACGCAAGATGGGGATACCTTCGATGGGTCTCGAAGCTACTAGGTTCCAATCTTCCAATGATCCAAATCTTTCAAATGCATACAGCAGCTACTACAGCCAAGCATCACCGGCAGCCCAGCAATCGTACTACCAGACGCAACAGCAGAAGCTCATGGCAGCCGAGATACCTGTTCAGAACTCTGTTGAAAATTCGCTTGGTGGCAAGGGTATGAAGTTAGGTGGTGGCAGAAGAGGTGGGCTGGGCGCAAGTACCGCTCAGCTTCAACAGACAAAACAGACTGCGTCACCAACAGCACCCCTGCTACAAGTCGAGGAGCCAGAGAAACCCACCAACGAGGGCATTTTGATTTCCGTTAGAGAAGTTGTGAGTGCTAAAATCTCGAGAGAAGGTAACGTTGAAAGCTCTGAGCTGAAGGGAAGTCTTGAATTACGTGTCAACGATCAAGAATTAGCACATGCCCGGATTGTTGTCGATCCTAAGGTTGACACAAAGGATAAGGCCTTCCAGTTCAAGACACATCCAAATATCGACAAGAGCTTATTCTTGAACTCCGGAATTATTGGCCTGCGTGACACTCAGAAGGCCTTCCCCTTCAACGATCAAAGCTTAGCAGTTTTAAGGTGGCGTAAGGTTGGAGCTGAGGACGATTCTTCGTTGGTACCACTACAGATTTCATCGTGGGTTTCACCCTCTGAATCTGACCAAGGCATGTTTGACGTTACCCTTGAACTCGAGATGAACGAATCCTACTCCGACGCTCTCGAAAACGTCCGCTTTGCGATTCCTGTGTACACTCAGAACGTTCGTGTCAACGACGAGTTCAATGATTTGGGGGCTACCATCGAAAGCATCGATGACGAAAATGGAATTGTTGTCAAAATTGCCAGTATCGCAGTCGGAACGACAGCTGCTGTCTCACTAACGATAGAGGCTGACCTTGAGGATGCCCTGTATCCTATCTCGGTGCTATTTGGCAACCATGCTGCCACCGGCTCTCTTTCTGGCGTCAGCGTCAGTGAAGTTGTGAGCTCCCGCGACGAAAAAAATCCTCTTCCATACGGTTCTGTCGCGACTCTCAAAACGGAAGAGTACTCTATTGAGTAATATGAACCCTGCGGTAAATCACAGTCGCACTGTATAAAATTCGTATAAATCAAAGCATCATCACCATTTGTTCGCGCTACTGGCACATTCCGTATGAGACGACATATATAAGCTTGGGCTTCAAATTTGGTTTGCCACCCTTGAAGCTTAAGTTAACCTTGATTACCTACCAGATACATCCAAAGGAACAGCACTAAGCTTTCTTGAGGGGTAACTTTAAAGCACACGACATGAATCACGATCCTTTCGAGTGGGGACGGCCCTCAGATGCAGCCTATGGTAAATATAATTCGAAAATTGCAGAGGCAAGTCCATATCCCAGCATGCACACACAGCAACCCATTGTGACAGGTACGTCAGTAATCTCAATGAAATACAATGGTGGTGTAATCATAGCAGCAGATAATTTGGGATCTTACGGCTCTCTACTGCGCTTCAACGATGTAGAGAGACTATTCCCGGTAGGACGAAACACTGTGGTAGGCATCTCCGGAGATATATCAGACATGCAGCATTTAGAGTACCTGCTGGAGGAAATGCAAACAGAAAATAACTATGATAATCAGTACGCAGATGAAGAGGAGGCGCTCAGACCGAGCTACGTCTTCGAGTATCTGGCCAACGTGATGTATAGCCGCAGATCCAAGATGAACCCATTGTGGAACGCCCTTATTGTAGCTGGCTTGGAGGATGATAAACCTTTTTTGAAGTATGTTAATCTGCTTGGCGTTACTTACTCGGCTCCTTCACTCGCCACTGGCTTCGGGGCACATTTGGCGCTCCCTCTGCTGAGGAAAGTAGTAGATGCCGACAAGGATGTGGAAAATACCAGCTTCGAGACGGCCAAGAAGTCGATTACGGATGCCATGAAGGTCCTATTCTACAGAGATGCGCGATCTTCAAGAAATTACTCGCTCGCGATTATCGATAAGGAGAAGGGTCTAGTTGTCGACAAAAAGGCTAGGGTGGACGATATGGTCTGGGGTTTCGCCAAGGACATTAGAGGCTACGGTACCCAGAAAGTGTAATTTACATCCGCGGCCTGTCTGAATGATGAAACTGGTTGGAGGACTGTCCATTTTCGTTTGATCAAGCTCTTTCATTTAGTCTTAGCTCTATAGAATGGTCTTGAAGCATATAGTAACGATCCTGGTTGGGGATTGGGGAGGCTGTAACTGGGCTTTTATTCAAGCCGTTACCGATCTTCGTATTAAGTGCATGACAACATGAACATCCAATCTTACTTAGGTAACATTACAGAACTTGTTATCACTACTGTCGTTTGTTTGAAAAATAAAGCATGGTAAGTTTTGAAATCAGTATTTTGGGCGCTTGTGGCGGTCCCCTAGATGGCTGCAACCAAGGCTTCTTGCTTTCAGAGGCTGGAACTCACGAAGAGAAGCACTATATGTGTGTGGACGCAGGCTCCGGACTGCGACAAATAGCGGACATGATGGACAAGAGTTGTACGAATACAAGGCAGGCCAATCTCGATTGCCGAGAAGATATGGTACAAAGCCTGTATGAGAGAACGCAAGAACCGCTTCACAAATTTGTGGACGCTAGATGCCAGGTTATTCGCGGTTTGGGTTCGATACCAAAAACAGATTCAAATGAGACTACAATGACCAGGGCATTGAGGCTACTAAATAATATTGGTGATTACTTTATAACGCACCCGCATCTGGACCATGTTGCAGCACTCGCCATCAATTCCCCAGCCTTTAGTGGCCCAGAGAAGACAGTCTGGGGCCTTCCGGCCACCACGGAAGCAATTCAAAAGCACATCTTCAACGACATTGTATGGCCCAACCTGTTTGCGCAAAATAAAATCAAAATTCGGATGAGTGTTTTGGAAGAAGCGCGTTCATACCATATCAAAAGCATACCCAACTGGTCAGTGACTGCGTTCCAGGTTAGTCATGGCGTGATGATTGAAAGTCGACTGCCATGCATCAGCACACTTTACCTTATACAAAACACGCTGACGAAAGACTCTGTGCTTATGTGTGGGGACCTGGAATCAGACGTTGTTTCGCACCAACCCCTTTTAGCTGGCGTGTGGAGGCACTTGAGCTTAACGATACCGTTGAAGCATTTGAAAGGAATATATATAGAGTGCTCGAGCTCAAATGGTATTGAGGATACGCAATTATATGGCCATTTGTCACCTAAATACCTGGTTTACGAACTCAAGCAGCTCAGCCGAGCCTATGGTAGCGCGCTGGACGGATTACAGGTGAGCATCATTCATGTTAAGATGGCACTGGGAGAGGTGGATCCTCGATTGCAGGTCTTAGACCAAGTCAGAACTATCGCGGCAGCTGAGGGCCTGGGCGGTATAATTTTTACGATGGCGTTACAGGGATATACATTTGTACTATAATGAAAGCTTACTTTGATGGGGGTAGATTAGCTGTATGACGATAATTTCATAGCGCACCGCCGGCATTTATAGACTCAATCTCAGATTCATCAAAAGGACGAAGCTTGAATCTAGGAGACAATTCAAAAATGGATGAAACCTCGTTTTCTTGTAATGGTCTTGAAACGAACTCGTATTTGGAGCCAGATTGGGGAGCAGCAGACTTGCCCGGGCTAGCTTTCTTATTCTTGTAGGGAATGACCTGAAATGGTTGCAGCTTGCTGAGAAAATCTCCAGCTGGTTGACAGGCCTCGGATCCTGGCATAATACCATCAACTGTACAAGGATGGGCAGCAGAACCAGCATGTTTTAGAACGGGGTGCTTGGTGCCCACGAACTTGATCATTGGTGTGTAGCTCTGAGCCAATTTAACAGCAGTTTGACGCATTGGATCTATGTTAGAGGTGGAGGTTTTTTTTGGAGTGACGGAATCAGTCTTGATAGTAACACCTGAGTTGAGGGTTTTTTTGGTAGCAGACGACGTTGAATTGAGGAGGTACTTGGTGACCGGTTCGAAAAAGGCTTTTAGACGATTCAGTTTGAAAGAGTAAGGGGTACTTTTAGCTCTGATCTCAAAACGACGAGGCTCCTGATCTCTTTATCAAACCGTTCTAACACGCCAGAAAGTGTTTCTGGTTCTGCCGGAAGAATACCGAAAATATGGAAATTAAAAAAACCTGTCTGGTTAAACCAAAATGATAAAAACACCGCTAACATCAGAACAAATTCCGATACATTCTATTAATTGTAAACCAGTCAAAGGTGGCTGCTAGACGGCCTATGGCTACGAGACGAATGACTACTGTTATAGAGCCTAAACTAAAACTGGCCATTTCAGTGGCCCTTGTGACAGAAGCTTGGCAATACTTCACGGTGGTGCAATTGGGGCCCCTTGGGACACGCAGAGGAGCTAACGCTGCCAAAGCGCCCACCTTGCGAGATCTTACCAATGTATAGAGCCGAATCGTAATCACAGGATGCTATCCTCAGACTGGCAGTGTCAGGCCATGCCATCCCCAACTCTGACTGTTAGGGCACTTAGTTCACTTAGCTTTGCGCAGACACCTCGCCAAGTAGAATTATCAGGTTGGTACACTACACTCGAATTAATTCTCAGTACGCAGTGTGTGCAAACGGTCAAGCAGGTGCGGCATGAACTTGAAGCTGCAGCTAAGACACCGCTCACCACTGATCCGACTCCAGCGAGCAGATGCTTTAAAGGGGGGCCGTATGTCTGCGATAGGCAAATAGTCTCTAAAAGAAAGTGCCCATTCGTCGCTGCAGGGCGGCCGGTCGCCAACCAAATCGCATTTTACTTTTGCTTTACTGTAGGTGCTTGAAAGCCACGCTAAGTTGCTTGGCACAGTGCTCATGAAATAGAGCACGACAGCGAATGGAAGTACTGTAGAACTAGTAGCAAATCGTCCTGTGGCTCTCATCTGCACTACCAGAGTGCAGAGCGCCTGGGCCGCGTGATCACTTTGTACTAAAAAGCTGCCAGTTGTCACCGGTAGGTTTATAAACCGCTACCAGCTCGACATACCTAATCAGCAACACTCTCCGTCCATACTGCTGGTGGCCAAATGGGCGAGACCAATATGCCCACCTCATTACGAGACAATGTAGCCTCTCCACAGCGACCAGCCCAACGGTTTTGGACAGACCCCAGGTTACTTTCCGAATATGTACAACTCATCTTCAATACTACTGTAGTGTCCGGTATTCTATATCTGTGTGTGAGGTTCATTCAGCTCATCAACCGTGACGTGGAGCGGAAGGTACAGTTTCGGGCAGCGGCAGCTTCTGCTGTCATGGCTGAATGCAAAAGTCGCTTTGCTCAAAACCAGTGTCAAGGACTCTTGCGCCCACCGTGGCTCGAACCCCAGTGTGCACATTGGGCCCGATGTATGAACGGTGAAGCACCGGAATCTTTGAGCGTTCACTCTGCGGTCATTTACGCCGAGACCTTGGCTGAGATACTCAATGGCTTTCTCAAGCCAATAAGCTTGAAATCCATTGGTATTTTGTTCTTTGGCACCTGCGGAGTCATTGTGGTCTCGAACGTGGCCTTCAAAACGTACAGAGTTAGTTATACCACCGATCAGAGGTATGGCTTCACTGAGGTCGAGCAAGATCATCATAGCTCACAATGCATCGCTCGGCATGATGACTCAGATAACGATAATTTTTGCCGAACACTACAAAACAAACATTCCTTATCTCTAGACAACTGACGCGGTGGCTAAACCGCTCGTGATGCGGCGTTATAAGCATCAATTTTCCCATGAGTAATGACATTATTTGGTCGGCGTTATAATTGTGCTAGTTTGGGTAGTTATAAATTGGACCGCTAAGAGCTGGTAGAGTGTCTGGTGTGTTGATCTGCCAAGCCGTTTCACAAAGCAGTGATTTTCTAGCAATGACCTTGACCATCCCTACCACCAGGCTCGCAGGTTCAGGAGACGAATTGCCTGTGATTGGCTTCGGATCAGGTACCAAATGGAGAGTTGCAAAGGCGTCGGGCGACAAGAAGGACCAATATATCGATGAACTTGCAGAACAAGTCACATCAGCTATAGAAAACGGATTCAACCACATTGATGCTGCCGAAGCTTACAAAACGCACGAGGAGGTCGGCAGCGGAATAAGAAAGTCAGGCGTGGCTCGCGACCAGGTATTTTTGACCGATAAGTACACGCCGTGGTCTTGGGCTTGGAGAAAGGGAACTGGACCCTTGGAGTCTTTGACCCTAGCTCTCGAGAAAATGCAGCTGGACTACGTTGATCTTTACCTGGTCCACACTCCTGGCGTTACCCATGAGACCGCAGGCATCGATCTCAAAGAAGCCTGGAGGCAAATGGAGGTGATTTACGAGCGCGGTTTGGCTAAGAACATTGGCGTTTCTAATTTTGATGTTGAAAGCCTTGAGCTTATCAAAAGTGTGGGTAAATACCAGCCTGTGGTGAACCAGATCGAGTTTCACCCTTACATGCAACAACAGTCACCAGGAATTATCAAATACTGCCGCGAGAACAACATTGTACTCGAGGGCTACTCGCCCCTGACCCCGCTCAAAGCCAAGCCCGGCCCACTAGACGACGTTTTGCCGGGAATTGCTAAAAAGTACGGGAAAAGTGAACTTGAGGTGTTGCTTCGTTGGGTTATTCAGAACGAGGTTGTCGCGATTACAACATCTGCGAAAGTGGAGAGAATCAGGGAATCTCTGAACATTTTCGACTTTGAGCTGTCCAAAGAAGATTTCGCACTTATCACCCAAGTCGGTCGCGGAAAGAAGTTCAGAAACTTCATGGTTGACTTATACAGTCCATTTGATGACGTTCTCTATAAAGATTTATAATATCATCCTATATTCATTATTTTCCGTTTTCTTCGGCCCTCTTGGCCAATTCCTTTCTCCAAGCCCTGAACTCTGGGCTTAGAATTTCAACGCCCTCGACCAATTCCGCATACTCCGCGTGCCCCGGCTCGATTCCGCTTAGCTTCAGGTGATTATTTTCAAAGCTTAGTCTGTAAGCTCTCACACTTTCCGTAGATTCCTCACGGGGAATAGCGGTCATCAACCATTCTGTCAATGCGCCGTACCATCTTACCGCTTCTATGCAAGCATTGGATAATTGGGCGTTATTATTTTTCAACAAAAGTGGAATTTCCTGAGTCGAAAACTCTTCCACGCTCTTGAGCAGAAAGTTTTCATCTCTGAAACCATATATTATCCTGTTTATTCCAATCAAGAAACACTGCAACCACGTTTTGAACAATTTCCTCTCGAAGCGGCGGGCGTCTGCAAAGCTGGAGACGTTCTTCGTGCACTTCAATTCTGCGTAGTGCTTGAGATTATCTGAAGAGTCCTCGCTGAAATCGAATACGCAATCAACCTCCGCCCCCAAAACCAACTTGCAGCTTCCTACACCGGACCTCACTACCGTGATGTATTGGTCGCCATTGGAGCATATCTTACGCGGCCTTTTCTCAAGACTGCTGCGTGAGACGTGCGGAAGAGGCTTGGAGACCGTTGCCAAGCTTTCGAATTTGTAGCCACTGTAGTATGCTCTGTACTCCATCGACTCTTTGCTGCTCGATGGTACTTTCGGTTGTTCCACTTCTTTGACGAAAAGCTGCCCGTTGAATGATACTACTCGGAGCTCAACTGGGTTGTACTGGGCACTGTCAAATGCACAGGATATTAATTTCCTCATCACTCCTCTAAACGTTATGATGTCACCGGCCACTTTCTTGTTCTTACGCTGTTCATACGACTGTATACTCTGCAATAATCCCTTTAGAGTGCAGCTATCAAAATCTGGATTCCCATTGCATTCTTTGAACTTTTTGATCCCACTGCAAAGATCCAAGTTCCGATCTACTTCGCTATCGGGTAAATAATAGTAGCTCATCTTCGAAGTGTCATTAATGAGGAACTCATTTTCCTGCGTTTTGCTATAATACGCAAGCTCTTTAGGCTGGCGCAGAGTAGTTGTGGAACTTCGTTTCTGTACAAACAAGGTTGATATAGAGCCCATAATCCAAGCTCAATGGTTACAACAATGCCACCGATGTGTTTCCGTGTTTGTCGTCAAACTGGCCCAGCAGGAGTCTTCGAGATTGATACTAATTCTTCAGCACCAACGACTTTCTTTAACTGACTTTCAAGAACTCTAGACGGTTTAGAGGATGAGCTTGATGATTTTAATATCTTGACAGCTAGCTCTCCTTCAAGTTGTCTTAGGCGTATGAAGAGAGAAGGTATTATTGGCAATCGTAAAATTTTTGATGGAATTAGATCAACCTTCGAAAAACTTGATAGGTTTAAGAATTCTTTAAACTATTCACGGTTGACATTAAACTTGCCAATTGTCTGTTTCTAGCCAATTAACAACAATATGACTAAACTAGTTATTGCTAGTAAAGCTCCCGTAGTGGCCTATGGAGAGCTTATCGCGGCTCGTCGAGTCAATACTGCTACCGAATCCAGTGTCGACATTGAATTTGTGGAAGACAAGAAGGCTGCTCCTGCTACTTTTGATGGCGCTTCCGAGGCCGTTTTTGAGCGTCTTGTCAAAGCATACCCCCAAGTTTTGGGCCGTGACTTTGAGTCTTCAGCGGAATGGGTGAACTTTGCTGCGAATGAACTTACTGTCAAAAACTTTGCCAAACTTTCTGGGTCTTTGGAGAAGCTAGATGCCTACTTAAACTTCAGAACCTTTATTTCGGGCACCCATTCGATATCTTCGGCTGATATCGCATGCTGGGGTTCGCTCAGATCTAACGGAATGGTTGGGTCCATTATCAAGAATAAAGTGTACCTTAACGTCTCTCGTTGGTACACTCTTTTGGAACAAGTTCCAGAGTTTGGTGGTGCTCACGAGTTTTTGACCAAATCTGTCCAAGAGCTCAAGAAGTCTGCATCCGGTAATAAGAAGAAGGAAACACACAAGGCCAATTTCGAGATTGATCTACCAGGTGCCAAGATTGGTGAAGTTGTCACCCGTTTTCCTCCTGAGCCATCTGGGTACTTGCACATTGGACATGCGAAAGCTGCCATTTTGAACCAATATTTTGCCCAAGAATACAAAGGTAAGCTTATCATTAGATTCGATGATACTAATCCAACTAAGGAAAAAACCGAGTTCCAGGATTCAATTTTGGAGGACTTAGAACTTCTTGGTATTAAAGGTGACAGGGTGACTTACTCATCGGACTACTTCCAAGAAATGTTCGATTTGTGCGTCAAATTGATAAAAGAAGGCAAGGCCTATTGTGATGATACTCCGACCGAGAAGATGAGAGAGGAGCGTATGGACGGTATTGCTTCAGCCAGGAGAGAACGTACCGTAGAGGAGAATTTGAAGATTTTCACCGAGGATATGAAAAACGGTACTGAAGAGGGACTTAAGAACTGCGTTCGTGCAAAGATCGACTACGAAGCTCTCAACAAAACTTTGAGAGATCCTGTGATTTACAGATGCAACTTGACTCCACATCACAGAACCGGTACAACTTGGAAGGCGTACCCAACTTACGACTTTTGTGTTCCTATCGTCGACGCATTGGAGGGCGTAACACACGCCTTACGTACCATCGAGTACAGAGACAGAAATGCTCAATATGACTGGATGCTGAATGCTCTTCACTTGCGGAAGGTTCACATTTGGGATTTTGCCAGAGTAAACTTTGTTAGGACATTGTTGTCCAAGAGGAAGTTGCAATGGATGGTGGATAAGAACCTTGTTTCCAACTGGGATGATCCAAGATTCCCAACTGTACGGGGGGTTAGAAGAAGAGGAATGACGGTTGAAGGTTTGAGAAACTTCGTTTTATCTCAGGGGCCTTCCAGAAATGTGATTAACCTCGAGTGGAACCTAATATGGGCTTTCAATAAGAAGGTGATAGATCCTGTGGCTCCCAGACATACGGCTGTTGTCAAACCAGTCAAGCTACACATTGAAGGTGCTCCTGAAGCTCCAGATGTTCAGACAAGACCAAAGCACAAAAAGAACCCAGCTGTTGGGGAAAAGAAGGTGATCTACTATTCGGATGTTTTGATTGACCAGGAAGATGCTGATTTGATTCAAGAAGGCGAAGAGCTTACTTTGATGGACTGGGGTAACGTTATTGTCACGAAGAAGAATACCGATGGATCGTTGATCGCCAAATTGCACCTCGAAGGTGACTTCAAGAAAACTAAGTTGAAGTTAACCTGGTTGGCCGACACTAAGGACAAGGTGAATGTTGACCTCGTCGATTTTGACCACCTGATTAGTAAGGACAAACTAGAGGAGGGCGAAGACTTCGCTGACTTTTTGACCCCTCACACCGAATTTCATAATCAGGCCATCGCAGATTTGAACGTTCGGGGCATGAAGAAGGGCGATATTATCCAATTCGAGAGAAAGGGTTATTACAGGTTAGATTCATTGGCGTCTGATGATAAACCTTACGTTTTCTTCGGTATCCCAGACGGTAAATCTGTGAACAAGTATGGGGCCAAGAAGTAATTATGTTGTCCCTTTCCTCATATTTTTTTTAGCTGTATATACAACAATAAGAATAAACAAGGCTCAATTTGACCCAACTCAATTGTGACGTTTCAAACGGCGAACGATAAAGGATCTGACGACGATTTCTCCAATGGAGACTAGAACACTGATAAAAATTACGGCGATGAACCACCATGTTATCTTGGCCATATTTCGCTCGGCCACTGAGTCAACACAAATGTCAAAGAATTCTAAAAAGACCTTGCAGCGATCATTTAATACCTGAGCCCTCTGATCAATTTCAAGATACTCGCGCATTGCCAGATAAAGAGGGTGTAAACTTGGTTCAAATGACCAAAAAAACTCCGGGGTATCTAAGACGCTGGAGGAAAGGTTGACGTCGACTCTAAGTTTGAATAATTTCCCAGATTTTTTCAAAAGTTGCTCTCGTTTGAGACCTAAAGTACCATAAAGAGCCAGCCTTTTCGGCAGTTTAGAAACTGTTCCCAAAATCGGGGAAATTCTTGACTCAAATCTGGATAATTTAGTCGACTGTGCAATAGAGTGAGATAATGTTAACTTTATTATGTGATCTCCTGATCTGAGAGTTACAATATCATTAAAGATACTAGGCCTGTCGATCTCCATGTCGTACTCGAAGTGGAACTGTTCAGTTTCAATGTCTTGCTCATCCAGGGGTCTTACGACTAGATCGTCGTAATCTGCAAATGCGATGTCTCCTAGAATGTTCTTCTCATGAATCTCGGTAAAATTCCAAAAAACTACGACTCCGTAGCTGAAAATAAACATCTCAGCGTGTTGTTGTTTACTTATCTCATTTGAACTTTCCAGAGACTGAGAGGATGGGGAGAAATTCGTTACAGACTTTCTATCTCCATTCTGCTCATCAGCCATATCACTCATGCTCTGCTCAGCGAAAAACTGCGGCTCACTTGGATCGAATGAAGCTGTGTTGTTGCTCGTAGGATTTGGTAAATGATCTGGTGTTGGGACAACATCGTTTCTATCAAGTTCTGCGGCTATGGACTCACTGAGTTCAAAGTTGTTGTGCATGTCCGCCACTGTTTCAACGCCCGAGTAGTACTCGTAGTGATGATCCCGCTGTTCGCTTTTATCAATGAGACGATCTATTAGGCTTTTACCTCCAACTGTCTTCTTGGATACGTTTGACCTTAGCCTAAAACCATCCTTTCCCGGTAGTAATGGCAGGCAATAAGGGACATAAAGGCATTCATCGTAAAGTCTTGGAGAAACGCCATGTGTAGTTTTCAAAAACTTGGAAGCCAGCTGGAGGTTGAAACCTTCTGCAACATTATAGGCAGTGATACGCGAAAGATTATCCTCTATACTGGCTACTCTGTCAGCGTCCAACCTGGTATTTCTTGACGGCCATCTCCTATCAAAACTTTGTGTTGCCGGCTTTCGTTCAAACTCATCTGGAATGAGGACCAATTTCTTCGACGTCTTAGATGTCCTTGGCGGTAGTGGATTAATCATCTTATTGTATTGGTGCGTGCGAGCAAATCGGCGAGTGGACATGTATCCAGAATCGTGTGATGATGATGACAATCGCTCTTCTCTGCGACCAGATGGAACGTCAGACACCTCAGACAAGAGGTTGTCTATAGAGATATCACTGAATTTTCCGTTTCGAAGCTTGGTTTTGCTCTTAGAGCGTCGTACTGGTAAGAGGTCGCTTGAGCTCATAGTGGCACTTCCACGACGAACTGAAGTGGTCCTCGGGCCCGAAGAGCTGCCCTGAATTGGCTCTAGCCCATTGAAAGTAGATCGTCCTGATTTTCCACTTCTGACTCCTGCAGCATGGCCAGCAAATGGCGCACTAATCCGTTTTTGCGAAGACCTTGCGTCAGTAACTAGGATCGATGGGGACCGTCTTGACATTGAAGTCCTCCTTCCAAGTCCATCTGGCGACTGTGTTTGATTACTCATTGTAACTCGAATAAATAAAGCGCAAATACAGAAACGTCGAAGTGTAAAATGAGTCGAGATTTAGAGGGAGGACGAGGTGTCAGCTGTGTCTATATATGATCTATTGTAGAATGTGTTGTCTAATTAACAAATTTCAATTAAATATTATGATATTCAATTCAACACTCAATCTACCAACACTGGATACAAACCTTCACGACAAGCGGTAACTACTACTTAGGAAGCTGTCTTGCATCTAAACGAGACCAGTGTCTAAAATAGAGCGACTAACCTTATTATCGCACAATTTTGGAGGTTACAGTGCTTGTTCAAGCGGTATTCAATTATCATTGAGAGAAACCCTGAGTTAAGTAGATACTAAACGCCACACAGAGTTTAATATGTCCGATATCGATGAAGACTTGCTGGCTTTGGCTGGTGCAAGCAGTGGAGAGGAGGAAGAAGAGGAAGTTACGTTGGGAACCTCGAAAAAGCGCTCCAAGCCTGATTATAGTAGTGGAAGTAAGAGACGAATCATTGACGAAGATGAAGAAGCAGGGGAGTCAGATCAGCAAGACAATTACACCCCTGATGATGGATACGATCTAGGCGGTGCAGCAGAAGAAGAGGAAGAAGAGGAGGTCAATCCGTTCCCACTTGAGGGCAAGTACAAGGACGAGCAGGACAGAGTCAAGTTAGAAGCGCTACCGGAAATGGAGCGTGAATCCCTACTCTTTGACAGATCCCAAACCATGCAGAAGTATCAAGAACGACGTGTGTTGAAGGAGCGTGCGCGAAGCATCCGTGAGCAGCAGCAAAAACGCCAGCTTGAACAGCAAGCCACCAAGTCGCGATCCTCTGCGCGGTCAACGCGCACAACAGGTCACAGTGATGCAAAGGAATCCGGACTCAATGAGCTCAAGAAGCAACGCGCAAAGAAAAGCGGCACTTACGATTACAGCGATGAAGATGTTGACGAGGAAGACGACGAAGAGGATGAAGACGACTACGGGTATCGTGATGAGGACGAGGGAGCTGAAAGTGAAGATGACTATGATCCAATTAACAAGAGAAACCGTACAAACGATGAAGAAGAAGAAGATGTCAAATGGGCAGATGATGAGGACCTGGATCGTGATCCAGAACTTGCAGACTTCAATAAGGTGAAAATCGGACGTTCGTTTGCGGCTAAGTTTTGTTTCTACCCAGATTTCAACGACGCTGTGAAGGGATGCTACGGAAGAGTAAACATTGGCGTAGACAAGCGCAGCGGACAAACAATGTATCGTATGGTGAAAATCGAGAGAGTATTCCAACAAAAACCATACAACATGGGCAAATTTTTTACCAATCAATACCTAGGGGTTACGCAAGGAAGAGATCGTAAGGTTTTTCAAATGAGTTTTTTCAGTGACGGGCCCATTACCCAACCAGAATTCGAGCGTTACGTCAAATCTTTGGAGAAGCAAGACATCAACAAACCGTCCATCTACACACTAAACAACAAGTCAAACGAAATTCACTCTTTTGTTTCACAGCCGTTGACCCCTAAGCTCACCGATGAACTTGTGCGTAATCGTATGCTTTTCAACAAGAAACTTACGGGTACCAATGCTGTGTTAGAGAAGACAGTGCTAAGGGACAAATTGCAGCATGCAAAAGAGACAGGTATTGAAAGAGATGTGGCGAAATATACATCCCAATTAAAGAACCTCGAAAAACGTTTGTCGTCGTACGAGAAGCACCACGAGAATGACCAGGCTGGAATGAAGAAGTTGGGCGCCCTTACCTCCAAAAACAGAAGAGCTAATCTGGATAAGGGAAATACTGCAGAGGTTGTCAAAAAAGAAGACACACCATTTGATGCAAAGATTGACCCATTTAGCAGGTTGAAGACTAGGACTAAAATCTACTACCAGGAGATGCAAAGAGAGGAAAATGAGAAGGCAAAAGAACTTGCTCGGCAAGACCAGCAGGAAAAGAGTGCAGCCGAAGTCGCAGAGAAGGAGCGCATGCTACTTTCAGCCAGGTTCAAAAATCTAGGTGGGCTAGAGGAAATCATCAGCGGTATTGATTTCCAGCTCAACTTGGACTTTTGAAGACCATTAGCGCCAAAGTCTGTTGTTAAGTAGTATAAATTTAGAGTCGGCTTGATTAAATTTTATGCTAATGTAGAATCTCGAAGGCCTGTGTAATTTTATTTCCTTTGGACCATACTTTCCGACTCTTACTATCGATAGAAAACTTTATCTAACGTTAACCATGCAAAGATAGGTGATGTTATCAAATGAGCAGGTAGGCGAACGAGTTTCGCGTCTAACTTTTGAGTATTATGAGAAGCTCAAGGACAGTGGGAAACCTACCACACGATCCAATGGTGCGAAAGAATGGACTGTTTTATCTTCAGTAGTTGCCATTGATGAAAGCGCAGAGAGTATAAGACTGATCTCACTTGCGACAGGCGTTAAGGCAACACCAAACTTGGAGCTGGGTAGAAGTGATGGCAAGATTTTACACGACTGCCACGCAGAAATACTTGCAGTTCGTGGATTTAACACTGTTTTGATGCGCCAGGCCATAATGTTGCAGGATGGCCGGCATTCGGAAGCAGATTGTGATCTGATAGAAAAATCCACCGAGGGGTTGGCTGTTAAAGGGTCGTGGAGTTTTGCACTTTATGTTTCAAGAGCTCCTTGTGGAGATGCTAGCATGGATTTGCTCAAGAGCGACGATTCTGCCTCGTTTACGGAAGACGATCACTGTCAGTACGCAGATCCAAATGTGAAAACTGTGTTACGGGGCCGCTTCAACTACAAAAAGAGGGGTTTTGTCCGAACTAAGCCTGGTAGGAAAGATTCCAGTGTAACTTTGTCGAAATCTTGCACAGACAAGCTTTGCTGTCGTCAATTTCTGTCGTTGTTCAACGCCTTGAACTGGGATCTTTTCTTGCAACCGGTTTTCTTGAAATACCTGGTAGTGCCGCAGGTCACCGAAGCACTCAAGTCAGGTTTTAATAGAGCCTTCAATCAAAGAATCTCCACGGTCCCCATAGCGCATCATCTGAAGCTAATATCATGCGAAAAATCATTCTCTAGAGATAAAACTGACGACAGCCAGGTTCCGGCATTTTTAGGAGCAGTTCTTTTACATATTTCGCCGGCCCTGGCATTGGAACAGCAGTGCATAGTAAACGGAGTAAAGAATGGGTCCTACGTGAAAGCTCCCAAGCCACTGAGAAAACGCTGCGAAACTGTTGTTAGTCGGGCGAGTCAATGGAGCCTATACAAGCGTTTAAAACAAGTAGATGACCACGTTACCTACTGCGATTTTAAGAATCGACAGTTGGGTAGAAATGCTCTCAAACTAAAGATCCGCTTGGCACTATCGAGCGATGGGTGGGTACCTACAAAACACGACGATTGCATTTGAACCCTCACCAATTTTCTATGTATTTTCTATACGCCACGAACTAATGCCAGCACTCTGCAGAATAAGCGACAAGAGTTTCTCTGAAGATCACCAGCACCTACTTAGCCCAGCAGCGCTAATCCTCAGGACCATCGTCTATCAGCTCTGCGTCCTCTTCATTTACCACGCCCTGAGAATCTGCGGCGAGCTCTGCAGCCTGGAGTATGTCGATCAGGTTATCCAGGTCGGGACCATGGACCAGGTCCAAAGGTTTCTGGCCCGCCTTGTTGGGAACTCTAGGATCGGCCCCCACTTCTATTAGATTTTGCGCAATAAACGTACCATGCTCGGGCTCCGTTAGAGCATAACGCACTGCTACATGCAATGGTGTGTCTCCGTCGATCTTATTACGAGAGTCAATCTCAATTCCCCCTTCTTGGTCAAGAATCTGGTCTAGCACGTCCCAGGATCCATACTGGCAGCACAAATGGATGCTGGAGTTCCCCGTAGGATCCGAAGCCGAGTTGATTAGCTCGGCGATCTGCTTTTCATGCGAACCCAATGCTTGAAAAACTGTCCCTAGCAAATCTACATTGTTGCGTCTTGATGCATCAAGCAGCTGCTCTTGTAATGAGGCACCTTCTGTCATAATACTCCACGGCTCTCAATTATTATAGCCTTTCCAGTAAGGAGGTGTTTAACTTTCCTTAAGTCTTAATATTGAGATACTTTTTGAAAGATAGGTATTTATCAAGAAAGGGCAAAAGCCTTCGCCAGAAAAGCTGACTTGTAGGACAGTGGGACGTTAGTTTAATGCTTAAGTTGTTAAGGCAGTGCCTACAATATTTTTTTCGACGTTGAGTGAATAGCATATCATGCCTCTTGAAGATTGATATTCGATTCACTGGTAGCAAGGGTAGTCTCTTACCATCGCGATCTTAAGGTGCAAGCGCCATGAGCCAATAGCCCCGAACCACAAATGATAAGCAAATAGTTGACATTGTTCATCTAGTCTTATCCAAAGTCTGTAGAAATGGTATGGTTCGACGGAGAACGCTGAGTGCTTGTTTACTAAGAGAAAACTAGAGTCTCCTGATGAGTACCCGAGCCTCAAACAGTTGAACTAACATGACTTGCTTGTTCGAGTTAGGTTCGGGATTTGGGAGCCTTTTGAAATATGATGCCGTTGACCATGAAAGAACGTCTCAATTATGAAGTGATCAATTTATTAAATATTACCAACAACTCAGCACCAACTCACAGAAAAATGGCTTCTTTCAGCCGACAGGAGCTGGAAAGTGCGATTGCAGGTGGGCAGTCACCCGACAACGCTGTACGAGAGCACAATGAGGGCTTTTTGCAGCAAAAAATCGCTGAAAACCCAGCATTAGGGTGTACTCAGTTAATGGAGTTGGCTCTCGATGGTGAAATTAGGCTTGAAAATCGTCTATTCACATTACTGCTGCTGCGCAAACTCATTACCATGTATTGGAGTGCTGGCTTTGAGTCGTACCAGGGCCCGCCGGGTATTGGGGCAGAGGGTAAGAATTTTATTAGAGATGCACTATTAAGAATGGGCCTGGACGAGAATCAAAACTCGAGGCTAACTGCCGCTTGTTGCTATTGTGTTGTGCAAATAGCGGCTGTTGACTTTCCGGATGAGTGGCCAGCTTTACTGGAGACAATCTTTGACGCTGTTGTCAATAAGCGGTCGCTGAGCGCTCTCCAACTGTTAATCGATATATTCGATGATATTGTCTCAGAAGAAATGTTTTTCCAAGGAAGTATTGGATGGACGTCAATACAATTGGTAACAGAACTACTAGAGAACCCAGACTTTCCACTTAGTGTGAAAAAGCTTGCCGGAAAATTGTATTTGAACTGCCTAGGATATCTGCAGTTGCCTGCTGCTAAAGCCACAGATCAGCTGAAAGAATCTCTACTTAACCATCTTCAAAAAATCGTGGACGTCCTTATAAGTAATGTTCGCTGCTACCAAGATTTCGATCTTTCAGACCTTGCCGTGCTAGATCTCCTTCAGGTCATTTACGAATGCTTGAATACCATCAAGACATCGTTTCCTCAAAAAACTTTGTCTGAGAGTGTTATTCACCAGATTATGGGATTGGTGATTGGTGGATGGTCTCGTGTCAGCTACATGCTCGAGATGAAAGGGCCCCAATATGAAACTGACACTAACAATTCTCTAAACAGCTTGGGGCGCGAGCTGATAATCACCCTTGGCTCCATGAATACTGATTTTTTCGACGAACTTCAACTCGAAAGCGTTGTAAAAAGCTTAATATCATCCTGTCTCTTGACGAATGATGAAATTGAGACGTGGACAGCTGATTTCAACTCGTTTGTGAATGTAGAGGAATGTCTCGGTGGAAATTTTCGAATGAGAAATGACTCAGAAGAGTTTTTGGAAGACCTCACAGCTAATAATAGCCAGCGGGTCCTAGAGGTATTGCTAACAGTCTTTTGCAGCCTAGAGGCCAATGACTGGAGGAAGCAAGAGGCGATATTATTTTTGGTGGGAGCTATTTGTGCAAATGATGAGGATGTCTACAGTCCGCAGATCATAAACCTCCTTATATACTTGAATCAGAGGTTGTCGACTTCGGACCACGGGCTGCACGCACTACTAATGAGTCGCATATTTATTGTGCTACCAAAGATATTACTTTCAAGTAAGGACCGGATGGACGATTTTCAGGGTGCCGTAAACTTTTTTGTGAAGTCACCTATCTCAATTGCATGCAACACTGAGGAAGACTTACCAAAAATTGCCTGCTTGATGGGGTTTACGGACTACTGCAGATCCTCCCTACTAACCACACTACCACCGAATGAGATCAATGACGTAAGAGGTCAAGTTTGTCAGATGATTGAGGACCTTGGTTCAGATAGTGAAGATGATACAATCAGTGTTTTGCTAGAAGCCCTGACAAAGGCATCCTCACTGGAAACAAATGATAATAAAAACGGACCATTCTATCACAGCGCCCTAAAACTTTTGCTCCATTTATCAGCCAAAAGTCCTTCTGATGTTCAAGTTGTTGTAGCAGCGGAAGAATGTTTATCGAAGATTTTGAAGGGGGCCAGTACAGATGTATATGTTGAGTATTCCAAAACTTGCATTCCGTTGTTCGTCCATACCCTAAATCGAATGCTTCAACAGAGAGTCAGTTATTCACCTGTTGCCTGTCTGTCTTTAGAACTTCTCAAAGTGTTCATGAAAAGGAAGCCGACGGATGGATACGTGCCTGCTAATATTAGCAATTACATTTTGCAGCCGCTAATAGATGTTTTACTTGCTTCCTCGGACGATGCCATTTCCCAACTCTCGTCTCATTGCTTGACCTACTTAATTCAAAATTCGCCAACCGAGGAAATTGTTCCTCACTTGCACTCGATCATGAGCGCACTTGAAAAGCTTCTATCGCTTGACACTTCGGATTCTGGTGCCATGAACGTGGGACCTCTAACTGTAATTGTTTTAGAGAAATTCTCGGATGAATTGAAGGAATTGTTTTTCCGGATTTTGGAAGCTGCTACTAAGAGATTCGTTGACGCTCAGAATATTTCCACTTCAGAGAACTTGATTTTTGTATTTTGTTTCTTGGTGACCAAAAATCCGAGTGACGCCATCGGCTTTTTGTCATCCTTCAGCATCGGTGATACAAATGCGTTACAAGCGGTCATTCCGAAATGGTTAGAAGCTTTCGAAATCGTTCGCGGCAATAAAAGGATCAATATGAATATCAAGGCCTTATCAAAACTATTTCTTCAGGCGGATAGTAGACTTGCTAATTTGATGGTGAATGGCGAGCCACTTCCATACAGCGGGAACCTGATTGTGACAAGATCTATGGCCCAAAAAATGCCCCAGGAATACACTCAGATATCTGCAAATGAAAAAATGGTTAAACTTTTTGTTGCAGAATTAGAATTCCAGTCTAAGGAGCGCAATATGGCCAAGTATATACCTACAGGCATAGGACAATCCGAAGCAGAGGCGGCTGGCGGGGAAAGTGACGGGGCAAACAACGAAGGTGATAGTGGCGATTGGGAGGACGTTGATAGTATTTTAGAATATGAAAAACTCCAGGAATGCTTGGAAGATGAAAGTGATTATGAAGGTGATAATTGGGATTACGACTACGATGATGACAGCTATGGAAGCTCGTATGATGGAAGTGAACCGCGCGATCTAGATGGGGACGAAGCTTCAAAAGATAAAACGGCAGAGCCAACTACAAGGGAACTGTTAACAGAGTTTTTTCGCGAAGCTGCGTCGAAAAACATTAGTCATTTCCAAGCAATCTACGGAAGACTATCTGATCATGAGAAAAGGGTTCTCTCTGAGAATCTGGTTTAATACGGCCCGTTAATAAAAATTGCCTTCCATGGAGGCAGGTAAACAGATAGCGTGCACCTTGAATATATCAAGTGGGGTTACGACTCATCGACAGCGCTTATGAGCTTGTCTTTGATAGAAAATGAGAGTTTTTCTATCATGCTGGCTACAACTCCCAAGCGCCGAATGCCAATTGCTTTTCTGACCGAACGTCTACTTTTTTGTAATGGAAACCTCGAAATATAGAGTAGTTCACAACATTTTGCGTGTGTGATATCGGGCGTCGTAGTTATTTTTTACGACTAAAGCAATTATAAAATCTTGGCTACACATCAGAGCAACGCTTGCTTTTATCCAGTCTCAATCTTCTCTATTTACCTCTACCTTTTCCGGACCCTTTCTAGGTCTTTTTTATAGGTTTTTCTAGCCCAGGTTTCGTAACATCTAGAGAATCGTTTTCATACTGAAGATCAATATCCATTTTTTGTCAATACTTTGACCCATAGAAAAAGTTCCTAGTCATAAGGCTTCTAGAAATGACTGACTCCTTACTTAACTATGCACCCATCGTTTCTGTCGTCAATAATTTCTGTCGTTCTACAACGGGCCATCGTCTACAATACAACCTTTAATCATATCGAACGTAAAGGCAGTCAATCGCTCGTAAATAGATCGGCATCGTTCTGATGAAAACGATGATATCAAGAGAAAGCGACAATCACGGAAGATGCCTCAATTCGAACATTTATTGCCAACCAATGGTGACTGGAAATTAGATATTACCCGCTGGCTGCAAGAAGATGTACCAAGCTTTGACTTTGGTGGATTTGTCGTTGGGTCAGCTGCCAAAAGTGCTACCCTTTGGATGAAAGAACAAGGTGTTTTAAGTGGTATCCCTTTTGCCCAGGAAGTTTTCGATCAGTGCAAGCTTAGGGTGGAGTGGTTGGTTTCGGAGGGAAGTGAACTGTCGCCCAAAAAAGGAGAGAAAATAGCCATTGCTAAAATCCATGGCGAAGCTCGTAATATTCTATTGGCGGAGAGAACAGCTTTGAACCTTCTCAGCAGAAGTTCAGGAATAGCCACCGCTTCAAGGAATTTGATTAACGTAGCACGTGAAGTAGGGTACGGGGGGGTAATTGCTGGAACTCGTAAGACAACACCGGGCCTTCGGAGACTGGAGAAATATTCTATGCTTGTAGGTGGCTGTGATACACACAGATACGATTTGTCATCTATGGTGATGCTAAAGGACAACCACATTTGGTCTACAGGGTCCATCACTCGCGCCGTTGAGGACGCGCGCTCTGTGTGCGGGTTCGCAGTCAAAATTGAGGTTGAGTGCCAATCAGAGGCGGAAGCAGACGAAGCGATTTTGGCTGGGGCAGACGTTATTATGCTAGACAACTTCTCCGGACAAACCCTGCAAACTGCGGCCCTAAACCTTAAGCAAAGATGGGCGGGGAAAAAAAGCTTCCTGTTGGAATGCAGTGGTGGCTTGAAGCTCAGCAACATCCGTGAGTACTTATGCCACGATATAGATATCTACAGCACCAGTAGTATCCATCAAGGAACCAGTGTTGTTGACTTTTCTTTGAAAATTAACGTCGAAGGCCAGTAGCCTATGGAGAAGATATTTTCGCCTTAAACGGTAACTAACTTCGATTTAACGATCAAGAAAACTGAGGAATAGTGGTTTAGAGCTACGAATCAGCCTTCCGCGATTTTTCTGGAATGACAACAGTCAGTAGCTTGGCGGGAGCTTCGAGCCTTGTATATCGTTTTGTACAAATATGTCATCAGTAGCTAATGAATGCAAATGTTATTGTGCTACGCCATCTTTAACAATATTTCAAACACTCACCTAAAAGGCGGAGGGCTATCAATTCTTTTAGAAACTAATTTGAACGTTCCGGAAGTCAGTTTCAAGTGAATTCGAAGTGACAATGTCATGACTCCCTTAAAAGAGCAACTTGAGCACTTTTTACCAACATTGGACTTCCAAAATGCATCCCAATTTAGTCGAATATCCCAAAACTTAGTGCTCGACGACGGCTATAGTCAAACTGACAATGAAGGAGTCAAGTATTTATGTGGCTATAACGAAATGGATGAGCGTGAAGAAGAACTTACCCAGGAAATGCTGTTGTCGAGATTTAGTGAAGGTCTGCAGCATATCGACACTCAAAGTCTCATAAACGTCACTAACTTGGCATTTTGGAAAGCATCCTCACAGAAAGAAGGCTTTCATATATCACATGCATTGGATGATAACCCGAATAGTTATTGGCAAAGCGACGGCTCGCAACCGCATTATATTGAAGCAAACTTCAGCAAGCGCGTTGAAATTATTCAGTTGGCGTTATTTCTATCGGTGATAGTTGATGAATCTTACACCCCGCAGATTCTCAAAATTTACGCTGGCCATAGCTCGTCTGATTCCACGCTGTACAAGACTCTTGAAGTCCGCAATCTCAATGATTGGGTTTTGTTGACGTTTGCGGATAACAGGCCACAAGATAAACTCCTCAAATGTCAGTATCTACGCATTGACATCCCCGTCAACCACGAAAATGGAAAAGACACACATCTGCGCGGATTAAGAGTCTACACCCCATACCTGCGAACGGCGGTTGAGAAGTCCTTCGTGGTGGATTCTCTTTCAGTTGGAGAGGTCTTCTCGGGATTTACACTGCGATAATAATCGTTTATATTTTTCACAGGGTAGGAGGTCCATGTAACCATTTGATCTACTATGCTCTATTTGATCGTATACGCTTTCTCTTTTTGCAGAACTTTGGTCAGCTTTTCTAACATACCCTTCAATAATTCAAACAAAAAGAAAAACCTTAAACGACGGATTTCGGGCAGCCCGAAACTACGAGCCAAAGTTTTACCCAAATTTGTCCAAAGTCAAAAGGTTGCAAAGTATTTTTGAATTACAACACAGCGACAAAAAATGCGGCTTGCATTTTAGAGTGCTGGGCAAAAAATCTAATAGTACTTGCAAATACACTCTAGAAATATCTCAATATTTCAATGAGGCAAGTGCCGCCCCTATATCAGTCAATTTTAGAGGGCCTCGTAACACTGTGCTTTAAGTCAATAGAAGTGAACGTTGCCAGAATTGCAAGCTTGATTTGAGGTTAATAAAACTAAGGTGAAAATCGTGCTCTGTGTTCCACAAGCAAATTACCTATTGACTGCTGAATCAATAATTTCTAGCATATATAGAGTTTTTTGAAATCACATAAAGAAGTAATTTTCGATTTGCGTCAACTCTTCTCATACAAACTAAAAAAAGGTTAAGCTTGCGTCAGCTGAAAGTCAATTATACCAGCTCAAGAATAGCTCTACATTATACCACAAGACGAATTCATGCCTCTCACGGCTCACTACTCTAATATTCTACTATTTCCAAAGAATCACTATAATATTTTGTGACGTTCATCAAGCCGTTTTTAGTTAGTGTTTATGAATTCTTATATACTTAAAAATTTGAACCTTAGTGACATGATACTGATCATTATCGAAGGTTGAGTGTTGAACAAAATACTTCTTATAAAAGCCTTGGAAGAACTCAATGGCCGACTTAGAGTCAATTGCACAATTTCTTTCACAGTCTGTGGTGGCATCAACTGCCAAAACGGCAGAAGCTCATTTAAAGGCATTGGAAACTCAAAATGGTTTCTCTATAACATTGATGCATGTTATTGCATCCGGAAACCTACCACTGGCCACCAGACTTGCAGGTGCCCTTTTCTTCAAAAATTTCATAAAGCGCAAGTGGGTGGACGAAAACGGCACGCACTTGCTTCCACAAGCTGATGTCGAGGACGTCAAGCGCGAAATTGTTCCTCTTATGATTGTTCTACCAGGTAATCTTCAAGTTCAGATCGGAGAGGCCATCGCTGTGATCGCAAACTCAGATTTCCCCCACAAGTGGCCGAACCTTTTGGACATTCTAATTGAGAAGCTCTCGCCTGACGATATGGTAACTAACCGGGGTGTTCTAACTGTCGCTCATTCGCTTTTTAAGAGGTGGCGACCACTTTTCCGCACCGATGAATTGTTTTTGGAAATCCAGTTTGTACTCGATAAATTCGCCAGTCCCTTTCTCACCTTGCTGAAGAATGTTGATGAACAGATCATGTCCAATAGCACTAATCAGGCTAAGCTCAACCTCCTATTCGATGTTCAGTTGATTTTGGTAAAGCTATATTACGATCTCAACTGCCAGGATATACCAGAATTTTTTGAAGATAACGTTCAATCTGGTATGGGAATCATGCACAAATATTTGGCTTATGAAAACCCTCTTTTAGAAGATCTCGATGAAGAAGACCAGCCCAGTGTAGTGACAAAAACAAAAGCAGCTATCGAGGAGCTGGTTCAGTTATACACTACGAGATATGAAGACGTTTTCGGCCCCATGGTCAGCGAATTTATCCAAACTACTTGGAACCTTCTTACCAGTCTGTCGCCGCAAGGTAAGAATGACGTTTTGATCTCGAAATCTTTGCACTTTATGACTGCAGTGACCAAAATTCCAAAATATTTTGAAGTATTCAATAATGAGGCTGCGCTGAACAGTATAACTGAGCAGATAATTTTACCTAATGTCACATTACGCGAATCGGACGAAGAGCTTTTTGAAGATGATCCGATTGAATATATCAGAAGAGATCTTGAAGGATCTGATTCGGATACTAGAAGAAGAGGTTGTACCGACTTTCTGAAAGAGCTAAAGGAGAAAAACGAGCACCTTGTGGTATCCATCGTTCTCGGGCATATGAAGACATTTTTTGCCAAATATCAGGAGGATCCCGCCAATAATTGGAAATACAAGGATTTATGCATTTACCTCTTTTCTACTCTGGCAATAAATGGCAGTGTAAGTAACCCAAGAGTGTCATCAACAAGCATTTTACTAGACGTCATTGAGTTTTTTTCCAAGGAAATATCCCCAGATTTAATCGGCGAGGTTCCTCATCCGATACTCAAAGTGGATGCCATAAAGTACATTTATACCTTTCGGAACCAACTGAACAAGAGCCAGTTAATTCAAATTCTACCTATTTTGGCAGATCTTCTGCAATCCGATCAATTTGTGATATACACATATGCTTCTATCACTATTGAAAGAATTCTATCCATTAGGGAATCTCACACATCAGCCAACCTCCTTTTCAAAAAATCAGACCTTGCTGGAAGCTCACAGGTTTTGCTGACGAACTTGTTCCGCTTAGTATTCAAACAAGGTCACTCTCCTGAAAAATTAGCTGAAAATGAATTTCTGATGAAAACCGTATTCCGAGTTCTTACCACAACTGAAGAACTGTCAGCACCTTTTGCACCTGAAACAGTTCACCAACTCCTGGAAATAGTGTCTATCATATGCAAGAACCCTTCCAATCCGCGCTTTTCTCACTATTGTTTTGAATCGCTGGGGGTAGTACTGAGGTTCAATGAGCAATCAATACCTGAATTTTTGAACTTGCTGATGCCAAAATTTTTGGAAATACTCTCAGAGGACGTCCAAGAGTTTATACCGTACGCCATCCAATTAATTGCGTATTGCATCGAGCAGCTTCCTTCCGGGAGCGCTCTGCCTGAATCGGTATCTCAGCTCTCACAACCAATCCTATCTCCTTCGGTTTGGGAAATGAAAGGCAATATCCCTGCCGTAACCCGACTTTTGAAAGATATCATTCGTGTCGATCCCAACGCCTACCCAGACTTAGTTCCTGTCTTGGGAGTGTTCCAACGACTAATTGCATCTAAGACATACGATGTTAATGGCTTAGAATTGCTAGAGTACATCATTTCCTTCATGCCAATGGAGAAGGTTCAACCTTATATGAAGCAAATTGCCGTTCTTTTACTTCAACGCTTGCAAAACTCAAGGACAGAGAAGTATATTAAGAAGTTCGTGGTCTTTTTGAGCATTTTGGCTCATAGACGAGGCTCTGATTTGATTGTTGACTTCATCGATGAGGTTCAGGCGGGATTGTTTCAGCAAATATGGACTGCATTTGTTATTAACACGCTTCCAACCATGGGAAATTTACTGGACCGGAAGGTTGCGATCATTGGTATTTTGACGGTAATAACCAGTGGAAGCCAATTCAATTCGAAATATTCCCATCTTTTCGCATCATCTTTAGAAGTGTTGGTTGAAACAACAGCTTCGGAAAGTATTGTAAATATGAACACAGACTATGTGGACCTCGAAAACTTAGAAGAAATAACCACTTTTGGATCGAGTTTCAGCAGGTTGAGCTCAATCGGGGAGAAGAGTTTCGATCCTTGTCCGGAGGTAGATCTCACTGCTGGTGTCAGAAGTTATGTGAAGGACGCATTATTAGCATTTAACGAGAAGACTAATAATGGCCTCGTTAGCCTCGCACCACAGTTATCAGAAAGTGCTAAGGTAGCCCTGCATACGTTGGGATTTGGTTGAATAGCTATATAAGTTCAATATAAGAACATGGTTCCATGCATTAATGTCGTACTATTTTATTGTCTACTTGCTCTACTTCCCCTTCAGAACTTATGGACGGCTTTCTAGAGTGAGGAGGTTGAATGGGTTCTACTGCCGTAGGCTTACGATTGTCTCTCGTGACGTCAGCACTTGGGTCCTGTTGTTGGATGTTCAACACGGGCGGAGGGTCTTCAACTTGCTTTAGCTCGGCAATTTCAGCAGCTGTAAGAAATCGTCCACCTTGGCCTCGCGGGCGGCGCATTGCATGCTTGTGTCGTGATTCGTGAAGGTAGGGCCTTCGTTCGCGAGAGATTTTCAAGTCTTCCTCCAGCTTGGCTCTTGCGTAACGTCTTTTCAGTATACGATAATATTGCTTTGCATTCACATAAAAAGGCTGTTCTACAGGCTTAGAGCTAAATGAGCCCCCCATTGTCGTTCCTGCGACTTGCTCCATTTCCGGCTGCGTAGATAAATTATGATTTCCTGCAGATGTAAGCCGTAGATCTTCGTGGGTTTCGCCCGATCGGGCGCTCTGAGTTGTGCGCGGATTTTCGACTGGTTTGATGGAAACTCCCGTAATTTCCGCGTCATGAAGCCGAATTTGCAATTCCTCGTGGGGTAAGTTGTTGTCGGTGCCTAGTGCGTCGATTGTACTGCTATGCGTCTTGTTACTGTTGTCTACTCCAGGCAAAGGTTGTCGTTCCGACCGCACTTGCGGCTGGTCGTATAAGTAGATGTCCGAGGGATCCTCCTCACTGCTCATAGGTGTTTCTAATTCTTGGGGGGGCCTACTGGCCCTGTTATCTGTTCTGTCAGGCCCATCTTTTTGCAATTCACTGGTGTCAGTGAAATGGCTCAGACCCGAATCCAATTGATTGTAATCTCGCGGCGAATCCATTTTAATAAGTTGTCTTACTGTTCATATCAATCTCTACCCATAAAAAGTCTTGATTCAAGACCTATGGCGGCTATCGATTGACAATTTTGAAGAGGGTCTGCTAGCTCTTCTCTCATTGGACAGTTTGAAATTTTTGAATATTGATTATAAATTAATTAAACGATGAAGATCTGAGATAATCTCATATTGGTGTCAAGGACCACACAAGTCGCAAGTTGCTGAGCATTGTTGCTGAGTATTGTGTTATTAGGTTTACTATGTTTGAATGATTTGAATAGGCAATCTTTATTTTGCCTTTTGTAAATGCCGAAGCATTATTAGAACAATTTCCGAGAGTCAAGATTTAAACAATGCACGATGCTGCCTCTGGACCGGCGCACCAGAAAAATCAACTTCGTGAATTAAGCAGCTTACTTTTCCAGCAACGTTTGGGAGACCGACGTTCGGAGTCGAGAGAATCAAATTTCGGAGATGACCCTAGTGAAGCCAGCGGACGAGGTTCGTACACCACAGGTGCTATCCTCAGTGAAGGCGCCAAGGACACGTCTTCACAAACGAGCAAAAGGCCGCTATCTCAGTCAATTAGTTTCTCCACTAATGCTGTGCGGCTAAAGCGGCCCAGGACACATTTGGAAACGCTGAGTCTTGAAATCCAGGAGGATTCTAGCGTACCCAGAAGTTTAGCTACTCCGTCTCACGAAGACGGCGTTCCGGAAAGTTTCAATGGCGCACCGCGTATGAGGAACTCCAGTGACTTTGGGGAAGTGCCAATTGCAGAGGAAACGTTCGTTGAAGAACACACACTTGATGAAACGTTGCCGTTCACCAGCAACCAAGCACCAAGCATGCAATTTGATGCAGGCATTACGCCCATCCGCGGCACAGAATCCATTAAGAGCCGTATCAATGACCAGCATAATAGCCCGCATACTTCGAAGAGCATATCTTCTAGAGAGAGGCCACTTAGCTGCAAAGACATTTCAAGTATTTTAAGGCTATTTCTCCTTCCCACATCATCCAGTTTAGCTCGTGATGCCAGACTTGAACTCCACGATTTTTTATCAGATGAATCGTATCCCTCTCTGTCACAGTTACCAGAAGGTGGTGGCAAGGCAAATGTTGATGAGGTGTCGACTTTTCTTCAATATTATAATCTTCTTCCAGAAAGCTGCACCCCCTTACAATTTTTTGAGTTTAGCAGCGAATATCTTTGCGCTGAAGATCTCACGTTTCTAGAAAATATACTTTTTACATGATCGAAGTATTTACATAATGCCTATTTTCTATCGTTGTCAGTGGCAATTTTGTTAAGGTTGTGTTGCCTAAACCTTGTTAATTTGTATAGTTCAAAAAGTGACGCTGGTGTGATGCCTTGTATCCTTCTGGCTTGCCCAATGGTGGCCGGCTGAACTAAATTTAAAATTCCTTTGCACTCAGAGCTGAGGGAAGGCATGCTAGAATAGTCGAAGCCCTGCGGCAGTGTCATGTTTTCGTCAGCCTGAAAAGCTCTAATGTACTGCTCCTGTTTCTTGATGTAAGGAGCGTATTTTCCCTCAACATTGACTTTAAGTAAAACGTGTTTCGGGATCTGGGAATTGTCACTCTTAAGATCCGGGACATTGCTCACTAAACGCTCGTAGTCCACCCCTGTAAATCTGAACATTTCCCACGCGGTTCTATTTCTCGCACTGTCAGCCACGGGAAGTCCTAGAACATTTTCCCATTTTCTGGCACTCAGTTCGAAAGTTGATAACTTGGTAACAATCTCAGTGAACAGCTGCTTATGGGACTGAAAGCTTCTCCATCTTTCATCGCTGATCACGCCAGCTTGCCGCGCAAGCGGTGTCAGACGAAGATCAGCATTATCGGCGCGAACACTTACACGAAACTCAGATCTAGAAGTAAACATTCTATAGGGCTCTTCAACACCCTTGGTAATCAAATCGTCAATCAAGACGCCAATGTAACCGTCTGATCTCGAAAGAATAAAAGGCGGTTTCCCCTGGTTGGCCAAACCGGCGTTGATTCCTGCAACGATGCCTTGCGCACAAGCTTCCTCGTACCCTGTGGTACCATTGATTTGGCCCGCCAAAAAAAGACCAGTTACGGGTTTTGTTTCCAAAGTGGCGTGCAGCGCGCGTGGATCGATATAATCGTATTCTACCCCGTACGCAGGCTGCAAAATATCAACTTTTTCGAGACCCGGTATCATTCGCATAAACTTCATCTGAACGTCCTCCGGCATTGAGTTAGAAATACCATTGGGATATACAGTGTGAGAATTTAAACCTTCAGGTTCAAGCCAAATTTTATGCGAGTCCTTATCAGCAAACCGTGTAATTTTGGCCTCGATAGAGGGACAGTAGCGTGGACCACGAATGGTTTCTCGTATATGCAGTGCTTGGTGGAAGTTGGCTTTCAAGTACTCGTGAATGGCCGGCGTCGTGTATGTCCCATGACACAGCACCTGGTCTTTGATAGCAACATTTTCATTCACGAAACTCATTGGATGGGGAGGATTATCCCCATATTGTTTTTCCAAATGAGTATAATCAATTGTCCGCCCATCTAAGCGCGCAGGCGTACCTGTTTTAAGCCTTCCAAGCTTGAAACCAGCGTCACGTAAAGTTCCACTGATGCCATAGGTCGGATCTTCACCCATCCTGCCCGCTGGAAAGCTTTTCATACCTATGTGAATTTCAGCACTGAGAAATGTACCTGTTGTGATGACCACACTGGAGGTCTTCAGAATCCTACCGTCTTCTAATATCACACCCACCACTAAACCATGGCTACCGGTTTCCCTGCTTGATTTTTCAGTGTCAATAATCAAATCTTTGACTTTACCCTCATACAGCGTCAAGTTTTTGTAATTCAAGAGCGCCTTTTGCATTTCTGTAAGGTAAATATCTCTATCGATCTGTGCCCGTGGGCCCCACACAGCTGCTCCTCTGCTCTTGTTTAACATCTTGTACTGAATACCTGCTTGATCCGTAACCTTAGGCGCAACACCGTCTAGCGCATCTACTTCTCTGAGGAGCGTTCCCTTCCCAACACCACCCATCGACGGATTGCAGGAGCAGGTTCCGATTTTATCCAGAAATGGCGTTACTAGAACAGTAGAAGCGCCAGAACGGGATGACCCAGCCGCTGCTTCACAGCCAGCATGTCCGCCCCCCACAACAACCACTCCGGAGTCGGGAATTTTTCCTAATGTAGCCCGCAACTCAGCATTCAAACTAAGATTCCTCCTTATAATCTTGAAAGCTGCGATCTTCGATCGCAGCTTTTGGCAAAACATATCTTAAGTAGATGAAGAATCCCAAACCAAAAAGCCTTGAGCTAGTGTTAGACCGAACTTTTCACGAAGAATACACTTTCTTGGTCCGTAACTTAAGATGTGAAATGCCGATGAGCTTGACGACAGATTACTCTGAAAAATTATAGATCATAATAGTAGAGACAAACTATAAGTGACACAATGTCGCTAAACGACATGTCCCAAAGAGCATCGATGTTGAATTTGATGCCAGCCAGATGAAGCATTGCCGAGAGTTTGTTTCAAATATAATACGATCGCCTTTGAAAGACATCCTAGACGCCGTGTGAGTAATTCTAATTATGAGCCTGTGATAGCCGCTGACCGCTGAATCAAATTGAACGTTGACGTGCTCTTCTGTTATAGGCTAGCAGGCTTCTGACAATGAAGCGACCAATCTAATCTACTACACTTGTCTCGAAGTACAGAGAACCAAGACGGGGTCCGCAACCATGCTTGTATTGTGCTTCCAGGCCTGCAATAACTTCTTGGCAGTTCACGATGGGACCCAAGCTCCTGTCTACAACATAAAGCTGCTGCTTTTTAGATCAGGAAGACGATTATATTCTACTATATGCCATGGGAGTCCTCATTAGCCCTCATATCCGGCAACTGCTATTGAAAAAGTGGCTATACAATACAGAAAGTGCTACCAAGCCTCAAAGGGCCCGCCGCTGTTGTCCGCAAACTGCATAATCAGAAACTACCACGGCAAGAGACACCTCATTCTTTACTATCATTGGGCCCAGTTTCTCTGGCGCGTCAGCTAAAACGAAAGATATGGTTTGATCTGATCGCCGCTTGAACCACATTTCTCTTACACGAAGTCTGAGCGGATGGCAACATGGCACACGAGAACCTGCGAGCACACTCGACTCGTCTTTGGCGTGTTCTTCGTGCGTAATGCTCCTGCAGGGATTCCCTGACCTCTACCGATTGAATCGTTGACTCGTATTCGATGTGAAAAATTACCTTCATATTAGCATCCTTATGAGATGACCACTGAGTTAATATATTAATTCTGGTTAATTGGACTAGTCATCGAAACCAGTATTTATTACAGAGCACTCTACTGGCCACCTCTTCAGTACTTCAACAGAAGGGACAACACTAAGATTGGTAAGGCGAAAGTACTTCTAGAACCGGTTCTACTGAAGGGATTAGTTTAACTATAGTCAAGGATGGCTCTAAACATTTTGGTATTAGGAAATGGTGGTAGGGAGCACGCTCTGGTGTGGAAACTAGCTGTTTCTCCGTCAGTTGCTAAGGTTTATGTGGCTCCCGGTAACGGGGGAACGGCCAAGATTGGTGGAAAAGTGATCAATGTGAGCGATCTGAGCCCCATCCCAGCGCAGTTCGAGGCGCTGCAAAAATTCGCGGTCGAACATGATGTTGGGTTGGTGGTTCCAGGCCCTGAACAGCCTTTAGTGGACGGCATTTCAAGCGTATTTGCCAAGGTCGGAATTCCAGTTTTTGGTCCTTCTTCCAAGGCAGCGCTCTTCGAGGGCTCTAAAACTTTTTCCAAGGACTTCATGGCCAAGCACCACATTCCAACTGCTCGCTATGCCAACTTTGACAACTACGAAGCGGCCAAGGCATACTTGGACAAAGTGGACTACCAAGTCGTGCTCAAAGCCGATGGGATTGCTGCGGGTAAAGGTGTTTTGATTCCTACGTCCACAGAAGAGGCCCAACAAGCTTTGAAAGCCATGATGGTTGAGAGACAATTTGGCGCCGCTGGGGACTCCATTGTTATTGAGGAATTTTTGGAGGGTGACGAGATTTCGATTTTGACCATTTCTGACGGCTACTCGCATTTCAACCTGCCCCCCGCCCAGGACCACAAGCGCGTTGGAGAGAACGACACTGGTCTGAACACCGGTGGTATGGGTGCCTACGCCCCTGCTCCTGCTGCCACGCCTGCTTTGCTCAAAAGAATGGAAGAAGAGGCAATTAAGCCTACCATTGCTGGTATGAGGAAGGACGGATTACCCTTTGTTGGTGTGCTCTTCACAGGTTTTATTCTAACAAAGGATGGTCCTAAAGTTTTGGAGTACAACGTCAGATTCGGCGATCCTGAGACGCAGACCGTTTTGCCATTGCTGTCGGAAGAGACCGATTTGGCACAAGTATTTTTGGCTGCTGCTGAACACAGACTAGATTCTGTAGAAATCAAGATCAAGGAAAACTCTTTTGCAACCACTGTTGTACTTGCAGCCGGTGGATACCCTGAGTCGTATGCCAAGGGTGATGTTATTGACATAGATACCACCCAACTTCCAAAGGATGCATATATCTTTCACGCCGGCACCAAAGAGCAAGACGGCAATGTTGTGACTGCTGGCGGTAGGGTCATCGCTGCTTCTGCTGTTGCCCCAACTCTGAAGGAAGCAGTTGATAAGGCCTATCAAGGGGTCGAATGCATTCAATTCAAGAACAGATATTTCAGAAAAGACATTGCTCACCGCGCCTTCAAAGCGGCGGAAGAGTCTGTTGTGGGGAAGTCTATTACATACGCTGAGGCTGGTGTGTCTGTGGATAACGGAAATTTGCTCGTGCAAAAGATCAAGGAAAAAGTCAAGTCCACCAAGAGAGCTGGTGCTGATTCCGACATCGGTGGGTTTGGTGGCCTATTTGATCTGAAGGCTGCTGGGTACAACACCGATGAAACTTTGCTTGTAGCTGCCACAGATGGTGTTGGGACTAAGCTGATGATTGCTCAAGAGACCAACATTCATGACACCGTCGGTGTTGATTTGGTCGCTATGAATGTCAACGACTTGGTTGTTCAAGGTGCTGAGCCTTTGATTTTTCTGGACTATTTCGCTACGGGTGCCTTGGATATCAAAGTTGCTTCTGATTTCGTTTCCGGTGTCGCTGATGGATGTATAGCTGCGGGCTGTGCGTTGGTCGGAGGCGAAACCTCTGAAATGCCCGGCATGTATCCTGCGGGTCACTACGATACCAATGGTACTGCTGTCGGTGCTGTCAACAAGAATGCCATCCTGCCCAAGGTCGAAAAAATGGCTGCCGGTAATGTTTTGCTTGGTTTGGGGTCTGACGGACTGCACTCAAACGGTTTTTCTTTGGTGAGGAAAATTATCGAAACTGTTGGCCTAGCCTGGGACGACGTGTGCCCTTGGGACTCGTCTAAATCCGTTGGTGAGGCAACTCTAGTGCCCACCAGAATTTACGTCAAGCAACTTCTACCTTCGATCAGGGAGAGTCTACTGTTGGGTTTGGCCCACATTACCGGTGGTGGCTTGGTGGAAAACATCCCTCGTGCTTTGCCAGACCATTTGCAGGCCAGAGTGGACATGAACACCTGGGAGGTGCCTGAAGTTTTCAAGTGGTTCGGAAAGGCTGGTAACGTGCCAACAGACGACATCTTGAAAACTCTCAACTTGGGTATTGGTATGGTTCTGATCGTGGAGAAAGAGAACGTCGTCAGAGTCAAGGAGTTGCTAGCCCAGACTAACGAAAAAGTTTACGAGATTGGTACCCTGGTGGAGAGGGCCACTGGAGCACCCGGTTGTGTTGTCGACAACGCAGTCAACCTATACTAGATGACTTAATAGAAATGAATACTTAGCAAATGTACAATAGTTTTCGAGACGTGATTGATATCTAAAGAACCCTCTCAAAAAGTATGCAATATATTATGCTTGCAAAATATACGTGCTGATAATGACCTGGCACTTTACTTGAGTTAGTCATGATCCATGCTCTTCGGCTTTGCAACCGAGTTCATGAGATTCTCCACGTATTGAAACACCCCAAAAGAGACTCCGCCAGAAAGGCCTACCTTCATGAGTCTTGGTGCCCATCCTTTCCAAAACATGGGTACGCCTTCCTCTACAAAAATTCTGTACGCACAATTCAAAGAGTTTTTGTAATTGAAATACGAGTACTTTGATTGCATGCGAGTCTTGATAACATCAATGGGCTGAGTGACCGCAACTACAGCGCATGAAGACACAAGCCCCAGTGCAAATGCATAGTATTCGTTTAGAGGCTTGTTTGGGGAAATGAGTTGTTTTAAGCTTGTGTAGGTGGTGAAGCGCACCGCAGAGTTCGAGGTCTGACGAATTATAGTGCACACGGCGGCTTGGCCAAATCCACGCACGCCTCGAGTCCGGTACATCTCTTGTATAGTGGTGAAAAAGTTGGAGGAAGGGTGTGATTCGTAATGTAAAAACCACTTTTGACGTGAATGCAACTTTGCTGGTTTGCTCGCGTGGAACCTTGGTCTAGCCTCACTCGTTGATTTTTCCAACCCCGGGTTCTGGCTCCTCAGAGCATTTTCCACCATTGTGGTCTTGATGTTTTCGAAGGGAATGACCAATAGCGATTCCATGAAGCCGGTGATGACTCCGGCAGCCAGTAAACGCGGTCCACTCAGCATGCTCGACCCGCTTTCTGGGTCGCGCAGAAGCTGGCAGGCGCTATCAAACGTGGTGAACCTGGTCGCAGTCTTCAGCAGAGTCCCCACGTTGAGCGCCGCGCAGCCCGCAAAGTACGTTTTTACTTGATGCATCATCTCGAAAGGCGGTGCGCCAGGAAGCGCGCGGTGCAGTTGCAGCCCAGTCTTGAGGAACTCAAACGGATACGACACGGTGGTCTGGAACACCGCCGCCGTGCTTCCCGCCACGATCGACGTGAGCAAAGGCTGAACAGGTTAGTCAATATTACATCCAAGTGGAACGGCACAAAGGCAGCGGAATATCACTTACTTCAGGCATCTTACACGCAGCGTCTCTGCCCGGTTAACGATCTGGTGTTATGCTTCAATCGTGTCTGGCCTACCTGCCATGCAACTTTATTGTATTGATATTCGACATTGCGCTTCCAATACGTTTCTCGTTTGTTTCCAGACCACCATTGCTTCCAATCGCCCCAACAGCGTGTAAATAATATCATTTCCTACCCATTTTCCAGTTTGTTTCCCGTGTGTTTCCAGGTGCCGCTGTTTCCAGTCTCCATTCCCTTCGGCAAGTGGCGACATGCCAAATTCAGTTCCGTGGAACGCGATATTACATGTTTCCTGTTTGTTTCCAGACTGCTTCCCAAATCCACTGCTTCCAGCCTATGTCAAATTGTCTGGAAAAAGACCTTTTGGGCCTACCTTATCAGCTGTGAACCGGCCCCGTCGGCCATTTCACGGCGCTCAAAGGACCAACTACTGCAGTGGACGTTTGACCAGTGTGTCTAGTAAACAACGCCGAAGTAGACTCTGCCGAGCCTTTAACTTAGACAATCTTAGGCGTAGAATTGATTGAGCCAAGTCCGCACGCGGCGAAACAAACATAAGCTTCAGTCAATACCCAGAGCACTCAGCACGTAGTGTATATGTATGTTGAGAAACAGTGGATTGGTAAATCAGAAATTGACACCTTTCAAGTCTCTCACCACTCACAGATTATTGACGAATTCACAAGTGGTGCTCTCAACCATCAAAGTACAGAGTAGACCATCAGCATTGAAACAAGCACACACAAATACGATGTCACAATTAGACGGTAATTTCGATGGGTTGTTCGCCAAGATCGACGAATTGAAGCCCCGCTTCATCGACCGCCTCGCCAAGGCCGTGGCCATTCCTGCAGTTTCTGCAGACGAAAGTCTCAGACCTATGGTTGTGAAAAAAGCTCATTTCCTCAGAGATGAACTGGAAAAGCTCGGATTTCAGGACATTCAGTTGAAGGACCTTGGAGTCCAACCTCCCCCAGTGGAAAACCCAAAACTGCCACTGCCTCCAGTGGTGCTTGCTCGCTACGGCAATGACCCAGCCAAGAAAACTGTGTTGGTTTACGGGCACTATGACGTCCAGCCAGCCGCTTTGGAGGATGGATGGCTTTCCGAACCCTTCACGTTGGTGATCGACGAGGAAAAACAACTTATGCGCGCTAGAGGGTCTTCCGACGACACCGGGCCATTGAACGGATGGCTCAACGTTGTGGAGGCGCACCGCGAACTAGGCCTGGAGCTGCCAGTCAACCTTGTGGGGTGTTTTGAAGGTATGGAGGAGTCTGGGTCCATCGGGCTGGACCAGCTCATTGCCGAAGAAGCCGACAAATATTTCAAAGGTGTCGATACCGTTTGTATCTCGGACAACTATTGGCTGGGTACCAAAAAGCCCGTGTTGACGTACGGTTTGAGAGGCTGCAACTACTACCAAATCATCGTGGAGGGCCCCGGTGCCGATTTGCACTCCGGTATGTTCGGCGGTGTGGTTGCCGAACCTATGATTGATTTGGTGAAGATCTTTAGCTCTTTGGTGGACTCCCAGGGCCGTATCTTGATAAAGGGTATCGCTGAGATGGTTGCTCCTGTGACAGAAAAGGAAAAGGAACTGTACGAAAAGATTGATTTCTCCGTCGAAGAGATGAATGCTGCTTCCGGGTCCCAAACCTGCTTGTATGACAACAAGCCTGAGATTCTTATGCACAGATGGAGATTCCCATCTTTGTCTATCCACGGTGTCGAGGGTGCGTTTTCAACCCAAGGTGCCAAAACCGTGATCCCATCTCGCGTTGTCGGTAAATTTTCTATCAGAACAGTGCCCAACATTGAGTCGGCCAAGCTTGACAAGCTTGTCATCGATCACTGTAACGAGGTCTTTAAATCTTTGGGCTCCCCCAACAGTATGAAAGCCGAGTTGATTCATGACGGCGACTACTGGGTCTCAGACCCTTTCAATGCGTCTTTCACTGCCGCTGCTGAGGCTACTAAAGCTGTTCATGGAGTGGAGCCCGATTTCACCAGAGAAGGTGGCTCCATTCCTATCACACTTACTTTCCAAACTCAACTCAAGAGTAATGTGTTGTTGCTTCCCATGGGCAGAGGTGATGATGGCGCTCACTCCATTAACGAAAAGCTGGATATCAGCAACTACGTTCAAGGTATGAAGACCATGGCCGCCTACTTACACTACTATGGCGCCTCGGAAGAGAAATGAAGAGCAGCGGAACCGGACGTACGTACATAGGTGCAACCTTTTAATTTAAACATGTCTACTTTTCGGTTCGGGTTTCCGATACTCTAGGAAGGGCCTCTGGACGTGGCAGCACGTCTTTGTGGTTCCTTTACACTGCATGTCAGAATGCATCATATAGTTGACATACTCTTATACATCTTGAAATTTAAGATAAAAGAATATTATTATACGCTAAAGGAATTTGAAGGAAAGTCACTGTGACAACTGATAGAGTGCGGCATTCTTCAATCCTTCAATGGAAGCTAATGGGCAAGAACTGGTGTCAGAGGAGCTTCAAAAAGTACTGCTTTCAACGAATTTGTCGCTCTTAAAGTCTACCCTGGACGAAAAGGACGAGAACCATGAACGCTCGATTGGCAAGGAATATGAAGAAGAACTAGAACTGGACGACCATACGCTTAACAGATGGACCCCTTTGCTCCGATCAGCCATCGAACATGAGTCCCTTTCGGTGGTGATGGAGGAATTGTACACCTCCATAGAGACGAACTTTGAAAACCTGGAATCGCAAATACTGCACGATTCACAACTGAGCGACAATCTGACCGTCTCGGTAGACCACATCACCTCTATCAAGGAACTCATTGACCAGTCTCTTCTTCGAGAGGTTGAAGATTTGCAGCTCCAGCTTGCTCATACAACCAACGATGTCATCACTCGCAAGCAAAACTACATCAACAACAAGAAAACATCCACTAAGATTGCAGAATGCATTATTTTAATTAACAAAATATTACAAATCCTGGAACTCTCCAACAAATGCCAAGACCTGATCAAAGATGGTAGTTACTTTAAAGCACTTCAGAGTTTGGGAGGCTTGGAGAAGATATATGTACAGGACTTTAAAAACTACAACTTTGACTTCCTCAAAACCATCTATGCTTCAATATCAGATCTCAAGGCTAAGATAAAAGACGAGAGCATAAACATGGTAAAAAATTCATTCAATTCTAACTTAGAAAGAAGGTTATTGCCCGTGGGTTCCAAGTACTATGATTTTTACAAGGACAACCTATTCCAGAAGTGGCAAACCTCCAAACATGAAATGAAGCTGGCCTCTTTCAAGTTCAACTCACCAGTCGAAATTTCCCTCAGAGATTCGGGAAAACTAGATACATTAAATGTCTCAGAGATTTATCCACTGAACGAATTTTATGATTGCATTCTAATTTTCCAGAATTTGAAAGCAATGGACTACTTATGCACTGAATTTCGAAAGGAGTATGATTTTCGGATGTCTAAAGTCGTTTATCCTCTGAAGCTCAAAGGCCATAACTCTTCAAAGAAAGCTGATCAGATACTCCAGGTTGCAGCCGCCTTTGGCGAAAATCTCACACTGGTGGAACTCAAGGCATACTTGCTCCGAATTCTAGGGTTTGTCATATACGACAACCACCTTAATAGATCAACTGAGATTCTCCGCTCGTTCGGCGGTATGGGAATAAACGAAGACTTTTGGGAACTTTTTGTGACCAGATTCACACCATTCCTTGAGTACTATGTCACCAAAAGCGTTAGTTCTGAAGATGGACTCATTGAATTGAAAGACTTTTTGGGTATTTATATCGCGATTTTGGAGAATTTGAACGTGAACGTGGATCAAATAAACAAGATACATGTTCTTCTATTCAAAAAATACGCAGCCCTCCTCTTACAAGTATTTGATGTTGAGTTCTCGACACTATTGGATGATGACGATTTTATGCCCTTGACTATCAATGACAAGACTCTATACGAAAAAGTTCTCAAAATATGTTGGTTGAGAGGAGGTGAGCCAGACCACGTCCTGGATGAAGAAAGCAACCATGGCCCTTTCTTCGCCACTCTGCCGTTTTCGCCCCTATATCCAATGTCGTGCACACTCATTAAAAAGACCTATAACAAACTTATAACATTTTTGAGCGAGTTCTACAGATACGACCTTGGTGAACTCAACCAAATTATTATTCAGACTATTGACGACATTTTCAGTAAGGTCATCAACCACAAAATAGGCTCAAAACTCGACACAACGTCGAGAGAAGAAATTACACAAATTCTCATTAATCTCGATTACTTCATTGTTGCAGCGAAGGAGTTCGGTGCCATATTGAGTAGGGAAAACATTACTCAAAATCCTGACCTTGAGCTAACATTGCCATCACTCAAGCTTCTAACGCAATCTAGAAATCTATCGGAAACCAAGCTTATTGAATTGATCGATACAAAGATCTCTGATCTCATGGAGTTTGTCGAGTTCGAATGGTCTTCAGAGGAAGTAGAACAAGAACCAAGTTTTTCAATTCGGGATATAGCACAATTCCTGGAAATGATGTTCACATCAACTTTGGTTAATCTCCCCGACAGCGTCAAAACCCTATTGATCTTCCGCGAATTCGACGCTTTGACCGGGAGATTTTTAGACGTGCTTCTTTATAGCAGCCCGCCTATGCTGAGCCCCCAGAGTGTCCTGAACTTCGAGCTAAACATGAATTTTTTGGAGAGCGTCATATCAAAGTTGTTCCCACACGAAGAAAGTTTTCCAAGCGTACCAAGCAGTCCTGACTTGGATGGGGCCCATACATCGGATAATGCACGATCTTCCAATTTGGTAGACAACACCATACGGTCCTTACACTCTACTTTTACCGATCTAAGGCAGCACATTTCGTTTTTGAAATCGCCCGATATCGACGAGTACAAAGATCCAAGCATACGGATGAGAAAGTATCCTCGTATCAAGCCAGAAACCGCACAATTGCTCCACAAGAAAATGGTACCGCCTGTGTCGGCTGGAGCTGACAGTGTAAACTCATCATCGATGGATCAAAGTTTCGCAGACTCAATTAGCTCTCATAAACGAATTGCGAAGTTTTTCAACCGAGCCTAACGTTGCCCGTCGCGCGCCCAGCTGATTAAATTTTCAGCCTGCATATAGTTTGCCATACTGTATCTTATCAATATCAAAAATGCTGCTACAAGATTTAGTCGTTGATAACCAATTCTCTTGACAGATGGCAGAGAGCTTACAGTTTAGGGAGTGTATAATTTTACGGTGTCTCGCTAACGTAGGCGGCGGCTAGTAAAGTGAAAAAAAGTGATCATTAGATCACAACAAACTATCAAATCGATTTAAAGGCATCGGAATCGACAAGCGAAGAAGCTCGCATTTATCAATGAAAAGAGCCAGAGAGAGCACTGGTACAGATTCGAAGAAGAAGGTATGTTCAATAATCAAATATGTGAATTTAAAAGGTTGTTCAAGCTCGTTTACTAATCTTGTTGCAAGTATAAATTCTCAACAGGTATAGTTGAGCCGTGCGTCTCCGGCATTTATGCAACATGCGCTCGCAAACATGAGAAGCAGGCTGCCCAAGAGCTCGCAGATCTATTCGAGGAGAAGTTAGAGGCATACTACGGTGATGAACTTGTAGACACTAGTGGTGGTACTGGCAACGACGTAAACCGAGAGACTTCAGTGGAAGATCAAATTAATCGAGAATTGGAGGCTCTTAAGGCACAACACACTTCAGGTCCCAAGAAGAAAGAAATTTTGAAATTTGTTGATCTCAACTGCGAATGTGTGATATTTTGCAAGACCCGTAAGCCAATCGAGCCCGAATCGTTTGTTCACCGCCTGATGGTGGAGTTTGCAGATCCCAAGGCGACTCACAAGAGAACAAGATACGTTCAGAAGCTGACACCTATTGTTTTCTCCTGCAATGCGTCGTTAGATGAGCTGCAAAAGCTTGCTCAGCGAGTGTTGAAGCCTCACTTTCACGAAGCTGGGGGGCCAACATTGAAATTTGCGATCGAAGTGACCCGAAGGAACTTCAACACAATAGACAAGATGGATATAATCAAAGAAGTGGCAAAGCAGGTGGGTAAGAATGGAGAATTGGCGCATGAAGTAGATTTGAAGAACTACGACAAGTTGGTATTGGTTGAATGTTTCAAAAACAACATCGGTATGTCTGTGGTAGATAGCGATTACCGCACAGATCTCAAGAAATACAATATACAGCAGATATTTGAAGCCAAGCTCAAAAAGGACGCCGCCAAGGCTGATACAACAAAATAACAAATGTATATTAGATGCTAGGCGCTTCAAAAAGCATACGTCTTTTCTCGATACACAGCTGCTTCTTCCAAGAACAGCCAGTCACTTCTTTTATTGGGAATCAGGCCCATGGAATTTAGCTTGTGCACACCGATGCCCATCAACACGATTTGGAACACTACAAACATGACCATGGCCAGCACCACCTGTGATTGGGCCTCAGAATTACCCAGCACAGGCTTAAAGGTCCGCCTTATGTTTACTATACTTTTAATTGGATTCGAAACAAACATAAGGGCGGTCATAATCGATATTATCTGCAGTGAGGATCCCGACATATACGACACAATCATGTTCATTGGAATAGATCTCGCAGGCTGAAACGCTATTTCCCACGCTTTTTGGATAACCAAAATGGACACGTCAGGTTTTTGCTTCTGTTGGCTATCTTTCCGGTTTTGTTTCCCGGTTGATGTAGCATGTTTTTGACATCCAGGAGGGGAAGGTACCGACTTAGTGAGCGGACCCTTTAGTTTTTTAGCATAGTCAGGGTCGCAGAGGTTGTTGACCCATTCCGGAACTGGTTGACTCATCTAGGTCAATCGTAGTTTTACTTCATGATCAACTCAACTAAGTTTTCGTTTAGTCTAATAAATCATTTCAGCTTTAATCACGAACTTCGTCATGTGGAAGCTATAGAAAATACAGATAAATCAATGTCGAACTGATTCTGATCAACATTCAGCACCACTGTTGCCATTTGGTGGTAATCTGTTTGTTAAGCACTCGTTTGCGGACTAGGGTCCTTCTCTCTGACTATTTCGCGTTTTTCTATGGAATATGGCTAGCGAAGGTAGTGTAGTCAATCAAATAGTCTGGTATCTTGTCTAGAACATAAGTAATACCGCCATCATCTACAAGCCCCTCAACAGCCGCCTTGGTAAGGGCGCATATAATTATTACCAGTGAGAGCTGGGTGAGGTAGAGGTAAAGGAAAACGTCTTCCAGGCGCAAGCACACCAACATCATTTTACCAAGCGCACCAACATGACGCTCGAGCTTGTCAGAGATCCATCTGAAAACCGCTTCTCTCTTTGTAGCAGGATGATGTTGCTCTTGCTGCTGTTCCAGAGGTGATTCGTACTGTGGTGGTTGCGGGTACTGTGGAGGTGGTGACCCTAATTGCAGGTGTTGTGATGAATACGACGGTAGTGGAGATGGAGGAGAATACGGAGTTCCTCTCAATTCTGCATCTATGGGTGTAAATCTGGGTTCTCGGGTAAACTCAACCACCCGGGTATTTTTCTGGATTCTAGTGGCTCTTTGGTGGTTATTAGTGGCCTGTCGACTACCTCTCGTTCTTAAACTTCCTTCTTGCGGGCCAGAGCTGACGCAAACTGAAACGCCATTGCGAGTGGAAATAAAAAGTCTCTCGTGGGGGTTATTTCTCTCATATACTGATTGTACCACGTTGTGAGTTGGTAAGTCAACAGTCCCTGAGAGAGAAAGAATCCAGCCGAGATTGCAGACAGAGTTGTGCGTTCTCTTGCTGCGTTCTGATCTTCTAACAGCTCTTGAATGTACTTGCCTTGTCATTGAAATTTACCATCCAACTCAGTTAGGACCACATCAGTAACCGCAGCATGGCGCTCCTACATACATACATGTGCGAATATATAAGTAGTCGCCGAATTCACAGTTTCGCTAACTTGCGGCCATTGGTGACGAGGAGTCATGCTATCGTGAGTAGTCTTTTAACATTTTTTAATCATTAAAGTTTCGCTGAGCTTATTAAAGTAACTCAGTGTATCAGCATAACAGCCAGCTGGGCTATCTATGGCCAACAATTGACGCAGATGGAGCAAGAAGAAACAAAACACAATCATGCTGTTGAAATTCTTCCTAGTAAAGTGCTGATTGTTTTCAGTAATGAAGTCCTCAACCGGGAGGACATTTTAATGAACATCTTCAACGTCAGCGTCGATCCAAGTCGACAGATACATCGAGATGTCCATTGGTCAAACAAATACTTCACTGTGAATTTCGACATCTACATTGACGAGTTCGACTATCTAGATGAATGGGTTAATGAATTTTGTTGCGCAGAATTCGATGATCTGCGACAAGCACTAGCTGGCTGTATCCTAATTATGCCATGCAAAGACCGTAATACTGGTAATGATGGCAATCTATATAAACTCGCGCTGCTAGGGAAGTGCAAGGGTTGGGATGAAAAGTTTGCGATCATTTTGGCCACTGACCTTAACGTCGACGAAGATGTGAGATGCCGTTTGGAGCAAGGGCTTCTGGAAACTGGGGTTGAATTGACCTCTGTTACCGGATCTGATACGGAAAAAGAGTATGGAGAAACGTTTGGGATCCAGAGAATAAAGGAAGTTATTGACACTTTCGAATGGCCGCCTGAGATGATCAAACGCCGCGATCAAACAGCGGGGAAACTAACCAAATTTTTGGAAGAACCAGCTTTCCCTCTTGAGGATATAATGAGCCAATTACAGCAGGCTAGGGCTAAATACTTGAAAATGAACCCTGGTGAAGAAAGAGACAATTTCGCGCATGAGATGGCCGACGAGCTTGGTCGAAATTTATACGGCAGCTCACCAGTTAGCGATTTGTTTTTTTAGGCAATGCAGGGCTGCGGGAACGAAGGCAATCAGTACGACTTTATTCACTGTCAGCAGCCACGGAACGGTGTGGTAGTTCGGAGTCTGCAGGTTGAGAATGAGTAAGTAAAATTCGCTAAAATACAACAGCGGCAGAGTCACACAAGTGTCTAGTTTCCACAAAGCTGTTCTTCTGCTCTGAACAGGCCCACGAAATAACTTGCACCAATGGCAGTAAGCTTGACTGATGCTCAGGGTAGCGATAAAGCTCGAGTACGCAGGAGTCTTCAACACGAGAGCATGCTCGTAGTCATCATGAAAGTGGAAGTTTGCCACAAAATATAGTAGATTTACATCTTTTAATAGAGTTCTCGAGATTAGCGTCCTTTTCAGTCCATGAAAGGCAAACGTCCAACATATCTCCATAGCGGCCGCGTAAAAAATCAGATAGCATAAAAATTCATGGATTCCTCCCGGTAGAAATTTGATTCCCACTAGTGGTAATAGAATGGCCCACCTGGCGAATAGCGATGCATATAGAAACGCGCTTGTCAGCCTAAAATACTGATAAAGTCTGGCTTTAACGCCACGCTTTTGGCGAGTATCGGCATTTTGGGGTCCTGTAGACATTTTGGCAACGGGGGAGGAGGCCATTGTATTGTTCTTGGCAGTTAACTATTTTTACTTGTTAGTATAACGCAAAAAGTTTAATACTTGATTTAATAACATGACATCTCTTCTTAGCGTCAACAGACCGGGGAAGAAATAAAACACCCAAAGCATATACTGACCTCTGCCAGGTAAGTAGGTTCCTCGCTTCTCAAATGTTCAGCTCTAGTTGGAGCCTTCTGATATGTGCGTTGTTGGGATTTGTATCCCTCGCAAAGGCTTTCACGCCCGAAGAGGTGCAGATCTTTCAACTGCAACAAGAGCTTGTCAAGACGTACAGAAACCCAGATTTGGACTTTTATAAAATGCTCAAACTTCCCAAACTAAGGGATTCTTCATCCGCCGAGATTCGCAAGAATTTGAGGAAATTGGCCAAAACGTACCATCCCGACAAGAATAAGAAATACAGGAAACTGTATGAACGCTTGTCGCTGGCTACAAAAATCTTAGAGAACGACTCCCAGCGCAAAATTTATGATTACTACCTGAAAAACGGTTTCCCAAACTATGATTTCAAGAAAGGTGGTTTCTACTTTACTAGGGTCCAGCCTAAAGTGTGGGCGATAGGCATATTCATTTTTCTGTCTTGCGGCTTAATTCACTTTATCATTTTAAGACTGCAGAATGACGGCAATAAAAATCGCATCGAGAGGTTTTTACGCGAGGTCAAGGCTCAGGATGATACGCTTGGTCTGGGGGAGAAACGACTTCTATTCAGACAAAACCCAGATGAGGAAGGCCGAGAGATTATTGTTCGTTTTGGAGAAGTGTATGCAGTGCAGTCCGATGGTAAAGAGGCTCTTATTTCCACTAAAGACATCGTGAACCCAGGAATAAGTGATTCGCTACTCTTGACATTGCCATTATGGATGTGGAGAAAATCAGTAGGATGCCTCTTCAACTTCACGACATCTGTCAAGAATACGAATGAATTGCCCGAGAACAAGCCTTCTTCGGAGGATTCGAAACCAAAGCCCATTCGCATTCATGGCTCTGGTGAAAAACTGGAACTCCCCAATGGTAAAGTAGTGCGATCCAGGAAAAAAAACTGATGCTCTCAACCCAAATGTCAGTATATATGCCCAAAAAAAGTATTATAAAAATTATTCGTTACACGTCCAATACATCTACATTTCTTGCGTTAAGTCATAACAGAATGTTGGTGAGGCCTAAATTGTATAGCCCAATAGCGTATTATTAATTTAGCACTCACCTTTCCTCTCCTTTTAGTCATTGCGCTTCGGGGCGTCATCAGGTATGGTGTCAGGTGCCATTCCTAAGATTATTACCCCATTTTCATCATTTTGACGATCTACTGCTTCCTGCGCTCGATCTATCAACTTTTTTCTCAGCTTAGTATGCAAATCGCTTTGAGTAGAGAAATTGGCAAGCGAAGAAACTTGCTCCTGGTTGATTTCGCTAAAATTGATCAAATTTCCCCCAGAATGGGTGTCTGGTTTTGCATTAGTTTCGTCATCAGCACTGTCGTCACCGCCCTCATAGTTGCTGCTGTCTTCTAAATAATCATTACCCCCTAAGATTTTGGAGTACATGATTCTTGTGTCGTTGAGGACATCGTCGGCATAAAACTCCCAGTCTTTACTCTGGAGCACGGTCTGTATGTCGGGGGATATAAGTTCTACCTTATAGACCTTTGAAAACTTGACAATCTCTTCCGCAATTAAAACCAGGTGCCCCATAAATCCCAGCGCTGTATTATGCTGTTCATAAAATGCGTAAGACTTTCTGTAGCCTTCCAGTATGAGGTTGTCTGTTACATGAAAGTTGGGTACGGCAGCCTGCGATTCGCGATCCATATATTCGCCCGCCAATTCATTATTGAATAGGGAGTAAACCAGAAAAGAATTGTATGAAAAATCCATCCTCCCATTAAAGATCTGCTGAATAATGTCGAATACGACATTATGCCAAAAATTGTTCCATGGATAACTCAAAAACAACTGAGCAATCTTCGGCAGTATCTGGCTGTCATATACTTTTATCTTGAAAGAGTCCCCAATCGTGGGATTCTCTCTAAGCTTTGTGTTTTGTTTAGCGTTGACGTAAGGAATATCGAAAGATTCATCAACATCTTCTTCAATCACCCCGTCATCAACCGCCACAATCCCTGTATCATTGCCTTCATCTTCAAGGTCAAGGTCGACCAATGCATCTTGTAGTTGGATGGTCATGGTTGCTCGAGCTTTAGTCCGTTCCATCACGATTCGCTCTGCCCTTTTTGAATTCATAAGGCCCATGTTTGAGCAGTGAAGAAGTTCAGCAATCAACTCAACTACTTTGAATCTTTCAAATCCGAGAGGTTTGAATTTCTCTCCAAGCTGATTTTCTAGAGTTTTGGGTTCGTGCTCACCTTCGATATCATACATGATCTGGAAAATGGAAGGCAGCCTTTGGGTGAAAAGCTTCAACATAGTTCCTAGATAAATTGGATCTCTCATAGAAGGCGGATTCGCTTCTAAGGTGGTTGAAAGTAGGTTGACTTGATCGTAATCAGAGTTGTTTTTTCGTATCAATTCTATCACAATGGACACGGCATTAATCAGGGCATTTCCCCTCTTATTGACAATCGTATCAAGTAAAAAAGACATGCACTCTTCGGAAGCTAGCTGCCTTGTCAGCGAATTGGGGCCAATTGACATGTCGTCCAAAGGTGCGTTGGCCGATATCGTTATTAGAGCTTTTAGAAGATCAGCTGAGCATGCCTGAATATCAGGCGCATACTTTTTGTTATCAAAATAACCAAGAAGTTTGTTGATCAGGTCCTGCTCCCGCACTAATTCTATAATTCCAGATGGTGACTCTTGCTTATCCGTGGAGATAATTTTAAGCAGAAAATCCATCATCACAGAGACATCGATATACTTGAGCAAGTCATCCACTAGCGAGTTTTTGGAACGAACGAAGTTCAAATATTGATCCTGTCGTGTCATCAGCAAGTTTTGGTTGATTTTAAGAAAAATAGGGATCAAAGTGGATTTTTCAGATGCAAAGTTTGGCTGGTACATAATAGCCCAAATCTTGTTCAAATAACCGGTATTCATTACCAGAGACTCTGAAATAAGCCATATGTCAAGGGCGAAAATTTCAGATATTATAGTGGCCTTATTGAGCGGCGATGGTGGGGACTTCGCCGCAGTTATAGTATCCTCGTCATCACCTTCGGGACCAACGTTGTCGTAGCTGCTCTTGTCATTCTTACCGTCATCTTCATTATTGAGACTCTCACTACTGTCATCTTGTGTTTGGCTTCCATTGCGGCTGCCTGGATTGCTCTCCTGAATCTTCTGAACGCACACGATGAGCTGATCGATCAAATATTCTATATTGTGAACTTTGATATGGTCGGGCGTAAAGAAGTATCCAAAGCACAGGAAGTCCAGCAGCGTGTTGTTTTGACGATTGAGCTCGTTCAAAAGTTCCGATTCTTCCAGAATATTATCAATGTAGCTACAGCTGAGTTGCGCCAGGCTAGGCGCACGACTCGAGCGTGACCTGGATCCGTATGACCCTACAAAACTACAGTCGTCCTCTGAATGCTGTGGGATGGCAATGGTATCGTCTGCGTCAGTTGCTGAAATTTCATCCTGAGAAACAGTGTCGTCCGCCAGCCGATGTTCGCCGCGCAGCTCATCACGCTTTTCGAGCGAGTGAAGCACCTGGAAATAATCATCTAGGATCCGGTTGATGTTGGAGTTTTCGTTCTGCCCGAACGGCCAAAAAGACATTGCAGCCAATTTGTTGTCTGTAGTGGGAATTTCTTCGGTGATGCCCCTGGGAAACAGAAAAAGAAGCTACCCGGGCGATTCGAATACGTTTTAGATTGTACGATATCGCCCTAATTGAGAATGCTGTACTAGGTAGTCTTCGGTGGTCCACACTTTGTGCTGGTATGTGAATGATGACCTTTTGTAATTATAACTTTACTTGTCTCAATGCAAAATCTCTGATATGTCTTGTCCTACGGCTCAATAATTGGTGGCTTGATTGGAACCTTCCTATAGTCGTACATCGCGATACCTTCTGGCTCCTTGAGTGGAGGCTTTAAGAGGCTATCGCGTGGTAGAAATATGTTGACAGCAGATGAGCACTTTGCCGCTTGTAGCATGTGTGCTCGCCCCATCTTGGTTGGAAAGCGCATGTCAGGTAGCGAGCCGAACACGAAGATCGTGTGGTACGTCTATAGCATGGCCTCATGTTGAGGGGCTTTTGTTGTCGGCATTTACATACAGTTGCGTGTTTGTGTGGACGTCAGCTCAATTGTTCTCTGGAACCCAGCATATCCATTTTTTGGGTCTCTGAGCAATTGACTCTGCTTATCATGAGTCTGTTTATCACTCTGTACTATAATGACACCTCTGGACGGGCGTCAAAATGCCTTCGAAGAGCCCTTCTCGTCCGACAACGACATGAAAAGGGGCGGCAGAGCCTTTGAGCTCAAGAGTTCGATTCGTTTTGGGGGGAATATAGGCTGCCCGTAGCCTTCAACTCGGAACCCAGAGACAGAGCTTGTGGCAAATATACAACGTCGTGAGATAGATTCACGGCCATACAAGTGACAATGTCGAACGTCGCCTTACATACTAAGGCCTCATTAGCCGGGCAGAAGCGTGTCGAGAGGACGATGTCATATATACTACAATATATATAAACTCCTCGTGCTTATCTCACAACTTTGCGTGACGACGCAATTCGTGGGATTCTGTCATAAAATCCATTTACATGCTTTAAGTGCTTTTGTGTTATATGTATATGATTTCCCGACTCCGTTTGGGGGCCAGTGTCGACGAGCTCTTGGCTAACGCAAGCTCTGGTCCATGTGGGGTGGCCATAAATATCGTGTTGGCCTATATAAGTGTGGCGACCACGCCAGCCTCAGATGTAAATCCCAAAAGAACCTTCAAAGTATTTATTCAGCCAGCTTTCCGCCGTTTTGAAGTGCTTCTAAACCAACTATGATCATTGAGATGGTGCTAGCTTGCCATCGTATCGGTTTTCGTCTTTGTTTCTCTTTGGGCCAAAACAATAACAAAAATTTAGATAACTCATCTTATGCTTCTGATTTGAAATCAAACGGCAAGCAGGAATAAACAGCTATCGGATCTATTAAGAGGATCTTAGGAAGAAAGTTCACATTCAGTGTGGAATTTGGCGCACGATTTTGTTTCATACATTTGCTATAGGGCCGCATAGAACTGGGATCTGATCGCATCATTATGTTGGCGAGAGGCGTACGAACAATCCGCTGGCTATGTGCTCTGCTTGTGGTATGCCATTTTGGCGCCGTGTACTTGGGCTCACAGCATACCGGTCTGTGTGACTTGCCTATCCTTAACCAAAGCTCGTGGTTCAAGCAAACCGCTTGTCCATGGTACACCTCTCATGTTGAGCCGCAGCGCAAGCAATTTGTGATGCCACTGGCCCTTCAATGGCAAAAATACGAGCTTATCGCAAGACACCAGGTTGAATGTGCTTCTCAAAGTGCTACGCAGTTCACACAGCGTCGTGTTGTGCCTTGTCTCTACAAGTGGTACCATGTGGTGCGTATCAAGGCGCACCTATATCACAACGTCTACGTGGTTCCGAAGGTTAAGCACATTTTGTATAGAGGTCAGCTTTGGCTTCAATCCGATAGCGATCTCGCAAATGCGATCCTCAAAGCTCTTACCAATCTTTTGCGCGGATGGAACGCGGCAAAATCGGCCATGCAACGTCTAGAAGTGGTGGCCAAACCTTTGGCGATGAATGTCATCCAACGCACAAAAACGTTAGAGCCCATGTTTCGGAACGCTCAAGGTATGTTTGTAGATTTTCAGACCGCAGTTAAAAGGGTTTTTGACGATAAAGTGTTGGGGAAGATTCAGGCCGCGAGAGGCGAACAAGAAACTCAGTGGTTTGATGCTGCGGACGATTACGAAGACGACGAAACTCTTTTTATAACTTCCACTATCATTGAAACCGTCACGCTGTCAGATAATGATCTCGTAGCACCCGCGGCTCCCTCAGACGACGCTAACATGGCTGTGGAGATACCCCTAAGCGATCTTGTCCAGGAGGAATTTCAGGCGTGGTCAAATACCATTAAGCAAAAATCTCTGAACACGATACAGCAGTTTGATTCTGAGATCGAAGATCTGGTGGATGAGAAATTGGGCGAGGTCCAACCCCGCATTACCGTCGCTTTGCAAAAATTTACAAACAGCTCCCAACATTACTACCAGACCATCAATAGAGCCATTTTGGATGTGAACTGCACAATGGAATTAGATCCAGAAACTGGAGAACAATTATTCTTCAATAAAGAGGGCGGCCAACTCCGCGAGTATGTGACGCGGCCATTAGTGCGCGAGTTCTTTGCGCAGGCCCACGAGCATGTGGATAAAAGTTTGGAAACAACCCGCGCACTCCTGGAGTCGTTCGTTGCTGAAATCAACTCCGCCGTTGACCAGATCAGACAAGAACAATTGGAGGTCTACGAAGAGTGGGGCGACGTCATGGTGAGCGAATGGTCCAAGAGAATGGCTTACATAGACGTTGTGGCCGCTATGGATTCACAAGATTTGAACCAGAGGCAACACGACAATTGGAAGCAATTCTTGAAGCTAAAGAAACAGGTAATTGCTACTAGAGACCTGCTGATGGAACATGCAGCTAACTTACAGCCAGTAGAAAAAGTTCTCACAGAGGTGCAGTACACTTTGAAAGCCATCCAGCGTGAAGCCGGCGAGTATCTGTTTATTTTGAGGTCGAAGGCCAACCTTGCCTTCCAGGCCAGAGAGGAACAGGAACGAAAGGAACACCGGGAACAAGTTGAGCGCGAGCAAAGAGAACGGGAGGAGCTTGAGAGAGTGGAGACTCAAGCACCCGTGGAGTCCGAGTCTCCTGACGACTTGCGCCAGAATACTTCCGACTACAGCGACGACGACAACGAGGATTTTGAGGACCTCAGTCCTGAGGCCGAAGCTGTTCTACTCCGGCAAGAACAATTGCAGCGCGAGAAGCTGGACGCCCAAGAGTTGCAGCAACGCCAGCAGTTCTTACAGGAGCAGAGCCGCGATGAAGAAAACCACTCTTCTCAAACTTAGATGTATGTAATTTTATAATAAATTGAATGGTACTTGAGTTAAACGAACAAGCTTCAACAAGCGTCGCACTAGCTAGATCTGTGAAGACGTGCCGTCATTGACTAAAAGCGGCCAGTAAGCTCGGCAACATCGTCCAATTTATGATTTTTCACCTCATCCACCGATCAAATAGCCATTGACAGAAAGCCTCAGATCTTCTGCGCATCACAGCGAGCCCGTCCAAAACCTATGTCATATCAAGCGCCGCTGACTAGACCCGCCCAGCCAATCTCAACGTCGTAAGGTATTTGATTCGCGTGTTCGAATCTTAAAGTTATCGTCCAGTTGGTTGGCTTGAACGTCGCTTTACGAGCTGGGCCAAATTCACATGGTGAAAAATTTTCCAAGACTATCAGAACTATAAAAGATGATAGCTGTCAGTGATGAGTTGAAAGGTGTGAAGAACACGCTTAAGGTGCAACACCGTAAATTCGCCCAATTCTCCAGAGACGGAAATTGAACTTTAATTTGTTCGGTTAATAACGTCAATTGGTCCTTTCGATTGTCTATACTATGTCTTCCCCCGCTCAAAACTGCAAAGTTGCCGACATTTCCCTAGCTGCCTTTGGTAGAAAGGAAATTCAGTTGGCTGAACACGAAATGCCAGGGTTGATGGCCATCAGAGAGGCGTACGGTGAAGTTCAACCTTTGAAAGGTGCTCGTATTGCCGGGTGTCTGCACATGACCATCCAGACCGCGGTTTTGATTGAAACCTTGGTGGCTCTGGGTGCGGAGGTTACGTGGTCGTCCTGTAACATCTACTCGACCCAGGACCACGCTGCTGCTGCCATCGCCGCTGCCGGTGTGCCTGTGTTTGCCTGGAAGGGTGAAACCGAGGAAGAATACTTGTGGTGTATCGAACAACAGTTGTTTGCCTTCAAGGACAACCAAAAGTTGAACTTGATCTTGGACGACGGTGGTGACTTGACCACTTTGGTTCACGAAAAGCACCCAGAGATGTTGAAGGACTGCTACGGTTTGTCTGAAGAAACCACCACGGGTGTCCACCACTTGTACAAGATGGTCAAGGAGGCCAAGTTGAAGGTCCCAGCCATCAACGTCAACGACTCCGTCACCAAATCCAAGTTCGACAACTTGTACGGATGCAGAGAATCGTTGGTCGACGGTATCAAGAGAGCCACCGACGTCATGGTTGCTGGTAAGGTTGCTGTCGTTGCCGGTTTTGGTGATGTCGGTAAGGGTTGTGCCGACTCTCTAAGAGGCATGGGTGCTCGTGTCATTGTCACCGAAATCGACCCTATCAACGCCTTGCAAGCTGCCATGCAAGGTTACCAAGTGTTGCCAATGGAAGAAGCCGCCCCAGTTGGTCAAATCTTCGTTACCACCACCGGTTGCAGAGACATCGTCACCTCCGAGCACTTCTTGTCCATGCCTGAAGATGCCATTGTCTGCAACATTGGTCACTTCGACATCGAAATCGACGTTGCCTGGTTGAAAGCTAACGCCAAGGAATGCACCAACATCAAGCCTCAGGTTGACCGTTTCTTGTTGCCAACCGGCAGACACGTCATCTTGTTGGCTGACGGTAGGTTGGTGAACTTGGGCTGTGCCACCGGTCACTCTTCCTTCGTCATGTCCTGTTCTTTCTCCAACCAGGTGTTGGCCCAAATCGCCTTGTTCAAGGCTGGCGACAAGGAATTCAGACAGAAGTTCGTTGAGTTCGAGAAGACCGGTCCTTTCGAAATCGGTGTCCACGTTTTGCCTAAGATCTTGGATGAAGCTGTTGCCAAATTCCACTTGGACAAATTGGGCGTTCGTATGACCAAGCTAACTCCTGTCCAATCCGAATACTTGGGTATTGCTCAAGAGGGTCCTTTCAAGGCCGACCACTACAGATACTAAGCGCGTGCGCCTAGTATCTCATTGTCTGCTCTTCAAGCACTCAACTGTTTGCATTGATTTACAGCTAATCATTTGGGTTATGTAAATAATATTACTACAATCATGGATATATATATGTATGAATCAACAAATCTTCAACGATCAAAAGAATGGTAAAAGTAGTCTCAGTGGTGAGGAGTAAATGTTGATCTTTACTCCATATTTTTTATAGGATGACTTTAGGAGCTTCCTTTGTATGTTCAAGGTTTATCTTGTCATTGCTCCTTTAATTTATATAAAGAATAAGGACGACATTCGATAAACTTAGATCTTTTATACACAAGTTCGTATTAGAGAGGAGAGAACATGTTTCATTGTATGGATCAGGTAGACAATGCGTATGTAACTGCGCTGTTTCCTACGTATCTCTTAGAACAACCTATCGGTCATGACTTGTGGAAAATCTACTATAAGAATAGAAAACTGTTCCGTAAGCTCAAGGCGAAAGGTGAGACATCTCCAACGTTGAGGGAGCCTAGACTACGGCAACTACGTTCGGACTTGAGTTATGAAGCTAGGAAAGAGATTTGGGAAAAATTGATGAGCATAGGTGTTTTGGGGACAATCCCTTATGATGCGGTTAGCGATGAATACTTGGTACAAGTCTACCAGTATTTCTATCCAGATATAGACCGCGGGTCGCCGCCTAGACCAATGTCCCACGTCACGACTGATGATATGCAAGTCGACAGTGATTCCACCGATATAACCCAGCCTGTGGCTAGTAGTCTTTCGACTCGCATGGGCCTTCGCATAAATCATGGTGCCGAGGACGAAGATGACGACGACGACGATGATGACGATGTTGATGAAGACGACGACGATGATGAAGATGGTGACGATGATGTTGATGGTGGTAATAATAATGATGATGATGATGATGATGTTGACGATGATGATGACGACGACGCAGATTATAACGATAATGACGATGCCAATACAGATGGTAACGCCGAGGGTAATGATGGCTTTGAAGACAATGGGGTGGGCCGTTCAGAGCTCAGAATTCAAACCGAATACGTAGACCAGGAAGCTGGACACGAAGCCCATGGAGAGAATGAGTCAATTGTATCTCAAAATTTGGCGGAAGGGGCAGGCCCTCAGAACCCAACGGCTGTGCCGGCCCAGGTGTTGGAAGTCAAGTCATCTAAGGATCTCTCCGATCCACCATCCGCTTCCAGTCAAGTACATTTCAAGAAAAACGCAGTGTCGCGGGAAATTTATAAGCAATTAGGTTATCCTTTGCCTCAAGCTTGGGAGACGCCTTCAAACAACAGCATTCTCGTATCTTCTGATGGCTGTACGCAATTGAAGCCTAATCCAGAATTTCAAGCACTCTCTGCTCACGATAGAAGGACTGGCCCGCTGGGTGGGCCGGGACTCTCAGAGAGTCTTTCTACCTTCAATTCCAGACAGGAGTATGTGAGTACCACCGCCAACAACACACTCCACTCCAAAAGTTTGGCCCTTTTCTACTATGAGATCAGAGTGCTTTGGAGTCGGTCTTATGGAACTGCTACCCCTTCAAGGATCAAGGTGGGCTTCAAGGACCTTTCGAAAATCCAGTCGAGTTCCAAATCATCGTCCCGCACCGATCTTCAAAGTAGCGATCCAGTGTCTATCAACAGGCAGTCAGCGAGTATTGTTAGGGCCTCTCTAGAATCAGGGTCGTCTAGCAGCTCCAGTAACCGCGGCGAAACTTTGAGCAAAGGAAGCTTTGTTTACGGAGGGCAAGATGGAAATATCACCGATGGAACTTTGTCTAAATCATATTCAAATGGATATGGGCCATCTGATGTTGTTGGTTGTGGGATCAACTATGTTAGCGGAACAATATTTTTCACTAAAAATGGTGTTCATTTAGGAACGGCCTTCACTGATGTTCATGACATTGATGTGGTCCCGTTTATTTCACTCGCTCCTGGTGCTGTCGTAAGGACAAACTTTGGCTTGCATGAGGAATTTGTCTACGACATTTTAGGATACCAGAGAATGCTCAAGGCACGAGCTTATCAGCATATTTACAAAAGTATTGATGGCCACGATGGTCGCAACGATTTCGAAAGCAGTTTTTATGACGATCAAAACGATGAGCTTGAGGATAATGAGTTAAATCTCTCATCTCACGATGAAAGCTTTAGAAATAAGGATGGGTTCCTTCTCCAAAACGACGACAGATTCAGTGGAGATCAGCTCTATCGGCCTGAAGTTGAAAAATTGAATAACCTGAATACGGATGATGATTCTATTCCTTGCACTATGAATACAATGATCAATGATTATTTGATTCATGAGGGCCTAATTGATGTGGCCAAAGGTTTTCTCATTGATCTCAATAAAGATTGTATACCGGACAATGAAGAAGAAAGGGCTAGGATAGTCATCAGACATAATGAAAGACAAATTGTTAAAGAGGAAAACAACTTGAAAGTTCGGCAGGACATACGGAGGCTCGTGAATGAGAGTAAAGTGACTGCATGCATTGCTTTCATCGACGCACATTACCCAGGCCTTTTGAAAGAAAGCATCGATTTGCTCTTCGAGTTAAAATTGGCCGAGTACCTCGTTACATTGGTCAACTTCAAAGACCATCCCATTGAGGAAATTCTTCGAAAAGGTCAGGAACTCACGGCCGAGTTTGTTTATAACTCTGACGTACCTCTCGAGTACAAGGAAGGTTTTCAAAGCCACTTGAATGATATTTCCTCTTTACTTGCCTACGACAATCCTTTAGAAGAGTGCAGTGAAGATTTGGCAGTTTACCTGACACCAGCCTATTTGCAAGATAGGTTATTTCAATTGATAAATTCCCGAATCCTTCTGTTTTTAAAAAAAAGGAGCGAAAGCTCCTTAGAAAACATGGTGAGCTACACAAGAGCTATGGTCAACGCCCTCATGGAATATGGGGAGGGCAGCTCCCTTGTTCATAATGATTCGGAGCTACGGGTGCATAAACTTGTAAACATTGACGAGGATCTGCTAAATATTTGAGCAATATCTATATTCACTACATAGGCCCAACCCGAGGGTAAGAAGACAGTAGCCGTACTTGTATGAAGAACGAATCTGAGGGTTGAAGAAGTACATAACTCTGTTGTTACATCTTTCATGCGTAAACACCAAAAGAATCGCTTAAGAACACAGCGGCCAGACCCAAAAATATGCTTCCCACCAGGCTCATCAACGCGTATTTGAGAAATTGCACTACCAACCGCAAGCCTGAAGCCTTTGCAGGTACTGTAAGCGCTAAAGTCGTAAAGATCAAGCCCACGATCAAAGCAACTGCTCCGTAGAGGCCTTGTGACTCTAGAGGTATGAAACCTACAAATTCTGGGGCCCTATGATACGATTTCTGGGGGATTCATTGTTAGTGATTTATTTCAAAGCGTCTTCCCAATTGAAACATACAAAGACTTCCTCGTAGGTTGTCATCTTAACTGTGCCCTTCACGTCTCGACCGTTATAGTACGAGGTAGTTTAATTTATATGTCAATAATATTAGAATTATTCCATACAGTTAATTATATATAAAATAGTATTGTGGATAAAGTCAACGACCAGAGAAAAACGCCTCCTCTTGAAGACTCTGCCGAATAATTGGTATGTTTCTACACTCTGTTAAAAGCTGTAAGAGTCCTGGAACTGTGGTGAAGAGAAATGTCGCTAGGGCTCTAAGTTCTGTTGTTTATGAGCCTCCACGGTACGACGAGTTAAACGTTGATTCTTGGCTGAAAATGGACAAAGACACGAAAGAAGAGCTGAAGGAGTATCTGAATTGGAAAATGGAGGATAGGTGGTCAGAAATGACACCAAAGGAGCAGAGAGCTATTTACTTTATATCTTTTGGACGGTGGGGGCCTCGCGCCAAACCGGGCTCAAAAGCTGCCCAAATGCAATTGACTGGAGCAGAAATAATCCTAAGAGGAGTGTTTAGCGGGATTCTATTCGCAGCGTTGGCAGTCAGCGTGATCAACTACCGGGAAGACCGAAAAGTGGCCGAGAACCTCAGGGTGTTAGGAGAGGATACGACTGCACCATAAGAATTAAGCACCCTTCACAAGTTGCGAATGTAGTGAGTAGGACAAGCATAACCAGTAGGATTGATATCCAAATATGTTTGGTGGTAGTCCTCCGCATCGTAAAAGTTGGTGCACATGGTAACTTCTGTTACTATCTTATTGTGCCATTTCGGTTGCCACTGTCCCTTCAACGCCTCGATTTCGCTCACGTCTTCTGCCGAGTGGGCAAAAATGGCACTGCGATATTGAGTGCCCATGTCTGGACCCTGCGAGTTCAACGTGGTGGGATCATGGATGCGGAAAAAGAAGTCCACAAGCTCTTTCAGGGATACCACCTTTGGGTCGAAAGCTATTTGCAAGACCTCCGCGAACTGCGTATCCCCGCTGCACACTTTTTTATATGAAATTGAACTGCCAGAATCCTTTGCTTCCTCATTGCCATTCGCATAGCCGACTTTACAGTCTGCAATTTTGGCACCAAAGTGTTTTCTGTAAATATGTTCCGTACCCCAGAAACAACCGGCGGCAACCGTGAGAAGTTTCTCCGTTTGCGGATTGAACTTAATACTCTTGGATATAGCGGAGACCATGGTGCAGAAGTTGTGTGTTCTCTTAACTGTAGTTGATTTAGTCTGCGCTGGCGTGGCAAAGGAGGCCTTTATTTGTAATATCATGAAATTTCGTACGTCGTTACACTAATGAAGACAATGGCCTGGTTGTGTCAGTTTGGACCGGCAATCCAATGTCTATCGTCTCTAAATTCTGGGTGCAACCTCAAACAGCTGCCATTTGCACGACTTAATAAATATTAATCTTGGTCAAAGCTCTGTTAAAGTTCCATTCGTCGTCCCACCGACATCGAAGTCTTGGTGATTTGTAGCATGTTGGTCATAGTTGGCCGTCATGGGTCAAATCTATGATATCAAGGGGGATAGATTCTGAACCTTGAGAGCGAGGTCGGGTGGAGATATTCCTTTTTTTCAAGGGCGATTCATTTTCGTCGAGCTCAGAACTTTCATCGAGGTGGGCAGATAGCCCGAACATGTGCATCCGCTCTGGTGATTTTGGTGGTACACCTGGGTCCTCTTTACGACCTTGTTCCGAGACAATGATCAAAGAGCTTGTATCCGCCCAGTCGGAGACCTCAGGCTCGAGGTCTTTATTGTCATCTTCGACAAATAACTTCCGTTTAGTTGGTGGTAGTAGAGGCGTCTCAATCACATCTTCTGTTAACTTCTTTCTGGGCGATGAGTGCTTTTTCAGAAACTCGTCAAGGTTGTTCTTTTGAATGGAGGAGCATCGCGATGTAATTCGCTTCTTGCGTGGAGTTTTCCCACCGCCTTTGTGGCTCTCTAACATATATCTCTTGACCAGCAAGTTTGAGCTGGGAAGCATTGCCGAGGGAACTGACGTCATGTAGCGATACGCTTCCCGGTCCGCTTGCTTTTTGGTTGGGCTTTTCCTGCGGCTAATTATATTAGGGTCACTGCGGTCTGATTCGCCCTCTTGCCGAGTAAAAGCTTCAGACTGAGGCTCTTCGACTCCTGCCATAAACGAGTTATACCTGATTCGCCAGTAATCAAGGTGAACTGTTCCATTGCATATGTTGGAAATCCAATTATCTGTGATCTTGAAAACATATAACTGGTCGTCAGGTAACGTCGAGCCATGCAAAATCTTTTTTAGCAGGAAAGTTGTATGCATTATATCGTGGAACCATTTGCTGATATCCGTTATTATTTTGAGATCTAATTCGTTGACAAGATCAAATAGTTGGCGGATGTTGCTCTCAGGAATATTGAACTTACCACTTATGTTGTTATACTCGCCATTGAGGCAGTCGGTCTGAACCTGTTCGGACACAGTTGGATGGAAGTAATGTAAAAGAGCTTCCTCTGACGGCCAGCCTTGAAATTGAGCTGCTCCGGATGTTTTGAAATAATTTCTTCCAAACAGTTCCACACTATGGCATCGGCAGTGATTGAACATTCTTTGTTGGAAATCCAGATATTGGGGCCGTCGAAGCTCGGCACTTGAGCTGGCGTCCGCGAATATGGCTTTGAACTCTGATGCAAAATTAGGTTCCCTGAGTTGTGCGAGAGTCGCGGATTTTCGAGATCCTAGCCCTCTTACCCCTTGGCTGTAATCCGCCCCCAAAAGGGCGTAGTATAATAGAATATGATCCTGGTTCCAGCAGGAAATTCTGCTTATATCTATCATTGTAACGAAATTCTCCTTGTGGTCCTTTTTCCTGGTAGCATCGGCGTAAGATGCCGGTAAATCTTCCCAGAATTTGGACATATTACGAAGAGCCCTAGTTGCCCCAAATGCAAACACATCTGAGTCGTTAGTCACCACGTAATCTACTAAACCTAACTTTTGAAGCCGAGCGCATTCGGCTTCTCCCTCACCGGCAGCGTCAAGCCATGATATGTTCATTAGTGTTAAAAGCTTTTTGGCCATCCTCAGACCTTCTACATCATGTACCTCATTTTCAGGTGAGCTTGGGTTGGTCCAACCGTCTATGTCGACGTTGACAGCTGTCAGCACATCTAATTTGTCACTGGTGGCCCTCTTCAATTTCAGTTCGTTCTTGAACTTGGGCTTAAATGGACCATCGAAGACCAAAACAAACGTCACATCAAGCGATAGCAGGATCTTCAAGCGTTTCAAAAAAGCAAGGATCGCTAATCCGTCAGTCCTATATCCCTTATCAATGAGTTCGTCGGTTTCTCCCGTAAGGAACCCGCATTCAAATAACCAACCAAATGCATCGATTGCGAGCCTTGGAGCTCTCCCTTCAGCATGCTGAAACTCGGTGACAAATTGCTGAAATGGAATCCTTTGGACACTCTGATGGTCTTTGATTAGTTCCCAGAAGGCAGGTACTCCCATTTCTAACGGGGGCTAAAATTCTGCGTAGACATTTATATTTCGTTCATTAAGCAAGACATTTAGAAAGGTGAACGGGCCGTTATTCAGCACTAATAGTTTTGATAGGTATACAATTCATGAAACTAATGACCAATCGTAGCTAGACCTGATGGAGGCCAAGAAGCTGAGTATTTAAGCTCAAAATTTGTAAATTAAACTAAACCTTATAGTAATGTGCGCCGTGAGTATATATACGTTTAAAGTCCAAATCGAAGCCACTCGAGATCGTCCAGAGAAGCATCCTTATGCTTCGGGGTTATATTAAATTGGTTTGAAGCTGCATTGCTGACGGATTCAGATCTGAGCGTGCTCGGTCTGCGCAGGCTCGCATCGGAATGGAGCCCGCGCTGTTGCTGTATAGAGTCCATGTAACTATTCCTGGGAGAAGCGGTAACCGGAGAACGTTTTATTGAGGTAGGTTGTGGAGTAGTTGAATTTGAGAAGGTGTTTCCCTGTAATGTGGGGGTCTGTGACTGCGATGGCGGTTGTGGGTATTGTGGAGGTACACTTGCCTGTTGTAATTGCTGCGATAGCAGAGACGTGTGTGATTTTCGTGAAGCTGGTCTCGACTGATCTTGTGACGTAGAAAATAGATCAAATGGTGACCGGGGTGACTTTGAGCTCGTTTTTGGAGAAGCTGCAATGGCGGAAGGGCCATTCCAGGAACTTGAAGAGACCGAAATCGTTGACGAAGAGCTACCAACGATGCCCGATGAGTTTCCCAGTTGTTGTTGTTGCTGTTGCTGTTGTTGTTGTTGCTGCTGTTGTTGTAATTGTAGTTGTTGTCGTTCTTGTTGTTGTAATTGTAGTTGTTGTTGATGATGATGATGTTGCTGCTGCTGCTGCTGCTGCTGCTGCTGCTGTTGTTGTAACTGTTGTTGTTGCTGTAGCTGCAAAGATGTTGCAACAAACGATGAAGATCCGGGCCTAGAAGGCTTGCGGCGTGTTATTGCGATCCCAGCCCCGCCTCCTGAAGAAGATACAGTGTGTCCGTTGACTAACGGCAGGGGACTTTGCGCTGGCGGCGGTCGAGGAGAGTGGGAGACCCTTGGAGACGAAGCTGCACTGTTGGAAGCACTGCTAGGGAAGCCATTGAGTAGTTGATATTGATTTCGTTGATTTGCGCCTGGCGATGGCTTGGGTAAAATCGGCACCATGGTTCTTGATGATGACGAACGATTGCTAGAGTTAGACGCAGAACTAGAGCTGCTGGATCTCCTGGACTTTTTATGAATTACAGGTGTCCCGGGAGTCATTAGCTTAGAATTGTGGCTCAATAAACTCGTGGAGCTCAGCTGCTGGTTTGTATTGGATAGAATCGCACCCGAAGCTGCTGAGCGAGATTCCATATCCACTTCAGAGAAACTTGTGACTGAGCTAGTCGCTGGAACTTCAAAGGGTAACGAAGGCGATGAAGGTTCAGCTTGGCTCGAATCACCTTTTTTCCCAGCCTTTGAGACATCTTTTGTTTCCTGCGCGGCTGCTTTTTTACCTCGCTTCTTGGTATTCCGCTTCCGAATAACATCGCTTTTCAATGATAAAGGACGCATCGTGCCATGCAATTTTTGAAACAAACCACATGCATTACACATAGTATTTCCTTCCGCATTTCTTCTCCATAATGGTGTTTTGGTGGTCTTACAATTAAAGCATTCGACTTGAGGTTTTCGAGGTAACTCTGAAGAAGAATTTTGGCGATATGAGGAAAGCGACGTGGAAGACAATGGCCTGGTCATGGAGTTTTTGCGTATAGAATTGGCGGTATTGTGAGATGCCAAGGAAATGCTTCCATCCTCGCCAATAGCCTTCGAAAGCTGCGAAGATGACCGCCTGGTCGGCAGCGTTGGCCGGAAAGGCGCGGTTGGTATAGGTTCCTCGACTCGAAATGCATTAGGCGAGGCGAAGAGTTGCTGTGAATTGATTTCAGACGGATACGGGTTTCCTAAAAGATGGCTCCAATTGTTGTTATTTTGTCCTCCCATATGGGAGTGGAACGAAGATCCTAATCCTCCGGTCTCTACACTACCTGGGCCAGGGCCAAGGGGCCCCTCCATATTGACATGGAACTCTGTGTTATAGCTGTTAGGCGCACTGATGGTTGCAGAATCGCTGGACTGACTCGGGGTCATCATGAACTCATCGACGTTGAAATCCCAAAGCTGTGCAATCTCACCGTTTTGAAAGTTTTCCATCGGCACGGGCTGCGACTGTTGCGCGAATAGTAGATCCATGTCTACAGCGGAAGCCGCCTGCGGCTGAGCCGGCTGCACTTTTGTATTCCGATTGGTGTGTACGGGCTCCGAGTGGTTGGACGACAGTATAATAAGCTCATCGCCTAAATTGACGTCATTTTCCTCAGGTAAAATCTCCAGCATAGAATCGAAGCCTGCCCCACTGCTCGGCCCGTTTTCACCAAGCATCTCGAACATATCGGGGGCTCTTTAGGTCTTCGTGAAAGCGCTTTCTCTGGCACTGTCATAAAAGTTTTCCTTACATTATTATTTTCAGACGATGAATACAGTCAATGTCATTTGGAACGCCTATGAATGTAGCCGCCTTAAGCCAAAACCTGAATGTCTGCGTGTCAGTAACAACTCTAAGGTGATACAGGAACTGAACTCCCTGTGTGACAGCCTCAAACCCTACGCTTTTCTACCAAATTCTGTTCCAAATGCAAGCTCATCAAGCTGAAGACCGTGCACGAGGATACTTGTGCTCTCCTTGGTCTGGCCATCCCTGACATCTTGTAAATATTAACTCCTGCTTAAACCTCCTCTCGTCCCTAGAAGACCCTTGGTTGGTAGCAAGTCTTCTCTAAAATGAGAACCCTATTCCTGTTATACGGAAGCCCGACTCCCACCCGGCCAGGCCTCTCACGGCCAGGCATTTCCCCTTCAATCTTGAAACTGCCACAACAGCCCTGTGTGTCTCTACCATTCAACCTGGAACTGACTCCAAAGCCTCTCTTTATCATCACAACACTCAACCACCAGCGCCCGAAGCTCGAACTTTCAACATCGGGAGCGTGCGAGAGCCTGTACAAACACGGGTGTCTTCCTACTGTCCGAAAGGCGTTCGCGTCTGAAGTTCTATGTGATCTAAGGGTCAAGTAGTAGTGTGTTTGGTCTTGATCGTTTGAACTTGTGTTTTGTATATATATATATATTCATACCTATATATACTTATATATATTGCCACTAGTTAGCCGCCCAGGTTCACCATCTATATAAACGAACGCTAGCTGGTAGTCAATCTTCCAACAACTAGCCTAAAACTCAGGAGCTCACCAATGTGATCATTGGACAGAGCGAAGGTCAAGTTTAAATGACTCGTTTGCTTGCCGTAAGGGAGGTAGGCTTTAAGGGCCAGGATTTGAGGCTGCACCTCTAGTTACTGGCGCAAAATGGGAAGTCGGATTTCAAAGATAGGCTCAGCTTTGAAGTGTTCCAATACAGGAGATGCTCAAACAGTGGCCGGTATGAGGTCGATTGCCGTTGGAAGGATTTCATGTTGCCAGGAAAATTCCACAGTGTCTGGAGGCACTAGAGTCGGACACCACTCGGGACAGTGAGCGCGCTGTTTTAGGAAGAAAGAGAGTGGCGAAGTTAGAGCGCACAATGGTGTACAGCCGCTATGATACACGGAGAGGTTCACACAGCGGATTGACTATAAGAGGAAAGACCAAGGACGGTGTTGATCGAGCCAAGCCGATTGACTCGTCGAAAAAGGCAAATTGAACAGCACTCAACGCTATCCTTCGAACAAGGGCCACATACGCGAAGAGGTTGACCTGTTGAAGGCGGTGAGTACAAGCCGATATTGTAGCGACAAAGTCAGAAAGAAGCTTGTTGGGAGGCCCACCGCAAAGATCCACATACAGTGTACGTCACTACCACCAGCCGCTACCATTAGGCATTCACCACTTTTTACCGTGGATCCTTCCTCACTCCGTCAGCCACCGCCGTTGACACCAGGCCAGGTTGTTACCCTACACGACAGGATAAAGTTCGTGTTTTCCACGTTTTCATCATATACAAACACCAAAAGTTCTTCCTCAACAACATAAGACTCCAACTACGCGCTACTTTCCACTGAGGTTCGTTCTTTCAGAAATAACTCTACGGTAGGTATCTCGATCCGAAGTCCACCAGTCTATTACCGGTTGATAGCGTTGCACTTCCCATATCAAGAGAAGTAATCGTTATTTGCTTGTTTGCTGCCTAATTTTGCTGAATTACAATACATTCCATGTCCGAACTGAGAACTGAATCCGGTGGACTGTCCCACATTGTCAACTCGGGTCCCGTGTCGATCTTGGCGTACTGCGGCTCCTCCATTTTGATGACTGTTACCAACAAATTTGTGGTGAACGGTCAAAATTTCAACATGAACTTCGTGATGTTGTTCGTGCAGGCTTTGGTGTGTACTCTGTGCCTCACCATTTTGAAAACTTTGGGCTATGCCAAATTCCGCCCCCTCAACAAGACTGATGTCAAGAACTGGTTCCCAATCTCCTTGTTGCTGGTCGCCATGATCTACACCTCGTCCAAGGCTCTGCAACACCTGGCAGTCCCCATCTACACTATCTTCAAGAACTTGACCATCATTTTGATTGCTTACGGTGAGGTTTTGTTCTTTGGTGGCAAAGTCACCGCCATGGAGCTATCGGCCTTCATGGTGATGGTTTTGTCTTCCGTCGTTGCTACTTTGGGTGACCAGCAAGCCCTGTCTGCCAAGGAAGGTATCGAAACCCAAAGCGCCACTGCCGGCTACCTATGGATGTTCAGCAACTGTATCGCCTCTGCTCTATTTGTTTTAATCATGCGTAAGAGAATTAAGTTGACCAACTTCAAGGACTACGACACAATGTTCTACAACAATATTTTGGCTTTGCCTGTTCTTTTAGTTTCTTCCTTTATCTTGGAAGACTGGTCCTACGCCAATTTGAGCACCACTTTCACCAACGAATTTATCACCGCTCTGATCATTTCCGGTGTGGCCTCTGTTGGTATCTCGTACTGTTCCGGATGGTGTGTCAGAGTGACCTCATCGACAACATATTCCATGGTCGGTGCTCTCAACAAACTACCTATTGCTTTGTCGGGATTGGTCTTCTTCGATGCTCCAAAGAACTTCTTGTCGATCTTCTCGATTTTCTTGGGCTTCATGGCTGGCCTGATTTACGTTGTCGCTAAGCAAAAGAAGCAACAACAACCACAGCCTCCAAAGGCTTAATTTGAACAAGATGCTGACTTTAGCTTTGGTTTTTGAGAGTTATAGTGAACCTGACTCAGCAGCATGAATTGCTCACGTTGGTCAAACTTCCCTATAATTGTCCCTACCAAGTTGCGTTCCATCGTTTATCGACTTGTATCGCCGATCTGATGTTCATGTCTAGCGAACTGTATAAACTTATAGCCACTGAGAAAGTTCATCATTGATTAAAACCATATATCTCATAAATTGTCGAAAATATTCAGTGAACTTAAATAATATTCAAGTACTTAACACAACGGCAGCCTTCAACTGCGGATGGACACAGCTTCGCAAACCAATGACAGTGATAGTGTAACAGATTCTTCTAATTACGTATCAGCCGCATCTTCGATAGAGGCGCTGGATGCCCAGCACAATCGTGATCAAGATTTTGTGGGTGATTCACAGGATTCGGACGTAGCATCTTTAAGTGGTCGAAATGAACTATTTCGCGACAATGCTTCCTTGTCAGAATCATCCGAGGAAGGATCTACAGACTCCTTCAACCCTCTAGCTGATCTAGGCATTTCTGATAGTGCTGCTCCCGAGCTGAAACCGAGCAGACCGGCGCGCATTGACTTCGTTGAGTTCCATAAAGGACACAGATTCGACGATGAGCTTCTTCCGAGACTGCAAAAGTTCGAGGAAGTGTCCAAGACGACGGATTCACTTTCACAGCAACCAAAAAGAGTCAATGACCAGAACTCTCTCCGCGAATTGCAATCAAAATTGGCGCATAAAGTTCCAAGGGCTTATTTGGAGATGGTGCTGAGGGAAAACAATTACCATCAATACGAAGACTGGCATTTCATGACAGAAGACTCTCAAGGTAAGGACTGTGATCCGTGGGAACAGTTTTTGAATCCTCATGGCCACCTCCCTCAACCGTCGTTAAAAGAATTTCTCGTTTCCATCGGCGTCCCTACTAGCTTTATGCCTGAAACTGCCGAAAAAATAAGTGTAACGATGTTTGATCGTATGAATTACCTGGAATCGGTAAGCTGGATGTGCCAGCAGCTGGAACATTATGTGGACAGCAGTGGTTTTACCAAAACGTTTATCCGCTACATTCTGGATAGAAACATCTACGACTCTGCAGAGTGTAATTCCATGTGGTGTTCCAAGGTATATGGCCAACTATGTGAAGACCACTTTCTGAGGACTTATTTGCAACTTGTCGAGAACGATGAGTACATGCTACACCTTCGAGTTGCACGGCAGATCCCAGAAATACACGGACCGCTCTTGGAAGCATTACATCCGAATGCCGGACAGCAAGTGTTTGCGGAGAAATTTCACGAGCTTCTCAACTCGAAAGAGTACCGGAAGCTGCTTTACTTCATTTTGTTTATTTTGGGAACGGACAAACTTCCCTTCGGCAGGAATGATATTACCTTGCACTTCAAGAATCAAATACATGACTTCTGTGAGGACGGCAACAACTTAGAGCTTATTGTTTTAAAGAGCTACATAAACCTGTTTCTAAATAGATGAACTTTTGTTCCACACAGCCATCTGCCGCCATTAGGGCCCGGCCCCAACAAATAATTCCGGCACCACCTGCGGCAAATCCTCAATCCTCTTTATCACCAACGATCCATCGGGATTTTTGCCCAACATTTCATCTACTTCTTCTTCTATCAAATGAATGCATTTTTTCATTCCCAAAGACAATCCTGTCTTAATATTATTACCACTGTCGTCCACGAACCAGGCATTAGCATAGTCGCCCAGGCCACTTTGCACCTTTGCTCTTTCAAATGCGACCGGATCGGGCTTGCAAATTAAGTTGTCTTTTTGCGAGTAGTCACAGTACGTTATTCCGTCGAAAAGATCCGCTATCCCGAGCAGCCTCACGCAACGCAAGCCGTGGTTCTTATAAGCGTTTGTGAACAACCACATTTTGTCAACAGTGGAGGCGTCCCGAAGTCTTTGTAGCATCGCCCGCAGCTCTGGATCGGGCTTCAAAATATCGTGGAGCGGCAGAGCATCGTCAACCATTTTGTTGTACTCTAAGGCCTCAATGTCGTGGTGTTTCACTAATCCTCGAATGGCAAGCCCATACTCCCGATAGTAGCTGTAGTGCAACTTGCGTGCATTATCGTCGTTCAGGTCGAGCTCGTTTTTGAAGTAGTCATGGATAGACACCTGCATCTGATCGTGAATGCGAGTCGATCTCTTGTACAGACAGTTGTCAATATCGAAGAAAAACACCTTGAGATTAGGGTCTGGTAATGGTAGTTCTTTAGGGTCCACTTCGAAAGCAACTCGAGAGCCGGGATGGGTCAAAGCGTCCAGCCTTTCTTGGTTGACCCTGAGCTGAGTTTCCACCAGGTTCCTGTAATGCGCCTTTGGTTTGGTCGTTGAAGTTATCGTCATTTGCCCTACTCGATTATTGAAATTCTGGATAACTCTACGAGCACAATTGAACATTAAAAGGCTAATGGTGTTACCTCGAAGCAATATTATTATGACAATGTCTTATACCTTTGCCACATGTCGAGTTAATGCATCCACGCATTTACCCATAAAGGACGGAAGAGGATATAGTTGACTCAGATCGTAGGAAGAGATCAAGTTCGAACGGTCAGCGTCAGTGAGTCAGTTTTGAACGTTCTTGAAGGTTGAAGAAGGGCTATAGCGCTTTGATTCTCGCCGTGTGCTGCTCTACATAGGCGACGAAGCTTGCGAAAGTCATGGCTTCAACAGCACCTGCCACGAGGCCTCTAGTGGAAGGCTCGCTGGCGGGAGTGTTCTCCTCTTTGAGTGGAGGGTTTGGATCGTCTTGGTTGGTCGAATGAGACATGGAGGTAGACAAAGTGCTGGGTTCCATTGTTTGATGGCTGCCAGCGTGGTGTTCGTTTTGGGGTTCTGTGACAAACTGCTTTTGGTCGGTATTTTGTTGGGCGACAATTTGGGTTTTTTCGGGCCCCGCGGTTGGTTGCTCATGGCGTTCTTTGAGCGCATTGTCCTCCTCTTCCTTTCGTTCGACTAATGCTTGAGAGCTCTCCTGCTCAACAATTGTCTTCTGCACAGCTTCCACACGAGTAGAAACTCCTTGAGCGCTATTGGGCTCTTCCGCTCGTCCTTGTATACTATCATCGCCTGTTTCTTCTTTATTAGGGCTCTTCTCTTCCGAACCTGGTTCGTCCGATTCTGGTTCGTCCGATTTCTTTGGTTCTTCCGATTCTGGTTCTTCTTGGACAATGTTGTTCTCTGGTACTTCCGGTTTCTCTGGTTCTTCGGATTCTGGTTCTTCGGATTCTGGTTCTTCTTGGACAATGTTGTTCTCTTGTACTTCACCATGAGGCATTCGCTTCTCCGTCACTTCTCGCTGCACGAACCCCACAGCTACATCTGAAGTAGTCTCTGTACTTACCATGCCTTGCGCCCTCTCCCTGGTAACTTGTTGTAGCCGCTGCTCCAAATTTTGGATCAACCGATTTTTGATGTCATCGACAGTTGTTGTTTCTGCACCATAGTGTTGCAGTCTTTGGATCAGCTGTGAAACGGACACCAACAGATTGTCTAGTTTACGGTCCTGTTCATCCTTTATACCATGACAAAACCAATCTACATCTTGAACAAAACTGGCTACAGAATCACCGGCGCAAAAACTGTAGAGGTTCAAAGAGGTGGGCTGCGTCGAGGTTCTTTCACATGCAGCGTAGTAGCGTTCAAACTGAAACTCAACATTTTTTAACAGACTTTCAATGGACTTTGACTTGAACACGGGCGCCTTTAGGAACACTTGCACCTCGGGATCCATTTGAGAGTTCCGCAGCACGTCCTCGTTTCGCAGCAGAAAGTCGCATACCAACTGGCTCACCGTATCAATTCCATCGAAAACGAATACCTGCGAACCCGCGTGGGCGTGGAACAAGTGATAGAGCTTAACCCATTGGAGCGCTGAGAACGACATTTTATGTTCGAGCACGGCTGCCTGTAGTAACTGACAGTTGGCTGAAATCGTAGAGTCGTAGCGGGACGCGTGCGGAAAACCACGGATACTTTCGAAGCTGGAAAGCAGAGGGTCAAAGTTCTTGGGTGCAGCTGGATCCCCGAGGAAACTTTTTACTGCTAAAGTCCATTGCGCAACTGCTAAGGCGTATTTGGCATCCTGCAAGTGGTCCGAAGCCGGGCTGGAGTGCCCTCTGCTCAGGTCAATTGCATCCCGGGTTTCGCGATTAGGGTCTGCAACAGGTTCTAACTTGTATGAGGAGTCGTTGAAGCATAAATCCATCAAGCTGGCGTCCACTTCGCGCGACCGCCTCAAGAGCTCTTCGACGCTATCGGTGATTGCCAGAATATCGGTGTAGCGATGGCTGAGTTCCCGCTCAAAATTGTCGTTGGCGCGAGCGATATCTTGGGCCAGGTGCAAGTTGTAGTCGCGCACCTCCGCAACGGGTTTCTCACGAAACAGGTCCTCTGCAACGCTCGCCATTGGGAAGAAAATCTAGAAAACTTCTGATCTAGTTGGAGGGTTAGTCGTAGAAAACCGTCAGCAAGCGAAGAACGGCTGTAGCAGGTGGGCTATGGAATCCAAGTTGGGAGTTGTTACGGACTTACGCTGTGACCGTTACAGTTAGGCAGTGGCATGCAGTTGAGTAGCGGTAGCCAGATGCTCCGTCAAACATGATGATCAAGAAAGAAGACCAATTACCTTAACTAAAACCAGTGAAACTGTACGCATCTTATCCTGCGATATACCTTGCTCAACTTGCAAGTTTGTCTTGAGCTTGGAGCCTTTCAGCGTATCCGCAACGTACTTTTTGCGTGTTTTGTAATATCTTTTCGTAGCCAAAATATTGAGCTGTTCAGCGAGCCATCGGGAGAGTTTAAAACGCCACGGAAACAACAGCTGGGGCGTAAAGATGGAATGCAATCCAACGTTTCTCCTTGGGAGGGTAGCGAATGAACCTCGGAGCACGTCAATTTGAAAAAATAGTGTTATAAGTAGCAGACGGTGGAGTACCGTGAGGTTACACCATGCGTCGATAGGAGTTTGGTGTATCCACGGTTATCAAGCTTGTAAGAATTCGAATGTGCCAAGTCATTGTCGCAAGTCGATAGCTTGGCGTAGGAATTTGTCAAGGCACAGCGCAGAGGCAATGGTTGTCAGGGTCTGATCAGGCTAAACTCTTCTTGTCTACTGGTACTATAATGGTGTTGGGAATGCTGTGCGTTACGAGGGAACTGAGGGTGGTGTGCGCCTAATCGCATAATCGGCGTCAGGAAATATGTGACACAGTGGTACAGAATGATAGTACGTAACAGAGGCCATACAAAGCGGCTTGCTCGGTGTTATCACACTTTTTTCACCCTAGGTGCCGGAGGTGGCGGGAGGAGTCTTCGGGCGGTTTATCAAAGCATCTGCGAGAGATCTTCCGGCTCCTCAGGATACTTTATGCTTGCTCTACTAGAGCTCGCCAGCGTCGGCAGTTGCTTACTCGCCGAGTTGGTGGCACAATGTGCTCATAGACATCGTGCATAGAGTTCTGAGCTCTCGGCACTGAACCCGGAGCTTGCAAAGCGACTTCTAGCTGTCTCGTGGCGATTATCAGGGCCACGATTCCAGCCCATATCTGGGAAAGCGAGCCGGCAGTAAGCTGGGCGCAGTCAGAGCGGGATGACCAAGCAATCCCGCTGCGCGGTAGGATGGTTCATGTGGCTGGCCGGGAGCACGCGTGTGCCATCGCTATTCCCCATTCTCTCTGTACACCTCGCCTCTATCACTGTGTACGACGCTGACACGGCGATGACACTGTGGCATAAAGTGATACGAGCCGGACAACTGCTGCGAGGTATTCACGCAAGTGTCGTCTGTAGCCGACAACGCCAGCCACGTACTTCAAAAAGAAAACAGCAACAATCTCACACGGCTACTACTGCCGGGCGCCCACACAGCCAGATATCTGCTCCAAGAGCTAGCGACGCAAAGAGCACGCCGAGCGGTCACGTGACCCGTCTTTCTTTTTTAGCCCATTTTACTGGCTTCCCGAGGCGCACAAGTTCAGACACTGGCCGCCTGCCACTGCCGTCGAGGAGCGCCATACACGCTGCCACATCGCCGCCGCTCGCCTGCCCTCTCTGCCAGAGCCACGGCGACTGCCCACCGGCCAAAACAGAAAAAAACCACGTGACAATGGCGTGACACGTCTCAGCACGCCCACCACCTCCAACCACCCTGCGGTTCGGCCACTCTAAAGCAACGCCTTCGAGCTCCTCGTCATAGTGCTGCAACTTGATCTCTTCTTCGCGGTGGGGCCCGCGCCAGTAGGGACCCGCAAGAACGTCATGTCATAGCTTCGTCGTGGGCCCACGCTCTGTGTAGAGCGCTAGTCACGAGCCATGTACCGTCTCACGAACTCTTTTTTTTATAATTTTTTTGACAAATTTTTTCCTTCACACAGCAAATGAACGAACGGTATTGAAAAATTGAGGTGAGAAGCCAAGCATATAAACCATTATCATTGAAGAGGAGTTGTTCAACGGAATAGTTTGTGTTAGGTTAATCGACGAACACTAGCTCCTGGAATTTAGAGTTTTCTAGCTGCTGCAAAGAATAGGGACGATAATCACTGCTAACACCGCGTGCGCCCTTTTGAATTAGACCAAAAAGCTAGTTTTCATTGCCAGCCGTTTTTCGCAGATATCGATTTAGTTGCATCTGTTGGGATTAGGCAATATAATATTTCAAGACGGCAAAGCCAGAGCATAGAGAAGTTGTTCATAAAGCTTCCGCTTGATACACACCCACACATCCATACCAGCACAGTATGCCACCAGCATCCGCTTCCAAGGCCAAGAGAGAGGCCAAGAAGGCTGAAAGAGACGCCAAGAGAGCCGCAGAGGGCAAGACGGTGCGTGTGTCCAAGAAGAAGGAGGATAGCGAGGACGAAACCGAGGCCACGGCCCGGGAGATCGCACAGATGAAGCTGCAGCTCGACAAGGACGGCCTGTCGGACCGTGTGGTGACCGGTGTGCTCGACTCGCTGGAGACTTCGCGAGACGTCAAGATGTCGTCCGTGTCGCTGCTGTTCCACGGTAAGGTTCTGATCCAGGACTCGCAGGTGGAACTGAACTACGGGCGCCGCTACGGGCTGCTGGGTGAGAACGGGTGCGGTAAGTCGACGTTCCTGAAGTCGCTTGCGACTCGCGAATACCCCATCCCCGAACACATCGACGTGTACTTGCTCGACGAGCCTGCGGAGCCCTCGGAGTACTCAGCTCTGGAATACGTGGTCAACGAGGCGCAAAACGAACTGAAACGGCTCGAGGACCTGGTGGAGAAGACCATTCTAGACGAAGGGCCCGAGTCCGACGTCTTGGAAGGGATCTACGAGCGCATGGACTCCCTGGACCCCTCCACGTTCGAAAGCAGAGCCGCCGTCATCCTGATCGGTTTGGGTTTCAACTCCCAGACTATCAACAAAAAGACCAAAGACATGTCTGGTGGCTGGAAAATGCGTGTTGCCCTGGCCAAGGCCCTTTTTGTCAAGCCAACTCTGCTGCTGTTGGATGACCCCACTGCCCATTTGGATCTCGAAGCGTGCGTGTGGTTGGAAGAGTACTTGAAGAGATTTGACAGAACCCTGGTCTTGGTGTCGCATTCGCAAGATTTCTTGAACGGTGTTTGCTCCAATATGATCGACATGCGTCTACAGAAATTGATTGCTTACGGTGGTAACTTTGACTCTTACACCAAGACCCGTAGCGAACAGGAGACCAGCCAAATGAAACAATACGCCAAGCAGCAAGAAGAAATCGCCCACATCAAGAAGTTCATTGCATCTGCCGGTACCTACGCTAACCTGGTGAGACAGGCCAAATCTAGACAAAAGATTTTGGACAAGATGGAGGCAGACGGGCTGATCGAACCAGTCGTGCCAGACAAAGTTTTCTCCTTCCGTTTCCCAGAAGTGGAGAGATTGCCTCCCCCTGTCCTGGCTTTTGACGACATCTCTTTTGCGTACGATGGCAAACCTGAGAACAACCTTTACGAACATTTAAATTTTGGTGTGGATATGGACTCCAGAGTTGCTCTTGTAGGACCCAACGGTGTGGGTAAGTCGACTCTATTGAAGATCATGACGGGTGATCTTTCTGCACAGTCGGGCCGTGTCTCTCGTCACACTCACGTCAAATTGGGTGTTTACTCACAACATTCTCAAGATCAACTAGATTTGAGTAAGTCTCCTCTAGAATTCGTTCGTGACAAACATTCGGATATCTCTCACGATTTCCAATACTGGAGAGGCCAACTTGGCCGTTACGGTTTGAGCGGTGAAGCTCAAACCTCCCAAATGGGTACTCTATCTGAAGGTCAACGTTCCCGTGTCGTTTTCGCATTGTTGGCTCTGCAAGCACCAAACGTTTTGCTGCTGGATGAACCTACCAACGGTCTAGATATCTCTACCATCGATTCCTTAGCCGACGCAATTAATGACTTCAATGGTGGTGTTGTGGTTGTGTCACACGATTTCAGGTTGTTGGACAAGATTGCTAAGGACATTTTTGTCGTTGAAGACAAAACCGCCACCAGATGGGACGGTTCAATTTTGGACTACAAGAACAAGTTGGCGAAGAATGTTGTATTGTAAATGTGAATTAAATATCTATAAATTTTTCGGCGTATCTCGTTCATTTAATCGTAATTCTATATTAGAGATTCGGCTTCATCAAAATCGTTGAGTAAAGTTCACTATCTATCTAATCTAGCCCTCTACACACATTGAGAGAGTTGCTCAGAAGCGCGCATAGCGCCCGACTCGATATAACAATATCTTCTTAAGATTGGAAAACTGGGTAAAATGGAGGGAGGGGTGTCAAAAAAATCTGAACCTTCCTTTATGTACTTTCAATCAGGTCTATCTGTCAGACTTGATTACGACCGTCCAGGATAGATACAGTAAAAAAAAAACCATCCCAATATCCTAAAACCTTCAAAAACCAATCGCGTTGAACTTATCTGTCTGATCGCAGATCAGATCAGCTTTGGGGTATGGAATCAGAGGAAACAAAAACAAAACAACAAAAGATCAATACCATGGGTCATACTTACACCAGAATTACGCCAAGAGCACAGATTGACTAAGCAATCGCAGATGCCAGATCTTCAAGTGAAACTTGGCTTGGGTAAATTTGTAATAGAAGGCACGCTTGTGGCGAATGACGCACCGGCGTATCCACCTTGAGCAAGCTTTGCTGCAGCCTTCGATTTTTTGGAAGTTTTCTTGTTGCTTGAAGGTTTTACATCTGTGCTGCTTGTGTTAGGACTGGAGCTCAAACTGGCACTGGAGCCCAAACTAGCACTGGACGCTCGAGGTTCCTCGAAAAGGGAGGTTGCGGGTCCTGCAATACCACTGCTTGTGGGCCTGGTGGGAGCGGAGCTGGGAGAATGAAATTGTGGCGGTAACGCGGGATTGAATACTGGCGGATTATGTGGAAAATGACCAGGCATAATGGTCATTGGGGGAGGAGCAGGAGGGGGAATCCCGTAAAATCCAGGATTATGTTGCACAGTACCATTCGAGAATGGTGTCTGCATTTGAGAATGATATGGACCTGTACCCGAGGATAAGGCGTAGTTGGGCCCCAAGGGGGGCAGTCCAGAAGGAATGGTAGAAGGAAAACGACCTTGGTTCGGGTGTTGCTGTTGGTTCAATATCTGGTGCTGGTACTGCTGGTGCTGGTATTGCTGAAATTGCTGATTTTGACGCAACTGCTGGAATTGTTGATGCTGGTGCTGCTGTTGAAAAAGACCCGGTTGGTGTGGCAATGGTGATACAGTCAGAGGAGTGTTGTCGGAAGGAGGTAGTGGTAGTGGAGATTGCATAGGTGATGCACTGGGCAAAGATTGTGGGGTCATTTGGCGCGCTGATACAGGCCTTGAAACATCCGTGTACCCGTTGCTCATCTGGGACAATCCCCCATGAGGGAACTCACCTCCGTTGCTATCCAACGCAGGGTTCGAGACTGTTGACGAAATGACCTGTTTGCTGTTTGGAGCTCTGCCACGTTCAACAATACCGCCACTGCCACTGCTGCCACTGCTGCTGCCACTGCTGCTGCCACTGCTATTGTTGTGAGGTTTTTTTTGGCTTCTGTCTTTCTTTCCGGAATTACCAAAATTAGGTCTGTCGCCGTTAGGAAGCGCCTGAGGTTGTGGTAGTGAAGCTTGATCTTCCGCGACAGTTGCTTCCTGACGACTCCTATTCTTGCGCTGGGCTTTCACCATCTTCTTCTCCGGCTTTTGCAGCTGACTGGTCCTGTTCTTGCCAGTAGCTGGCAAGCGCCTAGAGCTATTGAGATACATTGTGTCTGTCGACATCTTGAACGGTTCGAAATTGTAGGTATCACTTTGGGAGTACTTGTAGAAGCTTTGAGAAGTCTCTAAAACGTTGTTCTGACCAAAAATTGTTTTCGTCCTAAAACACGCAGGTAACAGGCCAAAAGCTTGATGTGTATAGTTGTAAAAGCGTAAAGGTTTTGAGAGTTTCCTTAGGCTCAAAAGTAAATCAATATAAATGCCGCTTTAAAGAGTTATCAGTGTATGTTGTTTGGTTTGTGCCAGAAGACGGAGAGGTCAAGTTTAGATAGATAGTTTTAAATTACGTCATGCTTCACGACCATGATATTGAGCACCATCGACCTCAGTAAGCCATACTCTTCCGGAGCTAAAGACAGTAATCCGAATACTTCTTACTCTACTATGACACAGTGCAGATTAATCAGAGCTACGGGAGTTACTTTAGATGAGTTCGTCCAATAAATCTTGTTCGGATTGCAACTCGTCCGGAATATCCGTGTGTACGGATAACGAGGAGTGTTGGTTGGGGGAGACGTTCACAGTAGCGTTAGGGTCGGGCCTACGTGCCCTCTGATCTGCAGTCTTTTCCAGTATTTGAGGTCCGTTGCTTTCGCGATTTTCCTCGGTCCTGTTGTTTTTTCGCCCTAGTAGTTGGTTGAGCTGTGTAACATCCATAGAGTCCAGGTCTTTACGAGTGACCTCGGCTGTTCTTGGAATGCTTAGGTCCAGATCCTTACGGCCCTTGAGAACATCCTTTAGCTTGCGGTTAGCGGATGTGGTGTTAAAGTCGTTGTCCTGGTATGTCATAGAGATATCTTCATGATAGCGGTAGTGATTCGCTTGCAACTCGGGCTTTTCAGGTTCGGGTTCTGCAGTCTTGTTCAACGACCGATACTTGCGGTCGCTCGGGGTTGCATGGCGCCGTTTGAGCTTCTCCTTGTCTTGGAATTTCTTGCGATTATCCCGCTTTAAGGCGTATGGATCCATAACCTGGTGTTTTTTGAGATGTGTCGATGGTTATTGGGCTACGACAACTTACATCAATATAAGAAATTGAGCGATCAACTACATACAGGGAAAGGCGCGATCGTAATCACACCATATTGTAAGCCAGTGGGAATACATATTGCATTGTATTTTTCTTACACGAATTCCAAGGGGTCACAGTCCTCGGAGCTCATTACACAGTTTACGCCGGCCTTCGTAAGTTCCTTTACCATTACCGACTTTAAGAACCCACGCTCTGTGTTGGAATGGTTGCAGACAATGACAGCTTTCCCCATCTCTCTAAGTCTCAAAATTTCGTGGTGTGACATTTCGCCGGTCAGATACAGATCCACATCTTGCTTCAGACTCTTGAACACGCCTGACCCGCTCCCTGCACAGAGAGCTACCGACTGTACTTGATACTGTTTGGCGTCGCCATTGAGAGCCATCTGTAGGTTTTTTACGCCCAATGCCGTTTTTAATGAAGAAAGGATGGAACTCAGGGAGACGGGTTTGGTAAGTTTGACCACTCGACCATAGCCAACCTCGTGGTCGAGCTCATTGTGTAAAGGTGCCACTTTTTCTATGCTGACGCTGGACTCAATCAATGACAAATCGTCAACAAGGGAACTGACTAGCCAATCGTTGACACCATTTTTGGCAGCATCTACCGCTGTGTGCGGACAGTACACGCTGACCCCATTCTGGATCAGCTTAATGGCGGATCGGTGTTGAGGGTTTTGAGTAGGACTCAATCTTTTCCAGCTAGGGAAAATGAATGGATGATATGCCAAAACCAAGCTACATTCGTGACGTAGAGCCTCCTGAGCTACAGCAGCTGTCAGGTCTATGGTAAGCAAAACCTTAGGGTCCTGAACGCTACTGTGGTTCTCGGAACAATCAATTAAGAGGCCGGTGTTGTCCCAACTTGAGTCCGCATAGCCTGAAGGGTACAGCTTTGTGATTTTATCCACCAGAGATTTTAACTGAGGTCTAGAAAGCGCTTTACTCATTAGGTCTTCGAGGAATAAGTATCTGAAGGTGATTTTGGTCTGTTACTCACTTATTTTGACACTTGAATAACAATTTGCAAAAGATATATTATATATACTAATGATACACCTGTTTAATGGCTAACAGCAAGTTATAGACAGCCCTTGACATGCTTACCCAACAAGGTCTACATGACAAGCTTTCAGCAACGATTCCCAACGTAAAAAATGTCATTGTTACTGATACATCCAACGGCTGTGGACAATCTTTTGATGTAATTGTGGTCAGCGATACTTTCCTAGGCAAAAATAAGCTTCAGAGGTGCCGCCTAGTGAATAATGCTTTAAAGGAGGAAGTGGCTCAAATACATGCCTTTGGATGTAAATGCTTCACCGAGGAAGAATGGTCTAAGTTGGTAGTTTGAGTTTTTGGTCTAAACCAGTCTCAGAAAGTGAGGACAAAGTTCATAGCCATACACCACTAACTCCTCACTACTTCGCAAGAGATGTAATATTCGCTATGGGGCGCGCCTCATTTTGTGGTTTCCTTTTAGCAAGAACCCAAGGTCAATGCCACCCGATCATAAATAGTGGACTTTAAATTAATTACAAATCGTTAATTCATGACTACAGTATGTATCCCAAGGTCTCCGATGACCCTTTATAATATCCTAGCAACCGTAAGGAGGTGGAAGATCCTCACTTCCCCACTTAAGACCTTGAGCCAATCCGACAAAACTTAAACCCTTGTGCTCCAAAATTGGCCTTTCCATTTCTCTAGTGACATAGAATTTGCTGTTCCGCATGGGCGAGTAAAGACTGGACCGTAGCTTTTGAAGGTCTCTCCTGCGATTCAAGCTTTGGGCCTCCTCTAGTAAGTTCAGCTTTGGTGTAGGAGGCGAAACCACTGGATATGTTTGATTAGCACCTGCCTTTGCAGACAGTTGCAAATGAGGTATGTTGAAGAAGGCAGAATTCTCTCCTAAAAGTTCTGGCGATTGAGCGACACTTACAGGTCGAGGGGAGTGCACAAAGTCTGGGGTATTCCTCACGTTAGCCTCTGACCGTTCGGCGTTGTTGCTTAGTGAAGTGGGGGGACCAGCTTCTGCTATACCCTCCACGTCTGGCACACTAGCCTTCCTTTCCAACTTTTTGGATACTTGAATCTTAGATTTGTTACGGCCACCCATCTTAATTTTTCGTCTCCTCAAATTGGTGTTGTCTCCGTTACTTCGTTCATATATGCGAGACTGAACAGAAGCAATGGTATTTAAATTGTAGCTTCTCTCATCTAGAACTCTTTGCGGCAATGTATTGAGCTGTTGATTGTAACCACCGCCGACGATAGTGTTCGAGCTTACCGACCTGCCCAACAACTTTAGATCCGGAGCTTCTGCTGCATGAAAATCTGGGTAAAAGTTGCTAAGAGCTGGAACACGAGAGTTGAATCTGTGCAAATTCTGCCTTTCCAAACAACCAGGAATTGCACTCAAGGTATTCATTGCGGTGGGGTTCAGCGACAGAGACTGGCGAGATGACACCAGCGTAGAGAGCCGCAGCATAGTTGCAGGTGACAGATCCTCCAAATCTGAGTCTTCCAGTATCACTCGAGGCAGATGCGATTGACTCTCGACATGTTGTTGCAGTTTTTCCTCTGGATAACCGCCTGTTGTTTCTCCGTGGGTGAACCATCTTTGGCTCATGCTGAAGATAACGCTGGGTAGCACATCCTTGAAGACAGTCTCCATAGAGCCCTTCAGCCGTTTCTCAATGCTCGATTGCAAGAGCTTGATGGAGCAGTCGAAATTAAAGTCGAGGTTCACGTCATTGAAGGATATACCGACGCTGGTGTTTTTTACGAAAATATTAGTTATGGCTTCCAGCTCAATTTGGTCGAAAGTCATGGTTATTGGAACCGTGAATGAGTCGTTTGATATCAAGCGCGGAGTCGTGAAAGCCGGCCCGTTGTTGGTATATAACAGCAGCAAATTCGCTTCGATTTCCGTGTTAATCTCCAACATAGCATCTTTACAAGAGATCTTGCAAATACCCTTCAGAAGCGACTTGGACTGCGCCGAAAGATCCAGATCCAGGATCTCCAGTTGCGGAATCGAAGGAAAATTGACTTTGCTAACGGTGATCCCACTCTTCAAAATATCAAGTTTTTTTGGTCCCTTGGTTTCCTGTTTCACTTCATCGGTAACAGCCGAGTTTGATGCATTCGCACTTTTCGACTGTGACCCGCTTCCGCTATCAGCATTTAGAGCATGCGTCAGTTTTTCTCGGATTTGCTCGTTGAACGAGTTGTCCTCGAAAGTAGCTTTATTGAAACGAAACGACATCTTAAATAGCCCTAAAGAGTCTGATACCGTCGGCCAGAAAAAGCTCAGCTCCTGCTTGATAGTAATGTAAAAGGTTCTAACTAGCCGTATTCTCTCCTTATTAGGACTGGGTTTGGTTTTAGACCATTTCAGACATTGATCTCATGGAGGGTTTTCCATTTGCGATAGATAGTACACAAAAATTATCGTATATAACGGTAATGTGGTCATGGGATCACAACACAAAATGTAAACATGGGAATCGGGATGAGCACAATACATTCACCAATGTAGAAGATCAGCCACATTACTGCTACTAGATGCCAGTAAAGACTGGAATACTCGTGGATCTGCGTTAGTCTGGTTAACTTTAGTTTGTAATTGACTCCTGGGGTATTTTTGGATGAGTTTTGAAGTTCCACAGACTCGACAATCGTCCATTGTAGTGGCGGTGAGGGTCCGGCCGTTCACGGCGCAAGAGCAGGCACACTTGATTAACGAACAAAGTGGTGCCTTCGGAAATTTACAGCTGGGAGATGCAAACTTAACGCTGCCTGGAGTGGAACAGAGTTCCACGCCTACGAAATCATCACCTTCAGCATCACCGGGGCACAGTAGGTTTCGGCCGCAAGGGCTCCGACAAACAGTAGACTGTGTCGATGACAAAATGCTGATATTTGATCCCTCCGAGAGTAACCCGCTGCGAAGAATCAGCGAAACTGTTTTGAACTCATTGGCAGCTTCGTCCTCGCAAGGATTCCGCTCTGCAAATAGCCGGCGCAGCGGCGAACAAAAGTTCGTATTTGACCGGGTATTCAATATGGACTCCTCCCAAATGGAAGTGTACGAAGCTACAGCTCGCCCGTTGCTTGATTCGGTGTTGGATGGCTTTAACAGCACTGTATTTGCATATGGTGCCACTGGTTGTGGCAAAACCTACACAGTGAGCGGACCACCTGAGAACCCGGGTATCATTTTTCTCACGATGCAGGAGCTGTTTGCGAAGATGGAAGAAATGAACGACAAAAAAAGGTTCGAACTGACGGCTTCGTATCTGGAAATCTACAATGAAACCATCCGTGACTTGTTGCAGCCGGAAACTTCCAGTAAGAAACTTGTTTTATTTGAAGACGCCGAACGCCATATCACCGTTGCGAACTTATCCCATCATCCTTTAAAAACCGTCCAAGACGTGATGGATTTGGTTATACGAGGAAATAATAACAGAACAACCTCAGCTACTGATGCCAACGAAACGTCATCGCGGTCTCATGCAGTACTCCAGGTTCACATAGCACAGAGGAACAGGACTGCAGAACTCAAAGAAGACCAAAAGTTCGCCACTTTATCACTCATTGATTTGGCTGGCAGTGAAAGAGCTTCAGCCACTAAAAATAGAGGGGAACGACTGCACGAAGGTGCCAATATCAATAGGTCTCTACTAGCATTGGGAAATTGCATAAACGCTTTGTGCGTAAACGGGAAAAGGGGGGCCAGTTGCCACGTCCCATACAGAGATTCAAAGCTCACAAGACTTTTGAAATTCTCCCTTGGCGGTAATTGCAAGACGGTAATGATAGTTTGCGTTTCCCCCGGGAGCAACCACTATGATGAGACGCTGAACACCTTAAAATATGCTACTCGTGCGAAGGACATAAAGACTAAGCTGATAAGAAACAGACATTCCCTTGATCGCCATGTCGGTTCCTACTTAAAGATGATTACCGAACAAAGGCAAGAGATTGAAGAGCTTAGAAGCAGGGAGCGGAAAGTGATTGACCTGGAAGTTGGAAAATACCGGATATCTCGTGAAAGAATTCACATGGCGATTTGGGATAGTGTGCAGGGATTGCGCAACAATTATAGAAAATCCGAGAAATTTCAGCATTTGAAGATTATCAAATCTTTGATCTTATGCAAACGTCGGTTCTTACAAATGATTAGAGTTGAGCTCGAGGTACTTTTGAAGTTCTCTTCCATTTCAACGGAGCTCCATGGTGATTGCTCGGCTGTTTATGATCAGCTCGGGGATAAAATTCGCGATTTGGAAGATAGCTTCGATGCTTCAGATGAATTAGATTCGTCGTTGGAACATACCCGAGAGGTTGACCTTACCAAGCTACAAGAAATGGAAAACTGGGACGAGGGAACGGATCTTGTTTGGTATGAGTCGCTCTTGAGTTGGATCTCAGAGGCAGTGCGCACTGAAATACTCGTATGTGCTTCTACCCTCATGGAAAAATTGATGCAAGACGAGACCTTGATCGGCAGCGTTAAATTTATCTCAGAGACTTTACTTGGTAGTAGTCAAGTGATTAGCGCTGAAGAAAAAGCTGAACAGCCACTAGCCTTAGATCTTCTGCATCAGCAAATAAGGCGGCTTGTTCATGTCGATGACGAATTTGATGCATTTGCAGAGAGAATGCGGGATAGCATTAACTCGAGAGCAACAACGGACCTTGGCCCCGCTTCCGCCCACGATTGGTGTTTACAAAGGACTACGGCTTCGACTTTGCCACAGCGGAGCCATAACTCTGCTAAGGTTGGAAAGGCGAATAGCGGATCTCCGTCCCCTGTTCAGCGATCAAGACCTCCCCATAATTTAAAACCTGCTAAAAAGGTAAGGTGGTCCGAGCTAGTTCCCGAAAGTGATTCAGTATCCATGATGCTCGACGACGAAAACCCGAGTACCACTGCCTGGGCGTGCGATGAAGACATCAGCATGCAAGATTTGCCAGAGAACTGCACTGTCCAGTCAATCACCAAAGCAGCTCGTCCAACGGGGAGGGATGGCCGCAAGATGTCGCTTACCGCAACAGCACTTGTTAGAGATAAATGAATCGTGAGTTTAGGCAGCATGTGGTGTCTGGAACCAATCTAGGTGGTTACTTATGACACCACCAAATTTGCATAGAAATAAATAGAGAATGAACATCATCTGCAGATGAGGTAGAAGAAAGAGCGCGAACGCACCGACCCTGTGTTCTTTTTTTTTTGTATACAAGGAAACAAAAAACAACTTAGCAACTCGCTCTACTTACAGACGCGTCTTTGACATTATTATGTCCAATGCCCTTGCGAGAAACCTCGTTGTTCTGTCGATGGGCCGCGCAGCCTTCAAACGGTGACGCATTAGTTCAAAATGACAAAAGACCTACGGTTTTGCTAAGATCTGGCGAAAGGAGTAGGATCGCTACAGCAGTCATTCGAGTTCAAATAAGGTGATAGTTCTCTCATCCCGAGCTTCCATAACAGAGTCTCCACACCACAGATCCGCGCGACGTAGATCGGATGTATCTATCTCATTTCTCTGAAAAATAATATTTCAAATAGAAGTAAAAGCTAAGGTCGGACGCTACTGAGGCTCAGCGTAACTTCTATTAAGTGCGTTGGGCTTGAGGTGCGGGCCGTTTACTAACCAGGCTGGTAGAACTATCACCGCACTTGTTGTGTCGTTGTATCATTCACGTGCTTTATATTATGGCTGGTTCGGAATAGAACGCAAAAAGGAAACGTACAAAAAAATTTCATAAAATGCTAGATTGATTTCACGTTGAACATATCTTCCGAAACTCCAAACCCCATCCCCACATCTACTTGACTATATTAAAGGATTATCAGTTCTTTCGAAAGTACTGGTGACTCTATTTAATATATCATTTCTTTGGATCTCTCTATTTCAGTTTTCTCCCAGAGGTTTTCTCGTCTTCAAGCGACGTCTTTGTACCGGCAAGCTTACAAAGAAAGGACTTTTTTGGATTCTACGCATCTGTCTGCTTAAGTGCTGCTGCGAGGTTGTTATATTCGCTGGTTAACTGCGGAGTATAGCAATACGGATCGTGAATATCTTTGTTGTAAGCGGTTACTAATCCACAGGCTTGTGATCGCTTATTTCAACCACCACTTTTACGAGTCGGCTTTTGAAGGTCATTAAACCATCTGGAACTGTTATTTAAAGAGTTTTCTTACCGAAAGCTTTGTCTTCCCGGTTTTTCGCTAAAGGTGTTGCGAGTTTCAGAGACTGGCCCTCAACCCCAGCTCTAAGCTCGAAACTTTTTGGTTTTTGTTGATACCTTATAGCTGCAAGCAGAGAAGCAGCTGTCAGGAAGCTACCGTTCCTTTGCAAGTTTACCAAGGATACGGTATAGAGTGAAGGTAGTTATTAAGTTAATTTGTCTTACTCGAATCCCTTGACAGATATTTGTTCTCTCCTCGGAATCGCGGAAAAGCTTTTTATCTTCCGAAACTTAAAGTAACCGGTTTTTATTCAGCTGGTTTACTAGGTTTGGTTCCTTTTTTTTATTTCATCAGTATTGGATACTATACTAGACGGAAGCTTTTGTCACATTCAGTTGAGGATGACTTCCTACATGTATTATCCAAATTACGCGGCTCCTTGCCCTGGGCCAGCTGTGCCTCCACGTCAAGCTTTCCATGGTCATTCCCAATCCATGGGTGCTCCCGTTGGAAATTATGGTTATTATCCCGAAGCCCAGCCTTTGCAACCATATTACCAACCACAACATCAGCAGGGTTTCCATCACCGTTACTCCTCGAGCTATCAGATGGTGTTACCTCCTCCTGGTATGGGATTTGTGGCTCCTGCTGTCCCACAAGCCCCGATGTTACCACAATTGCAACAGCCATCTTATCAGCCTCCAATGCCAAACCAACAACCTCAATACGACCATGGCGGCAGCCAAGTCAATGGTGGCGTGCGTGATGTGCTGGACTACGATCTCAACTTCATGGCTGAATTTGTGGTTAAAAATGCCTACTTGATCTTCGACAACGAAGAGGCTCTCGCTGTTGAGCCTTCCAGTGTTTTGAACATATTTAACAAAGGTGTGAGCTCTGTTTTGAATGCAACCAGGTTGCCATCGGTGACCGTCTTCATGGCACTAGATTTTCTTTGCAAATATGTCGCGAAGCTGCCCACAGGCATACATGCTCTGGGAGGTGATTCCGTTAACATCATCTATCAGAATTTGATGATTGCTTTTGTGTTGGCGAACAAGTTCAACGATGATAAAACCTTTACCAACAAATCTTGGTCTCATGCAACCGGTATGGAGTTATCTGTTATCAATAAATTCGAGAGAGACTGGCTTGCCGTTTTTGAATGGAAATTATTCGACGACAATTTTGTATTATTCGATGAATATCACAAATCATTCGAACAATTCTGCCAAGAAAAAACGACGCCGTTTTCTTACAGTTCCTACAACCTGTCAAACTCGTCGCCCTTACCTAAATATGGATCTGACTTGTCTCCGAGCCATCAAAACGGGTCCGGATTTCAGACCCCTGTTCAACTCCCTTCTATGGTCTATTCTTCACCTTCTTACACGGATGGAAGAAGTGCTACAAGCAATTCGTTTTATCAGCAATCACTTGCTTCACCCACTTCTAAAGGAACCCCAACTTCAAAGAATGGTTTTTCTTCTGGCACCAGCTACAACTATTATAATGCACCAATGCAAGTCCCGCCACTTGCTCCGGTTTGGGGTGGTCCTACGGAGGATTTATATGCTCCATCTCAGTTTGTTCCACCAAGTAAAGCTTATTATTGTTATTGATCCTAGCTGATACGCCCATCCTAGTAATGGTCTGATATTCCACACAAGAACAAAACAACAAAAAATTTGAAAAACCTTGATCAAAATCATCATAAAAACTAAAACTGGAGTACTTCGGCGAATTCCCAGAAGACAATTCACTGGTTTCTTTACCTTCATATTATACGAGGTAAGGAAGGAATAGTCGCCGTTTGTTACTTAGAGGTCAAATTGGTTGCAGGCTGAACTTAAAACTTATTTGCCCTTTTTTTTACTTGCTCAATAATTGAACGATCAAATTGCAGGATTATATTTTGAACCTCTTTCCTGCAATAGCTTTGAGGATCTCTTTAATGAGCTTTTTCTCATGCTTAAGTATGCCTAACCTTTTTCTTTTTTAATTTTGGCTAACTATGATTCTGTAGTGCGTTCTCCGTATATACTAGTATGATCAATATTTTAACTAAATTTACACACCGCCTGCCTCTCGAAACCAACGCACACTTCTGTCAAGACAAACGCATGCCAAACCCTCGTTCGTGTCTCCACCAATTCCACCGCGGACACCCTTGTTGATGAAGGTGACGCCCATGACTGGAGGAGTCTTCAAAGAATCGCCTATTTCATCTTGGGACAAAATGTCCTCCTCATTTTCAATATCACCCGCGCTGATGTTGAGAGTACTGACACGTTCTCTCTGTTTGATATCCCAAACTCGAATTTTGGCATCATATCCACAAGTTGCCAAATATTCACCAGTAGAATTAAAACTGATGTTGAACACCCACCCATCATGAGTGAAGTTAGCAATGCTGGTCTGAGTGCTATGTGTCGGCACTGTTAGGTTTCCAATACGTTCGCCGTACTCAGTCTCGTAGAGCGTAACAGTACCGTAGGGGCCAGAATCATTGGCTACCGCTAACAGCCCCCCCAATGGAGAAAATTTGACATCACGAACAGTTCCGCTGCTTTCATCTGTTCCTTTGATACCGAATCCCTCGAAATTATAAATCGGTCTCAAGGTTGCAAGCTGTGACACCACAACGCTCCCATCTTGGAATCCTGTGGCAATAGCACCTTTTGCCGAGATATCCACACTAGTTGCAAACTTTGGTTCGGTTGCCGGTATCTCTCCGAGGGAGTAAAGGTGTATATCTCTCTGTGGGACAGCATCGTCTGGGTTACCGTCTTGCTCTTTCTGGTTAACAGTATTTAGAGACCATACCAAGGTACTCCCTTTAACGTCCGTGGCTATAAGATTGTGAGATGCAGCTTGATCAGCGCTTTTGAAGAACTTGATGCACCAATAGGATTTCAAATTCTCTTCCTGCGAAAGCAAGTTCAGTTCCTCGAACGAACCGGAGGCCAAATCGACAGAATAAATGAAAATCTGACCCGAAAAAGAAACACAGGACACAAGATAAATCTCTAGTCCACCTTTTTCAACTGAATGGAATGTATCTACATGATGAAGACCTGTCTTGTGGACAAATTTCGAAAGTACATGATCTCTCGGCTGGTCTCCATCGATCAGTTTGTTTTTCCATAGCTTCAAATACCCGTCACCCGAGATTGTTGCAGTGTAAGGGTTAGAAATAGAGACCCCATAAATGTCCGCTTCATGGGCTTTTCCGCAATTTGTAGTTGAGATGAAAAGTTTCGACTTTGCGAGAAGTTAGTACCACTGGATATAAACGTCACCGGGCTAAAAACAAAATAGCTGGCACTTAGAAGAAAGGAGCATTAATAATAAAATCAATTCCAACAAACAAAAGTGACGTACCATTAAACCTTGTTCAACTTTTTCTGTCGTATGATAGATATTGAAATTAGGATATCATTATTAAGTTTGGTTCGCTAATTAACAAATGTGAATTGCTAGCCGTTAATCAAAACAAGACGAAAAATAAAGTTAAGGGTGAGCACACACTGCTTCTTCAATTCGCTCTAAAGGTGCCTAAGGGATCAATATATTCTATCTGAATGAGATGTCCGACCTTCGAATAGATGTAGCTATCAACAATGTCCAGATTATAAAACGAAGTTATGCCCTCTATCGGATAGATTTGACAGTTACCAAGAACGATGGCGGAAGCGCTAATTACCATTCGTTTCGAAGGTTTTCAGAGTTTCTCAAGCTAAAGCAAAATTTGGAACAAGAGCTGGGCTCTGAACTGCCGTACGAGCTACCGTCCAGGAAACTCAATAAATGGCTCAAACCGTCAAGCTCATGCGACCCGGATGTGATCGAAACACGAAAAGAAACGCTTACCGAATTTTTACACGACTTGTTAAATGACTCTTTTGACACTCGCTGGAAAAGATCACCCTATGTGTGCCATTTTTTGCAGCTTCCGAGCAACTGGGAGGATTTGACTGTAGGTCCCAGGAACAGGAGCAGCGCAGCTCACAACGAACCGGAAAAAGATTCTCAACAATTAACGGACCCGCAAAAATGGTTAGAGGAAATACGCGATTGCAAGTTGCTTTTGGAAGAGAGCACTCGCGATCCCTCTACCATGAATCGGGTAGGAGTCCAGATACGATTACGTCTACAAAAGTTGGAGGAAGCCCTTAAAGTCATTAGTGAGAACGAACTCGTGGGGTCATCTGAAATCCAAAGACGCACGCATTTGCTTAGCGGGCTGAAATCCGAGTTGAACCAAATGGTAGTCAATACGAACACTAATCACTATCCGAGCTCCACGAGTAGCACAGGGCTTTTTGTGGCACCATCTAACCATCAAAAGCCAGCCATAGGAAGAAAAATTGGCGAAACAAGCGAAACTTTAAAATTGAGTGATCAGGAATTACTGCAATTACACAAGGATACTACAAAAGACCAAGATCTAGAGTTGGAGCAGCTTCGAAAAATGATTATGAGTCAAAAGGAACTGTCTCTAACCATGAATCAAGAGCTGTCCCAGCAAAATGAACTTTTGGATCTAATGTCTGGGGAAGTTGAGTCTACTGCCAACAAATTACGGATGGCAAATCGGAGTGCTAAGAGAATTAATGAGCGTTGAAAAAAGGAAAAGACGATAGCTAACATTCCTATGATTGAGGCTCTTGCGATAATTGCGTTTCGATAATGGGTCAAACAAGCTCAACCGACAAACTTCTTTGTCTCACGAGAAGAGGATTCGCCAATTAGGCTATATCTCTGGATCGCATAGCCATGATGCGTGGTATAGGTTTTGGAGACTCACGACGTTCAAACTGGTGCATAGGGACAAGCACTCTTTTCCAGTGCTTTTAAGGCGGATTCAGAGGAACACGGGAAAAATTCAACAGCTCATATTTTTGCAAGCTACGGATGAATTCCAATCCCGTCAGATCCATGCCCTATTTCGTTTGCTAGTTCCAGTATCTTCACCGTTTTCTGTAGTGCCAGTCGATAGCCCATAGTTAGTTGAATACGGAAAAAAATTAAGTATAATTTGAGAAACATTCCAGACATCATCTCATCTCATATAATCACATTTCATTAACTTCGACGCCTCAAAAACAGGTTTGCTAAAGTCGATAAGGGTTCTTGTTTCAAGGAAGGGCATTTCTAGTTAGGTACAATCTATTTTAGCATGTCCTATACGGCTCCATCAGATCCTAAGAAGCCAAAAAACGTTAAGATCTCCCAATTATGCGAACTCTGTCATTCAAGAAAAGCATTGATCAAACGACCTAAAAACTTGCAAAAGATTTGTAAGCTCTGCTTCTTTCATGTGTTTGAAACTGAGATCCACAATACAATTGTTTCTAATGAACTCTTCCAGCAAGGTGAAAAGGTAGCTGTGGGTGCTTCGGGCGGGAAGGACTCTACGGTTCTAGCCTACCTACTTAAGCTTTTAAACGAAAGACATAGGTATGGAATAAAGATTGTTCTTTTAAGTATCGATGAGGGAATCGTTGGATATCGTGATGATTCATTGGCCACAGTAAAGCGGAATAAAGAGCAGTATGATTTACCATTGGAAATAGTTTCCTACCGAGAGCTTTACAATTGGACCATGGATGAGATTGTGGCGTGTGCCGGTGTAAGAAACAGCTGCACATATTGTGGTGTGTTTCGTCGTCAAGCACTGGATCGTGGTGCTGCCAAGCTTGGCATCAAGCACGTCGTGACAGGTCACAACGCTGATGACATGGCCGAGACGGTTTTGATGAACATCTTGAGAGGGGACGTAGCGCGTCTAGAGAAATCTACAGCCATCATGACACAGAGTAGCGGATCTCCTATCAAACGATCCAAGCCTTTCAAGTACGCATACCAAAAGGAGATAGTCCTATACGCACATTACAAGAAGCTGGACTACTTCTCCACCGAGTGTACATATGCTCCAGAAGCGTTCAGAGGTACGGCCAGAGAACTCATGAAAAACCTAGAGGCAGTACGGCCCAGCTGCATCATTGACATCATCTATAGCGGGGAGAATCTACGACTAAGGCCGAAAAGAGCCAAGAGAGCACCTCCTCAGAGCCACATCGAAGTCAGAAGTGACGGGTCGGTGTCGCTGCCGTCGCAGGGTTTTGTTGATGGTAATCGATGCGAAAGATGTGGATATCTATCCAGCAATAGCATTTGCAAAGCATGTATGTTGCTGGAAGGTTTGCAGAAGAACAGGGCCCAAATGTCAATAGACAAGGATATCTCTGTCCATGGGGCAGCCAAGCTCACCAGGACTCTTGAAAATCTCAGTTTTTAGTTTTCTAGAGAGAGAGAGGTGAAAACAATGCATTGACACGTTTTTATTATTACAAACCATGTGGTAAGTACATTTTTGGTCGCTGGAAGATGAGCTCAGGTCTACAATTGCATCACCTAGGATTGGTGTGTGATCTACCGTACTCTTGCCTAACGTACGCAGCTCATGACTCTGATCATATACGTCAAGGTACATCATCTAAATTTGTTATCAGTCCCAAAATAGCTCAGTTGGTTCAATTTGACTTCCTGGCTGAATTCTTGTGAATGTCTCCTCCCACGCCAGTTTGGTACAAAGTGATGGCCAGCGGCAAGTTACACAAACCTCATGAATCATCTACAATAGTGTGAACTCTACTTAACTTGATTACTGATGCCTAATTGTTTGCTAATGGTAGAGCCCAGCCTTGAGTATAACATCTACCAATCGACGAGTTGTATGCGCACAAATTTTACTTATCAGCAGCAGCAGCAGCAGGCTTTAAGCTTTTCAAGCGGAAAGGAGACATGTAAATACTCCGCTCCAGAGTTTACTCCGTCGCCCAGTTAAATATTCAAGGCCTTCCCTAGTAACGTGTAGACTCACCAGATACAGAATGATAAATAGTTTTGAGCTAACATTCGTAGATGATGCCCCTGGTACTTGACCAAGGTGCTGGCTATATTAAGAAAACGCTAAACGGATATGAGACATCTCGGAGATTCTCATGCATATCGCTGAATGCTTCGCTTTATCAGAAGTAAATCTAGGGACTTTACTTAAAACTATTCGAACAACTTGGAAGGGTTGTTAGAGGTTATTTATTTGGATGAGATCTTTCATAAAATCTCATCGCAAGTCCGACTCGTTGGGCAGCAGTCCATCTAAAAACTACAGCGATCAGGAACTTGAAGATCTTTCAAATGAAAACACTGTCAGTGGCGTACAGAGCCACCAAAACAAGCGGCCAGGACTGGATAAGCAAGCCTCACCTTCCCTGAGCTTCGACTCGTTCCATAAGCTCACCAACAAAAATAAGTTATTCTCGTCTCGCATATTCAAAAAACCGGGCTACAACAGTAGCCCGAAACCGGGAGAGTCGGTCACAACGCCCACATCACCATTCGTGCAATCCTTCCGAAATTTATCTTCTCCCGAGAATCCTCAATACTCAAAGCCAACGAGGCAAGCGGTGTCGGTTCCATATTCGCAGTCAGACAATGAGTTTACTCCAACTATCAAAGGAACCCGGATGCACGAGTGGGGTGTGAGTACCAAGGAAAGATCGCAATCTGTTATAGTTCTGAATCGGAACTCCACCTCATCTGAAACATCATCGGAATTAATTGATGGTGGACTTGGAAGCAATATCAAATATAAAACGGGCTCCATAAGTTCTGCCACCTCAAGCTTAATAGAAGAGAGCTATCGTACTGGCTATGATGTTCAACGCGGGAAATTGGAGGATTTGAGTGAATTACAAGAGAAACATCCATATTTCGGCCTGAGGTCGAGAAGCAAAAAGGCACAGAATCGAAAAGCCCAGATTCATTCTCACGAAGACCTCATTAGTATGGGAAAGGACTCATCTCTAGATTTGGCCTCATTCTCTAAAAAGTTGGAACTGTCGACTAAATCACATCCCGACGTCACCTTACTACCTCACGCCGAACTTGCGTCAGCACAGCCCCCAGATGCTTCAGCAAACTATCTGGGGCTCGGAATAAAGAGCACTGGACCATTTCAAGATGATGTATCGAATAACTCTGAGGCAAGAGCGAATAGCATGATTAGTAACGGCAGATCTTTCGAGGAAGGAGACGAGATTGCTGCTCGGAGTAAGGACCCTGAGAACGAAGAAAGTGATGTACAAAGTTTTTCAAATACGGACCGTGGATTGGAAGAGCAGACTGTCTCGAGCTCCGATTATTCTGGTGATGAATCTTCCGAGGCCTCATCAAAGTTTTCTTTTGAAGCTGCTGGGGTCAATGGGCGAACTGCATCGGTTAAATACTACTCTAGGCCGACACCCAAAGAACAAGTTTATGTTGATGATCTCTACGGAGACGAAGAGTTTGATGAAGATTTGAACTGCTTTGATGATGATGATATTGAAGATGAATTAGATTATCAAGAACCACAAGAGCAGCACCACATATACCAAGACAACAGCGAAAACAAATCTACAGATAATGATGCGGATGAAAGCTTTTGTACTAATGATAAAGGAAAGGATTCGGCGGTCGGCCGTCCATTAAAGGGTTATAATGATTTGTTCGACCTGTCAGATGATGAAGTGCAGAGTATGCAGTCAACAGGTGACTTTGGCTCTGCAGAAAGTCCACCAGACGGCGGACTTGATGAAAGTATTCCATATTCGAAAAACCAAAACGTCAAAAACTACAGCCAGATGTTTGATCTGAGCGACGAAGACAGTGAACAGTGCCATACTACACACCAGTCCGACGGAAGCAATTCAAAAAGGGTGGAGAATGCACATGCTTCATCAGAAAACTCAGGTCCACTTTCAGGTATGATAAGAGAAGTAGACCAAGCTGATGACTCACTTACCGGTGACACAACCGCAAGTCCCTCTACCAGGATTTCAAATGCTAATATACAACAACCAGCGCTTCAAGCACCTTTCAATTGCAGCCTTGAGGGAACTCACAATAAATCGTCACCTTGCTTTCCACCACCACTTTCCAGATCTGGTGTGCTAAAGTATCATGATCTTAACACGAATCTAGACTATGAAGTTCCCCGTGCTTCTAGTGACCTTTACTTCATAGATGAAGGCGAAGAAGACAAATATAATCGGAGAAAGCAACCGGATGATCACTACCTTGACGAAATTAACAACCTTCCTGAAGATTACAATTTCTCCGATGACGAGGGATATCTTATGGCAACCTCAAGGTCCCCGGGCCTCAACAAAACTACTAATTCATTCAAAGCAACGCATAGCTTTGCTCAGAAACCAAGCGCAGCGGTAAGGGAGTGCCAACCAGCAAATTACAAATTGGAGCTCAAAGACAAAGTGGTTACCTTTTTTCACAGTCCAGTAAATGAATTAGAAATTAATCCTTTGAGCCAGGTTTCAATTTTGGAAAGCGATGTTCTGTTAGCATCTCCAGTTGAAGACTGGCAAAAAGGTCCATCAGATTCTGTTATTTCTCCGATAACCCCTTCCAATTCACTCAGCCGGCCTAGTCCGTACTTTAGCCAAGGAAACTCTTTAAGCCCTATTCAAGAATCCCATGCTTCAGCTGATAGCACTCCCAACCTTCAGTAGTAATAATATTAATAACAACATAGTAATAGTAATAGTAATAGTAATAGTAATAATGATAGCATAGAAAACAACCGTTTCATAAAAATAATATACGATCAATGCAAAAATATAAGCCTCTAACCCTGTCTGCTAAATTTATCTGGGTACAAAGCTAATGCAAATAGCGCTTCAGTTGGCTCGTTTACCTTTGAGAACTAGAAGGGCTTGAAACTGGCAGAGCTAATCAGCTGATTTTGGGATTTTGAAGATGCCTTTCTGAACAAAAGGAAATCAGATTAACTAAAATAGCTTATCGCAACTCCACTAGCTATTTTTTCCTGGCACTCTGATTCTCTCTAGATTTGATATGTATCGTGAGCCTGAAAGGGATCCGGCGGAATGGTTCGGGCGCGCGTGCTTTGGTAATTTTGGGCCTGGAGAGAAAGCAGTTTTGGTATCCTCTAAACAAGGCGAGATCGTGCGTGTAGGGAGTCCATGTTGGTTAAAGGCAGCAGGCTGTTTTTGAGCATTGACCAGGTCAAGAATGACGCCTTTTGCTCTCTCTGCTGTCTTGTCGCATAATTCTAAAATCTCTCTGTAGTGTTGAATAGCCTCTTCGTGGACTGACTTTGGCCTCTCCTTAGTTGCTTGAGAACTTTCATCCTCTGAGTCATCCAGCAAAACAACATCAACCAACTTCCCTCCGATATACTCTTGCGTTATCCGTGGGCTCAAACTTTTGAGAGCACTCGGTTCTACTTCCGGAGAAGGAAGATGACTCGGTCTATTAGCTGTCGAAAATGGAATATTGGGGTTTTTCTTTACCAAACTAAAAAGCTGATTTGAAGTTGGCCGACTTTGTTGGGAATATGCTGTGGCTGTGGAAGGATGAGAAGGAAGACTGTCTCTCGAGCTAATAGATGATTGACTCGAGTTATTAGAAAATTCTCTAGAAGGGGCGAGACTTCTCATTGCCTTGAATGGTATGGTGGACAAAGCTTCCAAGCCACCTTCTGTCGCGGGAATTAACGGATTCATAAAAGAATGGTAGGTTGAGAGAGGTTTCATATTAGCAATTTTGCTTTCCCCTAGAATTTCAATACTTTTCTCATTGTTTATCTCACCATCAAAGGTATCGTTGTTTGTGGAATCTTTACTTTCAAAACCACTTGACTCTTGGAAGTCTAATTCATCATTTGTAGTGGCGAAGAAATTAGTGGCTAGAACCTCATTCGGTGAATTCAAAAAGCTACTAGTATGCTGGGTTTTGTGTTGATCAGGTTCATCCTTGGTAGGATGTGCAGTAGAGAAGGAAAGGTTGGATTTCATCTTAACATCAGTCTTATTCTCTTTTGAAGGGGTATTCATAGAGCCTGAGGTTGGGCGCGCGATGCTTTCTCCAGCGGGCCCTTGCTCTATTATTTTAGACTCGTTGTGTGATCCAATAATTGGTGAAGAAGTTGTCATGATTTTACCAGACCTACTACCAATCACCGATAGGCTTCTTGCTTCTGCCCTCTTCGGCGAACGTGCTGGAATTTGGATTTCTTCTGTCTCCCCAGTATTTTCCACTTGTTGACCTTTTGCGATGTCAAATAGATCCCGAGAATTGTGGATGCTCCGAGTCCTTGAGTGGGTGTGCTTCCGTAGACCAACGCCTTCTGAGGATTGCCTTTGAAGCAGTTTTCGTCTTCGCTCGAAAGAATTATCCGCAGCTGCCTCAGATATATGCAAGAAATCGTCGTTCCCTGCTGACTGTGATGACTGATCAGTGGAGTTCTTTGGCGAAGGGAAGCGAAAATTGGCGTTAATTTCATCATTAGATTCATTGAAGTTGGTGGTGGATTTTTTATTTTCACAAACTTCATCCATTTTAGCCAGAAAGCGGCTAACAGTGTTTTTGATGGGAGATGCGGTAATGCTCTCAATGTCGGGTATGAAAATTGTTTTCGATGGGCTTGTCAGTGTGTCGTAGTTGCCCGCTTGGTTTGCTTCTCGTGGTGCTTCCAAATGTGTCGGCTGTAGATCTGCGCGACTGGTCGATTTTGTGGGTGTACTAAGTGCAGTAGTTGGCGGAGAACGTGAATATGTTGTTTTTTCACGAGAATGCTTGTGTGTAGTGTCAAGTAAATTACGAGCTTGTTTTTTTAGACTGACATTTGCATCCCCGTCGATACCAAGCATCTTGTCAACGTCTCCTGCGGCGTCAAATGAATATTCGTGCATTGCCGATGGTATAGAACTATCACTGTAGTGACTAGTAGACCTGTCTGCAAGAGAATGTTGGATTGAATCGTGGCCATCGCTTAAAGAGCCAGAGTAAGCATCTTGTGCAGAAAATAAACTATAGCCCTCACCATCGTAAATGAAGCTACTACGTCGCTTGGACTTGTTTTCAGGTGAAAGGTACGGCGGTAAAGCGGCCTCTAGTGGCACCGCTACCTGGTATCGATTTAGCGGCGAGTCTGATCGCAAGTATAGCTCTGTTGCTTTAAGACGTGGTCTTTCGTTTCCAACACCTGTTGCTTTACTTCTGCTTGGTGACGGCTGATAATTTTGGATCGTATCGGCAATCATAGATTGCAGCGACGGTTGACGCCGGTGACCCTTCGTTGGGCTTGTAACGCATTCGCTGTCTCTACCGCGATCATTGTGAAACTGCCAGATATGCTCAGGAACGTCAATCATCACTCTGTTCTGGAAGTCCACGAAATGCTGAGATGAATCGCCGTCGGACGACTTAGGGAAAACGACCCTTGTTGGAGAAGCTCTTGTACACGGTAATTGACTAGTCTCTCTGCCGCTAGTTTCTTCCTCGGAACCATATGTGCTGCTTTGCTCATCAGGCTCCAAGGGTAACGAAAACCGTACTTGCGAAGTGCTATGCTTATGCTGGTATGAATCAGGGTTACCGCTGCCCTTCAAGCAGGACGCCAGCTCTTTGTTTTCGGACTCATGTCTACTCTGCTTGGAAGGAGTCGCTGGAAAAGTATAGGTCATGGTTGAACTCTGGTTGTCTTCACTTTCTGGGGTCGTTTAGCGCACGGCAAGTTTACCTACTTAACCCGCGAGCAGAAACTATCGAAAAGGTACCTCACTAGGTACACTACAACTTTGTTACGTATTCTCACAACAGCTAGTCTGAATTGTCCATAAACTATCTAAACAGAGTCATACTTGGTACATCCCGTTCACTACATGAATAGGGCGGCAGAAGGTGCATCGTTTACTAAGTTTACGTTTTGCCCGAAAAGGATAATTTTCGTGCCTAGTGAGTTTTGACATTATGAGAAAAACAAAGTGCATTTTCCATCCCACCGCAACAGTTTTCCGTATACTCTCAAACTGGACAAACACACTATCTAAGTACCTACTGGCCTACATATTCGTACTTCTCAGGCTTTGAGAATTTTATAGATATTAATAATGGCATTTATCCATGAATATTACTTGCCGGACCTCTGGAAGTTAGTTAGTTATCTCAAAAGACACGCTTTCGAAGCATGTTTCTTGCAAAGGGCCCCAAAGTATCGTCGATGAGCCCATGAGGCCTTGGCTCGTTATATTCTTGATCTTTTCTGATCCATCGTTGGGATCACGTGGTATTTGTGATCGATTTACTATCATACCTGCCTTTACCATCATACATGTTATTATTATCTGTCGAGCTCACAACGCCAACAGTGTAAAGAACCAAGTCGTCGTCACCAAAGCTCGCGTATAAGCATTTACCATGAACAACGAGGACTATGGATATGACTACGACTACCTTTTCAAAAGTATGTGTGCTCTTATATTGGAAGTAAAAATATCGACTGCGATCCGTAGGGGACGCTGTTTCGAGTGCAAGTGAGTCTAAAGTGGAGGACAAGAGACAAAAATACCGGCACAAAGGTAGGATGTTTGAGCCCACTGGAATGGAGTGCAGGGCAGATCTGCTGTTCTTCGCTTGGCTGCACCTTGGACTAAGTCCTCCCCTCTCTGCCATCAACAGCCAAGTGTACAAATAGACTAACCTAAATATCAACAGTCGTCCTGATTGGGGATTCGGGCGTTGGAAAATCGAACTTACTATCGAGGTTCACCACCAATGAGTTCAACATGGAGTCAAAGTCCACTATTGGAGTTGAATTTGCTACCAGAACAATTGAAGTGGAAGGCAAGAAGATCAAAGCTCAAATCTGGGATACCGCTGGCCAGGAGCGGTACCGCGCAATCACTTCTGCTTATTACAGGGGTGCCGTGGGTGCGCTGATTGTCTACGATATTAGCAAGTCCAGCAGTTATGAGAACTGCAATCATTGGCTGACAGAATTACGCGAGAATGCAGATGAAAACGTAGCTGTTGGTCTGATCGGTAATAAGTCTGATTTGGGACATCTCCGGGCAGTACCCACTGATGAGGCCAAAAACTTCGCGCAGGAAAACCAACTCCTCTTCACAGAGACCAGTGCCCTTAACAGCGAAAACGTAGATCAAGCCTTCCGCGAGCTGATCACCGCTATATACCAAATGGTCAGTAAGCATCAGGTCGATATGAATGAGTACGGAAATAACGCGGGACAGGTTCCTAAGGGCCCTACAATTAGTTTGACACCAGCGCCTGCCAAGAAGAGTAAGAGCTCTAACAATTGCTGTTGATTCACCTATTACGGTCACACCCCAAAGATTTAACTCCTTTGAGTACGTTTTCTTTATGTGAACATATATGTACATTGTACACATTTTTATATTTCGATTGATTGTCGGTGTGCGCTCATGACGCATTTGACTGTTCCGGCTCCTTGAAGTCGACATCCTCCGCATCTTCGTCTGCGTCTTCATCACCGCCCTCCGCCGCAGCTGCTTCCTCCTTTCCGCTAGCATCCTCCGCAGACTTGCCAGCTTCTTTGTCCAAAACTTCGGCCGTCTTCTTGTAATCAATCATCTTACCTCTGGTCCGACGCCCGCCTGTAATAATATTTGAGGAGTCAATTTCAGCCAAATCGTCTTCATCTTCATCTTCTTTATTGAGCAGCATATCTAGCTTTTCGTCATCCTCGCTTTCGCTCTCAGAGTCGTTTTTTCCACCATTCTGTCCACTGGATTTCACCTTTGAGTCTTCGGCTGCCACCTCTTTGTCATGATCGTCGTAGTTTCTCCGTCTCTTTACTCTTTTCTTATCACCAGCGTCCTTCAACTCGCGTTTCGTGGATTCAGTCATTGGGCGAGTGAGTGACGAAAGCTGATTGTATGCTCTACAGCTTTGCCAACTGCTATATGTTTGTTAGATAATGATGAGAATTTCAAAGTTATTAAGTTGAACATGAGAAATTGTCCTTCAACGGCTAAAACCATAAAGTAAAGTGTTAAGAATGAACGTCAAAGTTGGTCACAAGAGTAAACTATCGGATCTACTGCACTACCGGATTCGAGCTCTTACAAATGATGGGAAAGCATTCGTGGGGGAACTGATGGCATTCGACGCTCACATGAATCTCGTGCTAGCTGAATGCGTAGAACACCGTATTCCAAATCACCAAATGGAGCTATTGAAGGGCAAGAATAAAGACTCTACCGCCAAACCAAAGGTAGAGACGCGTACGTTGGGTTTGGTGGTGCTTAGAGGCGACCAGGTTTTGACCACGGTGGTGGAGAACGGTCCTGCGCTGTCTAAGAAAGAAAGAGCTCTGGTGCTAGAAAAAAAGACGGCACAGCTAAGCAAGCAGAAGAGAAAGGGAAAGGGAGTTGTGAAGCCGGTGGCTGGAAATGTGGGTGGTTCAAAAATACCAGTGGGGTTCCAAAAGGGCTCGCAGCCGCAGGCGCAGCCACGCCCATTCCAGCCGCCCCCTGGGTTCAAGAGGCGTTGATTAGCAGGTACAATGGCGTGCCGGTGTAGTGATCCCCACAGACTGGATGTTACAAGTTGCATTTCTACGTAAAAGCCTGCTTTCCATCCTCAACGTCGCGCAAGAGAGAAGGCCCTTCAATGGCCATGGCATGTATGGGCCCGCCACGCATCAGAGTTGTTCCGGGGGTGGGGGATGCTAAATTCGAGTCCATGCAACCGGAGCTAACCTACACCACACAAGTGTTTCCGATGAGAAACCTCCGTGGGATCACGTGATCTCGCAGAACGACACTGCCTCGGCCCACTACAACGGCACTAGCTCTACGTGAACTTTCACATCTTACTGCACTGGCTCTTCAGCTTCAAGAGCCCATTGCGTCAAGCTTAATGGGGGGTCATTATATTGTGTCTTCGCCGACACTCACACACACACACACACACGCACACCTCCTCATATAGTACCAAGTTGTAGAACATCATCTACATACGAGTCTCCTAACCCCATCATCTTCAGCATCCAACTGCCGACCTGTGTGGAACCTTCGAACACGGGCGTCATCGCCCGCCTGTCAGAGCCTGGGGAGATTCTCATAATTGTCCAATCACGTGCCACGCGAAAACCTACGACGACTCGGGCCACAACGCTCCGACAACCTGCGGCAAACTTTCACGCTCCTCGTTTCTTTCACAAACTCCCGCATCCCACTGGTCCGCAACAAGCTTGCACCCTACATTCAATTGACTCCCGTTGCCCCTCTGACTCACTCTCTCTCTCTTCTACGGTATTTTTTACAACTCGCATCCGCGCACACAGCCTACCGCCTCCACACGTCAGTGGTGTTTGTATGAACAAGTTTCACCCGGTCAGAGCCGGCGACGGCCCTATTACCATCACACCACCTCCTCCTACTACTACTTCGTCCGGCCGCATGCAGAAGCACAAAAAAGAACATATTGAAAAAAGGAAAGAGCGCGCAGAATCCACGGAAAAACGTTTTCTCCGAAATGACGCATTATCGAGGCTAAGACGGTGCCCCATCCGTGCCTTCAGGAGAAACCTACCGGAAAAACTATCCTTCTGTCTTTTCTGCGCTCAAGCTCCATAGTCTCAGATCGGCTCGCATCAAAGCTGTTTCGCCGTGCGTCCAACGTCCCACAAGGTTGATCCTGGGTTTCTCCGGAACCTTTTAGGAGTTCTTAGCCACATAGCGCCTTCTCTATTGATTTTCCTGGTAGATTCCTCTTCTCGTCGCTGCACCTTTGCGACACAGGAAGTTAGCTTGTCCAGTCAGCCAATGTCCCTCGGCCATTGTGCGCACCAAAACAACCGTGATTGCGTAATAACCAGTCTTGCGAGCGTGTACCCGCCGCACCAGATTTTTCATTAGCATACTTAGCCGACCTGCTGCTGCATCCGCATACACTCAGGCACACAATGCCAATCATTATTAACCATCCTATCAGTTTTTGAGATCCTTGCTCTTGAAAAAACTGGAGTACCACCCTCTCAGGGGCAGTGGTGGTGTGGAGCACAAGCACAAGCAGCCTATGAAAAAGGTAAATATGGACCGTAATGCGTGTCAAGTGTCTTAATGCATGTGTACATAATAGTGCGTGTGCACAAACCAAACCAGTAGTTAGTCGTTCGGTTGGTGCGCCGTTTGGATATGTTAGTTAGCATGTTGTATATACAGCTGTATAAAAACGGGACACGGCTGGAGTTCCGGAGAAACCTGACTTAGGATAGGCTGGCATTTGAAAGCAAATTATAAAAAAGTGATCACTAAAAAGGAACTGCTACGACGTGACAAGCATTAAACATCGGTGGTTATTTAGGGTAGTTTCTCTAATAAAGCTGTAAATCATCTTCAAGCCGTACAAGGTCCGGAACTCTTGACTTTCTCGGGACTCCAAGCTGCAAGCTAGTCAGAAACACGAGGCAAAGCGGCAGCCTCATTGTTGATTTGCTGGATTCACTGATTTGTACAAATATATTCGCAAATGACAGACTCCGATTCTCGGCCCTTTAAGTGTGAAACGTGTGGTAAAGGATTCCACCGTTTGGAACACAAACGCAGGCATATAAGGACGCACACGGGCGAAAAGCCTCATCTGTGCAATTTCCCAGGGTGTGTTAAGCGTTTCAGCAGGAGCGATGAGCTCAAACGGCATCTCAGAACACACGTAAGCACGTCCAGACGCAAGAGTCGAAACCGGGTCGGCTCCAGTCCTGCCGCAGACCATCCAATCGTGGTTCACCAAGTACCACCGATCCAGGCGCCCGCTGCGATGCCGCTAGCTGTTGTGTCGTTCCCTGGTGTGAACGGGTCTACTACTTCCTCAGGGTCTCTCAGCTCTCTGGCGTCGCTGACGGCAGCCGCATATGCGTCGCAGTCCGGCTTGTTGAACCCCAGTGTGGCCCATCTCACTTCAAACATGGTCTCACCTGCAGTCTCTCCGGCAATTTCCCCGGTGATGTCTCCGAGCTTTCCTTCTGCTGCATCGTCAGCAGCTTTACCTCAACAGTTTCAACCTGGGCGTCAGTCGTTGCTGTCGTCCGCTGCCTCCTCAACCACGTCTATGTTTTCACAGGTCGATTCGGGCACTCGCACGCCGTTGGCCTCGTCTCCAGAAACAAGGAATCATAAGCTGGGTACCGTTTTTTTGCCTTCCTTGCCCGCAGTTTCCCAACACCATTGTGCTGCCTCCAATGGTGCTTCCTTAAACACTTCAGCTATTCCCCAAGCATGCCCCCCGGGCTCCGCCAAGGGGCGCAAGGCAGAACGGGCAAAGTTCCAATTAGCTGATGATGAAGATAGCGACGGTAACCCACCACCAGCGGAGGTGCGTCTGCCACCCTTGCGGTGCATGCTGGAAAACATTCAGTCGTTTTCCGAACGTTGAGAATAGCAAACTCATTTTAACGATTTCACGATTTTACAATAAGGTTAGGCGTTATTTATAGATACTTTTAGGCATTAGGTTTTAGATCGACATTTCTTGACGTAAGTTAGGTTGTTCTATCGGACAGAACAGACCAAATTGTTCACCTCGAGTCTTAGGCTATTTCATCTTCTCTAAATGAGAGAAAAATGAGCCACGCTTTCAGGCTACAGTGAGTCAGCGAGTCGGGTCAAAGTTAAGATCAAGGGGCATGCGGGGTAATTTGATGGAACGTACTGTCTGTCTTCGAGTATAAAGAATTGTTGGTGATGGTATACATATACAAAGCACTTTCTCCGTCAGGGGTGATGTTCAATGCTCTTGAATTAATGGCGATAACAGCCAACTCAGGCACTGCCTACAACACATGAAGCAAAGACCAGCAACTCACTTATCATCAGACCACCAAGCCTACTACTGGTCGTATGGGGAACACGCACAGCCGAGGAACTATGTCAGATAATAACAAGGATGTGTCGATGATCGACGTTAGAAATACGAATGACAACGACAAACGAGGATCTCAAAGGGCGATTGTCCAAAGCTTTTCCAAGCTGGACATCGGCGACCATGATGGTTCGAGGGCACCGCTTTTGCGCAGAAGATCTACATTGATATTTGATGACGATGATGATGCCCCGAGGCATGAAGAAAACGTTGAAGACCAGTCTGACTTGAACGAATTTGAGAGCCATATTTCGGATTCGTCATCTGTGGCCTCGCTGCAGCAGCAGCAGCAAGAAAATCCATCATGGCTGAAGCTACAAGCGCAACGAGAGCAGCAAGATCAAGAGCAACAAGAGCTTCAATTACAAATGGAACAACAGCAACAGATGAAGTATCAAGCACCCAGGGAACCGTTCGAAGACCAGTCAGGATCAAGAAGTGGAAGTGAACCGCCCGTCAACTCGAATGCGAAAGTGATGGTCCCTGTTGAAATCACATGGCAACAAGGTGGATCGAAGGTTTATGTGACGGGGTCTTTCACCGGATGGCGGAAAATGATCGGGTTGTTACCAGTGGCCGACCAACCCGGGTGTTTCCATATCAAGCTGCAATTACCATCGGGCACCCATCGTTTTCGTTTCATCGTCGACAATGAATTGCGGTTCAGTGACTTCATGCCAACGGCAACAGACCAGATGGGCAACTTAGTCAACTACCTAGAGATTGCTACTCCATACGAGTCCGAAGAACACCTGCAGCAGCAGCAAGAGACGCTTACAGTGGACAATGAATCGCATATGCTTCAGCAACAGGTTCCTCAGCCTTCTCACAAAAAACAGTTTTCTGAGCCACTTAGCGCCCGTTCCAAGCTCGCATTGCAAATCGAGGAAGAGCCAGATGATATGGGCGACGGTTACAGCAGATTTCACGGTGCCAAGGAGGCCAAGCCAGATCTCAGCTACACCACCGATATCCCTGCTGTTTTCACAGATGCGTCGGTTATGGAGCAGTATTATCTCACGTTGGATCAGCAGCAGACAAATCAACAGAGCATGGCGTGGCTTACGCCCCCTCAGTTGCCCCCCCACCTTGAGAACGTGATCCTCAATAACTATTCGGTCTCATCTGAACAGGGCGACTCGGGTAGTGAGAACAACTCGGGCTCCTTGCCTATCCCAAATCACGTCGTGTTGAACCATTTAGCCACCAGCAGCATCAAACACAACACCCTATGTGTTGCAAGCATCGTCAGATACAAACGCAAATACGCGACCCAAATGTTGTACTCCCCATTACAATAGGGAAGTGGATCCGTCGAGATGCAAGATAAATAGAGCAATGGCCCTACGTTGCGGCGCCTGGTTTCAACCTTAAGATATACTATGTAACTGCGAATAATAATGATAATGATAAACTCTAAAGCGAGCAGAAATACTACATGCCTACTTAAGCCGCAGATAAAACCATCTAAGGCAAATAAATTTGACATTTTATAGGTCCTTCTCTGCTCTCAATAGATTGATTACACCAGGTTTGACTTCGTCTTTCGTGATGTGGTGTATTGAAAAGTGGATCATTATTTTACAGTAGTTGACGAAAGTGCGAAACAGTACCACGCAAGTCAAAACGTTTGCCGTCGCACTCTCTTTTTCATTGTTAACCTGGGATGTCAGACGTTGAGATCAATTTCAAAGTGCTGCAGAAACGGCTCACGGATCTACACTCTACTTATCGCAACTTCGATGGGTCTCCATCGTCCTTGTTGTTTGTGGTAGGGTCTAGTGATGAAGAAGATCCATACAAGAAAAGCACTATTCTGCATAACTGGCTTTTAGGATACGAATTTCCAGCAACCTTGATTGCTCTATTGCCAGAAAAGGTTGTCGTAATCACAGGTGCTGGAAAAGCCAAGCATTTGACGTCAGCGGTGGATCTTTTCAAAGAATCGTCCGGTTTCACTCTTGAGCTATGGCAAAGGAAAGCCAAAGACGACGCGCACAATGACAAGCTTTTCTCTGATATAATTGAACTTCTCAAAAACGCTGGTAAAATTGTTGGAACCCCTCTAAATGACCAATATCAAGGCAAATTTATTGCGCAATGGACTCCGCATTGGGAAGAGGCCTTAAAAAAAGGTGAACTTGAGCCCTTAGAGGCTGCACCTGGTTTGTCTCGAGTCTGGGAGAAGAAGGATGAGCAAGAAATTGGCCTCATCAAGGTGTCTTCTAAGGGTAGCGATCAGTTCATGAATTTCTTGTCGGATGAGATGGTTTCTGCGGTCGATGAGGAGCTTAATATCACAAATGCAAAGCTTTCCGACAAAATTGAAACTAAAATTGATGATCCTAAATTTTTGAAGAAGCTATCGGGTGAAATGGCCCCACTGTGTCCCACTGGTGAAAAATTTGATGTTAACTTACTGGATTGGGCGTACTCTCCTATAATTCAATCGGGTAAAAAATTTGACCTTAAGGTTTCAGCGCGCTCTAGCAATGACCAATTATCTGGCAAAGGATGTATTTTGGCTTCGTGTGGTATCCGCTACAAGAGCTATTGTTCCAATGTGACCAGAACATTTTTAATTGATCCATCTGAAGAAATGGTGTCCAACTACGAGTTTTTGCTCGCTGTACAAAATGAGATAATAACCAATTTTCTTAAGGTTGGTCAAACACCACAAGCAGTCTATCAGGCCACTGTGGACTATGTCAAATCACAAAAGCCTGCCATGGTTGCTTCCTTCACCAAAAACGTAGGTTCTTTGATGGGTCTGGAATTCAGAGACTCTCAGTTTGTTCTTAATGCCAAAAACGATCAGAGAAAAGTTGCTGTAGGTGACTGCTTCAATATTTCATTGGGTTTCAACAATTTGAAGGACTCTGCTACTGGCACTGATTACGCCGTTCAAATTGCTGATACAGTCTTACTAGGCGACGATTCTAAGCCCGTGGTTTTAACTGGCTACACGAAGCTCAAATCTCAGATTTCGTTCTATTTCAACAACGAGGAAGAAGAGACGACGTCGAAGGTCAAGAAAGAAAACCAGGGCTCTCCGCCTATCTCTGTCAAGTCAGATGGAAACTCGAAAATTTTAAGGTCTAAGTTGCGTGGTGAAGCTCGAGTTCAGGAGGACGGTCAAAAAGAGCAGATCCGCAAGGAGAACCAAAAGAAATTACATGAGAAATTGCAAAAAAACGGCCTCCTGAGGTATAGTGCTGCTGACGCTCAAGGTTCGGACGACCAACCTCAACTTCAGTTCAAAAAGTATGAATCGTACGTTAGAGAAACACAAATTCCTACTAATGTTCGCGACTTGCGGGTGCATGTGGATTGGAAAAATCAAACCATCATTTTGCCAATCTATGGTCGACCCGTCCCTTTTCACATTAATAGTTATAAAAATGGTTCCAAAAACGAAGAGGGCGAGTATACCTATCTCAGACTAAATTTCCACTCTCCTGGTATTGGAGGAATTTCGAAGAAAAACGAAGAGCTTCCATACGAAGATTCACCAGACCACCAATTTGTTCGTTCTATCAGCCTGAGATCTAAGGATGGTGATCGTATGAGTGATGTATTCAAGCAGATTGCGGATCTGAAGAAGGAAGCCTTGAAGAGAGATCAAGAGCGGAAGCTGCTGGCTGATGTTGTAGAGCAGGCTAAGTTGCTGGAAAACAAGTCTGGAAGGACCAAGAGACTGGATCAAATATTCGTCAGACCAAGTCCCGATGCTAAGAGAGTACCAGGCACCGTATTCATCCATGAGAATGGTATCAGGTACCAGTCACCATTGCGTACTGATAGCCGTATTGATATCTTATTCTCGAACATCAAAAATCTCATTTTTCAACCCTGCAAAGGTGAATTAATTGTGATCATTCATGTTCACTTAAAAACGCCTATTTTGATGGGCAAGAAGAAACTGCAAGACGTTCAGTTTTACCGGGAAGCTTCTGATATGGCTGTTGACGAAACGGGGAATGGTCGGCGTTCTAACATGAAATTCAGAAGGTATGGTGATGAAGACGAATTGGAACAAGAACAAGAAGAAAGAAGAAAGAGAGCCGCTCTAGACAAGGAGTTTAGGTATTTCGCCGAAGCTATTGCCGACGCCTCAGACGGCTTGGTGGACTTGGATACTACCTTCAGAGAGTTGGGATTCCAGGGTGTCCCAAGTAGATCCGCCGTTTTCTGTATGCCCACAAGAGATTGTTTAGTTCAGTTGGTTGAACCGCCATTTTTGGTGATCAATTTGAGTGAGGTTGAAATCTGTGTTTTCGAGAGAGTCCAATTCGGCCTAAAGAACATTGATATGGTATTTGTCTATAAAGACTTCAGCAAACCAGTCACACACATCAATACTGTTGCTATTGAAGAAATTGAACTTCTTAAATCTTGGTTGACGGATGTCGATATTCCCTTTGCGGTTTCCACCATCAACTTAAAATGGTCCACAATTATGAAGTCCATGCAAGATGATCCTCATCAATTTTTCCTTGAAGGAGGTTGGTCTTTCTTGGTAGCTGGTTCTGATGATGAAGGATCAGATGAAAGCGAGGAAGAAATCAGCGAATATGAAGCTTCGGATGATGATCCATCTGATGAAAGTGCAGTTTCTGAGGAGGAGGACTATTCTGAAGATATGAGTGATGGTGGAAGTGATGATGCAAGTGCAGACGAAAGCGAGGAAGAAGGTGAAGATTGGGATGAACTCGAAAAGAAGGCTGCGAGGGCTGATCGCGAAAACAGACAGAATGAATGATCAGGTAAACACACATCTTGCCGTATTTAGGCTGGGCTAGCTTGCTTTCAGCTCGTGTATAAAATTGAACCTCAAAAGAACATATCGATAATTTTATATGCGTTTAAAATAGACTATTGAACGCACTCAGTGCGTAATCATTGCACAACCTCTAAACTGTGACTCCCCCAAATCACATGAAGTTTCCAAAAGCTTGACCGGTTGTTTGGTAGTTGACTGGGCCGTTGGTCAATAAAAGTGGCTGCCCGTTTGCATCGCTGGCGTCTGCAGCTTCTCCCTTCTTGTTATAGTCTTCGAGCAGTTTCCTAACCGCCAATTGCTGTTCTTTTTTAACAGAGATTTCGTAAGGCTTGATTAGTTGCTCCCACGAATGTAGCCATGCCAACTCCAAGACCACATCATAGTTGATGAGATGGTACGCAGTGTACAACAAAGCCACAAAAGCTTCTCTATTTTCGGTTTCCACAAAATACACCAGAAGCTCCTCTGCTACATCCGCGCTTTGCGAAAGGGCCGCCGTTCTAATAGCTTCGGCCCAGAGCTTCTCCTCCTTGTAAATCATCAAACTCTTGCTCCATTTTTTGTTCCTGGCGTAAAGCTGTGCCGCGATCTTTTTGAAAAAAATGAGATCATGCTTTTCTAGGCGAGATGCGAGTTCCAGCTGGTCGAACTTGTCATAGGAATCAACAGCATCCTGAAGCGCCTTATAATCTTCCTCTTCGATCATCAAATCGTGGTACGCCTGGTTAACGATCGAATTATTCGTTGGTAAAACGTTAACTAGGAAAGGCTTGATAAGAGGTAAATTGTCAGACTTCGTGAAGATACGAATTGTTCTAGGAATATCCAATCTTGTTGTCAAGACCGTCATCAAATCAATTAGCAGAGAAGGATGCTCTTTGACATAGAAATTGATAGATTTGTAATAAATTTCTAAGTTCGAAACTTTGACCACAATTTCTTTGAAATAAGAGTGATCGAAATCATCCGCAGTCTTTTCAATCATTGTCAACGCCGCGTTATCCCATTCGTCATAATGCGCATAAAGGAAGATAAGTTCCGTCCACAAATGAGCAGCCTCAACAGCTCTAATAACTTTGGGAATGTTGATTCTCGACCAGAAAAGTTTGAGATGCTCATAGGTTTTCTTGGAATCGTACTTGGTGTACAAAATGGCAAGCTCGGTGAACATACCCATATGAGCCCTTTCTAGACCCAGTCCAGCTTCAAAGAGCGAGATCAGCTCTTCGAAATATCCATGTGATTCGTACTTTTCCACAAGCTCTTCTAATTCTTCGGCATGTACAATTAGGTTTAATCCACAGATTTGCGCTAGCCTGAACTCCTTGCTGTCCACACATGCATCGCTTACCTCTCTCCAAACCCTAACATTAGAAGCCTTTCTAGCGGTATCAACTGCAGTTTGAAAATCACCTAGATAAACAAGCGTAGTTGCCAACTTGGAATAGTTTGAAACTGCCGCAAAACAAAGCTTTGCCGCCTTGTAACTTTTCTTTTCGAAGAGTGTACCCCCAACTGAGTCTAAATTGGCGGCTGTAGAACTACTGAGCAAATTGTCGATTTCATGTAGTTTGTCCAATTCAGCATAAGCTAGAATCAAGGCATTATCAATTTTCGACTCTTTCAAAGAAGCCCGAGCCATCAACAAGTAAGGAACAAGCTCCTTGTATTTCTCAGCTTGCTCCGCGACGTCGATGACATTCTCGTACGCAGAAGGATCGTTAGCTTTGATGTAGGAGTCAATGGCTTCTGGAATTCTCAGCCCTACCAACTGGGCAGCACCAAGATGAGACCATAGTTCTGGAGTGTTGATTTTGTCAACATAGCTTTCGGCACGATCTAGAGACATGATGTCTTCAACCAATACTTGGAGTGCCTTATCGAATCTTTCGTTCCTGTTGTAAATCTCAAACGCCTCTTCATTCAGCCCATTCTCAATACACATGGGAGAGATTTCGTCCACGTCATATTGGTCTAGTTTTTCAATGTACGACGAAACTTTAGATGGTTCATACCTGATAGCGGAAAGCATTAAGAGTCCCTGTAGAGCTGAATTATCATTAAACGGAGAAGGTTCGAGGATAATTTTCTCGAGAAGCTTAATTAATTCGCCTTTGAGATTGTTGCTCATAAACGCTTGCACAGTCAAAGATACCGGTTCAGGGTCCGTCAACTCGCCGATACCGGACCCCACCACTGCATCAATTAACTGACGTCTATGCATGTTTTCGTCACCTAAAACTGTTCCCCACAAGTTGAGGTCTGAGCGCTTCAACAAATATCTGGCCTGGTATTTGTACATGCTATTTTCATTCGTAATTCTGATCAAATCATCGTCGTTTGCTCCCTTTTCATACGCGATATAAGCCAAATAAGGATCTCTCTTTTCACAGTAGTGGCCAACATCTAGTGTATCATACTGGTTGTTTTCTTTCAAGAAAGTTTCTGGGGAGTTGTTAGAATCAATATAAATTTTGGCGAGCGTATTGTAAACGGCCTGGTCCTGGGTGCCTTGGCGCAGAGTTTCCTCCAAGAAGGGTAGTAAAATCTTGAGTCTGTTTCTTTTCTCAACTTCTGTAGTCAACTCACCAATAGGGACTTGACCCAAAACCGTTCCAAGTAGATTTTGAATAATTTTCTCATCACAATCAACATCCAACAAAGCAGCCACTACTTGAGGGGTCCTAGTTGGATTTACCTGCTGAACGTACACCTCAATAAATTTGAAGTCCTGTGCTTTGTATAAGTATAGCACCAAATCGTGAATGTACCCGAAGCGGTCGGCAACTATGACCAGTGGCATTTGGTCAGGTAGTCTCAAATCCTTTAACAAGTTTTTGACTCTTTCTGGATCATAAACGTTGTTGCTCTTAACAATTCTCTCCACTTCTTTGTACTGACCAGCCTTTGCTGCAGCTTGGATAAATTTAAAAACCACATCCTTGTCTTCTGTGAGGTTGACAAGTGACGCCAAATAGTAGTAAAGGCCCTCTGTTGCTCTATATTCTTCGAACAATTTGATTAGCACACTAGATCCAATGAGGTCTGAGTACTTGGTAGCAACTTGGATAACAATTGGCAAGTTTCCCTGTAGATTGTTATCTAGAAGCGTTCTCAAACAAGACACACTTTGTTCGACGTTGAGCTTGCCGAAATAATTCACAAGCCAATCGGCCGGAATTGTGCTGGAATGCACAATACTGCGCTTAATGTCCTTGATATCTGTGTAATTCTCAAGAGCTCTTTGATACAAGCCGGCCTTTTCGGCAAGGGAGGCTATGGTGGGCTTATCATAATGGCTGAAAATATTATTTCCCATGATAGCATCTGCTACTTGAGGAGCATGAAGCAGATTGACCTCCAAGACGCGGGTTTGTAGGTGGCCCTGGTCAGGCGTGTCGCCTTTCAAAGCATCTAATAGGAAAGAGGTACCTTGCTGGATGAAGTTTTGAGTAAAAAAGATATCGGCAATCTTCTCAACGTCCAGTTCAGAGGAGGTTTCGGGCGACTGGAGGAGACTAATCGCGAACTCTGAAGCCTTATCGGGTGAAGATCTAAGCAGGTTGGAGATCAAAACGACGTAGTTGGGTTGATAACCCACCTTTTGAGCGTATGGCAAAATCTTGTCAAATTGTTGAAGTTCAGCCAAGCAGGAGATAGCTTTTGGGTGAGCCTCTGCCCTTAGATAACATGCTAAAGCTAGCGTCGTGTCAAATCCCTTTACCACATCACCCAACTCCTCAGAACATTCGAGTTTGTCTTCTTTGAGCCACTTCTCAAATAATTGCTTACGATCTTGTTGTAGAACAGGTCTCGCCAGTTCTATGGTCTCGTATTTGTTCAACCTACCCTTATCCAGCAGAGTTGAAAAATACAATAAGATTGGAGATATGGCACCGGGGGCGGCTTGAATGTTCTTCAACCTGTTGATTGTCGTCTGAGTGCGCAACTGTTGGGATGATGCTGCAACTTTGGCAGCATTTTGGTAGTCTCCCGTGGCGAGCAAGGAATCAAACTGTTTCATAAATAAATCATCAGCGCCTGGCAAGCCACCTCTTGATGCCATCGTCAGAGCTAGCGAAACATTAGACAGCTTGTTCAAAACATAAGGAACGATTTGATCTTTAGAGATTTCAACAGCCAACACTTGACCTTTGCGGTTGATGCAGGCAATACCATTTTTCCCATTATACGTAGAGGCTGTGAAAACAGGCTCAACGGTAATACGATTGACAAAAAGGTTTGCACCGGTCTCAAGTTCATATAAGTGGATAAAACCATGCTTCGTCAATACGTAGACAACACCATACTTTTCCGAAACTTGTACGGATATAGGAAAATCATTTACAGCGTCGGGAGGAAAAAAAATGTCGACATTTTTCTTCTGGTAAGCGACCGGATTGGAAGCGTCGTGGTCAATTTCAATAATCCGCAGCTCTCCGGTACCCGAAGCCGTCTTATTACCGGTAACGAAAACTTGAACAGGAGAGGAGTTTCCCTCCAGCAGTATGTTGGAGAATGTGGCAACGTGGCCCTCGATGGCCTGAGAAATACCACGAGCTTTAGAGAAAAGTTGGATTTTTCCGGCAATGCGGCCATTCTCCTGTATAATTCCAACTACTGCAAACCAGTTGAGTTGGGCGTTAGCCACGAAATTGATGATCTGAGCATTTTTGAGGTTGGAGTGTCTCTGGGTCAGCTTGGTGGGCTGTCTGGACGTGTCCCCGTCGAAAACGTTGGAGACAAAGAGAGAGTTGGCTGTTACGAAACCCAAAGTGTCGTCGCTTAGCCACTTCCAGAACAGTACTGGCTCTGCCAGTGTGAAAGATTTGAGCTTGGATTTAGTATCGAGGTTGAAAATCTGCACCACGGTGCCCTGGGCTCTAACGGAAATGACATTTTGCGAGGGGTGCATAATCGCGGAGTCTCCCCCCATGTTTTTGCGGTTTACCTGGTTTCCATTCTGAAGGTCGACTATCGCCACCGAATTGGCGCCATTGTTGGTTTCTCTGACGGTGACAAACCGATCGCTTTCGAAAGTAGTCGATCTGAAGTCGAGAGACTGAGGGGAAATACCAATCGACGTCAAATCCACCAATTCCGTGAAGTCAATTGGTAAATCACTCATACTGTGAAACGAATATGAGTGTCTACGACGATTCTAGTGAAGACTGAAAGAGATTGGGGTTTTTGGTCTCTTACAATTAAGTTCAGGAGTGGCAATGGAAGGACCAACAAAGTTCGATTTCCAGTTTTTTTCGAACACTTGCATTAATATAGGGGCAGGAATACAAGGCCAATTGCACGAGCACAGTCCTCTGAAGAGTACCCTCCGTGTTCAATGACATCCTGTGTGTGTGTGAGTAAAGTGCTAGAAACAATGGCCACGAACCCAGGACGATTATAAGGCATGGGCTGGTGAAGCGGATCCTGTAACAACCCAGATTAATATTGTGTATACCATTGGCTTGGTAGCACCAGACTCTGCATTGCGAGTTGATATCTGTAAATTTGCGTACATGGTGATTAGAGATGTCAGTACCCGCGAGACGTCGTCAGAACCACCAAACAGAAGTGATCTCGCACTGGATGATTAGCATCGAGCTGCACAGTATTAAACTTTCAAGAAAATGGGTTGATGTCCATTAAATCGGTTCCTGGTTGTGCCTTAAGCACAAACTTAGGTTCAGCACCGGGTTGGCTCGTTCGAGGGAGGAGACAGTAGTTGTGGCTCAATGTTTTCGTAGTATATATATATATTTTATTGAGGCGAATCTGATTCGTCAGTAGAAAGCTTACTAAATTTGTCTTGTAAGTCGGACATAGTCATTGTAAGATGAGTAACTTGGATCTAGGGAATTCTACTTATCTCTCCGTGATTATTTTAGGCATTAGAGCTGGTTCAGTTACCTGAACAAAAGCCTGGTATTTATACAATTCTCACTCGGTGACTCTGGTCAACATATTTATTAATCACCAGTTCTAGATCATTCTATTACCCAAGGATTACGGCTTCAATGCCGTACACTACCGATAAATTATCAATGGCCAATCCCATTGGACAATAGTTGTTCTCTTCGGTTTGTCTTAGCTTGTAGCTCTATTTGTATGGCCTCGGTTGTGTACTATCATTCTGTACCACTGTGTCACATATTTACTGACGCTGATTATGCGATTAGACGCACATCACCATCAGTTTATTCACATCATTCCCAACACCTAGATCCAAGTTACTCATCTTTCAATGACTATGTCCGACTTACAAGACAAATTTAGTAAGCTTTCTACTAACGAGTCAGATTCGCCTTAATAAAATGGTATAGAGTATTTTCCTTTGAAATAGAATAAGCAGATGAAGGATACAATCATAGGGTTCGGCAAACAGTGATTGTCTAGTAGCGATCCTGCCGGTGAATCAATCATCTACGCCTAGCGGTGCCCGGATTACATCTGCCAGATATTTTATATACACACCCACTATACGTTCCAGATATTGACCATGGCTATAGCTTACGTAGTAGCCGAAAACAAGGTGGAAGCCTGTTTCTTTGAATAGTACTTCCTCACGGTGTCCAAAGAGTTGTACGAACAGTTGCTGACTGCTGCCCGAGGATGTGTCAATGGAAAAAACCCTTTGCTAAACTGGCCTAAGTACGTCTCCTAGATAATTGGCCAAAACCTAGACGTGCCATAGTCTTCCAGGTTGTGCCACACACAACTCGGTCGACGCCCGCTCCGGAGATAACTCCGCTTAGAAGAGCGTCTGTTCGAATACCAGGCCGCTCCTTATTTTGAGAAGTTTTTCATAGTCCGTCCGCCCTTATTGTCACAATCTATGATGACGGGAAAGTTGGGGAAGCAGCGTCACAGCAGAGTATAAAATGGAGACAGCGATAGCTGATTCGGCTCTTGTGGGCATTTCTAGCAGCAAATACTTTCTTGACAAGCTGTGGAGCGCCAATATGACCAAGATCACAGCAAATGAATTTTCAGGCGCAACGTTTAGGCCCCAGCAGTTTATTCGAGCCGAAAGGCTCGGTTCTAAGGTGAATGTAGATCAGCTCAATCTGTTCGTGGAGTCCAGTCCAGAAAATGCCAAACTGACTCGGGACCTTATCACACAAGTTACGATGGATCCTGTCCTTAAGACGGGCTCCGAGTACTACGAGTTGGACAAAAGTCAACATCGCGAGGCCACTGCTTTGAAAATTGCCAAGATGGCTTCATACATGGAACAAGACATACAGATGGCATTCAAAAAATACCGGAACCATGACGTGGTGAAAAGCTTACAAACCGATAGCGAGTTCCCCATCTTGACTGCGAAGGACCTGTCGATATTTGACAAGCGGTTGTCGATTATCTCGAACCAGGATCCGCAGCTGGGAACTAGGATCGGAGTTCACCTAGGATTGTTTGGAAACTGCATTCGCGGTAATGGAACCGATGAACAGATCCGCTACTGGCTCCAGGAAAAAGGTGCGTTATTCCTTAAGGGAATCTACGGCTGTTTCGCGATGACTGAGCTGGGGCACGGTTCCAATGTTGCTCAATTGCAAACGCGTGCAGAATTTGATTCTGAAACGGATTCCTTTAAGATTAACACTCCAGATCTACCGGCTACAAAGTGGTGGATTGGAGGTGCTGCACACACAGCTACACACGCTACTGTCTATGCAAGACTTATCGTGGACAAAAAGGACTATGGTGTCAAGACCTTTGTAGTACCGCTAAGAGACCCTACGACGTTCCAGCTTTTGCCCGGGGTATTTATTGGGGATATCGGTGCGAAGATGGGGCGGGACGGTATCGACAACGGGTGGATTCAGTTTCAAAATGTGGTGATACCTCATGAGTACATGCTGAGCAGATTCACGCGTGTGATAAACAGTGGTGGAAGTCTCCGAGTGGAGACTGAGCCAACGCTTGATCAGATTTCTGGATATAGTGCCTTGCTGAACGGAAGAGTAAACATGGTAATGGACTCCTTTAGGTTTGGTTCGAAATTCGCCACAATAGCCATTCGTTACGCCGTAGGTAGACAGCAGTTTGCTCCCGATAACGACAAGACCGGGAAAGCGTCTGAAGTGCAGCTAATGAACTATCCATTGCATCAATATCGGGTACTTCCGCACCTGGCGGTCGTTTATCTTATCTCTCCTGCTGCCTTCCAACTTATGAGCACTTACCACTCAACGCTGGACGCTCTGTATAAAGCGTCTTCCTCTGGTGATAAACGCCAGTTGCAATCTGTGAGCCTTAAACTGAAGGACCTGTTCATTGACAGCGCCAGTTTAAAAGCAACCAACACTTGGCTAGTCGCTACAGTGATTGACGAGCTACGGCAAGCATGCGGAGGACATGGTTATTCCGCGTATAATGGTTTTGGAAAGGGGTACAACGACTGGGTCGTTCAGTGCACTTGGGAAGGTGACAACAGCATCTTGTCTTTGACGTCGGCAAGAAGTATCTTGAAGAAGTTCACAGACCTCGCCCAGGGCAAGGTGCAGAAGTCCGAATCATTCCGATACTTGGATCCCCAGTCCGTCATGGATATTCTGAAAGGTAGTAAGACTGCTAAGCTCGAGAGCATGAACGATTATTTCGAGGTGTGGGGAATTATGTTGGTGAAGATGCTGCACCATTGTGTGAACCTGGTAAAGCAGACAAAAAGCACTGATTCCATTTCAAAGCATTTGTTGTTGATTTCTCGCTTCCATGCATTCCATTCCATGTTGCGAGTATTTTCCCTAAAACTGCAAAGTTCAGCTGATTCGCACGTACAAGATGAAAACAGTCGCGAACTGCTGTGGAAGCTTTACCGCCTATTCTCAGTCTATTTTATTGACAAGTATTCTGGTGAATTTCAACAGTTCAAAGTTTTCACTCCAGACCAAATCTCAAAGCTAGTGCAGCCACAACTGATTGGACTATTGCCAGAGGTGCGCAAGGAATGCATTGCGTTGACCGATGCATTCAAATTGCCAGATGCAATGCTAAATGCCCCAATTGGCTACTATGACGGAGATATTTACAATAACTATTACAATGAAGTGATCAAAAATAACCCACCGGAACCGGACGGACCAGGGAAGCCTGCCTACCATGGTCTTTTAAGAACTATGCTAGAACGCGGATTTCAAGGTGTTGAAAATTTGGAGAAGTTGGGAAGCTAGCTTTGCGAAATCATAATAGCTATAGTAAGTTGTTACTGAAATGAAACGACTGTTGCTGCAAATCTCTAAATCTGTGTTGTTTTGTACACTAAATAGTGAGTAATTATGACGTTGTGATTGGTTAGTATCTCGTCACGCAATTTGGATGACCCACCTTGGAACTAACCAGACTTTATACTCTTCAGCACCAATGATTATACCCTATTCCGGAAGGAGAATCGTTGGCTGGCCAAGTCTTTCTGGCGGCGTCCCCCTGGTAGCTCTCCCAACAGCTGTGATCAGCATCTCGTAGCAGTTTTAACTTTCACGTGTCAACTTGTTATTCAAGAAAAGCTGGAAGCAAAAGGGAGGGACCTTGTATCATCCATACTCACATGCAAATTAATCCATCGTGTATAAACCCAAATAATTGGACACTGAAAATTTGGCCTATTTAAAGCTACTGAGCACGGATTTGTTACCCAACACTCTAGATTAGACTATAGATCTGATCTTTGCAATCAAATTAAAGAAAACTCGCGAAATGGCAAGCCCACAAGACCCAAGTAAGCCAAACGACACTAGCGTGATATCTGACGGTGAAGGTGAATCGTTTGCGGCCAGTAGAACCCCAAGCAGAAGGGCCAGCAGCATTTTCTCTCTGGAAAATCCTCCCTTAGAGCCTCCTAATGAAAGCGACATCGAAAAATTCACCAGTGACGAGTACCACTTTAATATGATCCGTAACCTGCATTTGGCGGATCTCATCACTATGATGAATGGATTTTGTGGCTTTTATTCAATAGTAAGTTGCTTGAGGTTCACACTTACCAAAAAACCCCATTATGTTCAAAGAGCGCATTTTTTCATTCTTCTCGGCATGTTTTTCGATTTCTTTGATGGCAAAGTCGCGCGTTTGAGGAATCGATCCTCCCTGATGGGTCAGGAGTTGGACTCTCTGGCGGATCTCGTCTCTTTTGGAGTGGCACCTGCGTCGATTGCCTTTGCCATCGGATTTCAATCAACTCTAGATGTTTTGGTGCTCTCTTTCTTTGTGCTTTGTGGATTGACAAGATTAGCCAGATTCAATGTCACTGTTGCGCAGTTGCCCAAAGATACGTCAGGAAAATCAAAATATTTCGAAGGGTTGCCAATTCCAACATCATTGGCTTTAGTGGGTACTATGGCCTACTTTGTCAATAGGGGTTTAATTCTGGATAACCTCCCCTTAGGACTCTATGCTCGTGGTGAGTGGTATGAAATCCACCCTGCTGTACTTGCATTCGGAATTCAAGGCTGCGGCATGATCTCGAAGAGTTTGAAGATCCTCAAATTTTGAGTACATATGCATTTAGAAAAGCGCAAGTTAAATATATGAAGGTAACAAGCCTCGATGGCGGAGCGCTATGAATCACAATGAGCTCGAAAATATCTTAACATCTCGGTAACCGCGAGTATGATTGTAGGCCAAAAAATTTGCCATTTCCTGGAATCGAACCAGGGTTTCATCGGCCACAACGATGTGTACTAACCACTATACTAAAATGGCGAACAGACTTTCGTTAGGCACCAATTTCGTGCATAGCTGTTAAAGTGAGTCACGCTTTGCAACTTGTAATTCGAACTTTGACGTAAAGAAGGAAACTACTATATTAATATTAAATTACTTAGAGTCCGCTATTGAATGGCATTCTGTTTTATCTAACATCCCTGTCTGTTCAGATCATCCGGTCTCCATTGATATGATTTTCCTCGCTCAAACTAACCCGTGATCGACGTCCGTTGGCGTACAAATGTCGTGTCATCTTGTCGCCTCTAGAGAGACTGGTGTAGCTTAGCTCATAACGTCTCATAGCCATGTGAGTAGGTCGATAGGTCTCTAACACATGTCGCGTCCTTGTTATTATTCCTCGCATTATTATTATTCTTATTATTATGACTATTCCTGTCGTTCCACATCAGGCTGACAGGATAATGCCTTAATAATCGGTTCCAGGTGGTGTTTCACGCACAATATGATGTTTGCCCTGAAGACAGAGTTCAACTATAAGCAAAGCTGATAAAAAAACTACCTTTTGCTGCTGCCTAGCCATAAATAAGTAAAACGAGGCGTACTTTGTGTTAGATCCACCGATTGATAGTAGCATAGCGCTCTTTAATAGTGTCGAGTTACCCATGATCACTAAAACACTGTCAGAGTAGTAAGGCATCAGTATACCAAGAAAATGCAAGGTAGATAGTCAAGCAAAGGAATTAGAATGGGTACTCATTTCGCATTAGTGACTTTGCGGGCTATCAGAATTTATTTAGCTGGAACTGCATTCGGATTGCGTCTGTCAATATCTTTTGTAAATGATACTCGCAGTTGCTCTTACAAACTGACAAAATCTATAGTCCAAGTAATCATGGAGAGATTAAGTCACTATATACTTTCAGATCCCACATCACAAACTTAGAAGATAATTTACAGTTTCTATCATAGACTTGTAAGAACGCTCTGGCATTAAGCACGCGCCATAATAATAAAATGATCTTTCCACTTTATTGGGTCGAAGTGGAGAGAACGGATCAATGGGACATCTTAGCGATTCGATACAGAATTTTGTATGGATAATAGTAAGAACAAGCTGAAATTGAATAAAGAACAAGTCTGAGATAATGACCGCTCTCTATTTTCGGTTGATGTCGCGGTAAGTAATTTCCGTGGTGAATCTTTTTTCCCCTAGTTCAAGTGACGAAAAGGAGAGCTTCGCTTAGCCTCAAACCAATTTTTAATAACAATCTAATTGCGACTTTTATTTGAAAACTGATTTCGTCTTTCAACCCCACGTATTCTCCTTAACTTTGGCACTCTGACTCGATATCAGAAAGAAGGCAATTCTTTTCAAACATGCAGCTCGGGTCCGAAATATTATGGCAAACTAGTACTCTGGATCCTCTCACCTTCGTCCAGGACCTCGGTGAATCTACCTTTAGCGTTTTTTCATAAAGTTAAGCACTCTCATTGTTTTGTTCGTTGACAGTATTTTTGTAGCAGCTTGTCCAGAGAGAATATTATAACACAGGAACAAGTCGATACGGGTAAATGATTAAACGAGAAGGTGTAGCCCTTCTTATTTGATAGTCTCCATTGTGATTCTCAGATCACGTAACGTGCTTTTTGATGAGATATGAGCAGGCGGGGCCCTCGCATGATAATCGGCATGCCCGCTGACGTTATCCGGTACTACAAATCATCCAGTTCAAAAGATCCCCTTGATTCCTGTGTTGGCACATTGGAGTATCCTTTTTTATTCTGAGAGCCTTGTGGCGGTTCGACAAGGTCCGCGGCGTCCTGCTCCAAATCTGCTGCCCACGACACCGATTTCTTGCCCTGCTCCTGTCTTCCATTTGGATCTATGAGTATAGCACGAAGTTTAGGACGGAATCGTTCACGAAATGTGAAGTAAAGACCTATAATAATAGCCATAGAAAGCAATATTGACCCACCGGCCACAGTGAGTTTGTGAGTGTCTCTCAGTAGTTGGTGCTTGTTTGCAGAAGCATCTTTATTATCAGCTTCGTCTTCATCATCATCATCATCACCATCATCGTCATCGTTCTCATCGTCCTCGTCATCTTCGTCGTCCTCATCATCATCGTCTTTATCTTCATCATCGTCTTCATCATCGTTATCGTCGTCGTCATCTTTATCATTATCGTCATCACCTTTGCTGTGGTCATCGTTGCCGTCTTGGTCGCCTCCGTGCTCATTAGTCTCTCCCATTTCATTGTCGCCATTGTCATTTGTTTCATCACCGTTGTTTTCCTCGAGATCCTTTGAATCCTCGTCTTCACCTTGGTCATCATACTCAACAGAAACCGTAGGTTCCAAATATTGGACATCGTTATTGATCATGTGGCTCACTAAAATGTCGCCATCTTCGCCTTGAAGCAGTTCGACGTCATTTAAGTAGATATCCATTATTCCACGGCTGACGAGCCCGTTGTCAAATGGTACCATGTGCGAAGCATTGTAAACGCTGATGAAAGTCAAATTCCGGTCGTACTTCACGTAACCAGCAGGTGCAACTTCGTAATCGGTCCCATATTGATACTCCCAATCGTAATATTGTACCTTGTCAGAAAAGCCTTTCCCACCATTCCACGTTAAGCTGTTGATGAGAGTTTCTATTCCGAGATTGTTGCAGATGATATCTTGATCACCATTGAAAAGTATGACCTCAATACCAGACTCCAAAATCTGAGGCAGAATATGAATTGATGGTTTGGACTCAAGGTTTCTTAAATGATTCGACACTTGGTCGTCACATTCATGCCATTTCGGGACCTTCTCGGAATCCAAATGGAGCGCTTCCATAACACCTGGGGTTCCGAAAAACTTGGCTAGATTGGGCAAATCGCCCGGCCAACTCATACCACAGGATGGGAAGGAGTCTCTGAGTCGTATATCATAAATGTTGAGACATTCCTGGTTGGGATCGACTTTTCTACCGTCAGAGCCGTCGGTAATTCTAGTCACATCTAACAGCTCCGTCAGTATATTTTCACATTCAGGCACCGAAAAAGGGAGCTCGTCGTTCGAGTTGAGTTGGTTTTGACATTTTTCCTGTTGACTTAACAGGCCCGTGAGCTTATTATTGGTCTTTTCGATAAGCCCTTTCTCCAGTGCGAAAGGAATATATGACAGGGCTTGTTGATTGGGATCAATCCAGCCGTTACCGATGAGTAGGGCACTCAACTTAATGTTGTTCTCCACGTCTTTACCGTTCTGTTCTAAGATAGCATGTGCAAAATAAGGGATGTACTGGCCAGCATAGGACTCACCTGCCAAAACGATTTGCTTTTGAATGTCGTGGGGAAAAACTTCGAAGTAACGATGCAAAAAAGTGAGAAAGTTCTGCGAAACGGCAAGCAGGTCAGTGTCATACTCGGAGTCCGCGCCGACGGTGGAGAATCCGGTTCCTGCAGGTTGGTCGACGAAAACAATGTCGCCCCTCGTATGCCAAGCACCCTCGTTCAAATACGCTTTACCAGAAGAGTCAATGCGCAGACCGCCAGCCTCCATCAACGCTCCATCCATGGAGGAGCAGCCGGGGCCGCCATTCAACCAGAAAACAAGGGTGTTCTGAGCTTGGGAACTGCTGCGCCCTGAGGTGTCGTGGAACTTCCAAAAAAAATAGTTCTTGGCGTTAACGTCGTCTTCCGGGCCTAGTGGGATGTGCCCAGCATGCATTTCGGGTATCAAATCACGGTCCTCTACAGCAGAAAGGCCTGGGATCAGCTCCGGGGCAATCGCATAGTCCTGAGCTGACGATGCAGCCCATGAGAACCTAAATGCAAACAGCAAGGCCGTAAATAGGGGTGACACCAGGCTTATCACTTTGGTAGATAGCATAGCGAGTGAGAAGGGACGTAACCAAGGGTCCGGTGTCGAAAGAGCTCGAGTTAGCTAGATCCTGCTGGAATTCAACACCCGGATGATCACTACCATAACATGTATATATAATATATGTTATATTAATCACCGTACAAAAGACTATTGTGGCTCGTCGAGCATGATATGTGGGAGTATAAAAAGTGGCAAGGGGCTCTTCATGTCGCAAACTGTCCGCATAACAATAACGATAGTGAGCCAAAATCTGCTATCTTGGCGAACTGCCGCTTGATGCAAAGACAACCAGAGATATGAAGCACCCGGTGCCTATCTAAATGGGCCTCGTTTAGCTTTTCCTGCCTCGCTTCGTGGTTCTAGTCCTCTAGCTCAAGGGCGGCTAAATGATAGGCGTAGGTGTCAATAGCACGCAAATCGATCACTGTTAACGGTATGTACTCGTCTCGTCGCGTGGTTTTCACGATCCTATTTTCTGGTCGAACTTCGAGTCAAACGTCGAGTTGCGTGGCTACCATTTTGGGAAACAGAGGTTTCTTCTTCTTTCGAGACACCCGTTTCTTTTCGGATTTTCCATTTTGAACGCTGCGTTCGGCTGTCGTTTCTTCTCTTATCGCCTAGTGACGGCGATGATGGTAGACGATAAATGGAAATGATGCCTTTCGAAAAGAAAAATTTCGCTCATGGAGCACCGATGACACACATTTAGCTGTGTGACTCTTCTCAGATTGGTAAGAGCAGCATTATCGCTACTGTCGTCGTCGGCGTATTTGCACGGAATTTTACACCCAACGCCGAGGCAAAACCGTATTTATACCACGGAAATCGTGTATTTCATATCCCAGTAGCCGATTGTTCGTCAGGTTTAGCAGTTGTGTTCACCGTGCGGATCGAGTGTTTTACTAAAAAATCCAAAGCGCTGTTTCTCTTCCCGCTCAAAGCAAGCTCTCCTGTCCACTAAACGCACCAACAGAACTTCAAACAATGACTGTGGGTGATTCTTTAGACTTCTCGCACCTCTTCTCGGATGAAACCAAAGCACGTAAGTCGTCGCCTCTAAAGTCGTGCATCCACTTGTTCCAAGACCCCAATATCGTCTTTTTGGGCGGTGGGCTGCCCATGAGCAAATACTTTCCTTGGGACAACTTGCAGGTAGAGTCGCCATTGCCTCCATTTGCTAATGGGATTGGTGAATCGCCTTCTGGGGACGCCAAAGACACCTGCCATGTTCAAGTACGCAAGAACGAAGTCACCAAGGCCGGTGACTCCAAGGACATCCCGCTTTCGCGCTCTTTGCAATATGGACACAGCAAGGGCCAGCCAGAGTTTCTATCATTTGTTAGGGAGCACACCCAGCTGGTGCACGGCATGAAGTACGCCGATTGGGACATCCTGGCCACCACTGGTAATACTGGATCATGGGAATCTACCCTTAGAATTTTCTGCAACAAAGGCGACACCATTTTGGCCGAACAGTACACTTTTTCTTCATCCATTTACGCCGCTGAGGCCCAAGGTGTCAATGTTTTCCCCGTGCCGCTGGACGACCATGGGTTGATTCCTGAAAGGTTGGAAAGCATTTTGGACAATTGGAACCCAGAAACCAGGAAGCCCAAATTATTGTACACAATCCCAACTGGTCAAAATCCTACAGGCTCCTCGTTGAGTGATGACCGCAAAGTGGAAATCTACCGTATTGCCCAAAAGCACGATTTGCTAATTTTGGAAGATGAACCTTACTATTTTCTACAGATGGATGCTTACCAAAAAGATCCCTCACAAAGAAAGGCCACCGAATTTGCCTCTCATGATGAGTTTGTCAAATCCTTGGCTAAATCTTTTATCTCGCTGGATACCGAAGGTCGTGTTATTAGAATGGATTCGTTCTCTAAGGTCCTAGGACCCGGTACCAGATTGGGGTGGATTGTCGCTTCCGCGAAGATTTTGAAAGCATACCTTCAGCTTCACGAAATGACCATACAAAACCCTTCTGGCTTCAGTCAAAGCATTGTGGCCGGAACATTGAACCGTTGGGGTCAGGGTGGATTCTTAGACTGGCTAATAGGCATGCGTCGTGAATACAATGAAAAGCGTGATGTTGCTATTGATGCTCTCTACGAGTATATTCCAGAGAGCCCAGCCTTCCACATCAATCCACCAATCGCAGGTATGTTCTTTACCTTGAACATTGACGCCTCTTCGCATCCGGAGTTTGCTACCAAGTATCAATCTAAACCTGAGCTTGTCGAACAAGCTATCTACGAGAAGGTTGTTGCGAGCGGCGTACTAGTTGTTCCTGGTGCTTGGTTCAAGGCTCTGGGGGACACTCAACCACCTCAACCTACTTCAAGCAAACAGGAACTAGATCCTAATGGAGTAATCTTCAGAGGAACATACGCTGCTGTGCCACTGGACAAGTTGAGAGAGGGTATAAAGAGGTTTGGTCTCGCTCTTAAGGAAGAGTTTCAATTGTAGTATCAAGGTACGAATGTAAAAAAGATTATACATATTACATAGACCAACAAAACAAGCCAACACCAAAATCTTCAATTTCTCTGGAAAGTTCCGGCTTACCTCGATCAAAATTTGGCTGGTTTAAACTTACTTGGCATTATGATTACTGCCGGGTTTTGGACTATCATCGCCGGAATTATTATAAGCGCCGATATCGGCAACATGTTCAAGAACCGGCTTAAATGCTGATTGTGACGTTTCAATAGAGGCTGCACGCTCTAAATCATAAAATTCGTTTCTGGCAACCAAATTGCTTTCGTAAACACGTTCTTCATCGATGACAATCTCCCCACCTTTATTTTCGGGACCCAGCACGGTTGTTATTAACAATGCGGCAAAAACACTTCCCATAAAGATGCACATTACCTTTCCATAATCGTATACACCTTCCTTTCCTTCGATTGGAAAACGCTCTCCTATACTTGCCTCGATTGTAGATGATGCGCTACTGATCATGTTTCCTAACTGATAAGCAACGCCAATAACAAATGTACGAAACTCAACAGGAGAAAGCTCAGTCAAATGAATGGGAACTACTCCCCATGCTCCTTGAACGAAAAACTGAAGGAAAAATACGGAGGGGTTTAGTTGTCGAGGGTTTGATAGAAAGCCCCACGGATATAAAAATGCACCACCTCCTACGCAACACAGGACAATAGCGCATCGACGCCCGATGAAAGATGATACGTGTGCAACCAGAATACCACCAACTAACGCCCCAATGTTCGCCACTGCATTGGTGACAGTTGATGCATCTTCTGAGTACCCATACTGTTTAGAAAGCATTGTTGGAAATAAGTCCTGAGAGCCATGCGACGAGAAGTTGAACATGGCCATCAGTATGACCATATAAATTAAGGTCATCCACTGTCTTTTGAGGGCTAGTTTTGCATTTCTCCAAAACCTGGACGATGGCGGTTCTGCACGTTTTGCTCCAGAACTCTCTGAGGTAGGAACTTGCCGTTTTAAAAAGGCCTCGGACTCTGGAAGAAGTAGCCTCCAGACAATAAAGAGAGCTGGGGGACCAGCACTAAACCAAAAAAAAGACCTCCACCCATATGGGGAATTATCCACAATGGCCCGCTTAAATATCACACCTAGCAGGTAGCCCAAGGCGTAACCTTCTTGAAAGATACCAGACAAAATAGATTTGGATTCTTCTGGTGCATTTTCTAAAGCCGTAGCGCTCGCTACACCAAAGATAGACCCCATTACCACCCCAAAGAGAGCTCTGCAACCTAAAAAGGCAGGGAAATTCTTCACAAATCCTGTGCCAATCTGAACCACTATAATCAGAAACATTGACAGACAGTAGGGCAGCTTGCGACCAAATCTATCCCCCAGATAGCCAAACAAAATGGCACCTACTACCCTTAATAATAACACTAAGGTAATAGCATGTGTAACATCTTTTATCGGTGTGTGGAGATCCTCTGCAATCTCCGTTAAATTCAGTGACACTGCAAAGAAGTCCAAGGCATCCCACGTCCAAGCCAAAAATCCCACCACAAAATATTGGACTTGTCTGGCATTTAAATGGACTAACGCAGGAAATGGATTCCAGGGATATTTGTTCCAGTTTTCCCGAAGTACGGCCTTTGATGGGAACAAAGTGGTGAAACGTGTCTTTAAATATTGTTTTGCTAATCCTGTAGTCAGTTGATGCTGGTCTTTAATTTCTTCTTCTCGGCAACCATTCCTCACTTCTCTTTCGATAAACGAGTCTGACGACGAGGTCGCTGTATTGGTGATCATCATGTCTTCTCGACCTTACAAGATTTAATCCTACGCACGCTCTCTTTCCCCCATATAATTAAACCATACTGAACCGGATGATCGCATATCTATATATACTATCCTGTCCCCGGGGCGTGTGTCGATGAGTGAGCTGGATGGCCGGCATCTTTCTCATACTCTGCCAAGTGTGACCAAACTAGTCAGTCATATCTCCAGGCCCATGATTTCTGCGATTCGTCGGCACCAATCTCAACATGCCAAGAGCCGTAATCCTCGGTTACTAATTAGTTGTACTGCAGCGGATATCGAAACTTCTGCACCTTTCGCTCCGCAGTATTTAGAATTTGATGCTGCCAGAAACAAGAGTACTCAAAGTGGCCCTTGGCAAGAAATACCTGCTCGGCCAGAGACTGTCGGCATTGCGGACATGTTTGATGGCTGACTTCAGGAATGGCGATAAGAAGTTTCCCTATTTACGCATGACAGACACGACACATTAGCTCCAGCCACAACACATGAGCAATTAATCATGTACGAAAATCCCCCAGAAATTAGTCACTAGTGTTCGACTGCTTAGGTAGGCTGGGTTCTAGTTTACACTAACGATCTACACATTTTTATTTTGGCTGAATCACTTTTCAGTTTAATATGTGTTTAATTTAAAATGTGTAATGCTGCTGACCACAAACCAGCTTCTCATTCTGGCTTCACGGGCTCCGCATTCCAAATAGTCTCAGCGTATTCCTCAATGCACCTGTCACTGCTGAAAAACCCAACGTTGGCAACGCTCAAAATGCTCTTCTTGAGCCACTCCTTCTTGTTTTTGTGGTATACCTCATCCACCAAGTCCTGCGTAGCAATGTAAGATTCGAAATCATCACTCACTAGATAGTAATCGCCGTGATATTTAATGCTATCAGTCAGCGGTTTAAACTCGTGATGGTTTTGAGGTGAAAATGCACCGCTTTCAACAGTGTCTAAAACTCTCTTTAGAGGCTTTGGTAATTCAGGGTTGTGGAATTGGTGGTTGTAACGGAGTTCGTCGACATTTTCGCTCAGATTTCCAAACAGGAAAATATTGTCTTCACCAATCTCTCGAGTAATCTCCACGTTGGCTCCGTCCACAGTGCCGATGATCAAACCACCGTTCATCACAAACTTCATGTTCGAAGTACCGGAAGCCTCTGTACCAGCGGTGGAAATGTGCTCACTCAGGTCACTTGCAGGTGTAATTATCTCAGCTTTTGAAACGTTATAGTCGGGGATAAAGTACACCTTGAGTAAATCTTGGATCTCGGCATCGTTGTTCACAACCTCGGCAACCGAATTGACAAGTTTGATGATCAGTTTGGCCATGTAGTAACCCGGAGCACTCTTCCCACCAAAGATGGAAACTTTACGTGGGTACCTGTTGGCCACTTCTTCAATGGATCCACCAGACTGCAGCATCTCCTTCATTTCCAAGTATCTATGAATTACACCAAAGATGTTCAATTGTTGGCGCTTGTACTCGTGTATCCGTTTAACCTGGATATCGAAAAGAGTGTTTCTAATGTGCTCTCTATCGATTACGTCAACACCACCATTTAGACGCTTGATCAAATCAGCAAGTCTCAATTTGTTGAATTGTTTCACGTCGTTCCACTTCTTTTGGAACCCCGCGTCTTCGGCATATTTGGATAGCTCTGTCAATTTTGACATGTCAAGCAGGTAATCATCGTTAGGATCATTTATGGTCTCGCTGATAAGCTGGGCCAACTTGGGATTGGCTTGCTTCAACCATCTCCTAGGAGTGATACCATTTGTAACGTTTGTGAATTTGTTGGCGCCATATATCTTGACGAAATCTTGAAAAATTGTTGTCTTGATCAAATCCGAGTGCAATTCCGCCACACCGTTGACCTTGTGAGAACCAATGATGGCCAAAAACGCCATGCGCACTTGCCTATCTGAGGAAGCGTCTTCGATGATAGAGACTCTAGACAATAGCTCCATATCATGGGGAAACTTTTTCTCCACGTTCTGTAGGAAGAACCAGTTGATATCAAAAATGATCTCCAAGTGTCTTGGCAACAAGTGACCTAACAAACCCACGGGCCATTTCTCCAGGGCTTCTTGCATAACAGTGTGGTTCGTATAAGCAAACGTCTTTATAACAATATCCCAGGCCAAGTGCCAATCAAGTTTCTCCAAATCAACCAAAATTCTTTGCAATTCAACAATCGCTAATGTGGGGTGGGTGTCGTTCAATTGGATAGCGATAGCATCAGGAAACTCAGACCAGGGCCTCCCGTTCTTCTTAAACCTTCTTACAATATCGTGCAAAGAAGCAGCGCACCAGAAGTACTGCTGCTTCAGCCGCAATTCTTTACCTTGCTCAAAGTTGTCATTAGGATAGAGAACAGCAGTAATGGACTCTGCCCGCTGTTGCTGTTCCACCGAATTTTTGTAGTCACCACTGTTGAATTTAGAAAAGTCAAATTCTGTGGTTGGCTTTGCGTTCCAGAGTCTCAAATTATTGACAGTCGACGTTTTGAAGCCAGGGATAGGCATGTCGTGGGCCATTGCTAACACTCTTTCACCGCCAATCCAATCAGAAGGTGCTAGTGTAGACTGCTCGCCATTTGTGCGATCAACGTATCCATAGAAGTTGATCGGGACTTGGATTTCGGCACGTTCAATTTCCCAAGGGTTACTGAAGTTGAGCCAATAATCTGGAGTCTCCACCTGATAACCGTTGATGATCTTCTGCGCGAAAATACCGTACTGGTAGCGCAGCCCATACCCCCAAGCAGGAAAATTACCTGTGGCTAAAGAGTCAACGAAACAAGCTGCCAGACGGCCCAAGCCACCGTTCCCTAAAGCCGCATCTGGTTCCTGCTCGAGAATATCCTCCAGCTTGAAGCCCAGGTCCTTCATCGCTTGGCGAATCATCTCCCGCGATGTATTTCCTTTGGTCAGCACTTGATCAGTTTTACCAACATCCTGTGCAGACGTGTCGGTACGCATATTGATTAATGCATTGTCTAGAGCTCTGCCCATCAGAAACTCAAGGGACAAATAGTACACACGTTTTCCACCACGAACGGTTTGTCTCTGTTGTGTCTTGTTCCAGTCAATCACCAAGTTATCGCGCACCGACTGTGAGGTAGCCTGGTACGCTGCCAGGTCGTCACAATTGTACAACGAACGGGCTAACGTCCATTCAACATGCGAAATAAACTTTTCCTCAAATTCCTCGCTAGTGTTGAACTTTTGCACCTTGTGCTTGTTCCAAAGCTCGCGCGATTGCACCGGGATCTTCGTTTCTATCGCCTTGATCTCTTGCGGCAAAAATCCCGTCAGTCTCCTCGTCAAACGAGGAACATGAGGCGCGTTGGGGTCCTCAGTGATTAGGTCATTCGACACAGTATTGAACAGGCTGGGTCTTCTTCCAGATGACATTTCGAACTATACCTAAAAATGGATCAAGTACTCAATCTAAGAAAGTTCCACCAAGAGCAGCAGCAGAAATGGTCTTCGCCTATGAATCCGGCCAAAGACGTCTCGCACCTCGACTTTGGCTAAACTTCTCGGGGGAGTTTAACTTCCGTTCAACAGTAAACACTATCGTACTCCGACCTCCAGCGTCCTTTTTATATCCATGGTTCTTCTACCTGTTGTCCCTTTTCCGAGAGTCATCTCGAAGACTTACCCCTGAGAGCTCAGCGGGCCAATGAGCAGCTTTAAACGTGGTACAACCACGGGTAAGTTCGTTTGATGCCCCTTGTGGAAAAGGACATCAGTGGGTGTTCATTCCAAATGTCCTCGTGATAAGTGAATACAAGAAATTGAGTACTCAGTGACCTATGAGTACCATTAAATACATCTTTCGAAGCCTGCTAGCCGGCAACCCGAGAGTGGTGTGGATTGAGGCGTCGCGAGTATGGCATAAACCATAGCCATCACCACATTTCATTTGAGGAAAAGCACTCGGCTCCGTAACTAGACTCACCTGGGTGATGAGCCAACAATGTTATCCAAAACAGCACAATTGGGGTGTATAACGTAGACAATTTTTTCTGGCGTGGGATGTGCGGACTCATGTTCTGCCAGGGCTTGCATGTTTCCATGCACCTGCATCAAAATCTTGTCCTTCACCAGTCTCTTGATGACCTTGAATGCAAGTTTTCGTTCTTGCCAGTACTCAGACTCACTGTTAAGGTCGTTCTCTCGCTGTAGCAGATACCAGTCAACGATATCGGAGGCCGTCAGCTCATCGCCTCCCTCTTGGTCCTCTTGGGCAACTTTCTGTACGATGAGGTTGATCATAGCCGCGTATTTGTCGTAAGAGATGGTCACTTTTTCCTTCGGTTTTGGTTCAGGAGCGACGGGCGCAGGAGAGTGAGCAGGCGAGCTCTCTGCGCCGCCTGGAATATCATTGCTGGGCGAATGTGACTCGTTGATCTCCTCGTCTGATTCTGCGGTCACATCCACGTCCTCGACGTCAACACGGATAATGCTCTGGCGCAACAATTCGAAGGCCTCTGCCACAAAGTTGGGCGTGATTTCATCCACGCAGTTAGCTCTTGCGATCGCCTCTGAGAGTCTAATCATACTCTCCAGTTGTCTCACCGTAATTCTATAACTGGACTTGCTAAAACCTTGAGCGTCGTCCTTCCGTAGCTCTTTGTATTTGTCGACGAGATACGTTCTGGCCTCCTCATTCATCACAGGTTTGAATGTCCTAGCATACTTGATGTACCGGCGCAGTTGTTCTGCCGTAAAAGGTGGGTCAATTGCCTGGTCTCTTTTCATGTGCAGGTCCACGATGTGCGCGGCAAGCTCGGTGTCAATCTTCTCATTGCAGTCGTCCAGCACCACAAAGAACAGATCGAATCTCGACATAATCGGAGCTGTCATGTTTAAGTTACCTCTCAGCGTCAGCTTTCGATTATATCTACCACCAATAGGGTTCGCAGCGGCCAGAATGGACGTTCTCGCATTTAAAGTTGCATGAATACCCGCTTTTGCGATGGAGATTGTTTGTTGTTCCATAGCCTCGTGAATAGCAACTTGGTCTGAAATGTCCATTTTGTCAAACTCGTCGATACAACAGATGCCGTTGTCCGCTAACATGAGCGCACCTGCTTCAATTGTAAAGTCACCCGCCTCTTCATCTTTGACTACAGCAGCTGTCAACCCAGCAGCAGAGGAAGCCTTACCAGAAGTGTAAACGGCTCTGGGGGCAAATCCACAAACATACTTGAGAAACTGTGACTTAGAGGTAGATGGATCACCAACAATACAGATATTAATATCACCCCTTAGGTTAATCCCTTCGACAGTGGTCTTGTGCACACCTCCGAGCATCTGTAATAAGATTCCCTTCTTCACAGTTGTATGGCCAAATACAGCGGGCGCTATGGACCTAACCAGTTTATCGTAAATTTGCTCATCCTTGACCATTTCTTTAAGCTCGTTTATCTCTTGAGAGTTTAAGCTGTTCAAAAAGATTTCTTGATCTCTTTCGCCATCATTGCTGGTGTGGTTGACCTGCATATTTAGTAAATCAGCATTATCATCGCTGGAAGCCGATCCATTATTGCTATTCTGGCCGGTCGGTATTACATGGCAGGCTAAAAAGCTAATTTTGTATGTCAAGTCACGAACACCTAACGACTTTAGTCCACTCACACCCGTATTTAGGCCCTCAGAGCTTCGTGACATGCCCCTATTATCGGCCGAACCACTTGGTTTAACTCCAGGCAAGCCTAATTGGGTAATGTCGGGAACGACAATCTCTGTACCAGTAAACTTGCATCTGTCGCCAGGCTTTGCCCTTTCAACACAATCGCCCCTGAGAATAACGTCAATAGTACGAGGCATTGATCCAGTCGGAATCTCATTAGCGTTTTCTTGAATTCGAACTTTTTGCCAGTCCAAAAATTTGGATCGCCCAACAGCGAGTGTCCAAAAAGCCTGGTTCTCGCAGGAGGGGTTTGGACAGAAAGTAGGCTCAGTGTATTTGAAAACTTGTTCGACATTATCAACGACAGCACGGCACATGTCACAGTTGAAACTCGCTTTGAAAAGTTCGGGGCGTACTTCAGACGTTCTTGTCACGGTCCCCGATATTGTCATCAAAGAGCCAATCTTTTCAGCTCTGACATCCCTTATGCGGTGAACGGTTGGGAGGTTAAAAAAGCTGATCTGAAAAACTCGCTCTGTTTGCTCGGGAGACCCAACTGTCGAGCCACCTGTCGCAAATCCAGAGCTTGGGTTAACAGCACCACTGCCTGACACTCCAGTAGCTTGGCTTCCCTGTTGTAGCGAGTCCGGTGCCGAATTGTTCTGCGTATCTAAATTTTCAGTCGTTTGAGAACTTACCGAATCTGAAGTTAACAGTAGCTCAGGTGCATACTTGCGAATAATTCTTTTCAGGCCCCTTTGCAGGAAGGGCAGGAAACGATAGTACTGTTCCGCGATCGCCAACGCAAGAGCGCCATTTTCACGCGTGGACAGGTGCTGGTAATCGACATATATGGTGCTAAGATCGTAAATCTTCATGAATTGTATTTGGGAGCGGTATGCTTTGATCGTGCGGTGGTTTTCCTCGCCGTCATCATCCGTCTCGACCGTAAAATCTTCCAGAAAATGTTCAAAAGCTTCACGTACTTTTTCACCCGTAAGATCATCAACTTTCTTTATGGTATTCAGGTTGCGTCTTCGGACACCATCCAGTGGCAGATTATTCTCCTCGAATTCTCCTTCGGTTTCTCTGGCTCTATCAAAACTCTCACTACCGTCTATGGGCAACTGTGAGCTTCTATTAGCGGCACCGATGGACCTCGACGAGCTAGGGAATACGGGTGTGGCATCTGGAGCCTCAGAACCAATTCCGCCAGCGTATGTAGCCCCCATCGATGAAAATGGAGGAGAAGACTGGTGAGCAGGCGGCATCGATGATGGCATGTTCGGTCCATTGCCCTGCGAATCCTGAGTATCGTCACCAAAGGCAGAGCTTGGTAAATTATTCCCGTTTCTAAATGGCGAAGACATCAAGAGCAGAACTTAGTTGCCACCTCAGAGCTAAAGTTATCACAGTTTTTCAAAATGTAGGCTGTCTGTCGAACGTAGATTGTATTAATTGTAGATTTTCCAGACGTGTAACGTTTCAATTTTTTTGATATCTCAAAAAAGAACACAATTCTTGAAAGCGATACAAGCCTACTCTACTTTCGGTTTTGGTATTCAGTAGTGGGACGATAGATGAAACAACTGGAGATCTTTATGAGCACATTGTTTCGTCCTGATAGCTTCACTATTCTTGTTACTTGCAAAAATAATTGCGCAAGCCCGGAATCGAACCGGGGGCCCAACGATGGCAACGTTGGATTTTACCACTAAACCACTTGCGCAAGGATACATTTACGATTCTGTGATAGATACATGCCAACTAATGAATGTCATTTGACGCACAAGTCTCACACCAAGACGATGGAGATGAAATATCACACCTGTAAACCCTCTTTCTGCAGATTGCGGTACTGTATTCACTACTTAGAGCCTTGAGCCTATAATAGCTAGCTTCAGGTCATTCTTTCTCGGCCTCTCTTACGCACTTTGTAGAGTAAGTAAATACGGCCTGGTGCTACGTTATCGATCGCGAAAAGGTTGAAAGCAAGCGGGACACGACAGCCCGAAATACTCATTTGACCACTTTTGAAGAGTTTGGCGGCTCACAGACGATTGATGAAAAGTACCGCGGCCTTCTAGAGCTTTCTAAACTTGGCCCTGAGCACTATACGCAAAACCCTCTCCCTCACTCTCCACACTCAAACCATTTTAGCAATTTTATAAGGCCTATTTATTAGTACAGACGTTTATACCCATACATTTGTTAGTGTAGAGGAACGTTTTGATCGCTTGACGTCTCTACAACACTTTGTTGTAAATAACATGTAGCAACCTAAGAACGGCTTATTGAACTCGCCATTTTATAGGTATCGAGTACCTGGCTATACCCTACCGAAGCCTACCACAAACCAGTATCTTCTTCAGACGTGGATGATCAAAAGAGGGACTTGCAGACGCCCATTTTGAATCTTGTCTGCGAAAAGGTGGCTGCCTTCTTTCCAGTGTGTATGCAGATGCCTTGTAATACAATCCCACTCCTCGCTTATTCTAGGACAAAGAAAACTTCGAACTCTTACAGTTTCCAGTCAAGATGTTTTTGGGGAAGGTATAACCGGCACTCTCCCAATCCGTGAGGTTGGCATTGGTGTAAGCATTCAAATGGCTTTGGATATAATCGTAAGTTGGGTAATCATCAGGGTCGCAATTGATGTTGACAGCATCACTGGGTTGGTACACCCGTACGTAGTCAATACTCATTGTGACTGGAAAGAATATAGAATTGAAATCGATGTAGGCCCAGTTTGTGGAGAGACCCAAGTTCAAAATAATGGACATTGGTTCTTTACTGAGGTATCTCCAATCGATATTACCGTTAGGGTGCAAGGACTTTGAGTAAATTGTGTAGGTTGGTTTATCCCCAACGAACCATCTCAGATACCCATCTTCTTCGTCATTAATTAACTCAAAACCGTAAGATTGGAAGTAACCAGCGTCGGGGCCGAATTCGTACCACGAGGTGTTCAAGGTTGAAACTGCTGAGACCGCTTGTTGGAACGGTCCACCGCAATAGGTATTCATCACCGTAGTGGAAGTATTGTAGATTTCAATAAAGTTGTAATCCGGAATGTACCAGATGTCAAAGGGAGCAATCTGTAGAGATTGGGATGCCAGCCCTACACCAATGGTTGTGTCGGTCTCGGCTTCGATGATATCAATTTCAGGGGCACCTCTACCCGTCCCTTGGTTCGGATGGTCTTCGTCATCACAGGTACATACACTTAGTCTTTGACCTGGCAACATTGATATACCATCGGGGGAACTTTGGTTAGGAGTGATACCTGCATCACAAGCGCTATAAGAATATGGCCACAATCCTTCGGTTGAGGCTAGGTACCCTGGCCTCGCAAGATTTCCCATAGTCCACATACCAGGCCACAGTCCCATGACTCTACCATAGTTGGGGAGGTTTGCAGAGGCTTCGACGTAGCCTTGCGTGAAACACATTTTATTCCAAGATTGCATCATACCAGATCTGTAGTATAGACCATGGTTCTTGTAAGCGTCTAAAGTCAGCTGTAGGGTACCATTGGCAGTGATGGCAGCGTCGGGAGAATACCATTCGAGATCTTTGGTAGCATCGTAATGGATATCGACAGCAGTCCAAAATTGATCTTCTCCGTCATAAAAAGTTCTTCCTTCCGCGTTGAACTCATCGGAAAACACCAACGGCCAAGAAGAGCCATCCAGGGCTTCGTGGGTCTTCTGGTCGTCTGGCGTGTCGGGATCTACCAAGCTAGTACGAATGGCAGATAGTTGTGGATACTCATATAACGAAAGGATAGTGATTGTTTGTGGGTGTGAATGTATGGTGGCACCGGTGAATGTAAGCACGGGGAGAATGACAAACACGGCGATAGCTCCCAGAAACAGAAGCAGGAAACTGATGTACCCACCAGCTGCTCTTTTGTCCATATGTTTGAAGTCCAGTGCGAAACGGCGTTTATCGAGCCGAGCTTCTTCCTCGGGGTCAGGGTTGTGCAGGTAGTCGTCGTCTTCTTTTTCATCCAAAAGGAGTGGGAAGGAGGACGCTGGATAACCACCAAAGGGTGAGAAGTCCTGGTCACTGATGAACGGGTCTGATGATGTGATCGACGCAGATGAGTTGTTGTTGCTGGGTCCCTGGGGGTGGGAAGTACTGGCTCCGGGAGGTACCGCCATGGAGGTCACTCGTGAACCCCCGACAATGGGATAGCGGTCAAAGCCCGGTGGTGCTGTGATGTCGTTGGTGGAAATACCTAGGTGCGAGTTAAGACTCGTGCCGGAGGGCAGTCCTGCGGGCATGGCTTGGCTTGCACTTGAACTACCGCGACCAAGTCTTCCGGCCGCAGCAGCGGCAGCACCACTTCTGGCCGACTGGCGAGCACCCGCCGGGCCCCTGGAGTAATACCCTTTGTAGTCGGAAACGTCCCGGGAGTTCTCCACGGGGCTACGGTCGCTGTCGTGGTGGATCAGCGAAGCGTCACTGGCGCTATAGGATCCAGATCCATACATTTCGTCCTCGGCGTCATCTGAAAACGGGTTATGAGGTGCAGAGCCCAGCTGCGACGAGGATTGCGCGAGGTTTTCGCGAGAGTCCAAATTCGAGCCTTCTTCAAAGTGTTTCTCCGTTAGGTTTCGCACTGACATGTTAGCAAAAGCAAGAGCTGTTAATGGGAGTGCAACAAGTGCGGCGGTTGGAGGGTACTGAAAAGACTCAAGAAAGACGGTGCTATCGGGGTTTGTTTTTTGTTCACCTCTTGAAGCGTTTTCTTGAAGAATTTAATCAATGTTGCTGGCAAGCGAAATTTCTTGATCCTAGGAAAAAGCCTATATTGGGAAAAATAGATGGGGCCAACAGAAAGGAAACCTAAGGGAAACTGAAAGACAGTAAGATTATTACTGTGAGTAATCAGCCTCTTGGAAAAACGCTTGGAGAACACGACGCGAGAGGACTGCTTAATGTCCAAATTACAAATACAACAAAGTCCAGGAAAAACTAGGACACCGGCAGTTGAAAAAACGTTTTGATCTTGTTGTAGCGAGCGTACGAGAAATAACAGTTGAAGCACACAAGGGTGTGAGAGATCCGTGAGGACTGTTAGTTACTCAGCGGACAGGTCGACGATTTCGTCTCGAAAGGCAAACTTCTCAAGACTGGTGGGTAGAAGTTACGGCTATACAGCCAGTCCGCCAGTTCTTGTTTCTAGTGTGCTGGAGCGGCGGCCGTGGCTTGGATGGATTCGTTGCTAGCCGGCCCGCGTCGCTGCTAAGTATGTGGACCAGAGGAATGGGTAAAAAACCCCAAAAAAAAAAAACTGGACTATCGCAATGGCAACCGCTTTTCGAGGTTTCGCCTGGCAACTAGCCTGCCGTCGATGTTACGCCTGGAAGCAGAAGGCAAGCAGAGCACCGCTGGGATCACGCTAGGCTTCTTTCAGCGAAAAAAAACCCACTACACACGTAATTCGTGAGACCAGTTTAAAAAAATTGATCCGCAGAGGGCTCAAAGAACGCGAGTCTTTTCAAGTGTCGCGTTGTGGTGGATATCCAGGCACAAACCGGGGCCGTGTTCTCACCAAATGTAGCAGGAAGTAGCAAACACGGGATGTGTGGACGCCTTGCAGGCCGTTATTTTTTTGAGTCTGGTCGAGGCAGCGGGTAGACAAGGTACAGGCCTGTTTAGAAGCTCAGACGTGTTCCAGTGTGTGAGGTTGGATCGGCCTTCTTTGGAAGGTCTTTGACGAGTTTCGCGTTTGGTTATAGGTATCCAAGGGCATCCTTGTAACCGCTCTATATATAGAGACGGACAATAATGGAAGAGCAAAGGGCCGGGTAATTGTTACATTACAGAGTAATGTAAAAATATAGTGATACCCGCGAGATTCGAACTCGCGCCTCCGAAGAGACCAGGACCTCGACCTGGCGCCTTAACCGCTCGGCCAGAGTACCGTATTTGTAGTAGATTACAGATTGCAGTCGTTTCTCAAGCAGCCAACAAGCTTAATTGTCCTCGATAGCGCAGATCTGGCGGTGGCCATCCGGCAGCGGAACGTTAAATCTGTGCTAGAGCATGACCATGCCATACTGGCTATCAGCTGGGGAGCCAAGGACAGCTGGCTCGTCGATCAATGGGTGATGCTTGAGTCACGTGATCGGCGCCATTCCCCGTAACTTCTTATGAACAATGAGGAAGGCCCACCCAGCTGTCTCGTCAGTGTGGGGAGGAGCCAAGCGTCTGTGAGGATTTTTGCTGTATGGTCTCGGCTGCAACCATCTTAAGCTTACTCTTTTTTTATATTGTTTGTCACATCAATTGACATTAGTTTATGTGGGGGAATAATTATCGATAATTTCTGACAGTGCGACGAAACTTTAAACTTGGCTATGTAATATTAAGATCAACGATGCTTTTGCCATCACGTAGGACTGTCAGTATGAGCTTCCTGAGCTTCTATAGACAGTATCTTGACTGACCCTTGGAAAATTTGAAAATAGGCGAAGGGTTCGTTTTAAGCTCGATAAATATGTCGTTCATGAGAGTATCTTTCACTTCCTTCTGCAGTAAATTATTTTTGGAGGACAACTCTCTGCCCCAGAGATCGCCGAATCCTCGTTCAATCTCCATATACTGGAGTTGCATTACTGATAGTTTGTTCTATGAATATCCCTCCTCCAGCGTATTTACCGTGTATATGACAAAGTATCCAGCATCAACGTCTATCTACTCTGTCCTTGCAGAAAAACGGCTCTAACCTCGAACACATCAAAGTGGAGAGCTTGCTCAACCGTTTTCTACCCAGTATACAGCACAAAAAGGCTGCACGAGTATGGTGCAATCCCGGATTTCAACTAACTCACACTTCAATACGTACAAGTAAACAACTGTGTAGTTCAAACAGGACTTCCTAACCACGAAAAGGTTGCCTCTAGAACAAGACATAATCGTAAAACACTGGAAGAAAGGGAAAATTGAAGCCGTTTTGCACAATCTGACACACTGAAAAATCTCAGAAGAAGTGCCTTCCTTGAAATAGGTCAACTCGACAGATGTCAACCTTCCACGAGTCAAGACGGATGCGAAGTGCAAAGCAGCCGTCAGCTGCGTCAGTCCACTTGTCAGAAAAAATAATACAAAATGCGACTCAGTTGGTTCCGCTGGGTTTCCAATGTGTGCTGATTTTGCCCATGATACGAGTATAGAAATCAATTCTTTGAGCGCTAGTGCTAAATGGGCTCACAATAACCTAATCCATGTAGTTTCCCACCAAGACCAAGGGTACTTGCTCTTTTTTTCTTTATCAAACCGGGACTGTGGCATGTGGTGCCAGCACCAATGCCAAACTCCAGATTTCATTCAAAACTGATTTAGATTTATAAGAGCGGGTTTCATTTTTCCATAGTCGATACCTGTGCTGTAAAAATTGCGAGCTGTAACGAACGCCGTCAATCAAGCAATAGTCTAATTCCACGATATGCTGTAAAAACTCTCCCTCGGAAATATCCAAAGATATATGCCCGGCATTCTCTCTTGACGTTGTGGCCACAGGAACAGGAGCCTGAGTTGGTGTGGGATCTACGGGCTGGACTGCCAGTTGTTGGCCGATACCACCACCAGGATGCATTTTACTGAAGAACGCCAAGCGCTTCTCACGGTTACCCTCAAAATACATCTCGGTGAGGGCCAGACATAAGCAATCCAGGACCGACAGCATTAAAGTGGTAGATATTGTCGGTGAGGGTAGCCCGTGCTGTAAGTACTTTTCTTGAAATTCAGGTGGCTGAGGCACGTACAGCACCTGGTCCACAAGCGCATGCAACGAGGATCCAGTACTAGACGAGACTAGCACTATCAAGCCGGGTTCCAACACTGCATGGGCATGCTTCAAGAACGTCACGAGCTCTTGAGTTTCTCCACTGCTGGAACATACCAACAGAGCGTCTCCTGGCCGTACTACACCCATATCTCCATGTAGCGCCTCCGTGGGGTGTAATGCCCGAGCGTCTATTCCAAGGGAGGTCAACATGGCCACCGTCTTGTGCACTATTTTGAAAGACTTACCTGTGCCTAGGAAAATCAGTTTGCGACCTTCACGGAGAATGGCCAAGAGACTCATCAGCAAACGCGTAATATCCCAGGTATCCACTCCGTAGTAAACGGATGCGTAGCTCAATGCCCTTGCATGCTGGTATAACATATCTTGGAAAGTGTTGGTAGCATCGTAGTCCCTTATGCTTACAGCTGGGGAGACCATAGGATACTTACGAGATAATCTTTAGCTCTAAGACAATCTCAACACTTGAACTAATGTGCAATCAAGTTAACACGACGTCCTTCTACCTGCTCAAAATTTGAAGCTTTATGGTTTATACCTTGTAGGTAAGGTGATCTGTCCACTGGGTAACGATCGACAGAAGAAGAACAGTTAAAATTCCAACCCACACTGGAGTCTCTCCGTATTAGGTCAAACGTAGGTCCTTATGCCAATCGTTTAGTTTAAAGGTAATCAGGTTTTCTGCTGAAGCAACCGCTCAAGCAATTTGCTTATATATATTTCTCCAGGCACTCAGAAACCTCAATCACTGACTACACTTCCGATTCCTGCTGGCGTTTGCGCAATTAAAAGACCACCACGAGCGTATTTTGATTGCTGATAGAGTAAATATGACCAATTTTTCTAGCGTTTGTGTTGACGCCAGTGAAAAGTGTTCCGAAGAAGCAGGGGCTAATGCTGGGAAAGCTTAAGATGACTAAACCTGCTCTCTGCACCAAAAATGAGTATCACGATTGAGCGACTTGGCTGTGGCTTACGTTTTGCGCCTAGATTGTCTCGGTAATCGGGTGCAGATGAATTGAAAAAATTATTGGTAATCTGGGTGGAAAAATATAAGTGGACGAGACCGGAGTCGAACCGATGACCTCTCCCATGCTAAGGGAGCGCGCTACCAACTACGCCACACGCCCGTAATTTATAAGCTGATGGAAAGTGGTGTATTTTATAGGCTAGTGATGATCGAAGGTCTGTAAGCGGACTGAAGTTTCTGATAAACAAACACTGCTCCTCGGGTAACATGTGCTTACTTCGTTTCCTGTGTGTTGGTGACTGCTGAATTAGGTTACACGGGTCATAGGAGACAAGTGACGTCTTTACTATATCATGCACTCATATCATTAAATATACATTTTTCTAGTTAAAAGTTATCCACGACCGAAGACCCTCTAGGCGAGAGGTCCAAAGATCTGCGGTAGCGATGAATCTCTTCATCATCCACATCTTCTAATACTGGAGAGTGCGACCGGCCGCGAGTAGATGGCGGTGTGGCAGCGGCGGGAGACTCAGTCTTGGCAGCTTCGGAAATATTAATATTTATCACCACGGGGGATGGAGTTTGAGTTCTAGAAGTTGCTGCGGCGCGTGCAGCCTCCTCTTCGGCAGCTTCGCGACTCAATCTTTTCTGTGCTATTAGAAAGGCCTTCTTCTCGGCGATGGCCTGCTTTCTGGCCTTCTTGGCTGCTTTATCAGCGTCACGCCTGGCAATTTGGTCTGCCTGCGCCTTGGCTATCTCAGCGCGTTCTCTTCTTTCCTGGTCTTCCAAGCGCTTCAATGATGCGTACCTTGCAGCTTCTCTTTCAGCTTCTCTTGCAGCTTCTCTTGCAGCTTCTCTTGCAGCTTCTCTTGCAGCTTCTCTTGCAGCTTCTCTTGCAGCTTCTCTTGCAGCTTCTCTTTCAGCTTCTCTTACAGCTTCTCTTTCAGCTTCTCTTACAGCTTCTCTCTCAACGCCGGCGTTTAGTATCTTGACGAATTGCCATTGCGAAGGTTTAGGCTCGGCCTTCTTTATTCCAATTCTTAATGCAGCAACACTTTCGCTCACCATCTCAAATCCATTGACGGATATGTCTTCAAATTCCACGCCTAGGGCGACTTCCTTATGAAAACCATCCGCCCGGCTCATCAACACGAGTTCGTCACCCCTGTGATTTAAAGTGATTTCGTAGTCTCTGAAGCTTTGTTTGGCAACTTGGCGTTGGATTGGAGCTAAATCTAGAGAAGCCATCGCCTCTCTGATGAAACTGTCCTCGTCCCAACGCTCCTCAATATAATACTCATTGCCAAAAAAGTCTCTCACGACCCTGTAACTTGCAGGACGATTATCCTTCAGTTTTTGCAAATGGCTGTAAACAGCTTTATGCACCAAATCCGCACTTACTTGTTTGTAGATAGTCACGACATGCTGACTGTCGTCCTCGCTTATTCCGATCTTGACCGGTGCTCTAGAGGTTTGACGTTGAGAAAACAGAGCCGGTTGATGGCAGACCTTTCTCTTTTTGCTTTCAGGTGCAATTGCGAACGGAGTGAATGCATCGAGCATTGGCTGATGCTGGTATACGCATGGGGATTGGCTAATTGAAAACATGCTTGGCAAAATGTATTGTTAACTTAAAGTGGTTTGTTTAGGTTGATTTGTGAATCAAAAATTGAAACACAAAATCAAACTTCGTCAATCCATGTTCCAACTTTTTATAGCCCATTCGCCAACCGGAGTTGCCACATTCATTCACATTTGTCATTGTTCTTCTGGGGTCTATGCCAATCTCGAATGATCTATCATTGAATACGTGATTAGTTCAGGATTTTTTGAGAGGCTTCTAGAAAATGGTCGAAAAGCACCGGCGAAGATCCTAATGGCAGGTGACCAAAGATGGGCAGATCGAGTGGCTAACGGAAATCGAAACTCGAAGCAATTAGGACAACAAAGCAACTCGTAAGCTGAAGCATCTGACCACACGAGGGTAGCGTCATCTTCTCAATCATTTCAAAGCTACCCTTTTTTTCATCATGACAGCGTAATTTTAATGTAATTCGGACTATTAGCCCGTAAAATAATCCATTGTAAAACAAGCTATTCCACGCCACATTACTAGTCTTGCTAAAGAGCGTAGCCATTTGGGACGAATACGATAAAGAAGGATTCCACAGTTGTCGCCAACCAGATCGTTGTGCTCAGCATCCAGACCCTGCCCACGCTTTATGCTTCTTCTGGCCGGGCATCCACCCCAAAAGTTCCACCATTTGTGACGTTGACAAAGACCGGTTCGCTCCAAGTGTTTCGCCAAGGGACCTCTGGGGCCGTCGATGAACCGCCACTGCACTGGACACCATTTTTGGCGTGGATCCTTCCAGTTCAGCTGCTTGTCGCCCCAACGACCCAGAAAATAGAGCCAGTCTACACCCAGCTTTTCTTCTGGTCCGGAAGCAGGGGTAACGACCGAGCCGTTGTAGGTGTACCCCAAGTAGTTCAGAGAAGGATCCCAAAGAGGCCCGCGGTCCGTGAAGTCGCTAAGCGCGCTAAAAAAGAAAGGAACATCGTGGGCATGCTGTCCCACAGAGGCGTAGTTTGCATGCGTTCCCCGAGCGCTGAATATCAGTGGCCTTTCCAGGATGCGAGAGCTCTCTTTTGCCCCTGCATATTGCACACGGGTCTTTTTCTCCACCGCATCAAAGATATACGCTTGACCGCCACCATGAGCACTCATCCAGAGGTATTGCGGCTTGCCCTGATAGAAACGTACCAGCGAGTGTTCCCAGTCGCCCACATGGTTCCCCCAAGGCCCGTATCCCATAATGAATGCACCTAAGTTGAAGGAGTAGAAGTAGAACCAGTAGGCATCGACCCACCCATTTCCCTTGTCTACAACAATCAGGATAGCCGGCGCATTTTTGATGCGTCCAGTGCTGTAGTCTGGTCTATGGCCCAGGAGCCATTTTGGATCCTTGCCAAAATCGTCCAGTGCCGTCAAGAAAGTATTCTCACTAGGGACAAAGTAGTCAGGGTCTTGCACAGTGGGGGAAAAACCTGCGGACAGATCTTGAAGCTCCAGTGGAGCGTCTTTGACTATTGACTTGTTCCCCGTTTGAATGTTGAAATGCCGGATAAACTCGGACACGTCTGCTGGCCAGTATGTCTCTTCACTGTACAAGTGAACCAACGGGCAATTATCTATCACATAGTGTGGAATATGTCCTTCATGTGGTAAAGTGCGAGTCTCATCTGTGATTTCACCCGGGGATAAAACAGGTGGAAGGCCAAACCCTAATTTGGTAGCATGTAGGTTTGCTTCGACAAACGGATCATTATCAAGCCAGGGGACAACAACGCCAAGAACATACCATGGTAAAATGGCTAGAAGTAGGACGCTTGGTATCATCACAGGCTGCAATTACCGATTATTTGATAGTTTCGCAGTAGATGCTTGTTCCGCTCGCTTTATATAATGAGTATTGGAGTTTGCGCGCTGAGCACGTGAACATTAATAATTATCAATATAACGCTCATCATTTCATCCATTATGTTTCGTTTAACAGATATGGCGGTCTCGTCTGAGATGTCCTTTTGAACTGGAAATCAGCCCAATCCGTCGAAGCTGTTTTGGTGATTTTTTTTCCACTCTTTCAGTTTTCCACTGAATTCATCAAGCGTTTCGCTACCCCGTAAATTTTCACAGACTGCAACTGCCCTGTATCGATCCATTTGGCGCTGATTAACGAGGCATATGTAGAACTCCACAATCATCTTCCGCTGTCTGTAGAGTGGCGCGGCATCGGGAGACCTGCTTCTCCAAGTTTTACCGTATTTTCGATTCATCGTGTGAACACATTCATTACGTTGTTCAGGATTTGGAGTAAACCACTCTAGAACAACATCCTCTATACTATCAAGGTAGGGAGATAGTGCAAACTGGGGCTCCGAGATATGTAATGGCGGCTCGGAGTCTTCTCTGACGCGCTTTGAGGCGGCATGTTGGTGAGTTGGATTGGGTGTCGGAGAATCTACTCTGTTGTTCACCACCTCAGCAAGCTGCTTGCGGACTTCTTCCTTTACTTGAGCTGCAATAAGTTGGTTGACGTGGGTCTCAATTTTTTTCGTTTGCTCCTCAAGCACGACTTTGAACTTGACGTCCATCACTTGAGAGACAAGAGTTTGAAGCTCATCTTGTAAATTGGGATCTACTTCATCATCCTCTTCCTTTTGATCTTCAGTTTGATGCCGAGACTCGTCTAATACTTCTCTATAGTCATCATCGTTCTCTGCGTCACTATCATATTCGTCAAGCCTTCGGCGATCATTGTTATCTGTGCTTTCGGGCTTAGTGGGCTCCATTGTAATGCTGCTAGAGTTTTCTTCTTTTTTGACGTCGTCTGGAGAGGATCGGGATATACGGTCTTGTAACGTCTGCTCCAAAGAGCCTAGCTGATGAAGAATGTACTCGCGGTTGCTCTTCTTGGTTTCTAACTTTTCAAATACTCGGCTTAGTGACTGGATGAGCAAATGGAAATTTGTGGCGCTTTGATACTGTACCATTTGGAAAGTTTGATCGCGCAAGTAGGTATGCAAACTGTCTAAATCTGAGTCGGCAGAAGTTACATCAGGGGGAGGTTTTTGAGCCATATGCTGCGAATGTGCCGTCGAAACGTGCTCAATATTGCTAGACCCATTTTCCTCAGGTTGTAATCTTTGTAATTGACCTTTGACGCGTAGCTCCTCCACTTTTTGTTGGAAAAAGCTCTGAAACTCAGGATTTTGAAACATGGAGTCTCTCAAGATTTCATGCTCTGGGAAAAAGTGCGTAATGAATGGAAGCGCTCTGAGTAAATGATACCTCAGTAGTTCTAAAACTTTTAAAAATTGATAACTCTCTTCACTCAAATTCGTGGTTTCTCTCTTATATTCTTCAATCTCTGGGAAAATTTGGACCAAGAGAGCTTGAGGGGCGCTTGAGTATTCGAATGCATCCAACGCACCGACTGGCTCATAAACTGACTGTCGATTCATATGCCTTATGAAATCAATTGGTATGCTTTGAGGAAAATAAGCCTGTTCCTCACCACCACCTACTCTTTGCAATTCTTTGAGCTCTGAGTTTCGCGTTATTGGGTACTGGCAGTATTCCACGTTCTTGTTGTAAAAATACTCTCTCCGCTTATAAGGCAAATGGCAATGCCTAAAGACATCTGCGTAGTAGTTCGTCATGGTTTCTTCGCGCGGATACTTGTCGAGAGATTTACCTCGAATTAGCGGTAAAAAATACCAATCGTCAGACCGTGACAGGTCGGGAAAACCGTCACCTTTATAAGATTTTGTAGCGCCATAAAACCTGAGATAAAGATACGCAGCTAGGGTAACCAAGGGGCATTCCCAAGGAACGCTTTGAGGAAGAAGTGCAAGTCTGCGGCTGGCACCAGGATTTTCTGGCGGGGTTTGATTTATTAGTAACATGCGTCGGTCATCAGAAACATATAAATCTCCCAAACGTATTTTAGCCCTGTCGGCAAAGGTGAAATGCCAGTATTGTTGGACATGGAAATCTACCAAAAACCGCAGCTTCTCGATTCCACCTTTGAAAAATTTCTCCGAGAACCGCGTCCCATGCGGGCTCCACATATTGACGGAGACGATTTTGAGCGGGGAAAGTGGTGGCACTTCCGATGATGCATTGACATGGAGACGAGCAACGCCTTCCAGGTAATCATGGTCTAGGTCGTAAGAGTAATCTGGTTCATAGGCCTTGCAAATGCGATGTAGGAATTTGAAAGCGCTGATCATTTTCCGCAGCACAGAGACACTGAATTGAGCATCCTCCTTACAAACAAAGTTCGCAAGTATAAACCAGTGCACTAAAGGTGCGGTAACGATAACGTCTTTGTAGGGATGGTTTGTCTCCGCCCGGCGCACCAACCGGTTTTCTCTACACCATTGCAGATATTTGGTGTGGTAGAGCTTATACTGATGTGCAGTTCGAGGCGCCAAAGTATCAACTAGGGCCTTTATTTGAAGTTCGGGGTCCATGGCGCTTTCGACTTGTTTGGGCGGGTTGACAGTTTCATCTCAGCGGGAGACACGATGCAATGATCTTTTATTTACACACAATATGCCGATTTTGACGCGTAGAGGCGAAAATATGGAATCAGGATATCAGGATATAATACGATACGACATGATCATTTATTTCCATACTGGCACAGCATTCGAGAAATTCTAACCGAACCATCAACGGCCCGAGGACAACAGAAGCTACACACGAGGGCGCCACCTCCAGCCATTGCATCTAATAAAGTACGCGAATGCGCGTCGATTGCCTATTATATTATTCGAGTTTATATTCTATTACGTGTGCTTGTTGTTTTGAAGTCCAAAAAAACAGCAGTCGCATCCAGTACAGCAGCGACGTCGGTCATTAATTTCATTTATCGTCTCAATCACTCCATGCCGCTAAAGGCGTAGTTCTTCTTGGACATCCTTCTGCGCAGGTTTTGACCATAGTAGTAAAACGCAAACGGAATTAGAATCATGGCCGTGGAGATGAAGGCCAAGAGCCAGCTGGCCCATTGAAGCCCCAGTTTATGGTACATTTGGATGGTGAACAGTGGGAAAGCAGCACCGCCTGCAGAACGCAAGAAAACCTTGGTGGCAAGGGCACTGGAGGCATACATGGCGTAGCAATCGATGATGTAGTTGTTCAAGGAGTAGTAGATAAGCACCATGCCGTATCCAAAGGCCAGACCCGAAGAAGCGGGCCCGACCCAAATGATGTGCTTGTAAGAGGTAGCCCCGAGTATCCAGAGCGCAATGGCGGCGAAGGGAGCGCCAATCATGGCCCCGAGCAAACGGTCTTCCGGTGTAGGGTTTCTGCGCTTGGTGATCTTGACGTACTGGTTCTCACAGTACGACGTGGTGGCCAAAGCCACAGACGCACCGATCAAGATGGGGATGAACATCAGGCCGATCAAGTTGTCCTCATAACCGTACAGCTCGCCGAAAATAACCGGGAATGCAAAGAAAAAGGCATATAGCAACGAGTAGATCAGGCACACGTAGAAACACATGAGGTCCAAAACGGGCTCGGTCGCGGCCAGGTACAGCGGTCTCAGCAGACACGCGCGCACCATTTCGCGGACGCTGAGACCCTGGGCCTCCTGCTCGGTCATGATCTTGGGGTTGCCGGTCTCGCGTCTGAGCTTCACAGCACGGCGCTTGAGGATGACCGGCGCATATGTCTCGGGGATCAAAGCAACGACGATCCACATGACCCCGGCAAACGCCATGTTGATCCAGAAAATCAGGTCCATCCGGCCCGTGGACACCGACACAAAGCCGTTGACCAAGGGTCCGAACACCGGACCGCAGTACGGCGCGTATGCGAAGAACGCAATGGCACGGCCACGCGTCTCGGGAGGGAACATGTCGGCGATGGACCCTCCCACCAGACACAGGCCGGACGACGCCCAGACACCACATAGAAACCGGCACGCCAGCAGGCACCCGATGTTGGGCGCCAGCGCGCAAGGTATGTTGAAGACCACGTACAGCCCCAGCGACACCACGTACGCGACGCGGCGGCCGTACATGTCCGACACCGGCGACCACAGCAGCGGGCCCAGCGAGAACCCAATGACCATCAGCGAGCACGCCAGGATCGACACCTCCATGGAGACCTGGAAACGGGCGCTCACAGTGCCCAGCCCGCCGGTGATGCACGCGGACCCGTACGCCACCGCGATCACCAGGACCGACAGCAGGATGGTGTACATCCACCGGATCCACGTGGGCCAGTTGTGCGGGTTGTGCGGGTCGTTTGTGACGAACGTCACAAACTCGATCTCCGGGTCGTACTCCGGCACCTCGCCGGCGTGGTCGCCGTGCGACAGCACCTTCTTCTCGTCGGACACGGACGCCGAGTCCGCGGCGCCCAGCTCCTGCAGCCCCGCGCGAGTGCGCGTGCGGGTGCGCGTCGCGGCGAGCGTGCCGGACTGGGTCCGCCCGAGCGACTGCAGCGTTGCCACGGGCACCAGCCCGGTTGCGGTTTCCATGGTGTACTCCTCGGGGAAGATTGCCGTTCCGGACGCCACCGTCGTGGGCGCGTTCACGTCCGGGATCGGCGCCGTGGGCGACACGCCCAGCTCCTGCAGCGACCGCAGCGTCTCGGTGGGCACCAGCCGGAGCCGACCCGGCGACGACGACGCGCGCGAGCCGGTCCCCGTGATCAGGGAGCTGGACCGGTTGCGGCCGCCCACGTGACCGGCCTGCGACGCCGGCGCGGGCACGTACGTGTGCGGCGGCACGTGCTCCAGCGAGTCGCGCGAGTTGTAGGAGCTAATAGACTCCTGCTCTGATTCCATGGCTGGGAGGGTGACTGAAACGGGATGTTCGGGGTGCAATTGACGTGTAGACAGCGACGGCGATCACGGGCGGTTCGAGTTTGGAGTGTTGCCGCCGGTAGCAAGGAGAAGGATCGTTTGTCGAGGGCTCGTTTGTCGAGGGCTTTTGTCGGAGGCTCGTTTGTCGAGGGCTTTTGTCGAAGGCTCGTAATCTCGAAAACGGATGCGCTCTTGTCTGTCTGCTGCTCTTCTTCAGGCTTCTGGGGCCTTTTCGTTCCCACTACGGAGACAGCCGCCCTGATCCTGCTTCTTATATATGTATTATGTGTTATGTATATGGCCAGGGTACACATAATTAAATGCCGCAGTGCCTTTCCGGGCTAATAAATTTTTTTCTCGCCTTCGGCTAGGGGACATCCCGTGAGTAGCGCGCTGTTTTTCTTCCACACCACGCTGGAGTTGGACGGAAAAAAAGCCCAAACGTCTTATTAGCGTGAGGAAGTGAGGAAGCGAGGAAAAAGAGAGCGCGAGAGCCCTAGTATGCGGGAATTGTATTGTGTCGGCGCATGCGGCAGGCGCAGCCGCAGGCGCGGTGTTGAGCGCGAGACAGGCGGTCCTGTGGCCTGGCTGAGCGCCGCACGGGGTCTTTTCTCAGCCAAGCTCCAGGGTCCTATGGCTAGGTGCCCGCTTGTTTATCTTTTTCTTTCCCGTCTATTTACTGTTGGGGCGCGAGACAGCACATCACTCAGGACGGAATGTAGGTCATGCGGCCTGTTAATTGGATGTGTCAAGGCAGGAACGCGGGGCGGAGGATGTGTCACATGCGCGGGGGAGGGGCCCGGGCCTAGCAGCTTCGGAGCAGGCCGTCTCTATCATACACAGAGCGGCTAGAGGATCGGGTGGTCGGAAAAGGAACGCCTGGTAGATACACGGTTCTCGCTCGGTGACTCTGAATAGCACAATTATTAACCTATTGAGACAAATCCGATTCATCAGTAGAAAGCTTACTTAAATTGACTTGTCGGACATAGTCATTGTAAGATGAGTAGTTTGGGTCTAGGGAGTTCTATTAATCTCTCCGTGACTGTTTTAGACACTAGAGTTGGCTCAGGTACCTGAACAAATGCCTGGCATTTACACAGTTCTCGCTCGGTGACTCTGAATAACACAATAGTTAATCTATCGAGGCCAATCTGACTCGTTACTAGAAGGCTAAAATTGTCTTGTCGGACATAGTCATTATACGATGACTAGCTTGGGTCTAGGGAATTCTATTTATCTCTCCGTGACTGTTTTAGACACTAGAGTTGGCTCACGTACCTGACAAACGCTTGGTAGTTACACGGTTCTCGCTCGGTTACTCAGGTTAACACAATAGTTAATCTATCGAGGCCAATCTGACTCGTTACTAGAAGGCTAAAATTGTCTTGTCGGACATAGTCATTATACGATGACTAGCTTGGGTCTAGGGAATTCTATTTATCTCTCCGTGACTGTTTTAGACACTAGAGTTGGCTCAGGTACCTGAACAAACGCCTGGTAGATACACGGTTCTCGCTCGGTGACTCGGGTTAACACAATTATTAACCTATTGAGACAAATCCGATTCATCAGTAGAAAGCTTACTTAAATTGACTTGTCGGACATAGTTATTGTAAGATGCGTAGTTTGGGTCTAGGGAGTTCTATTAATCTCTCCGTGACTGTTTTAGACACTAGAGTTGGCTCACGTACCTGAACAAACGCTTGGTAGATACACGGTTCTCGCTCGGTGACTCGGGTTAACACAGTATTTGGATATGGAGGCGAATGTGACTCGTTAGTAGAAGGCTAGTAGAAGGCTAGTAGAAGGCTAGTAGAAGGCTAGTAGAAGGCTAGTAGAACGCTTACTTAAATTGACTTGTCGGACATAGTCATTATACGATGCGTAGCTTGAATCTAGGGAGTTCTATTTATCTCTCCGTGACTGTTTTAGACACTAGAGTTGGCTCACGTACCTGAACAAACGCCTGGCATTTACACAGTTCTCGCTCGGTGACTCTGAATAACACAATTATTAACCTATTGAGACAAATCCGATTCATCAGTAGAAAGCTTACTTAAATTGACTTGTCGGACATAGTCATTGTAAGATGAGTAGTTTGGGTCTAGGGAGTTCTATTAATCTCTCCGTGACTGTTTTAGACACTAGAGTTGGCTCACGTACCTGAACAAACGCCTGGCATTTACACAGTTCTCGCTCGGTGACTCTGGTTAACACAATAATTAATCATCCGCTCTAGACCTCCCTATTATCCATGGATTGCGGCTCCAGCTCATCTACCACCACTCCCATTGGACAACACTTCTTCTCTCCGGTTTGTCCTAGCTAGTAACTCTAATTGTATGGCCTCTGTGCTGTACTATCAGTCTGCACCACTGTGTCACATTCTTCCTGACGCCGACTCTGCCATCAAGCGCACACCACCATCAGGCGCACACCACCATCAGTTTCCTCACATTATTCCCAACAATATTTCAAGGTACTCACCGCACAACAGAGGGAAGACTGAACTGCCAATGAAAGCCCTCCGCGATCCGCTATTGCCCTGTCGTCCTACGCACCCAATCTCGGCCCAAACCCGCGGTCGCACCCCAGGAGGAAACGCCACAGCCTCATCACGTTGTACTATTCTGGCGCGCGCACTTGTCCATTAGACCCCTCCTCAGCCAATCCCAGTGTACACCGCGTCATCAATTCAAGACATCCCATACCAAGCCAGCTTCTTGTAGGCCAGGCTTCGCCGTCTACAGCACATCTTCGGGTTGGCGTCCCTGTCTGTCAACGCCCCCACATGCTTCACAGGGCCTGCTACATCATTTTGATCTCCCCCGCAAAGAACTTCACCACCAGCCTATCTTGACAAGATCTCGGAGACTGAATGTTCCCCAGGGCCGGTCGCGCAATAATACCCTTCGCAACAAACCACTATACAGCCTAGTTGCGGAAGGCGTGCCCTAAGCCTCGAACCTCCGATTAGGGCCTACGTCTTCAGGGCTTATTCATCTGTTAACTAACAATCGCTAAGAAAATTAACCCTGCGTGCGTATTAATCGAACCCCACCTTATCTTGCATGTTCCAAGCCTTCGGTTAGCCTCTTGGAGGCTGACAAGAAAAAATTATGCGTTTCCTAATGCACAAGATCAGTTGCCAAAAGAAGGGCCGCTGGGCGACAGAGCATAAATAAACCTAGCTCATCGGCAAGTTGGCAATGAGACTTGGAAGTTTGCCTTGTTGAATTACACATTCTACTGTTCTAAAATTCTTAAGGCAAGATCCAAAGAATGTCTCTTTCAAATATCACAACAAATGCTAGCAACACCAACCCTCTGCCGCGTGTGCCGGTTCTTCTGGCGCCGTCTAATTTGACGCTACAGTGTAATACTACGGGAGTGCACGGGAGCTCAGTTAGGATTTTGTCCCCAGAGTGCCAGATAGCCGGCGGTCATGGGGAAAATGGGAAATGGGGATTTGGTGGTGGTAGTAGTGGCGGGAGAAGTGGTGGGAGTAGTGGATGGAGTAGTGGAGGAAGAAGTGGTGGGAGCAGTGGGAGTAGTGGGAGTAGTGGGAGTAGTGGGAGTAGTGGGAGTAGTGGGAGTAGTGGGAGTAGTGGGAGTAGTGGGAGTAGTAGTGGAGGGAAAAGTGGTGGAAGCAGTGGAAGCAGTGGAAGCAGTGGAAGCAGTGGAAGCAGTGGAGGGAAGAGCGGCGGGAAAAGCGGCAGTAGCAGCGGCAGTACTAGCAGCGGCGGCAAACCAGGCTCCAGTGCCAACAATGGCGTCCCCCGTGGCGATCCCAACGGGTATTCCGGTGGGAGAAGCGGCTATAACCCTGCTGCCACATACCCGGACACCAGCCCTGGCGCCATATACGCAGACGCTAGCGCCGGGCGTTTCGGAGCCTACGGTGGTTATTTGGGCTACCCCGGTTACGTTGGCTACGGCCACTACATGCACCGCAACGGCACTATCTCTGCCGACGCGAGCTCTGCTGTTAGTTTGAAACCAACCTGGTCACATATCGCAGTTGCCATGTTGTTGCTCTGTACGTTGGTGCCTTCCTCGGTCTAATCGCCCCAACCAGCAAGTTCCCCAAGCCCAACCAGCAAGTTCCCCAAGCCCAACAATGACCCAATCTTTAACGATCCATAATAAGCTAATAAATTTTACGTATGCCCTAGTACCCTTCTAATGCACATAACATGATGTTGTTGTTTTATCAGATTTAAGATGATTTTGTTTTCAGGTGATGCTACAAGTTCAAGTTTCAAAGGGTTATTTAGCATATGGCTAAATTAGACAGATAACCACCTCATCGCAAGTTCTGTCAAGCACAGTTTCTTACAATCAGCACTCTCTATGATCACAGACCAGTACGTCCTGGAGGCGTTTGAGGCTATAGATAAAGCCTTGGAACTAACACTTCAACAATCGTCTTTGGCACAGCAGCATACCAATAGCAATACCACTCAATTGAAAAGTTTACAAGATAGATTATGGCTGGTGAGAAATGAAGTTTCACAATTGAGCGCTGATCTGCGTCACGGAAAGTCCCCCCGTGGTGCAGATCTGAAACTCTTGGAGCAAGTGCTCCGGGAACTCCACGCAAGCGAGGCTATCTCGCAGGATTTCGTTTCCATCTCAAACGATGTGGAGTTTTCGGTCCGTTCGGCAATCTCACAGTACATTGCCGTGTGTCTATACTATTCTGCGGTTCATACTTCGTTGGATCAACTGCCTTTGGTGTCAGATACCGCACGCTACTACGATGGAGTCCTGGGTGGGACTCGTTGGTCAATCCTCTACGCACTTCAAGTCCTGCCCAGCAGGATGGTATCTTTTGGAGAATCAATCAAGGGCGACATGCGTGTTCCGAGGAGTACTGCCGAGATCACAACCTTGCAAGGAAATTTGAGGGCCGCTATCTCACACTGGTACCAAAAAATGTTGAAACAGGCTGATAAACTTGTTATGATCCATAACTTCGAGCTCGTAGGACTTCCAACAGATGCCAAGAAGTGGGCTCGCTCGCTATGTGCGCTCCCGCTTGCCGCGGTCCGCAACGAAGTCCGCGCCAAGCGCCAGATTGCCGACAGTCACTTTGATGATGTCGCCAGGAGACTTGGTGCCTTAATGACAAACTTCCCCAAAGCTCAAAATCTGGAAGCTCAGGTCTCTTCTTTAAATGCATTTCTTGGGAAAGAATCGCGCGAAAAGTCTCCCAGCGGTTTTGAACGAGATTTATTAGCTTTAATACCGCAAGTCCAAGCCTTAAAGCCAGCAGATCATTTTCAAAAACCTACATTTTGGACCCGTTACTGGATTCCATTTGTTTGTACACTTGCCTACGGGCCGTCGTCTGCTATCTCCATCTGGCAATCTCGCTATAGGATTCTACAGTTCTGCCAAGAAAACATCGTGGATTTTTGCTCCGGCTTGCTACACAACTGGGTTTGGGTACCCTTGCAACAAGTCTGGAGTACAGTACGCCATGATGAAAAAAATTCGACCATTGCTATTGCTTCTAAAGGCTCGCTAGAGTCTGAATTTGGCTCTTTGACCAGAATGGTTGTACAACTGGTAGCGGAAAACTCCAGTGAACCCATTGACACTGCTTCTCTAGCTGCTCAGGTAGAAACCGGTGATTTAACAGAGTTCATGCAAATCTATGAACATCAAATACATCATCCAATCAAAAATATAGTGAGTGGGAAGCTCGTTCGCTCGCTATTGATCCAATTACAAAAGACAAAAGTCGATGGCTCCTTGGCGCTAAGCGGTATTGACCAATTACTACAGTCACAACAGTTGGTATTTGGTGTCGTTGCAATGTCTCCCGCATTGCTAATTATCTATTGCGTCTGGGTGTGCGCGTATAGGTTCGCAAAATTAGGTCGAATTTGGTCCAATACTGCTCAATTCAAATATAGAATATCGTCCAGTTTGAACAACATCGAAAGGCTTCTTAATTACAACCAGGCCAATGTTAGTTCCACCGATAAAGATCTTAATACGGGCTTACTAGCTCTTGAAGTCGTTTCTGCACGTCATTACGGTGATAAATTAGTACCAAAGAACCGTAGAGCCGAGTGGACGAGGGACATTGGAGAGTTAGTGGACGCCAATCTGAGCTACGCTGCACGTTTGAATGTGGTTAACAGAATTTATCACGTTTATGCTAGGTACCTAAGATAAACCACAGTTGACGCCGCTCGTTTGTATGGTCATAGATTCGGATATAACTATGTGTAAAAACTTCAAGTATTTATAAAGCTTGGCATCTAAGCAAGTCAAAAAATGCTGTTCACAAGATCGGAACCCATAGTGGCACCGGCACCAAAAATCGCAGCATTGCCTAATTTACCACCAAACTTTTTGAATGCTGCACTGCCATGGTGATGTTGTTGTTGTTGTTGTTGTTGTTGTTGTTGTTGTGGTTGCTGCTGTTGCTGCTGCTGTGGTGGGGCTGCCTGGTAATAACCTTGCTGAGGAACCTGCTGGTATTGCTGTGCTGGAGGTCCCTGGTAGTAGTTTGTGGATGGAGGAGGGAATGGGGCTTGAGAATAGCCTGACTGTGAGCTGGTATTAGTTTGCTGTGGCTGCATGTGTTGCTGGGATTGATATTGAGGAGGGGGAGGCAGATTGCTGCGGTTGGATTCGAACGAAGTGGTGGACCCAGAAAACGCCGGTTTGACGTAGTTCGACGGAAACATTCCCACGTTGCCGTTGCTGCGGCCCTTGAACCACTCTGGAGATGGCTTTTCTAGTACCTCAACCTTATCGCCAACTCGTAGGTTCAAGTCTCCATCTTGCTGGGCCTGAAAAGCATAGATCGCTTCAACCAGCTCGTTCTGGGATTGGTTCTCCTGCCGAGGCTCGGGATTGTAGCGGTCGGGCAGAGACTTCAAAATTTCATTGTACACATTTGGAGTGATGGCGCCGGATTCTTGCAAAAACTCTAATTCTGTTCTGATTGTAGCCAGAGAGCGGTTGATCGAAGAAGCTGACATAGCTAAGCGTTGCAGATTACTGAAGAATACTAAGGCTAGAAAATTGGAAAAAGTTAGTTGCTAAAATGCTCAGAAAATTCGTGAAAGCAGCCTGCAGTCAAGGTTTATATCAACAGTTGGGAACGGTACTTTCGAGATTGTGCTGTCACCCAGTTTTGGTTAACATTTATAGTTAAAGTCAGGGAGATGTGATTGACATTTGAATTTCGAAGTCCAATGACACGTGTAAGTCACATGATCAGACCTGCCATCGAATACGTTGTACTCAAGTGGAACAAGATGAGCACTACAGCACAGCATAACGGGATCCAGGTGGACATGGCGAACAGACCGGCTTTATAAGTCACTGCAAGGCTGCGCAAATGGTGTATCGTCAGTATTAGGAGAGTCGTAAAAAAATCAAATTGTCCGCGAAAGAAGTGCGTCTTGGCCCTTACATTCGAAGAATTCGGCGTATACATACATCAATCCAGAGACAGTTCCTGCGGCTAGCGCCTGAACTCCTCCCGCAAGAATGAACACCCCCATAATCCAAAGACCACCCGCGGTTTTCCGATGTGAAAAACTGGCCCACAAGCCCGCGGCCACGTAAAAGCCCATGAACAATATCAAAGTCCAGTAAACCGTGTACCTCCATATGTCATTGATATAGTACAGGTAAGACAACGTGTACTTCTCGTTGTTAAGGGGCCAGAAAAGTGATGGGAATTTGGGTGTCGTGTACCCTATGGGGATGTCGCCAGTTGTGACAAAAGAACTGGAAACTGTTAGTAGTGAGAAAACGTTGGTTTGAGCTTAATAGACAGCATGCACTCACCTGCCCGTACATACCGCATGTGATGTATCGCAATGTTTCTTTCAGCCTGCTGCGGCCATCCTTCTTGGCTGAGTCGTATACTCTAGGAATTATGGCACAACTTAATCAAGCCTATCTTATACACAGATGAACTACACATTGTGAAGCATCACCACACACGAGTGCCGATGAAGGTACCGTTTGGACGTTGTTAACTTCATTTTTAACATTGAGCGGCACGCTCTTTCATTCAGACATGCAATTCACTCGCTTCCTTTATATTTATTCATCCTCCTCCTTCTTGGTCACGCCAGTTTTGTTCAGTAACGTTTCGATTTCCTGTGGCTTGAAAATTTTCTGTACTACCTTGCCCGAGTCCAGCTTAGTTATCGTTGAAAACTCTACCCTTTCCGCGGTCAAGGCACTTGCATCTGTGGTCTTCGAGAGAGTTTTGAGCGCCAGCTCGATGCCTTCCTCCAAAGTGATCTCGTCTTTGTAATCCATCTGTAAGAGCGTTTGCGCAGCAGATGTGTTAGCTCCTACACTGATGGCTTTCCAGCCAGAATAGTTACCGGAGGGGTTGGAGGTGAATAATTGGTAGCCATACCTGTTGTCGTAACCTGCGTAAATAAACGAGGCACCAAACGGCCTCAAGCCACCGTGTTGCGTGTAGCCCTGCTTGACGTCGCTCAGGTACCTCACCAGAATCTCCACGGGGATTTCCTCATTGTACGTCTTCAGATAGTTTTGTGCATATACTCTTGCAGTATTAATCAGGATTTCTGCGTCGGCCGTCAAACCTGCCACTGCCACCGTGATATTGTCGTTCAGTTTGTATAGTTTTTCGCTTGAGCTGCCTTGCTCCAGCAGTTTGCTGGTCACCTTACGCTCGGCTGCCAGCACTATTCCGTCCTTGGCCATGATTCCAATGGCCGTACCTGCGTGAGAAATGGACTCTAACGCATATTCTACCTGATATAATCTTCCCTCAGGCGAGAAAATTGTGGTTCTCGAGTCATATCTTCTGGACCCCATTTTACGAGCTTGACGTTTGATGTGCTAGTCTAAGATGTCAGAATCGACGCTTGTGGAACTTCGCTCGGAAGAAAGTGCTTGCTCAATTGTTGGCCAAAATAGATCTCAATGGTCTGACAACTTATTAATAGCGCTTCCACCTAAACAAGAGCGCCACGGGATATTCTTTTAGTTGACCAAGTCTCAATTACTTTGAAGAGATTACCTATTTCAATAGTGTATCATACTATTTTCGACCTTTTCGCCACCCTAAATGGTTACCCGGATCTGGTGATAATTGTCGGCTTCCTTTCATGAAATTAAAGGCTACCTCCAGGAACTTGACGTCAAAATATAGTAATTACCGAGCCACCTGGTAGACTGTAGTTGAAACCTTTTTGAACTTACTCCTTGTCAATTCCACCAATTTGAATGGCACAGCGCCATTTTTGGAAGGTATACAAGACGCCCGATGGGGAAAAGTATTATTATAATATAAAGACCAAACAGTCCACCAGAGAACGACCCGCAGAGCTTGACGCTGCCAGCAAGGATGAGGGCGAAGACGTGCCTACCAAAAATAAGCTGAGAAAACTTGGACCTCGAGCTGTGCACTCCGTAAAGCTGTTGAATGATTGGTTTTTGGTGGTTTTTGACGATGGGTCAAGGCGCTTCAAACGACAGGAATCAGGCGATTTTCAGGACGAGCTTCCAGACGAAGATAGCATTCACTTAATGTCAAAACTGCCAGCTGGACAGTTAGATCAGCTATGCTTTGCAGCGAAAACTGGTCAGGGGAAAGAAAATCCAGCATACCAAGAAACTCTCGCAGAGATTAGCGCTCTTCGAGGTGATACTGCGAAAGATCCATTTACGTGGAAGAAAGAAGAGGAAACTTCAACCACCAAGAATGTTGAGATAGTGAGTTTTAATGGGACATCCGATTCTGAACCAGTATCTAGCAACGAAATAAAGCTAGTTTCGGGCTACGACAGCTCGGACGACGACAACGAAATACAAAGCGCAGATGAAGACCCCGTCCTGGAGTCGGTACAAAACACCGGGATCCTTGAAGAAGAATTTACTTCGCTGTTTGTGGAATACTCGCTAGACCCGTATTCTACATGGAGTTTGCAATCCAAGAAAATTCAGGACGACGCGCGGTTCTATACAATATCCAATGACACCAAACGAGCTGAACTTTTTGAAAAGTGGTGCACGCGACAAGCACAGGAAGCTCCCAACATCCTGGACGCGAACGAGGAAAACGAAGTATCTGCGGAATACTCAGACGACGAAGCAGACAGTTTAGAACCTACCAAATATCACTACTTGTCACACATCGTCTCCAAAGCCATAGTATCTCCAAGTTCATTACCCAAAGACATTCGAAGCCAGAACAAACCTTTGTTTAAGCAATTCAAGATCAAATCAAGTTTGGACAAAAAGACCCAGGACGCCTTCATTTCAAAACTATTATTTTACTACAAAAGACTTAGCCAAGATCAAAGAACTGAAGTGTTTGAGAAGCTACTCTCTGAAAAGTCTAAGACGATCTCCCGCGGCCTGCGAAATTCGGACAAGTTGAAAGAAATTGTATCTGAGTCCGAACTGCCAACCGAATCATATGCCATTGAGACCCAATTGTTGACACTGGAACACTGCATGGGTTTACATGGACCAAATGGCTCCTTGCAAGAAGAAGTGCGATATTACGTCCTGGACATTAAGACCAAAACTCAGGTACTGAAAAAATTCTTGGAGGGCATGTTGAAATAATTCTTAAAATATCTAGAAAGTGAGGTATTTCTTACTGATAGGGTCGAATGCAGGATTAGACACATAGTAATCGTTTTCGTGGGTCAGGATCTTCATATCTTCATCACTGAGCTCGAAGTCCAGAGACTCCAAGTTAGCGAGTAGTCTTTGTTCGTTGCTTGACTTAGGAAGGGGGATAAAGCCCATCTGCAAAGACCACCTGATCAAGATTTGGGCGGGAGTTTTATCTGGGTGCGATTTCTTCACAACTTGCTGCAAAGCTGGGTCATCCATGCGGAAACCTCTCGTGAGGGGCGAAAATGCTTCGATGACAATACCCTTGCTCACACAGTAGTCGCACAGCTCCTTACGAACAAGCCATGGATTTAATTCGAACTGGTTGACCACAGGTGTGACCTTTAGGCCATCCCAGTTTAGCAATTCTTCCAACAGCTCGATATTGTAATTGGATACTCCGATAGCTTTGATCTTTCCTTGTTCGTAATATTCCTGTAACGCCTTCCATGCACCCAAGCGCTTTTCAGCGTCAGGAACTGGGCTGTGAATTAAGAACAAGTCCACATAATCAATTTCCTTGACTCGTTCCAACGACCGCGCAATTGCCATTTTGGCCTCTTCATAGCCAAGGCAGGTGGGAGCTACTTTGGTAGTGTAAAAAATATCACCTCTCGACACAGTTGGTGTGTCCTTCAAAAACTTGGCGATTGCCAACCCAACTTCTCTTTCATTACCGTAGAATTCAGCACTGTCTACATGCCTATAGCCTTGCTTCAACGCAGTATAGACAATGCGTTCAGTCTCTTCTTTCGCTGCCTTGTATACCCCTAAGCCGAGAATAGGAATTTTGACCCCATTCAAAAGGGTTTTGGTCTTAGTAGCAGCTTTAGTGAATGTCATGTTAATTATCAAGCGACAACTGAAGTCTGTGTGTGTGTGTGTGCGTGTATTTGTTAAAGATGTAGATAATCGTGGTGAAAAATCCCCTATCAACCTATATGCTCTCGAGAAAAGAATTATTTGTGAAATTCAACTAACAAGACCAAGGTTTATATATGTGATGGAGCGTGCCGAGCTGTAACGCTTGAGACGTCCAGTTAGCAGCAAAAACATGGGCCAAGTCATGTATTACCATTGTCGCACATAACAAGCATCGGTCCGGAGATACAGGACATTTCGGAAATAGCTGCTAGCAATTCAAAAAGCACTCACTACTCGTATTCGTAATCATTGTCGTAAACCCCGTCTACAAAGTCATTGTACTCAATCCCAAACTCGGCCAGAAAATGGCGATTGTCCATCTCCCTATCAGACATGTACATGCCCATTATTTCGTCATCCTGGGATACCACTCGTCTGCCAAGCACCGCAGTCTTCATCGTTAACGAGTGTTTGCTGATAAAACTGCGAAGGGCTGTGACCGCGGTGTTCTCGCTGCCTGCAATGGGTGGTAGGAGGGAAATTAATCTCTTGTTGTACACTGAAATGGAAGTCTCCGTTCCCGGCCCACTCTCGGCAAAATTGCCTTCTTGAACGTTGCCATCGTGATCGACAATCTCTGAAAATGGAACGGGATCGGCATTGTTGACGACAGTGTCGTCGTGTGACCTTGCTGGGTTCTCGACATCTGGTAACTTTTGGTCCACTAGTGAGCGTAAGTCGAATAGCAAATCACGGGCCTCCGGCAGGAAACAAATCCAACTCATGAGCAGCGTCTGCAACTCAAAAATGTAGTCAGGATCTCTGAAGTCGAATTTGTCTTCTGCCATCAGTTTTTTCACCATCATGCACATCAGCTTCATCAGGCCGACTACCCGAGGAGGTATTCCGGATTGTCCAATTTGTCCGCCTTCTTCGTCCTCTGACGCTTCTTCACACTCTCGTGCATGCTTGGAGAAGAAAATTGCAACATTAGTAAAAAACTCCTGCAATAGCATCTTCACTTCTATCTCTGATAGTTGAATGGGACCTTGTCTTGAGAATGGAACCTGGGTATACGGGTCCTGAGCTTCACCAATGCCCTCCGCATTTTCGAGCACTACTTCACCTCTTTCACCCATCACCAAAGAGTAAATGTACTCGATCATAGAGCTACTGATTTCTAAATGTGTAATGAACCAGATCAAGACGCGGCGGTAACCGCTACACATAAGAACTTCATCTATCAGCCGCCATACGAGCGTCTCGTTGTGCAACAGCATACGTTCAAAGTGGGAATCTTCGCACCATTTCTCATAAACGTAATCCGTGGTCAAGTCACCATCAGCGACCAGCGCGTAATGGTCTTCGACCTCTTGTTCGGGCCCACCCGCAAAGACAGACCTGAAAACAGCTTGCTGCTGTTCCCGTGCTACACAAGTACCCACCATTTGCAAGAGTTTTCTTCCCTCCACAAACGTCAAGCTTCTTTCTGTAGCCGTGGTCATCAGTGAGCCCAGTGCATCCTTGGTTATGTGTTGTGTAAAGGTGAAGTTTTCGCTGAAGTAGAAATTGAGTCCGCGGGGAATATCTCTCCAATCCCGTCCATTGAAGTCGAAATCGATGCCTTCCTTCTTCGACCGCCGTGCCATAGGTTTAGCAGTAGAGGCAAGGGAAGACATCCTATTATTGCTCTCAGGTGGTGCTTCTCGGAGAGGATTAGTTCTTGTCTGCAATAATAACTCCGGATCATCTGCACCCTCAGGCAAAAGCTCGTCGTCATCGAATTGACAATGGCACCTTTTGTAATATGCTCTCATTTCTTTAATCCGCTCGCGCGACTCTACATCTTCAAGGTCGTCTTCATCTATATCCTCAGCATCAACCTCGTTGTAATTGTCGTACTCGTAATCGAACATGTATTTGACGTCCTCATCAAATCTATCACCGGGTTGCAAGTCGCTCAAAAGGTTAGTAACATCCTCCAGCTCTATTCCCAGTGCTAACATAGCTGCGGCATGCGATCTTACGTCGGTGTAAAGAGCACCATGACAAAGTTTTCGGCCGTGTGGTGACATAAATATATTGATGGGCTCATGCTGGAAGTCGTGCCGTTTGTAGTCGACATGCCCATTTAAGACTGTGGCCACAACACTTCGTAGGGCTGAAGCTCCCCGAATGGTAGCGCGGACTATAACTGGAGTACTGAATGTTTCCTGCTCTTCCTCAAACCTATCAATCTCAAGACCGAGTAGAACCACAAAAGTGAGATTCTTCCACAGAGATATCATCGGCGCCAGAAAAGGGTTCATTTGTATCGGAATGTCTCGATATAACTTGTAGATTAGATATATGGCCAAGATGTCAACCATATAGATCAATTCCAAATCTTGTGTGTTCAGCCCTTGGGGCAGCCATTTATGCAGGTTTCGTCTCCAGTCTACGGATTCATCGCTGTTGTTAACCGAATTTAATCTCTGAAAGTCATCACAATTCAGTCGCGGGAGCGTTGCATTGATGATTTTTTGTAAATTAAAGCAAAGGTGGAATCGCCAATTGGGCGACAGATCCTTGACATCGTTGCTCAATAGCCCTAAAAAGAGCTCAGAAATTAAATCAATGGAGACGATGTGAGAGTCGTTTGGGATTGGTTGTGTCACAGGATCAACCAAGGCACATATAGTAAAGAACTGCGACTTTAAAAGTGGTGACTGACTTTGCTCGGGAAGCTTCAGCACCTGATAAAGAGTTTGGTGCCTCTTGCGAGTTTGGCTGAACACGTTTAAAGTCTCTACCATTCCCTCGTCATTCAAGTCAAATGAATAAACACGGTCCTGGGCATAGTCTTTCTTTGCGGGCCAGTTGTCTGAATCACTGTTAGAGTCACTATCAACAGCGTCTATATGCGAATGGTGTTTTCCAACGAAAGGCGTTATTTTATCTAGAATTGCCCCACTAAGTAGATGCTCTAGCTGCGGTATCAGCTCTTGCTGCGCTGTCAACTTATCCGTCAGAACTGTCAAGTAATTGTAGATGATTTCACGAGGGTGTTTAGAGGAGTGAGGTGCCAAACTAAACCATGTATACTGCCCATTGAGCTGATACAAACGGCGATTGGAGTGACATGCACTGATCAAAGACATAGGGAGGTAGCTGGTATTTAGCAGTTGCTCGATAGTAGGCCGGCAAGACACCAGAAAATCCAGCAGTATATTGTAGTTCTCGTCAATGATCAGAAGCTCTGTATCCTTGAACAGAAGGAAGGACAAGGAAAGCTTGTAGTTTGGTAATGTGAATTTGGTGTAGTCCAAGGGTACTTGCTCATTTCGCAGAAAGAAATCCATAAGCATGCAGATGTAGATAGGTGATTCGGTCCATTTCCTGACCATAGTTTTATAGGATTCCTCTATAACTTGCCCATGTTTAGCACTTTGCCATTTCTTGTATTGATGTAAGTTGACGTGACCACATGAGAGCTCGTAGTATAATTTTAGGGTGCATTGGCCGGGCCTCGTTGTGAATAATGCCAGTAGTATCTTCTCTTGAATGTCCTTGGATGAATTTGCGTCTAGAGAAAGATGTGGGCTGTTTTTTGCAAGGCCAGCAGCATTAGACACAGAGACCCTTTTTGTAGACTCATTAGACACACTGCTCTTCTTCTTCTTTACCATTGGCGGTTCGGCTGTGATGTGCTCGTTATGCACTGTGGGCGGGTTCATCTTTGCCACTTTTTGAGTACCTAGTTTGTGTCACATGACACGAGCTGTGTATATGTAGCGCACGATTTTAAGTTCATGCCAGCCGCTTGCGGGGAGGAGCTATGAAACTAAGGCTTTCTACAAGCTGCTCACATTCTAGCTCCATTTTGTGTACCAACTTTGAGAAAATCAACGAAGGAAGTGCCCAGTCTCTGGGAGTAAATTTCTCCTGTTCTCTTTGAGAACAATCACTCTTCCCTAGACATTTCCCATCATACCAGGGGCTAAGATACAAGCCCGAGAATTTTCGTTTATCTGGTGCTTGTATGTGGCTGATAGAAAGTAACAAATATTCTTCCACGCTCATGCTGACACCTACCTGTCAGGATATGACAAAGTGATCTGAGAAGTAAGTAAGCTACAATAATAGCTGCGCTCTACTCACTACATCGCTTCAGTCGTAAATCCAGTAGTGGACAATGCAATTCAGACCAATCTACAATTATTGCTTATTGCCGACTGCCAGAATGTAGGAGAGCATTGGCATTGGCGTGTATCATTCGATGAAATTGAAACTGTTATATTAAGACAGAAACGAGAAAGAGATACACAAACATACCCAGAGCCATTCTCTCCCTTCTAGGAAAACAAAGTGCTGGACTCCTCTCCAATGGAATTGCTGAAGCTTAGCCTCATCTTTTGATGCTGAAGGAATGCTTGTACCGTGGCTAAGTTGCTGGTCAGCTGTAAAGATGTAATTTCCGCATTCCAACACCAAGAACTGGTATAGCATCAAGACATAACGGCCACCAATGAATCTCCCCCCAGTTGACCCATCGGCACATTTGGAGGCAGTTAATCGATTGTAGTCGTAAAATGGCGACACACTCGTATTAAGGTACAGGAACAAAGTTTTTTCGGTAATTAGAAGTATCCACCTATCAGAAAGGTTCGTCTCTACAAAAACGGTCTTGAAAGAAAACCAGCTACAAAGTACTGCACTCAGCGCTTCAAAGATCAATTGAGTTTACTTGATTGTTCAATACTGACAAGTAGTTCTTCATTGGTAACCACTACCCTTTTTAAAGGCTTAATCACCACTATTATATTACAAGGAAAATGCTCAGATCTGTGATCAGCAGAAAGGTAGGCAACAAATTGGGAAGCAGATTCTTCTCGAGAGAGGCCACACCTTATGACCAGACCATCAACAACCTACGCTTGTCGGAGGATACCAAGGTGATCATCCAAGGTTTCACCGGTAGACAGGCTACTTTCCATGCCAAGTTGTCTCAAGAATACGGCACCAACATCGTCGGTGGTACTAACCCAAAGAAGGCCGGTCAAACACACTTGGGCCAGCCCGTCTTTGCCTCCGTCGCTGAGGCCATCAAGGAGACTGGTGCCACTGCGTCCGGTATCTTTGTACCTCCTCCAATTGCTGCCAAGGCTATCCAAGAAGCCGTCGAGGCAGAGGTCCCCTTGGCTGTCTGTATCACCGAAGGTATTCCACAACACGACATGTTGTACGTGGCTGAGATGTTGAAGTCACAGAGCAAGACTCGTCTAGTCGGTCCTAACTGCCCAGGTATCATGTCCCCTGAGGGTCGTGTCCGTATTGGTATCCAGCCCTCCAAGATTTTCACTCCTGGTAAGATTGGTATCGTCTCCAAGTCTGGTACTTTGACCTATGAAGCCGTCCAACAAACTACTATTACCGGTCTAGGCCAATCTTTGGTCATCGGTATTGGTGGTGACGCTTTCCCAGGTACCGACTTCATCGATGCCCTAAAATACTTCATGAACGATCCTTCCACAGAGGGTATTGTCATGTTGGGTGAGATCGGTGGTAAAGCCGAAATCGAGGCTGCCGAGTTCCTCAAGGAGTACAACTTGACTCGTTCCAACCCAATGCCAGTTGCTTCTTTCATTGCTGGTACCGTGGCTGGCCAAATGAAAGGTGTGAGAATGGGCCACTCCGGTGCTATCGTCGAGGGTTCTGGTACTGATGCCGAGTCCAAGAAGGCTGCCTTGAGAGATGCCGGTGTCGCTGTTGTCGAATCTCCAGGCCGCTTGGGTGACGCCTTGGTTAAACAATTTGCCAAATTGTAAGGTGCCAGTTCGGATGACGCAATTTTCACTCCACCTCTATTTAACCGATTCATATTCTTTATTACATAATCCTCTAAAGAAGAAGGTTATGCTCTGCTTACCGCTAGCACAAGTATCACTTGCTCATAAGAGTTCCTCACAGCCACAACGGGTGTTTCGACAAACCAAAAAAGTATGCGCGAGCCGGGAATCGAACCCGGGGCCCAAGTATGGGAAACTTGGATTTTACCACTAAACCACTCGCGCCCGCTTGGTGACTTTTAATCGATAATCCTACGATATATATTTAATAAACAGGTTTAAACGTTCGAAATACTGATACTTGTATTCAATTGATGTGGCTGTGTAGCTCCTTCTGGACCAATTGATCTTACTGTTATTAATGATCGACTCACGTTTTATACGGTCGCCCGGTTATTGGGCTCAACCACAGGCCCCGTATTCGTCCACTCTGACTAAACCTAGAGGAGTGTCATATTGACGCACAAGTCTCGGGTCATTTGATTATCTTTATTGGGGCTAATGTGGACGTCCTCCTGCTCTCTTATAGCGCCAAATCGCAGAACTGTGGACAAAAATGTACAAAGTGATAATGCGAGTGTCAGTGAAATAAATGACAGGTATGTAGTTTATGAAGAGTGGTTCCAGGAATCGAATATGACCCGATGCATCCCGAGCCGACTTTACGACACATGGTATATCATCGAGGGGAGCTCTGTTTCCTGTCCAACTTGAACTTTAGTATGGGTATCCACAATTTGATCCACCGAATGGATCGAGTTATACTTCCAGTGATTCCGAAGGACTGGGTCGAGTCTCAAATCTCTAATATTTGTGTAAGGGTAATTTCGATTGACGACATGAACCACGAGTTCAGCAAGCTTTTCTCTGATGACACCCGAGAGATAGCGTATGTTGATACACAATAGTCTCACTCAGGCAGACTCGAACTACATATTTCAGTATGACGTTACGCTAAATTATTTAAAGGAGGCCCATGGATCAGTACAATTGATGACAACGCACGTAAAAGGAATCTGCGCAAACGAGGAATTGGCATCAGTGGGTAATAAAGATCGTTCATTCGTATATCGATGCTTGTGAAAATCAATCACGACATTCTGGAAGAGCTTAGAAAACTCCCTGTAATCTTTTCTCTTCCGTAACAATTTCTGTGGATATCCTGAGGAACCTTTCAGAACCTTTAAGCCTTGCACATCGGCTGTTACCTGCGCTCTACAAAACCCTTTACACGAACTGATGTCTTCGAGCCACGGTAAGTGATGCCGTAAGTTCCTAGGCCGTACACACTAAATAGACCCAATGGCAGCCCTAGAACATTTTGCTCTCCGTTGTGGTCTTTCTGGCCCTTTGATGATCCCTTTCCGTTTTAACTGAAATCAACTGAATTTATATCTGAGTATCTTTCAGCTTTTCACAATCTTCTCTTCCGCTTTCATATGAAGCTACTTATCTTGCTCAGCACTACTTCGATGCTTAAAACAATCGGGTCTTGAACGTCAAAAAAACAGCAGGTCTCACCGGAGAATCTATTGTTACTACTAACCTTGCCATCAAATATACTCGTTTTCCAATTGAGAACATCCCACTTAAGGCCTTTGGTGCGGTTAATGGTCGTCGGACCCCCCAGGGGTAAAAGACCACAGTTCTTAATGCAATTGGCTTTAAACTCTTTACTGTACCTGATCAGAGCACCGCCAGTAGGTATAAGCATAATTAGGTCGGTTGCGGTCAAAAAATACATTCTATAATACGGATCAGTCTTGGAAGCGGAATACAACTGCGAAATAGAGTGTACCGTTTGGTCGAAGCGCCCATCAATTGCGTTGAGTACTAGAAGATCGATATCGTGCATCGTACAGCTTGCTCGCTCTTTATTGTACATTGTTTCGATGCCGTGACAGTCATCGATACCATAATTATGGGCAAAGTCATTGGTCTTAAGCATCCTTTGTAGTTCTGGATAGTGAAAATGAAGGAAAATGAGCTGCAGACTCTTCATAAAATCCGTTGAGTTCTGCCATGACTGGCTTACAACAATAGCTCCGTGCTCTAAATAAAAGTGCAGGACTTCGTCCCGAATGGAGTCCATGTCACCAATGATATAGTTGGGTATAAAGCTCAGACGTGATTCCTCTTTGCCCTCGAAGTACTCGTATAACCGATTAGCGCCTCCATCTGCACATACGTGTAGGTGGTAGTTCCTCCAAAGTTTCTCGAACACTCCCGCTATCAGAATCTGTTGATTCAATATCAGTAGGGCGGATGATTGACCGTCTGGTGAAAGAAAACCATCTAGATTAAAGACATGGGAGCTCGCTGGTTCTTCAAAAGCAATTGACTCTGTATTTTCGATGACTTCTTCTGTTGATGGCATTAGGCGGGCGGATTGAATATTGGGTTTGCCCAGGTTGCAAGCGCATTACTGTCCATTTTGATATTCTAATATAAGTTGAAATTTCAATGCTAATTGTTAAGAGTAGGGAACTGTTAGAACAGGACGAAAATAACAGAGCGGCCGATTAGCCAGCAAACGACGGTGTAACATATTTCAAATAAGGCTAACTGTGTGAGTTTACGAAGAGGACTTCTGTATATAGCCAGACCTGTCAATAGAAGAATAGTCCTTGCCCACCATGGATAAATACAAATATCGTGTTGAGATTCAACAAATGATGTTCGTTTCTGGCGAAAATAACGATCCACCTGTGGAAACAACTTGTTTGATAGAGGATATTGTACGGGGGCAAGTAATCGAAATATTGTTGCAATCGACCAAGACGGCACATTCGCGAGGAAGCAAAAGCATTATGCCCGAGGATGTGATCTTTCTGATTCGTCACGACAAAGCCAAGGTCAACAGGCTCCGAACATATCTATCGTGGAAAGATTTACGAAAGAATGCCAAAGACCAAGATGCCAATGCAGCAGCAGCAGGTAATCCCGGGGGAGGAGCAGACGGTGCCGAAGCTGGCGTGGAAGACGACGACAAGAAGGGCGACAAGGATGGCGGAAACATGATGAAAGTTAAGAAGTCACAGATCAAGCTTCCTTGGGAGCTGCAGTTTATGTTCAACGAACAACCGCTAGAGAATAATGAGGACGCTGACGATTTGGATGAGGATGAACGAGAAGCCAATGTTGCTACCCTGAAACGACTCAAAATGGCCGACGACAGAACCCGGGATATGACGAAAGAAGAGTACGTGCATTGGTCCGACTGTCGTCAGGCGAGTTTCACTTTCAGGAAGGGAAAGAGATTTAAAGACTGGTCCGGCATCACGCAACTTACCGAGAGTAAACCCCACGACGACGTGATAGATATTCTTGGGTTTTTGACTTTTGAAATCGTTTGCTCTCTGACGGAAACTGCTCTTAAATTCAAGAAGCGCGAGGAACTTCTGCAAACCAAGAGAGACAAATCTCAAAAATTACAGCAAGATCTTATTGTCGAGACGTTACGAGAGCGCAAGAAGCGTTTGTTTGATGGGCCTGATAACGTGGTGAATCCATTGAAGCCTAAGCACATAGAAGAAGCATGGCGTTCCCTTCAGGCCATTGACATGAGGCATCGTGCGCTTACAAATTTCAAAGGCGGGCGATTAAGTTCGCGACTTGCTATTATGTAGTATACGAATTGGTCATTATTCATTAGTCCCGGCGTCTATCTTTATTTGCCAGGCCTCCAGCAAAGGGTCAGGTTCTCCGTTGAACCATATAGGGTGAAATGCGTGATTTTGGAGTAGTACCTTGACAACTTCTTTGCCGGATCCTGGTTGAGCGCCATGCATCGCGGTTTCAAATATGCGCTTATTCTTTTCTTTCACATCTCTATCATTTTTGGCAACTTCACACAAAAACGGTATAATCTCCTGGCTCATTTGACGACGAGTGGAAACGGATGTGAGGAACATAAAGACCTCGTCATATGGCGACAAATTTTGCGCGCCATCATCAGAGAAGCGATCCAGGATCTCCTTTACCTTACGAGAATTTCTTGTCATCCTAGTGGAAGCATATTGCTGGCTGCTTAATAAAATACTGTCCGGAACGCGGCTGCTCAAATACGAAGCGACCTCTTGAGTGGCTTTTTCTATAATTTTCTTTGAATTCTGTTCCTTTGCGTATGGGCTGAGAACAAGGTCGGACAGGTAGCCACCTACGTTCAATTCGAAGGGCAGCAGTGGATGTCTCAAGCAGTCATGCAAATGGTATTTATAGTCGACCATATAGTCGAATGCAAGCCTCTCCTCATCTGAGAGTGATGTGAACTCTTTCGAGTGAATTGCACAGTTCAAGGTATGGTCTTTTTCGTCATGAAAGTTGGACCTCCATTTGAGACTGCTCTCTATCAAATCGGCATCCGAACGAAGGCATGAATTGATAAGTGCTGATGCCAAGTCCGTTTCATGAGAAGCAGCGTATGCCTCGGTCACTTGATCATCGGCACGTATTGTGCCAGTAACAGCGTGCCACTGAAGCGCCATAAAACATTTTCTTATGTCGTTATTGTGGTGATGTAATAAACTCTCCGCGTAATCGGGTGCAAACTTAATTTCCTTAGAGTTCAAAAGCCGCTCTATTTGCATCACGGCATTTTGTCTATCGATTTGATTGGCATGAAATAGCGATTTTTCCTCTTCAGCTACTTGAATAAGGTTGAGAGGAACAAAATTGATGTCTCGACATATCAATACCACAGGTCTTCTCGATGCCAGCAGAAGTCTTTCTAAAGTTGCCCAAAACAACTTATCGCGTTCTCTGAAGAGAACATCGACATCACTAAAAAGAATGATGCCCCTGGACCCTTTTTCTTTCACATAGTGAGTCGTCGAAAATTCCAACACGTTATCTATAATGTCTTTTTTGCTTCTGTTGCTCGAACTATTGACTTCAAACACTTGACCCGACATTTCGTTGACTATAGTCTTTACTAAGGTATTTTTCCCAACCGCATTTCCAAATAGAATCATAAGCGGAACAAATTCTTCCTGCTGATTATCTGTTTCGTCAACATCGTCCTCGACAACAAACCAGCCCAAGTCGTCCGCGTCAGTTTTCTTTTTCAAAAGCTTCTCTCGAGTGGTTTTTTTTCGCAGTCTTTCAAACGCGTCTCTAAGCCAAGAATCTACGCCCGACTTCAAGCGTTCTTCTAATATAACGTCAGCTAGCTTATCTGGTGCAAACTCTTGAGTCCAAAGAGAGTCGTTGAATGTTCTGTTGATAACAGGCCGTTCATGAAATGAATCTTGTGGATTTTCGACCAAATTAATGAGCGAGCTGTATTCCTTGGAGTCCAGCACATCCTCGCCCGACCCAACATTTGTCGTTTTTCTGGGAAGTGATAGAGGCCGCCGAGGAATTTCTTCCAAAGGACCTGTTACATGTTGTTGAAGTGGGAAGGGAAGTACCACTTCCTGTAAAGTTGAAATATCATGCATTCGTTTCAAAGGTTCATTAACTAGGATATCCTGTTTTGGCTCGTTGCTATCCGCACCGCGGGGCCTCTTCTTAAAGTTGCCAAAAAGGTTCCTGACATTAGTTTTCTTAGCGCTCCCAAGGGCCGACATAATACGCTCGTGCGCTTCTCTGTTTTTCTCTTGATCATCGTTAACATGTAGCACTTCCAGGTCCTCTATCACCGCGTCGTTTCCGGAATTCTTTACCGGCTTGCTAGCTTTGTTTACTTTACCCGTTAGAACATCTTTCAACGATATTTTGGGCGTCTTCGGATCGTGTACGACCTCACAATCATTCAAATTGGTATCACTGACGTAAGAATCGTCGTCTGCAGCCGGAATCGTGGAATAATCCTCAATGCCATCCAAGAAATCGTCCGCAGAAACATCGGGTTTATCAAAATTTCCAGTACCTTCCGTCTTCACGATCTTGTTTCCGCTTAACAAAGATGCCAATCGTACAGTTTTTCTAGAGGTTGGTGAAGTCATAAGGAAGGGCACAGCACCTTCAATTGGAGGATTAGCGACCTAAACACTTGGTCTGCTAATACTTGTACTAAACGCCAAAACTTGGGCCTAATTGGTTCTTAAACTTCGTTCAGAGAGACCTGAGCCATCTCAACCTCCAGATGTTGGTGCTACATCGATATAGCTATTGTACATATATTTGTTATTATCGTGTGTCTGCTATCGCCGCTACGCTGCTGTGCATATCAGTAGCGTTCTTTTAGTCTTGAAGCAACGGTACGCAGATTTCCGTACACTTTGCCCGGAGGTGAACCGAGGATAAGACTCACAACTGATTCACGGGCCATGCGAATGTGGGTGAAGCCCCCTAGGATGTGAATTTTGGAGTCTGCCAGGACGATACGCGTACGAGTGGCGTTCTCAATGGCAAATTTGGTTTTACCGTCTTTCCCGGCGATTCTACCAATGGCACGTGAAAGATGGTCGCCGTTCAGCGTTTTCACGTCTTTGACTTCGAAGGTCTCGATGTACAGATCGTCTAGTCTCAGCAACGCGATGGCGTCGTCGAGGTCGAAGCCGAGCGTGAAAGCCTTGATGAAATCGGCGCCCTTTTGCAAAGCTCCAGGGTCCGTGGTGTGTTTAGGATGCGTCCTGAGCTCCACGGTCTTGGTCTTTAGGTTCATGCGCACTTGGAGCTTCAAGTGGTCCACCAGAGGAGGGTAGATCTTGGTCCAGTTATTTCTCAGAGGCGTCATTCTATGAGGCGGCACAGGAACTTTCCGCGACTCTAGCTTTGCCTTGGTCTCCGTAGCCTGAGCAGCAGATGCAAACCTAGGTTTACCTTCTTCGTCTAGCACCACCCCCTTTGCAGACCTGTCTTTTTTCTCCCCATTCTCTTCGCCTTGGGGCTCCGAGTCCTGCATATCTTGGTCCTCTACCAGTACTTCGTCGTCGTCTTCATCGTCACTTCCTACCTTGTGCATAGGGTTTCCACCCAAAACTCGCGAAACCCCCGCAGTATCATTTTCCGATCCTCCCAGATCTACAGCGACCTTTTTCACAGCGGTTGGTGCAACCATGAATATGTATTTGGCCGTTTGGATTCCTCTGTATCTTACGAAGGTTTATGGATTCAGCTCATCGCATCTCAAGCTCATCGCACTAAAATTTTTCAGACAACCAACGGGTAACTTGCGAGTAGAGATTTGACAAGAGGAACAGATCAATAAACGAGTGAATGACGCCGATGACAGAGTTGTCAGAAACTGCACTCATAGGAGCGAAAGTGTGAGGTTTGTAGTAGGAATGGAAGTTCTTACTTTGTCGAAATTGCTGTTCTTGCCTGTATGGTTTTCGGAATTCATGTAGCACCCCCGCAGAGCTCCAATCGTGATCGGCTAAACGTCATCCACCACCATGTGCATGTACCAACGAGTTTTGGCAAGTGATTTCTGGCAATTTTCGGGTACAGCTTTTATCCACGTTGATGGTGGCGTTGGTATTTCTCCACATTTCGAGTGTGTATCAACTTAAGTGGCCTTCAGAGCTTCAAAGCCTCGCAAAAAATGGACATCAATTGAACAACAAACTTGTACAAACAATGGTCTTCTGCTTGGAGAATTTACATGCTGTGTCATCTGGTCGTTTCTATATCCGAGGTAACTGGAGAGAATCGATCCTCTACTTGGCCCGTATATCATTTTTTTTGCTTGGTCTTTAAACATTTGTGAAATGAAAAAGCTCAAAAGGCACAACTTGACTTGAACCAAACTAAGCGAACATCTACTTCCAATATCCTCTGCTTCGTGGTTGAATGCTTCCCTTCAGATGTGCTTCGCGGCTTTGTTCACGATCATCTTCTTTGGCTTTGAGGAGGTCCCCTCATAGTCTATATAAGCTACATGACATAGCATCGTCCTTGGCCTTTTTCGGCCACAACCGGCCACTATGGAACCAAGAACAACGGAAACAGCACATGGATGAGCTTTCCAAAAATACAGACTTCTTGCATACCCAAAATATACTCTTGCAGAAGAATCAGCAACGACTCAGCAAGCAGAAGATTTTGTCGGAGGCCACAAATTTTTACGAGCGCTTCAAGATTAAAACCAAATGGGTTTTGATTCGGGGCAACCGCCCCTTTAGCACGGATGAGATAAGCACGCTCTTTTCGTGGCTTGTTATATCTCAGATAGTTTGGGTCGTTTTGGGAACCACGACTTTTGTGTCTCTGGTGCTGTTTACGTTTAACACAGTCTTTGCCAAAGAAATGGTGGGACAGATGGTGGGCAAAATGATCAACGAATACATCGAGGGCGTTGACGTTTGCTTCCAAGACGCCCTGGTGCCCGAATGGAAACGCGGGTGTATCAGTTTCAAGCAAGTGGAAATCAAGAGCACGCCCAACCCAGCTACGAGTTCCAGCGATGAACCCGACTTCAGTTTTGTGCTAAATTTTAACCAAATTGACATCACACTTTCGTTTAGGAAGTGGTTTCGCGGCGAAGGGCTAATCAGCGATCTTTCTGTTTACGGCATGAAAGGCGATGTGACGGTGGGTGACGATCCGCGCCATAAAAAACTAGTCTCTTGGTTTTCAAACCAAAAATATCATTTACAAAGAGTCAAGGTTCGCGATTCTCGCATAAACGTTCTGGACAAAGGGATCAACCAGCAATATCGCGTTTCCATTTACAACATGGATTTACCCCAGTTTAGACTGAGATGGGCTTTGATAGATTTTTTCAACGCCAACGTTGTGACTGGTGCTGTCAACCATTCATTATTTAGCATCCACAAGAGACAGCACAAACTAGCGTATTTACAGGATTTCGAACATGACCTTTCCCCTTGGAAACGCATCACCAGGCTAAGGTTGGACGAGATTTGCATAAAAGACTTGGGACTAGACAAGAGCAATGCTTTCAACTGGATGGAAGATGGTCAAGTGGATATTATTGCGGACTTGATGCTGCCTGAAATTCCAGAAGAGCAAGGTCTCCAATGCGACGAAGAAAACAAGTACATTGTGATGGATCTTAAATTCAAGTTCAAGGACTTGACCGCACGTTACCCTTCAGAAGAGCCTCGTTTGGCGAACGGGGATACCATAGCAACTCTGGAAGAGCTGAGACCAATAATAGCCTTTATCAACACTCAGAGGGGCCTTTTTCATTCCTTTATGAACATTCAAAATTCCAACTCTGCTTGGGATAGCATGTCAAACATCTCAATTAAGAAAAGCAGGTCCTATCCTGACACAACGGTTATCCCAACGACCGCAAAATGGCCTGAGTATGAAGATTCCGAACGTCCAAGCCAGGAGATTATAAAATACCATGATCAACCTAAACACAATAATAATGAAATACTACTAAGGTCCAGAATAGTCAAGAACATTGATGAGCTACAGGGCCTTGCTCTCTTCAAAGAAACTGGTTTTTACGATACTCTGAGTACGGAAATCCATGTGGACCTCATGAGGATGGTTGAAGAATGGGAGCACAAAAAGAAAAGCGACTGGGTCAAAGTCTGGGGCACCACGGTAGCCTCTCAGTTAATAATTTTAGGTCTTGGCGCCATGGTGTGATATACTTTATCTTGACTGTTTACGATGACTTCGATGAGTAATGAATATGATGATGATTTAATGCTATGTAAGTACTACTTTCCTTCCGACAAAAAAGTAGCTGACAACTTTATTTGTCATAGATGCTTGCCGGTGTGCTTGTCGATTTTTTTCACTGGCAAAAATGGGCGCGATTGCGTTGCTTGATCAACATGCGTGCTTTGAACGGCTTTTGCACCAAGTCCTAGGAGAGCAGGACGGAACTGAACCGCTTTTTTTTCGCCAGAAGGATCTTTCGATTCACGATCCGTCCCATTCCAGCCCATGCCCCGTAACAAAGCATCCCCAAATTCCTCGATCGGAACAGCTTCATATTCCTCTTGCTCCGTTATCTCTGGCTGGTCCAGTGTATCCCGAAAGTTGTGTTTATTGTCTATGAACAGACTGTCAGGTTTTTGGTGCTCGGCCTGTGGCACTTCTCTCCCTGCGTTTAAGCCAAACTTCAACTGGGTTTCTGGGATTTCTTCATCCGCCAAGTTATTTTGCGAGACTTTCTTATTGCCTTCAGGCTTGATTACAAGCTCTTGCCTCGTTTGTTCTTGATACCCACCCACATGCGTCACTCGTATCCTGGACTTCTTGGTCTCGCCTAAATCTGTCTCGTTGAACACATTAGATCTCTTCTTCCTCTTGTCAACGACACTACCTTTCTGACCAGCTTTTTGGCCCTTCAGACTAACCGAAAATCCAACCATATCCAATTGCTAGATATGTTTAACTATTGTTATGTCGTCTTATGAAATTGTCATTAGATGAGATGAGCTCTTTAAACATCGAACGGACACGGCCAAATAATAGAGCCGATGATAGAAAGGCGGGTATTTCTCCATGCTAGTAAACTTTCGAAGCATAGCTTTTTTCATCATTCTTTGTATCCCATTGTGGTCACTCGATGCTACAGCGGTTCCAATGGCTTTAACAATGAACCCAGTAAAGAACTGCCAAATAAGCCGCGAGATAAGCTATTTGATCCATATTGGGCTGCATTACGGGTTAAGTGGTCTGATTCACGGACTAAACTGAAGCACTACTCGACACAATTCCGAAAACATGCAGATAAAGCCAAGGTTGCCATCCAGGAAGCAAATCGAAAGCTTGCCATGGCTGAACAGGCCGAGAAGGACAGTCGTTTACAGTTTGACACGGATATGGAGACTAGGGGAAGAATTGAGGGGCTCCCTTCGGAACGAGAACGCTACAGAAGGCGCTGGGCCAAGAAATTAGAGTTATATTTTGATTCCTTGCAAGAAACCATTTTTACAGCCACTCGAGCGTTAAACGATGTTACCGGATATTCCAGCATTCAGAAACTGCGTACGAGTATTGAAATGATGGAGGTGCAACTAGAAGCTGCCAAAGGACAGGTAAAGTCTTCAAAGGTGCAGTACAACGATGCGATTGACGTTCGTGCCAGATCACAAGTCGAAGTTAATGATTTATTGCAACGTAAGCATTCGTGGACTGCCCAAGATCTTGATCGATTCACGCTTTTGTACAAGGACGACAGTCTTAACGTGAAGCGCGAAGAAGATGCCAAAAAGAGACTACAGGAGGCGGAGGCTCGGGAAGAACAGCTCTCTGATGGGCTTTATAGGGCTATTCTGACCAGGTATCATGAAGAACAAATATGGTCTGATAAAATTCGTCGAACCTCTACTTGGGGAACCTTCATATTAATGGGGATGAATATTTTCTTGTTTCTGGTGTTCCAACTTTTATTGGAACCATGGAAGAGACGCAGGCTAGTGGGAAATTTTGAAGACAAGGTGAAGAAAGCTCTCGACGAACAGGCCTCTCTACAGAGCTCCCGATTGACGGAAATGTCGGATCAGATCTCTACAACATTGGACCAAAGAGGTATGCAAGCTAAAAACTCAAGTCAAGAGACTATCGAGGGCTCTTCAACAACTAAAGTTATAGAAAACGATTTGAAAATCCCAACTAGGAGTCTCTCTGAACATCAATTGAAGGGATTTCATTTTTTGAGTCACTCCTTCGATAATCTATTTATGTGGGCTCAAATATTTCTACAAAAAGTCTACAGTATGCATCGGAAAGCATTTCAATCACCTTCTACTGCAACTACGACTTTCACGGTTTCCGAATTCTACGCCTATGGTATGCTTTTTGGCTCGCTAGGTTTTATGGCATCCTGGTTACTGTGACACAACCGTTCAAAGTGCTTAACAATTCATTATTGATTTCAGGAATTCGGTGGCAAAACTAGGTACTTGAACCTTTAAAAAGAGTAAAGGTGCAGGTTAACAGTTGGCTTCCATTTCTCCATCGAAGAGTTGTTGAGATCTTCTAGATACTATTACACGCATTATGGAGGAACTGGGTATCTTGAGTACGCCCGTTTCAGGGCTCAACGAGAACATTGCCAACGGATCTTATGGGTCGCTAGTTGCGCAACTGAACAGTAGTGCTAATGCCACAAGCAATGGAACTTCGGACCATTATTTGAAGCTGAAAAAGTTGGAAAAAGAGTTGGAGCTTTTGAATTTGCAGGAAGAGTATATTAAGGACGAACAACGCCATTTGAAAAGAGAACTGTTGAGAGCGCAAGAAGAAGTGAAGCGCATTCAATCTGTACCCTTGGTTATTGGCCAATTTTTGGAGCCAATTGATGAGAATACTGGGATTGTTTCCAGTACTACTGGCATGAGCTATGTTGTGAAGATTCTTTCAACTCTGGATCGTGAACTACTCAAGCCCTCCACTTCTGTAGCATTGCATCGCCATTCAAACGCTTTGGTGGATATTCTACCACCCGATTCCGACTCCAGCATATCCATTATGGGTGCCAACGAAAAGCCCGACGTCACGTACGCAGATGTTGGTGGATTGGATATGCAGAAACAGGAGATCAGGGAAGCTGTGGAACTACCCTTAGTCCAAGCAGATTTGTATCAACAAATTGGTATCGACCCACCAAGAGGTGTACTCCTCTATGGTCCTCCGGGCACTGGTAAAACAATGTTGGTAAAGGCTGTAGCTAACAGCACAAAGGCAGCATTCATCAGAGTCAATGGTTCGGAGTTCGTTCACAAATATTTGGGTGAGGGCCCCCGGATGGTCCGTGACGTTTTCAGACTAGCTAGGGAAAACGCCCCTTCTATCATATTCATTGACGAGGTCGACTCGATTGCAACAAAGCGTTTCGATGCGCAGACTGGCTCTGACCGTGAAGTGCAACGTATTTTGATCGAACTTTTGACCCAAATGGATGGGTTCGACCAGAGTGTAAATGTTAAGGTTATCATGGCGACGAATAGAGCAGATACTTTAGATCCAGCTTTGCTGAGGCCGGGAAGATTGGACAGAAAAATTGAGTTCCCTTCGCTCAGGGATAGACGTGAACGCCGTTTGATATTTGGTACGGTTGCGGCCAAGATGTCTCTTGCACCGGAGGTCGATTTGGACTCTCTAATTATCAGAAACGATCCTCTTTCTGGTGCCTTGATTGCTGCCATCATGCAAGAAGCCGGTCTGCGCGCTGTTAGGAAAAACAGATATGTTATTCTGCAAAGTGATCTGGATGAAGCATATGCATCTCAGGTCAAGTCCAGCAGTGATGTGGACAAATTCGAGTTTTACAAATAAGAAAATGAATCGGGAATTACCAGCAGATTACCGCTTCCATTATGTACATTAAATCATACTAAGCATTGCAGACACCACTTCATCACTACCAGTTCTATAGCATACTGATCGCATACATCGTTATGCCTGGTGTAAGAGTAGATAGATCGGAGAAATCCAGGTGATCCATATCTATATTAAAATACGTTTCCCACTTAGTTTGAATATCAATTTCGGAATGGCTGTTCTTAAACTCGGTTAAAAACTTATTTGTGGATTTTGGAATTATAAGGCGAATGCTTGTGGGTTCGGATTTCAAAAACCCTAAAATCGCAGATTCAAATAAATCATAATCACATCCTTTCAAATCGACAACATGGTCCTTAGTTATAGTAAAATCAACCAAGTCTAAACTCTCGAGATCTCCCTCTATATTGGTGGTTGATACAATCAGGTCTCTATTAGCATATAGCCATGTAGGTGGTGAGTATGTTTTCCACCAAATATCAACCCCTACTGGACCTTCCTCTTTCGTCATGTTTTGGATGGCAGTGATAACTCCCCTCTGGTGTAAGGATCCCATGAAGAGTCCAAATATTGCATTGAAGGCAAGCCACACAACTGTGACATATTTTGTAACGAGAGCGTTTCTGTACTTTGAAAGGTCTATCGAAGAACAAAAGAGAGGCATTAATGGAACTAAAAACCGTAGCTCTTGATGCTGGAACAGTGATAGTATTAGAAGACCGGAGATGCATGACAAAAACGGCATAGTAACCTTTTGTTTGATCGCAACGAAATATATTACAAGCGGGCCGACCATTTGTGGCAAATTAACAAATAGATGTGTGTATCGGGAGTGAATTCCATGCAACGCCAAGTTGGAAGCATTCAAGTTGTATCTCAAGTTGTTAAGTGGAGTCACAGACCAACGAGAAGTTCCATATAACTTCGTATCGATGTAAATGAAAGCCATGCAAGACAAGGAAAAAGCAGTTATGAAGACCAAAAGCGACCTTAAATGACCCATGTAAAATTTGTAGAATGGTAGCAGTGCTGGAAGTGCGATAAAGCCAGCAAATGTGATTCGGTTGAACAAGCCGAACGCTATGGCAATGGCCATAAAGATAGATGTCTTATAGTGGTTGTACTTCGGATTTCGGGAGTCCAGCGTCAAAACCTGAAATAACGATAGCACGGTGAGAAGAACACAGGTTTCCATCGAATTAGAGAACGAGTGCGTCTGGTAGGTCCAGGCAATATAGGAGGTGGAAATGTAGAAATTCGCTTTGGCCCGGTCCAATTTGGACCGCAGCAAAAATTGTAAGGCCAGCTTGTAGATGCATGTAAAAACCACATAATTTTGCAAGCGCACGAGATACATCAATGCGATTCCTGAGCTCGCAGAGGTGCCCCAAAACATTCGAAAGAAATAAAAGGCCGGTCCATATACGACATATAGGGGCACGAAGCTTCGCGCTGCATGTTCAGGTTCAAACTCCCAAGGAATTGTACCCCTAGTTCCGAGGATTCGGTGAGCCAGGATTTCCATGCTTTGAAAATGCTCATCCGGGTGGATATACGATGGCTCGAGCGCGAAGAAGAGGCCCACCAAGTAGCTCAGAATGTGGACTGTTTTAAAATTCATCTCGATTGGTGCAAAACTCACCAGAAATGCGAATACCCTATAAGTTAAAGTTTGTCAGGCACCGATTGAGGCGACACTTTTGCAACTAAAAGCGACAGGAATTGATATTCAAAAATAAACAAGCGAAAGAAGTCCCAATTGATGAACAGAATCAATCATAAGAGCCCAGCTGCTTTAATTTGCACAGACCTCTTCGACAACTTCACTTCACCTGTATGTTGAAGCCTTTGGCCAGGCGATGAGTTAGCCATATCCAGTATATAGAAAATTGAGATCTCATCATACGATTGGAGCGATGAGCTTCAATTCTCATATTGAAAAATTTTTGGACTGCTTAATAGGTCTACTAGCATAGCTTTCAACATTAAGGTAGAATTAACAAATTCAGTCAGTTGATAAGGTAGGGTTTGTAACTCCTGGGCCTTCCAGTTTTTTGAGATGCTAGATCAACAGGCGATTTTGGAGGCATTTAGCCGTACCATGGCTGCTGACGCCATGGTAATCAAACAGGCCGAACAACAATTATTTCACATGCAGAAGGAGCCGGGGTTCACTTCCTTTCTGCTTAGTGCAGCTACCGATTCATCAATTCCGCTAAATGTGCGCATTTCTTGCGCTATATATATGAAAAACAAGATTCAGCGGTGCTGGTCAAGCAAAAGAGATGACGCAATTGTCCCGGACGAACAAAATGCCATAAAGGAAAACGTTGTGCAGAGCTTGATAGCAAATGCGGATAATATGCAAATCAAGCCATATCTGACAGAGTCTGTGCGTGGAATACTGGACAACAGCAGCACTTGGGACTTGAGCGGTGTGATCCAAGAGCTGTTGTCGAGTAATAAGCCGGCTTTGGTATACCCGGGACTTCTCTTGTTGTTTGAGGTTTGCATCAAGCACAGATGGGACATGCCTGAAAGCAGGTCGTATATTGACGGCGTGGTTGAGGCTGTTTTCCCCAGTGTGGAGGGGATTGCCGCCCAGCTTGTTAATGAAAATGACTACAGATCCAACGAGTTGCTGTACTTGATCTTGAAGTGCTTTAAGTACGCCTGTCTTAACAATTTTCCGCGTTATTTCAACAATGTCGAGAAGCTCCAGTCCTGGATTCAGTTGCATCTCTTCTTGTGCTCCAAACCTTTACCGCAAGAAGTGCTTAATCTAGAGGCAGCCGATAGGTCGTTGGACAAGAGAGTGAAATGTACCAAGTGGGCTTTTGGTAACCTTTCGAGATTTTTGATCAAATACTCTAGATCCACGAAGACCATCACACAGGAGTATGTGAACTTCGTCTTTGAACAAGTTGTGCCAACCATTCTAAGTCAGTACTTCAAGACTATTGAAGCATGGGGTTCTGGTTCTTTGTGGTTAAGTGAGGCTTCGCTTTATTACATGATAGAATTTCTGGAAAAATGTATGACCACAGACTCGCTATGGTCGTTAATCAAACCACATTTAGAATCAATTATCACATACGTGATATTTCCGTGTCTATCTGCCAATGAGGAAAGTGTCGCACTATTTGAAGATGATCCTGATGAGTATACTAGGCGTTATTTTGATGTAAACAAGGAAGGGACTACAGCGGATGTGGCTTCAACTGATTTCATTTTTGTGGTGGGCCACAGGAGATTTGAAGAGGTGAGCAAAATTCTCCCGCTGATAAACAAAGCTTTCAACGAATTTGCTACGAAGGGTGATGTCACTAGCGCTTACCAGGAAGAGGGTGCGTTAAGACTCTTGAGTTCCCTCTGTAGCTTCTTAGCAGAGGAGGATTCGCCAGTTCGCAACGAGTTAGAGAGCATTTTTGAGCATTTCGTTACGCCTTTACTAAAACAGGACAAATATCCTTTTCTGATAGCGAGGGCCTTGGAAACTATCGCCATTCATCAACAACAATTTTCAGATATGAATGTGTTATCTCAAATTTTCGAGGCTGTTTATTTGAACTTCTTGAATGCAGATCATCTGCCTATTCAAGTTGAGGCTGCCGATGCTTTGAAGACGCTGGTTGTATCTAACCCATCTATTCATCAACATATTTCTTCTCAAGTGCCGGGGATTATGGAGAAGCTATTGAAATTATCCAAGGAATTTGAGATCGACATTTTATCCGAAGTGATGGAAGCTTTTGTTGAGAGGTTTGCGGACGAGCTTACGCCATTTGCTCAAGACTTAGCTGCAAATCTGGCCGAGCAGTTCATAACGCTAGGGCAGGCCATTGTTGAAAATTCCAATGGTAACTACTCGACAGCAGATCAAGACCAGGAAATCCAGGCTAGTGCGCTGCTACAAACGATGACTACGATGGTGATGTCCATGAATAAGGTTTCCCTGATCGACAAAATTATGCCAGTTGTCAAGTTTATTATTGTGAATGCACAAATAACGTTCCTAAGTGAGGCTGTGGATTTGATGGACTCGCTTGCTCTATCTTCTAAAGCCATGTTTGACAGGTTCACACCCGAAATCTGGGAAATGCTGCATGACGTTATGGATTCATGTCAGACGTATGCCTTGGAATATTTTGAAAGTTTCCAAGTTTTTTTCGAGACGATTGTCACTTACGGGTTTCCAGCAGATCAAACATACGCGCCTGCATTTCTCACAGTTCTTTCTCACGCCATGGAGAGTGGTGTGGATTTTGATGTCGAAAGTTCATTGAGCATCCTGCTGTTCTACATTCTGGCAATGAAGGAGATTCCCCTGTTCACCACCGTTTTGAAACTGGCTGGTGACGACAATGAGGACTTGGAAGTTGATGACTCTGTGTACGTGAAAATTTTCCTTGCTGGTTTATTTGTTAGACCATTAGATACATTGCAAGCTTGTGAAGAAAAGGGTGCCACCCTTGACATGCTGCGCAAGTGGTTTTCTTGCAAATTCACCAGTGTGCTTACAATAAAGCTTCAACTAATGGCAATAATATCATTGTTCAGCCTGCCCGAACTACCTAGTTGTCTCAATGGCTTCGTGCCACAACTATCTGACAAACTCATCGCGCTGACGGCCACGCTTCCGGAGGCAATCAGAAAGAGAGATGCCTTGTCCAGAGGCGATCTAGGCGAAAGTGCTCTCCAGGATGATGGTACCGAGTTTTTCGATGAATTCGAAGACGACTTCAAAGAATCATGCTTAGATGACATCAATTGCTTTCAACAAGTGCATACTTTGTTTGCTCAATTACAAAACTCTAACCCGGGGCTTTACCAACAGATTATGGGGTCACTATCCGAGGATAAAGTGGACACTTTGAAAACAATAATGGAGTTTGTAGCACAAAACTAGCGCATGGAAGTGACGGACTTTATATTTAATAGCTGTGGCTTTATAATCGCGGGCCTCGTGCCATATTTTCTTTGTTTATAAGCAACACCGCAAAGGCACAAAGAAGCCTGGACTGCACAATGAAATGAGATGATACATTCAATAAATTACACACAGGCAGCACTGACAATATTAACTTTTGTTTGCTAAGCCAACTTTTAATCTTCTTCTGCTTTTATAGACTCGGAAGGCGAAAGCTCGCCCGCGGCGTCCTCCGAAACGGCCTGGTCACCATCTGCGCCCCCGGAGGACCCTGTTTGGTGAAACCGAGACCGAGACTGGCGGAACAACTCTTCCTGCTGTCGAAGCAGCTCCTCCTCCGAGAGCCCTGATTTTTTGAATTTGGCGTCGCGGCGTTCTTTGATGCGCTGCGTTTCCTTGTGTTCGACAAGGATCTGCTCCAGATAAGGGATGAAGTCGTGGAACTCCAGCTCCTGTAGCGCCTTGATAACGTGGTCGGGAGCGATCGTTTTCTTGGCTTCTTTGTCGGCCATCTCCGACGCCATGGATGACAGGATCATGATGAACTCAATGCCGGACTCGATGATGATCTCGCGGGCTTCCTTGCTGAACGTCAAATCGCTCTCCAGTACTTCTGAAATGATTTTCTGCACCGTAGCTTTAGGCAGCGATATATCTTCTTGTTCTCCCATTGTATTTATTATGTGTGTGTATGTGGAACGTGGAGTCGTGGTAGTAGAAATATTTAAGTCTGTACCCCTCTAATAATCGAATCTCTAGTTTTCCTGCTTTAGTTCCTGTTCATGAGTCGCTTTCCAAATCCCATAACAACAAACACAGTCAAATATAAGTGCCTTTGCGGTTGGGAGATCTTGAGTGTACTGACTGGGATATCGATGCCCTCTTTATATATGTTTTTTCCTTAGGTAATGGCTGAAAAAATTGAGATAAATAACAAAATGTTAACAACCTTGCGACGCGGAATGTCAGAGCTGCCCCCAGGCTTAGATGTCTTGTTAAATGCGAGCATAGGTGGGAGCTTAATTGGAGTAGAAATGCTGGTTTTGATTCCAGTCTCTTTGGACCAAAGAAAGGAGCTATAAACTAGGTCAAGAGTCAATTCAAGAAAAATAATATATTTGCAAATCGCGAAAGTGAGGAGTCCTTGGTGGCGTCTTTAAAACTTCCAAACGTCGTGCAGATGGCTGGCAAAGGACAATAGCGAAGCTGAGTCTTTCGTGCTGTATCAAGCATTGTTGTATGATTTTCCAAATCACTATCAATCTTTACTGACACCTGGCGCCAGTAGTAAATAGTGGAAAATTTTACAGGTACATAAGAAAATACCATGCGATGAGCTGCTGTTGAACAAGAAAAAGAGGCACCAAAAGCGGTTATGGGAGACTCTCCAGTGGTTCTATCGCGGTACAACTCAAGTGGCCAATTTTTGGCGTATGTCACGGTCGCTCTGGATAAACAGCGGGTGTCTGTGGAGCCCACAACGGCATCCAAGGGTAACGGAAGGCCCAACGAGAACTTTCTCTACATGGAGGACTCCAGCCTGCGTGTGACGTGTCTGGAATGGGTCACTCTGGCTTCCAGCGACTCGCAAGTTGTCGGGCTGGGCCTCAACTCCGGGGAAGTCTGGCTGTATGCCCCTGCGGCTAACCAGGTCGTCTACAAGATGTCCACGGGCAACATGCATGCAATCCGGGATTTCAAAGTACAGGAGGAGTTTATGTGGTGCTGCGATCAGGCAGACACGATCTACCGCTTTAAGTTGGCCGACTTTAGCCTAGACTGCCAGTTCAAGGTGGAGGGGTGCGCAAACTTGCAAAAGCTGTGCGTGGTGGACGAATCACACATTTTATTAGCTTCCCACTCGGTGTCGCTCGTGGACATTGCTACTCGGAAGGTTGTGAAGACGTTTCCGGGCCACATCTCTGCGGTAACACACTTGGCGCTGCTGAATCCCTCTAGCTTCCTGACAGGTGCTAGTAACGACAGATTTTTGAACATATACGATTTGTCTACCGGAGCCACGAAATCCGTGCTAGTAGCACAAGCCGACATAACGCAGGTGTCCTTCTTCCAGGACCTTGTCGTGGTGGCCACTACCGAGAATGGGTGCACCGAAATTTTCCCAGACCCTCTGGTCAATACCAGCAACAAGAGACGTAGGGTTGTTTCCAAACAGTCCTCGAGTCATGTCAAGATCCAAAGGCCAGAAACGCAGGAGCCCGTACAGACCATCAACGCCTTTGTCAATGCGGACACCATCAACTTAATGTGGCTTGAAAATGCAAGCATTCCATATTTCGATCAGTACCAATGGGCCCAATTTTCTGCCACACACATTATAACAAAGCCCCGTCCCTCGGCAGTCTCGGCTCAGTCCAAGAGGTCCCTGCATGGCGAAGACGTTGCAGCTGCCAAATCGTACGCAGAGGGCAATGCCACTGTCACTTCTGGCGATAATTTCAAGCACGTCGAAGAGGCCATCGCCGAATTGGAAAGAACAGGTTCGGAGGAACAGGACTCTCTAGCTGATAAACTAGCCTCGTCTTCGATTGGAGGAGGTCGCGTAGACTCAAGAAAAGCCAAAAAAAGAGCTACCACGGGCACGCTTACCGTGGTTTTATCGCAAGCATTGCAATCGCACGACCATTCTCTTCTGGAGACCGTACTGAATAATCGCGATGAGAATATTATCAAAGGCACCATAGGGCGGTTGCAACCTCCTCTAGCAGTTTTGCTGCTGGAGAGGTTGGCCGAACGTATTGCTAGACAGACTAATCGCCAAGGTCCGTTAAACGTATGGGTGAAGTGGTGTTTGATCATTCACGGCGGATACCTCGCGCGGATGCCTAACCTAATGTCGAGCCTGGCGTCGCTGCATTCGACTTTGCGGAAGAGGGCCGAAACCTTGCCTCGTCTACAAACACTAGAAACTCGTCTAAATCTTTCATTAAACCGGCTCGAAGCCTATCGCGCCAGGGATGCTTTATCTAAGGGCCAGGCCTTATTAGACCAGGAATATATGGAAGGTAACGACGAAGAAGAAGAAGAAGAAGAAGAAGAAGAGGTGGAATACAACGAAGAGCTTGACGATGCGGGCTTGATTGAAGACGGCGAAATGGACTACGATGAAGACGAAGACGATGACGCACCCGACTCTGACGTAGATCAAAATGGTGTGTCCCGCTTGGAATCCGAAGAGCACGACTTCCAAGATGATCCCGAAATGAACCCAGATGTTGAGGAAGGGTACAGCGACGTCGAGGTGGAATGAAGGACGCGAAGTTTTTTTTCAACATTTTTGGCATTTTAGCATATAGAGACAGAGAACCCGACTATAATAGAAGCGTGTAATAACTATCCTAGGTATAAGCTAAGGTTGCTTAGCGATTTCGACCGTCGATGGATAGATATCATTATACTGTCATCTCGGTATTTCCGATCGGCAGATATTATTTGAGATGAAAAATACATTTATATACAAATATATATATTGTATATATCCGTAAAGTGAACTCATCAGCAGCACCTGGCAAGATAAGAGAACATCATTGAGACAACCATTTGACATCAATTCAGAACTCTCCAAATGAGCTCTGACAAGCAATATATCAGTTACAACAACGTCCATCAACTTTGCCAGGAGGCGGCAGAAAAGATCAAGCAATTCAAACCCGACTTGATTATAGCCATTGGCGGTGGTGGGTTTATTCCAGCAAGAATACTGCGTACTTTCTTAAAAGAGCCAAATGTGCCAACTGTGAGAATTTTTGCCATTATATTGTCGCTTTATGAAGATATCAAATCTGTGGGTTCGGTGGAGGAAAAACCAGGGGTCACTGTGCACAGAACGCAATGGATTGACTATGAACAGTGCAAGTTGGACCTCGTCGGCAAGAATGTACTGATTGTAGATGAAGTGGACGATACGCGCACGACTTTGCATTATGCACTTAGCGAACTTGAGAAAGACGCGGCGGATCAGGCAGCTGCGCAAGGAATTGACTTGGAAGCTCAGCCAGAGCGTAAGACCAAGTTCGGGATCTTTGTTCTGCATGACAAGTTGAAGCCCAAGAAAGCGGATCTTCCAGCAGAATTGTTGGAGGATAAGACTCGCTACATTGCTGCCAGACAGGTGCCTGACTATTGGTATGCGTATCCTTGGGAATCAACGGACATCGTAACTCATACCAGAAAGGCTGTCGAACAGGGCAATGATGTGTTTCTTCCTTAGAGAATCTGTTTCTGCAAACTCTAGATTAGTATATCCAGCTGGTACGCCGTGGAAATGGCCTTGAGGAGCTTTGTCGTATAGTGTAGTAGATAGAGTATTTAATAGTTGGGGGAACTCGAGAAGTCCTGCTGACCATTGCTGGCGTGAGAATTTGAGATGAAGCTCTCCGTCGTCAAAGCTTATATGAGCCTTCCTGGCCCTCCGATCTCGGGTCACTAAGAAACCTCTCAAAAGCCATAATGCCAATACTGAGCCGAAGTACATCAGTCCAGCAAATACCGCGGTCCCACTGTAATGATTGTCCGACGTTGCGCATGACTTTCGCAATTCCAGGCCGATGATGGGTGCTATCGTACTGTAAGCGCTGAGATATATCCATCTCATACCCAAACAGACGCTCATTTTGGTCAAGTCTACTACTACTCGAGTCACTATCGGCGATAACACCGTCCAGATGGAACCCATGAACAATCCCACATTCAACGAAAAGACCAATGCGGCTGCGAAATTACTGCATGTTATCCACATGGCTAAGCAGAGTACTGACACAATAGAGTGTACCACGATGCTGACGGTAACGGGCGCATTAATATCGGTAATGTAGCCAATTGTCGGCCTTCATAATAGAGCGCCGACACTTACCATGCAAGAGACAATGGAACAGCCGTGCTGCGAATAGCCAAGAGATACTGTAAAAGTGGACATCGAAAACAAAACCACATGGCCTAGCATGGTACATCACGCATATAGTGCGATCAGCTAGTAGCCGCTGCTAGATATACCGCATGCCCTGCGTTGGCGCCCCACTGTGAGAAATTGTAGAAGAAGTGGGCCACAACTACGAACCAACCGTAGCCATCGTCTGGAACCGTAATACGGTTGGCGTCTCTCCCGTCTTTATTGTCATCTGCGTCAGTTTCGTCCTTGTGGGACATAATGTATTCTTGTGAGCCCAGGGAAGCACATTCCAAGTCTGAAGACAATATCATAGAGGCGTCGTCAATGCAATATGATAATTTTAGATGTGCGTTGCCCTATATTACAAGTAACTCATCGAGGATTTCTTATCGCTTACGCTTCCCTCTTCTCAATCGCATTTATATAAAGGAGACCAATATGTTGAATCGTAGAGGTCCTTTTAAGAACACTCAATGTTTGCTTAACTCCTCGCTTTGAAGAAGTCCATAAACTTGATTGACTAGCAACCTAGGTACAACTGCTTAGAAACACCGTTTTAACAGTTTCTCTGCTCAGCAGTTGTGCGAGGAGCGACGGAGCGACTGCTGCGTGGGATAAACAATTTAAAGTTTTAGTTGTTCGCTGAGATACTTGTCATGTCTTCCTTGACCGTTTCGACAGGAAAAAGGTGTGTAGTGTTTACAAATATACAAGCCAAGACAGGGCTGGCAAATCCAACATATGCTCCTAACGAAATGTTGGAACGACTGGTCAGCGCACCTCTGTGTGATTACTACTCCTCTTGATTCCCATTGGATTTTATGCACCTTCTATGTTCTTATTTTACAGACATCACATGTATCGCTTCGTACTAATCTGACACTGTGTTGATATAGTCTATCAAACCACCCTGTCCCACAGCGTACCTCATCCATAACTTCCGTTGGTTCTGACAAAGTTTTGTACTCCTGCGAATCCACCAAACTGTGTTTAAATCGTTGAGCATTTTAGCAATGCTTCTGGGCTACGCAAATGAGTTCCTAAAGTACGAAAACTTCCGTAACTCATTAAATTGCTTCAGGGCTGGCATTCAGCTCCGAAATATAAAGATCACAGCATGGTGCTCTATATGAACATTAGCTACCATTCCGGTTTCACGCGGCGTACTCCGTCACGCAAATTTATCAGATGCTCATTGCCAGAAAAGGACAAGTGATGTAGTTGCACAGTAATTGTAATGGCTATGTACATCCAAAGGTTTAACCAATCGGCCCTTCAAAACATATCACGCGGGGAATATTGGTCATAGAGTCCGGTAAAGAAAAGACCTCAAAGCAGTTCCAGATTCATGTTTTTTTTCAACTTCGCTACCTTTCCAAACCACTCCTGGCTAATGATGCGCTATGGTTGCTTAAAATTCTTTCCTATTGTAGCAAAAGTGTTTGGAATAATGTGAGTTATCAGGAACTGATGGTGATGTGCGCCTAATCGCATAATCAGCGTCAGGGAATATGTGACACAGTGGTACAGAATGATGGTACGTAACAGAGGCCATCCAAATCGAGTTACCATCTAAGACAAGTCGAAGAGATCAACTGTTGTCCAATGGGATTGACGATTGAAAAGTTATCGGCATTGTATGGTATTGAAGCCGTTATCCTTGGGCTATAGAATGATCTAGAATGGGTGACTAATAATTGTGTTGACCAGAGTCACCGGGTATAAATACCAGGCATTTGGTCAGGTAACTGAACCAGGTCTGATGTCTAAAATAATCACGGAGAATTAAATAGAATTCTCTAGACCCAAGTTACTTATCTTACAATAACTATGACCGACTTACAAGACAAATTTAGTAAGCTTTCTACTAATGAACCAGATTCGCCCCCATAAAAAACAATTCTTTGATCCTCTTCCCATACAAACACAAATGTCGCACGATTCGAAGATTCACCTTACAACAGTTATGTTGCTTGGCATTTCGCGAGAGACTGCCATGCACAGTAAAAATTTCCTTGCACCATTCAAGGTAAAAGACACCTCAGACCCTTCCTTACAATTATAGCGGCTGACCTCAGACGAGCAGGCTTTTAAACGATTGCCTTGATTTAATTCTGACGCCGCTGCTGGTAAGAAGTCCGATGGCATCGTTGTCGAGTTTGGTCTCCATTGACGAAATACGGTTCAAAGATAAGATATAGTTCGTTAATCTTTATCCCAAGTCCATCATTCATAATTGCCAATGACCCAAGATCATAAAATAGCAGCAAAGCTAAAGATTCCTATCTGGCTCGATTGCGATCCGGGTCACGATGATGCCGTGGCTATCTTGCTGGCCTGCTTCCTACCAGAATTTGAGCTGCTAGGAATAAGTACCTCTTACGGAAATGCTGCGGCTGAGAAGACAGCTTACAATGCACTATCCTTGCTCACCGCCATGGATAAGCACAACCAGATACCTGTCTATGCTGGTGCTCAAAAGCCATGGGTTCGAGATGCCATCTATGCACCAGACATCCATGGCCACTCGGGCCTGGATGGTACAACATTATTACCTGACCCAAAGGCCCCTCTAAGCACCGAGAAAACCTACATACAAGCTATGAGTGACGCTATAGAAGCTTATCCCGGGTCAATATCAATTGTGTCAACCGGGTCTCTCACATCTACAGCTACATTACTGCGGGAAAGACCTTGCCTAAAATCCAAGATTAAGTTCATCAGCATCATGGGCGGGGGTATTTGTGTAGGAAATCGGAACGAGAACGAGACCGCTGAGTTCAATATTTGGATAGATCCTCAGGCTGCCAACTTCGTTTTGGAGGATCCAGATCTTTCTCGAAAGTGCATTCTAGTGCCATTGGACTTGACGCATAAGGCAATTGCCACGAAGCTCGTGGAGCAGAGGGTCCTTTCTGATGGACATTCGAATTTGCGGAAACTCTTTTATGATTTATTCATATTCTTCGGCGTTAGTTATGAGCATGCTCAAGGTTTTGAGAATGGGGCACCGGTTCACGATCCTCTTACATTATTTCCTCTGTTGCAATTTTACCACATGAAAAAGCCGGAGGAGATTGGATTTTGTTACAGGCGGTTTGATCTGAAGGCTATTACTCAAGAAAGAAGTCCTGATTTGGGGCAGACGACAGTCATGAAAGAATATAGTCAAGATAGTAATGAGGGCACCATTGTGGGTTTTGATCTGAATTTTGATTACTTCTGGAACCAAGTTTACTACGCGTTGGATGTTGCTTCTCAAGTGTCTACGATTGAGTAACCTTACATTCACCACATGCTGACCAAACAGAGATACATAACAGGTAACCCATAATTTGACTATTAAGCTGTTCTTTGCCTTTATTCAGATGTGCATAATTCGCTAAATATCAATTTCAGCCCTAAGGGACACAGAGGCCCGGCAGATGTAACCCTGTCAGCCCAATCAGGGGCTAGAGTCCACTCAAAACTTCGAAGAACAGTGGCCATGGTAATACGTACTTCTAGCAAAGCAAGTTTTTCCCCAAGACAGGCCCGACGTCCTCCGTGAAATGCCCCCATATTGCAAGTATTCTTTCTATGTCTCCACTCGTTCATAATCTTGTCAATACTGGCTCCCCATCGTTCGGGCATAAAATTATCAGCGCTTTCTCCCCATCCAGATTTATACCTTCCTGTTGACATCACATTGTATCCCACGTAGGCTCCTTTAGGTAAGACTATGTCAGTGCCCAGAACACACTTCCTTGTAGTGCAGCGATTTATGAGTTGGGACAGCGGAGGATAGAGTCTGATACACTCAAAGATAAAACTGTTGAGAAGAGGAAGCTCGCCGAGCTTGTCTACATTACAATCTCTGACCTCTTCCCTGATCTTTCTTTGCCAGGATTTATGCTTGGCAAGCATGTAAAAGCAACTTGTAAGCAAGAGCTGTGGGTTTTCATGGCCAGCCACCATGATAATTACAATGTTATCAATAAGCTGCTTTTCAGATATCTCTTCACGGTTGAAACTACGAATTAGGTCGGACGAAGCAAATGATGTTTGCTCAAAAGTATAGTTGTTGACCAGATTCGCTTTCACTGATTTCATGAGGCTTCTTCTAAAATCTTCCACATATTTCCTTGCACGCCTACGTGACGGAATTGGCAAAAGATCTAGCATCGGAAAGTTCAAGTACAGTGCTTTGAAAATGTTGCTCTTTACATTTTTTAGCTGTTCGTGAAGGTCCGAATTATCCCTTGTGAGGGTACCGATATCAAGCCCAAGGGCTACTTTGGAGATATTTGCGAGGCTCAGTCGTTGAATTAGTTCAGGCATGACTACTTCACCTGATGTACTCTGACTTTCAAAATCGCTTGTTGCAAGTGGGTGCGAAAGCGTCCTTTTAGGGCACAATGTGACATTTTTTGCCAATTGCTTAGAAATAAGGGAACAGAACAAGTCAGCATGCTCGACCATTGGCCGGTGATCAAAGATCTGAAGGCCCGGGGTTATTGTTCGCCGAAATATTTTCCAAATGGCCCCATGGGCCGATATGACATTCTCACCAGTATAAGCTGAAATGACTCCATATGGTATTTTTATGTGATTACCGCTCTTAGCGAAAGTATCCTCGTCTTTAAACATCTGGGCAAGCAATTCGGGCCTTGACACTACGACATTCCAACGTGAGCCAAAATAAAGTTTCACGGCTCCATATTTCTCCAACGGTTCACGGAGGTAGAGATTGAAGATGTCTTCTTGGTCAAAATCCCAAAGTGTGGTTAAAAAAGTAACATAGAATGGAATAGTAGGAATATTTTTAGGAAAGTTCCATGGTGGGTAAATGATCTTAAGTAGAGCTAGTGTCACGAGTCCAAATATGAAAGTTAAAACGTAAACACTCATCATGTTGTTAAAGTGCACTCACTTGTAGCCACCAAGCAGTCAACTTCTACCTCTCAAAGGTATCCACTTATATATATCCGCTACCAATGCGCAAATAAAGGCTCTGAAGAATGCAACACTTGGAAGCTTATGGCGACGGAAACGAATATGGTACAGCAACAATTTTTGCAAATACGCGTAGTCTAGTTCATTCGAAAATGTAACAACCAAGAAGGATAGTTGCAATGAGACCACAGCCATCCCTAATTATCGAACAAGATGTGAAAATTCCTCTACGGCTCCTCTAAATTCCAATTTTTTTTGAACTTGTTGGTGAATAAGTTTCACTGCCCGGGCACTTTATCACAATGTTCACTAGACGAATGGCAGCTTTTTAATGTCTAGAACTTCAGATACCGCTCTCAAAGCTAGACTATTTTTGTAACTGCAGAATCATAAATTGTTTGAAGAGTTGGAAAAGCGAAGGCAAGGGAGCTCGAAAATAACATCAAAAATAGCCACAACACTGTCATGTCATCTCTTCGAAGAGGTCATTGCAACGGGACCACTCTTCCGCGCTTTTCAGGCAGCAACTATCTGGAGGTCTTAGAATCCGCAGCGGTCAGTGCTGGCAATTTTTCGGGTGATAATTCCAGGCACCACACCACTATCATTACAAAGAATTACCGGAGGGAGGAGACGTGCTTTTATTAAAGCCGTGATGGACCTCATTCCTTAGAAGGTCAACAAAATACTTTATGGTTTGCTGCAAAGGCGCCCAAATAAGGGACATACAGCCAATTGGGGTGAAACATAAGTCACTTGGTATCGAGCTTATTTAAAGCCTTGCGAATGGATCAGACCTCACAGTCCAAACGACAAAAAAATTGCGTTCAACGCAGCACTGCCTTTTCTTTCCAATGATGTCAAAGTCTAGCGAAGAGACCCTGAGCGAAAATCCAGCTTTTGCTTATGGCCTTAATGATATGTCAACGTTTAGTAAGGTCCTTTGTCTGTATACAAGAGACCGGGAATCATTCAGCCTTTATTCAATTCATGACAAGCAAGGGTCAACATTTTCTGACTATTGGGACGAGTTCTCTAATCATTTGAGGACGGCTAAAAGTCGTAAAATTGGATGGCTCGGGGTCACAGAGGCCTTGATCAAGTGCGAGCCAGCATGCAAATTTATTAAAACTGGTGGTTCGGCAATCAAAGTGACTGAATTTCATAAAAAAACAGAGGAACAGGTTCGTGGCTTGATTTCAACCATTGAGAATGAGAACGAATTTAACGACTGGCTCGTAGCTCACATTTTGGAACAAACCCGGATGAGTTTGGATCACAGTTTCATTTTCACAAACAGGGAAAATTATGCTGGACAGTTTACGGACTATTTTGCCCGTAATTTGAAAAATACTACCTCAAACGACCAATGGGAAGCCGGAGGTCGCGACCAATTCCTTCAAAGAGTGAAATATTTTACTGACCGCAATCTGACCATCCAATGCATTCTTCCTGCATTTCCATGTAAATCTTCAAACTTTGAAAAGGTTCACGGGGCGGCTCCTGACAAAGGTGAAGAATTTGCGTTGAGAAGATTGATTTCTGCAACTGAGGAAGTCCAAAATTTTTACCCACCTGGCATGAAATTATGGATTGTGAGCGACGGTCATGTTTTCAGCGATTGCATAGGGGTGGATGATGATGTTGTGGACGATTATACCAAAAGCCTTCACGAACTGTATCAAAAGATTGTAAGTCCAGGCACTGACGCCATTGGATTTGTAGGGTTAAAAGAACTCTTTTTCACTGGCGAAACCATGTCCGCATTTGATGAAGGCATGGTTCAAGAAATTGACCTTCCGCACTACACGGGATCCAGAATTGGTGGAGATTCGGAATTATGCAGACAAATTCTGATGAAAGGGTTCGACACTGATGATGGGAGACTGAGACAGCAAATTTTAATCCCCGGACATCCCAGACTACATTTATTTAGGGGATTTTCGAGGTTCATGATGGAAGATCTTTCTCATTTAGCTCATTTCAAAAACTATTCTAGGAAGCACTTTAAGAAGGTAGTCTCAAAAGTGGCTTTCGAAATGATCAAGAGAAATGACGCATATTCCAATTTGGTAGAATTGATATTCCCACACCATATGCGATTTTCAATCCACGCGCATACGAATTCTGGACCCAAGTTTGGCATAAAACTCATTTCCACCGAGCAATGCAAAACTGTAAAATCCCTTGACGGCAAAGAAGAGCCATCGTGCGAGGACTTGTTGCATATTCCCACACCATGGCATAACTGTGTCGTCAAAATGGAGAATGACTACTATCTCTCGAAATCAAAAATCGTCCTGGACGCAATCGCAAGTGGACGCTATGAAGGCAGTTGGAAGGCAGGAAGTGAAGGCTATGACAAAGATATCGGCGGGCATTACGTGATGAAACGCAAATTTCGTACTCAAAAGCAGATGTGAGAGCGAGGAAAAACACGTTTTTTGTAGCGCCAAATGGTGGATTTTTTTTTCTTTTATTTCGATATTGGTTGGGTCGTTTCTTGACTCAACTTACCTATTGTGGTGTTGTCAATAATCCTTAGCGTTCGTTAACCCGACAGAAGGGCTACCTTCCATTCCATATGTTAATAAAGGTTAATAATATACACGTAGAATTTGGTGATGGAAAATTGCGCATTGCATCGGCCCTTAGCACTCTATAGCTCAGTTACAATTACACTGCACACACCCACACAGCCTCGTGGGTCTGTGCTGGGTACGTAGCAAAACAAAACAAAACAAAGATATAATTGTGGAACTGTGCTCACAGCAAGACACTCCACAGGGAACACCCTTCTATTATCATATGACACCCAAGTAATCTTCCTTGATACTTCCGATAGCGTAGATCGAGTTTACTTCACTTCTCGCACCCACAACTTTCAGTCTCACCCTCGAGCCCTTTGTGATGATCTGCTCTGAGCTCTGGTACGATGGTGGGTTTGACCCACTGTTGTAGGCTAGGTCCTCCGGCATCAAAAAGGGTGACACAAACACCGAGAGCGGCCCGACATCTACTTCAAACCCGAGGTTTGTGCAGCTGGAAACCACACCATCTACCACTTCTCCCTTGAAAGGCTTCCACACTACGGCTCGATACTTGACCGTAAATTCAGCAGACCCGTCCCCCGGTAGAATCCGTCCTCTTTCAATTTCCACATTTTCGCAATCTAGAACACACAAAATGTATCCAAACTTACCTGTACAGGTCCCTTCCACCTCTTGCAAAAGTTTAGTTCTCAAGTACTTCTTCATTTGGGGCCCAAAAAACGATGGATGAAGCGTAATGTTCAGCGAAAGATCTTTGAAAAAATACATGTTGAGATAAAGAAGGGAAAGAGCGTAAAATGTAGCTCAAATTGATCTTTCTAAGCTACCAATTGTGCTCAACTTCTGTCTTTAAACCTGTTTAACATGATAGAATATTCGCTTGTCAATTTTCAAATTCAATTTCAATATATGCTAGTAATGAGAATTCGAAAAATTTTAGACTACTGAAGTTGGAAAACGAACAGATCACCAGGTTCTTCAAGTAAGAGGCCAATTAGTGTCCTCAAAACCTTCGAAAATTTGAATTTAAGATGTCTCAAAAACTTGGTCACACAGGGCTCTCTTTTGCACGCCTTTGGCACCATCTTGACGTCGCTCAGGATAAAAGAACGTTAGGTAGATTGGCAAGCTCGATTGCGCTAACTTTGATTGGGAAACACAAGCCTGTCTATCACCCGAGCCAGGACTCTGGTGACTATGTTGTGGTAACTAACTGTCAGCAGCTCCGTGTCACCGGCCGCAAATTTGACCAAAAACAATACTGGTCGCACTCTCAGAAACCAGGCCATTTGAAGCAGGTAACGATGCGTAGGATGGCAGAAAACAAGGGCTACGGAGAAATACTCAAGAAAGCTGTGAGCGGAATGCTGCCTAAAAACAAGCTACGGAAGCCTCGGCTGGAACGGTTGAAGGTGTTTGACGGCAGCCAGCATCCGTATACCTCCAACATCACCGCTTTTGTTGATCAACAGCCCAAAATAGCAAGAAAGGTGGAGGACGTGAAATAGCCTGCGCTCATTTGTGTTTCGCCTTGTACATAGCATGCATATAGTAGATACTAAAACTAACACTGGAAAACCATGAGACAGTCGACCAGGCAGCCGTGATATGACCGTTAAAGTCCTGTCCCGAGCCAGCTTGCGGTAGTAGGATCATCCGGGTCTTGTCCCACTGCTAAATTTCTGCGTTAGAACTAATAACTATAATACAAGGTCGCTATTTAGTTTTTTTCGTTATGATATTGTTTTTTTATTGCTAGAATCTGTGCGTCTCGACAACTTCAAAAATCTCTTGATCTGTCGGTGTACAGACGTGGTGCAATGTTCATGGCCATCAATTCTTGGAACAGTAGTTTGGCGGCATATGGAATGTGAATCTGATAAATGTCAATTTTGTTCTTACAGCCCCTGCACTCAAATTGGTTATGTTTCAATTTGGCAATCACTGTCATCAACCCACAAATACCACATATATGTACTCGGAAGGCATCGGAGGCCTCCATTAGTCTTTCCTTTAGGAATGACGCTGCGCCGTGAGCAATCATACAATCACGTTCCATCTCACCAAATCTCAAACCACCGTCTCTGGATCTACCTTCGACGGGCTGCCTCGTCAACACTTGTACTGGGCCACGCGCTCTAGCGTGAATCTTGTCATCGACCATATGTCTTAAACGTTGGTAGTAGGTTGGGCCGAAGAAAATTTGAGCCATCAACTTCTTTCCTGTGTGTCCATTGTACATGACCTCAAATCCACGGGACTGGTAACCATGCTCACGAAGTAGTCTCGAAATACCATCCACCGTGATGTCAGTAAAGGGAGAGGCATCACCTTCGTTACCCGACAAAGCTGCAACCTTACTTAGCAAACATTCGATTAAATGGGCGACTGTCATACGCGAAGGAATAGCGTGGGGGTTAATGATCAAATCAGGAACAACACCTTCAGCAGTGAAAGGCATATCTTCCCTGCGGTAAGTAATACCGATGGTACCCTTCTGACCATGACGAGAAGCGAATTTGTCACCGATTTGTGGAACCTTGGTCGTTCTGACTCTAACTTTGACAAACTTCAAACCTTCCTGGTTGGTAGTAATCAAAACTTGATCAACAATACCGTTCTCCGTACTTCTCAAAGGAGTCGATGCATCTCTTTTCGAGTGAAATGCAGTTCTCTGTCCCAGCTCCTCGGCATCTGGAGGAATAGGAGTCGTCTTACCAATAATCATGTCATCACCCGAGACTCTAACACCGGGAGCAATCAACCCATCATCGTCCAGCTTGTCATATGTGCCATGTTTCATCCGCAAAGTGTTGGTACGTTGAGGTTTCTCAAATGATTCTGTGATAGACATACCAATACGTTTCTCTTGATCCATGTAGGATCTGAAGAAAAGCGACCTGAATAAACCGGAATCGATAGAAGATTGGTTCATAATCATAGAATCTTCTTGGTTATAACCAGAGTAACATGCAATTGCCACGATGGCGTTTTGACCAGCTGGAAGCTCCCTGAACTTCAAATACTCCATGGAACGCGTGGTACCCAATGGTTTTTGAGGATAGTACAAAATATTAGCCATAGTGTCCATACGGACACTGTAATTCGTTAAGAAAACACCCATGGCTTGCTTACCCATCGCTGATTGGTAAGTATTACGAGGCGATTGATTGTGGTCGGGAAATGGAATAATAGATGCAGCCACACCGAGAATCATCGAAGGGTGAATTTCGCAATGAGTAAAGGTGTTTGAATGATGTATGGCCTTGATACGTTTGGCAGGGTCGAGCTCTTCCTCTGGATCAGCAGCTTCAATCGAAGGGTCAAGGTCCTCATGTTGCATTGCAATCAAAATTGTCTCTTCTTCTTCAGCATCGATATATTCCACCAATCCATCATTGAGCAGCGAAGTCCACGTGTAATTAACGTCTTCTTCTTCGAATCCACCCTCAATATCCTGGTATTCAGTCATCATTAATTTCCGGACGTGCCCCTTCCTCAGTTTCAACTCCTTGGTGCCCGTTTCTTCATTCTCATCCACAATGAAAAGTGGACGATAGACTCTTCCAGCATCTGTGAAAATCTTCAGCTCCTTTTCTCTAATATCTCTGACTATCGACACTTCGGGTGTAACATCACCCTTTCTTCTTAGTTTTTTGATAGTGTCAACAAGCTTGGCTGGGTTTCTGTGGATACCATGCCACACACCATTGACAAAAACCCTTGTAGCATCAGGAGACTGGTGAGGGACATAATCTTCTAAAGGTTCCATACCCCATTCATTCAAGAATGTGATAATGGGTACCGGATCTGTACCCACTGAAATGCAAGACATCAAAGATAAATTCTTGACAAGGCCACATGCTTGACCTTCGGGGGTCTCGGCAGGACAAACCAGCCCCCAATGTGTATTATGCAACTGGCGAGGTTTCGCTAGCTTACCATCACGACCAATGGGTGTATTGGTTCTTCTTAAATGTGACAACGTCGAAGAATAGGTGTACCGGTTCAACACTTGCGAAACACCTGCTCTGGACGTCATTGCCTTCTTCTGCTCACCCCAATTACCGGTAGCCAAAGCATATTTTAGACCCGCAGTGATGGTGGTGGCTTTGACTGCCAATTTCAAATTGAAGTCTTTGGCTTCTTCCACAGACCTTTGCATAAATCTCAAAATATCTCTGGTCAATTTTCTGAATAAAGTCTTGAAAAGCTGTGCTAACAATGGGCCTGCCAAATCTAATCTTTTCTTACCAAAATGGTCACGATCATCTTGATCTTTACGATCGAGGGCACAGAGTAGTAATCTGTTGATCATGTACCCCAAGAAAAATGCTTTCCTACTTTCAAACCCTTCTAGCTGAGTGATATGAGGCAAAAACTCTTTCTGTAGAATGTCCTTCGCGTACTGAATTCTTTTTTCCTTTTTGATTCCCAAAGCCGTACCACGACGACCAATAAAGTCAAGAGCGGTTTCTCTATCCTGGATAACAAAACCTTCCTCAACACAAGGCTTTAGCAGCTCCAACATTTGCCAGTCGTTAACGTCATAACATATGTGTTCCAAAATTTCACCATCTGGAATAATACCTAGAGCTCTGAAAATAATAACGATAGGAATATCTTGTTTGATATATGGAAGGGTTGCTCTGATGGTACGGTTTGTGTTTCCCTCACGACCGTAGAGCTTCACTTGTAATGTACTAATGAATCTAGAACCTTTCTCAAGGGCCGATCTGATTTCTGCAATATGGGAAATTGGCGAAGGAGCCGATTTTTTAAACACTTGGACAATATTACCCGCCGAACGCTCTTGCGCAATCAACACTTTCTCTGACCCATTGATAATAAAGTATCCTCCCATATCGAATGGACATTCCTTCAACTTATACAGGTCACTTTCGGTAAGTTCATCCAACAAACAGTACTTCGAGCGCAACATGATCGGTACACGCCCTATGAAGATCTTGGAGTCATCACTCATCTCGCTTTCCTCATCAATAACCTGGTATTTGAGATCTCTGCCCGGGATATCGACCGCTTCGTAGGTACGTTTCCGGATTTCAACAAAAAGCCCTGACGCGTACGTCAGGTTACGCAAACGCGCTTCTTGAGGGTACATCGCATGCGAGACACCATCTGACTCTGTCATCGAAGGCTTAGCCAGATAGATTTTTCCAAAGCTAATTTCATACTTCCTGCTGACGTTGTCCGTCTCAGTTGTGTGTTGCGCAAGCTGTTCCAGAATCAAGGTCGAGTCTTCCATAATCGAGTCTTGGATTGTATAGTTGATGAACTGGTTGAATGAGTCTAGTTGCTGGGATACCAGACCCTTCTCACGGAAAAATGCCGAGATAACGGTCCATGAGTCCTCCGCTGTTATAGAAGATTCGTCATCTTCATAGGCGTATGGGTCGTCTTCGTAAAACTCCTCGGACATAATGCAAGCTCAAAGGTCAACTCGAGTAGCCCACCAATTGGGTTATATTAGTCTCTGACACACACAAAGAACTGGGAACCCACCGATTTTCACACTATTTCAACAATTGTTTATGAATTAAACGTTAGTCCCGTAATTATCAGGTTCGCCACTGTAAAATTTTTTTGGTACAAATATCACCAGAAACGATGGATATATAAGTTCAATTAACGGTAAGTTGGCATCCAACATCCAAGATTTGGTTACTGGCACAAGTTTCCAAGTAGGCCGCCCTAGTATTATTGATACTCTTTAAGTCCCGAGAAATTGTTTACAGAGGTAGGGTTTTTGGACTCATGTTTTTGTTGGGAATAATGGAGGAAACTGATGGTGATGTGCGCCTAATCGCATAATCAGCGTCAGGAAATATGTGTCACAGTGGTACAGACTGATAGTACAGAACAGAGGCCATACAATTCGACTTACCATCTAGAACAAGTCGAAGATAACAACTGTTGTCCAATGGGATTGACGATTGATAAGTTATTGAAATTGTACGGCATTGAGTCGCAATCCATCGATAATAGATTGGTGTAGAACGCGTGATTAATAATTGTGTTATTCAAAATCACCGGGCGAGAATTGTATAGATACCAGGCATTAGGTCAGGTAACTGAACCAGGTCTAATGTCTAAAATAATCACGGAGAGATAAATAGAATTCTCTAGATCCAAGTAACTCCTCTTAAAATGACTATGACCGACTTACAAGACAAATCTAGTAAGCTTTCTACTGATGAATCGGATTTGTCTCAATAGGTTAATAATTGTGTTATTCAGAGTCACCGAGCGAGAACTGTATAAATACCAGGCGCTTGTTCAGGTAACTGAACCAATTAAATAGAACTCCCTAGATCCAAGTTACTCATCTTACAATGACCATGTCCGACTTACAAGGCGAATTTAGTGAGCTTTCTACTAACGAATCAGAGTCGTCTCAATATTTTTTCAAGGTCTGGCTGAGACCGTTTAGATCAGTCTGAATTAGTGCTTTCCCGTAGTTATAATGCCAAGGTTCTTGGCCCAAATAAGTGGGTCAGAATGGCCAAAATGTCATGCAATGGAGCTGTTTGTAACTTTCGCGACTAGAAATACAGATATGTCAAGGCTGTACGAAGTGATAAATTATAACCTTGGGAAGCGAAATAGCTGAGGATTCTCATCCATCCGATTTGATAAAGGCATGATATACCAAAAGGCTGCTGCTCATTGACGTTCTGTTTTTACCGAGAAACATTGAATTTGTTTCGCGTAACAGCAAAATTGGGGCAGAAGAAAAGGCTGCCATTTTTATTTTTATTGATTGCTTGCACAGCTTCGTCAGCTCTCAAATGGGGTGCAGGTAGTTTCGCCGGTTTCTTGAATATTTCGGTACACATGTTTAGGGAAACAAAAATGCTCGAACTGCACAGTCTCAGGCATTCTTGTATCTACTCACAGGTTCGTCCGAGGGAACGAAAACTGAAGAACGACTTCACTCAGTGACAGTCGCGGGATGATTCTTCGGCTTCAAGCTCCAAGGCTTTCCTACGTTTCCGAAACCATCTTCTGAAGTGCGTCAAGCCCCCAGTCCGGTAACAAGGCGCTATAATAGTGGCATCTATTGTCGTCAATGCGCCAAAAGTGGGCGTGGCGAGCGGTCAGTACTCCTTGCTGTGAGTCTCTCAGCGATTCTAGGGAGAAACTTATCGACAATGTAAGAGCCACCTACTTTATCACAACGTAAGCCCTGAGCCTTTACCTCAACGTCAATATCTATTTACTTTTACTGACGCCTCTGTTGTCATCATGTACAACAATGACACAAGCATAAATTCGTCGTTCAACAACTTGAAGGTGCAACTAGACCTCATTAGACAGAAACGCGTCACTAATTAATGCTACGGAGGAAATCTCACGCTACTCACCCGACCACTATACATGCGTATCATAATCTCCGTCTTTGACACCATAAAGCCGGCGAAATTTTGGAGCTGCAAACCTCTTTGTTACTAGAGTAAACATAGACACACCAAACCTTGAAGAATTGATAACCGCTTGAACTTTCACACCCGTATCAGTACGACAATTCCAGATTACACTCATCTCTTCTTACTAGCCAGAAGGACCAAGAAACATTAACACAGCATTCACACAAAACAGCTGCCTTAATGTAGACTTCCTTACTGCTCGATATACTGTGAAAACTCAAACATTTGGTCACTAGAATAGGACGGTTTTGTCTACTGGCCCATTCGAAAGTTCATCTGACCTCGACGATGCTAGTCACGTGCCAACCTATAATAATATAATCAATCTGAAAACTTTTCCACACCAAGTATGTTTAGAAAGTGGACAAATCTCAGTTACAGAGGTCAGATCACTCCCAGCATGACTAATTTCCCTGGTAGTTGGCTTCACAGAGCTCCCAAGATACTGAGAAATGGTTTGGCAGCTAGGGGCCTTGCTACCGTTGCTGAGGAGTCTGCAAATGTTGGAGGAAAGCGTTCCCCTGTCAAAGTGAGTGACAAGATTTTACAGTGGTCCAGAGAAGCTGTAGCGCAAGGTAAGCCACATTTCAAAGTGGGTGAAACGGAACACTATTTTCCCAAAGCAAGATTGATTCTGCTAAGACCTAATGCTAAGCATACACCGTTCCAGGCGAAATTCATTGTTCCCAAATCCTTTAACAAACTTGATCTTCGAGACTATCTGTTTCACGTCTACGGCCTAAGAGCCATGAATATCACAACACAACTTTTGCACGGGAAATACACTCGTGTGAATCAAGTAATGCCTCGCTACAGAGCGCCGCAAATTAAAAAGATGACAATCGACATGGCCGAGCCATTTATATGGCCCAAAGAACCTGAAAATAAGGATGACTGGGGAGCCACCTTGGTAGAGGATTTAGCAAAGTACCGTGAAGAGCAAACCAGGATTGGTTCCGATAAATTTAAGCCTGGCACCGCCTTCGACGGCGCCTTGGGTCCCTACCAACCAGCTCCCCAACCTTTTGTTCCCAAGTTTTTGGAAAGAAGAATAGTTAACCAAAGGAAGAGGGCGCAACTGAAAGCCTCTCAACTGGAAAAGAAACTGAAAGTGGATTCTCTGGTGCACAAAATGAACGAGGCATAATAAGACAGTCTATTCCGCCGCTCGCGTGTAAGCTTTGGGCAACCACCGAGAGAATCTGACGTGTACGTACTTGCATTTCCATAACTAACTAACTAGTCACCTGTATATATAATCTAACTTCAATACGAACGAACTGGAAGGAGAACAGACCGCCAAGAGAAACCATTCCATCCAAATGATTCGGCGCTGTCCCATTTAGCAGCTACTTACGACTTTTTAATGTCCTGAATAACATCATCCAATAAATCATACTCCTCCTCGCCACCCACCGCCTTTTGAATGGCTTGTCCAGCAAGCCACTGGTAACCCCACTTCCAAGAACGTGTATCAGCAGACTCCTGGTTTTTAAGTGGAGTACCTTGGAATCGTAATATCCACCCAATAGATCCTTTAAAGCTTGAATCCAAAATCTGTAACTTGAAAGGCCAATTTTCCACAAATCGCAGATTCATTATCGTGAGCTGCCCAAATACATATCGGTCTGTTAGCGGAGGGGTTGTAAGCGATTGAAAATAGCTCATCCAACCTGTCCGAGCGGTACTAGCGGGTTTTGTATGTGTGCTAATCCCGTAACCCCTGGAGATCTCTAACAGGTTGAAACGGCCCAAAATTTCACACACCAGCACTACCCATGCTCCTAGTTCCACTACATTGGATAGTGGCAACGATTGGAAAAGATAGACCAAGGGGTTGGGAATCGACCTTATCATAGTGTACAAACACCAATATTTCAGAAGAAATACGTACATCGAAAATGAGTCAGGCCCATTACCTCCCAAATTTAGATGTTCTATCGTAATCTGGAGTGGGATGATGGTCGAAGTAACGAATCTGTGGCATAGGTTAGTGGTTGAGTTTCGAAGGGAGAACATGATCATCAAAGGACGCCCAGAACGTGGGGGCAACCATGGGATAAACCATACATAGCAGGTGAAGTAATAAGCTGGAGCATTTCGTTAGAGCCAATTGTTTAGTTATATTGTTTATGTAGCCAAGCAGCTTACGCTCCACTTGTGCAAAGGGAGGGATGTGTTGAGATGAGATGACTTGAGATGAGCACGATTATCGGGCAATAGCTTACCTAATCACAAGGCACATCATACGACACTAATACGTCTATGGTGATTAACAGTATTGTCATTAATGACGGAGGGAGCGACGGCTGGCGTGCGACGACATGAATGGAAAAGAAGGTAGTTGAGAGTCCGGCCATGGGTAGCTCTACTTGTATTGTGGTTTGAAATGATCAAAACCTTGGGTGAGACATTGTAGCACCTCAATTGTTTCCTGGGGAGACGAAATCCAGACGGTACTTCCTGAGAGACGAGCCTTGAAATCGTTGGCAGAACCCATTGGTGCAAATTGGTCCCCGACGTGGAGCGTCTGGCGGGGCTTGACTGGATCATCTGGGGAAAAATAGTTCTGTAGGGCAGCAACACCGAGGTCCTTGCCGCCGATATCGCACCATACGTCGCTTCCGCCATCAAAGCAGCTGAACTGGATGCGACGAGCTGGAGCGAAATTCTCGATACGGTGCTGCAAAGTGAGCACCATTTCCTCCAACTGCTCGCGGTCCATTTTCACGCGGTTCGTGCGCTTTGTTTCTGGATTCCAACGGTTTCCGGGGACAATACCCACGGCCCTGGGCTTACGGATAATGGTGGACTCTTTGGGCAAGTTGAGGTTCGTTTTGAAGCTGTGCAGAAGCGATTCCGCTAGGTCGAGGGTTTCTGTCATGTCGGACTCGCTCCATTCGCTCATCGGGGAGCGTATCCAGCGTTCCTGCGGAATGGCCACGAGTTTGTGCAGTTGGGCGTTGTATCGGAACAAATAATTGGACTCACCGCCCAAAACAGCCAGATTTTCCTTCAGTTGCGGACTGATCGTCATATCAGCCTCCAATGCGGACATGAATCCGTACAAACGTTCCATGTATTTCTGGGCCTCGTCGTAACCGGCGGCAGTGACTATTCCAACGTGTATTCCGCTTCTCAGTAGGCTCAACAACAAAGGCGTAATTTTGCTGGCTTCGGTAATGGATCCGCCATCTTCATAGAGTGTCACATCACCATCGAAAGTAACCAACTTGACGTCATGAAACTTGCGCATCTCTAGGATCTGGGCGCTGTTTAGGATGTGTCGAATGTCGTTAAAACTGGGGGCGACCATAGTCCTCGAGGAAATCGCTCTTACGTTGTCAACAAGGTAAAAGGCTTCTTCCAAGGGCAATTTAGTGAAGAAGGGCCCTATAGTTGGCACAAGGAGTGCAAGCCTTGTTCTGTGACGCTGGAAATCTAAATCTGCTAGATGAACCTGCCTGCCCACTTCATACTGTTCATTAATCAATTTCTCCACAGCGGTGAATACCTCTGCATACCTCTGGCGCATCAATTGTTTAGCACTCTCACCCACTGAAGAAGAATGAAGTACGAAAGGTACCGCTAGTAAACCCTTGATCCATTCGATTAGCTCATCTTTACGGTGGGATTTCAGCTGATATTCAACCCTGTACCTCGATGGCATGATGAAGAGTGACCAATACTCTCAATGACGGCCGCAATCAGCTGTAGTACACGACGGGTTTCTTGAGGGAGGACTAGGTGATAACTCCAGATAACACTTCTCAGATTGGAAATTAGACCTTCGGCCACACGTGAGGTTCATGGGCCAAGACAGAAATGAACCCAGGACGCACGAGCAAGATTAGCAAGTCCGCAGGAGTGCAAGTCGTGGCGAGCCTAGTGATCGAGCGCATTACACTTGACAAGAGCTCTCTAATGTTTGTATTTTAGACAAGATTGCCAAAAAAAAGCCTATCACTTGAGCGCTGTTGAAATTCGAATGTGGCAACAAATGGGTATTGGATTTAGACCTGGTTGTACAGAAGTTTGTCGGGTAAGTCGATCAATTTGAATTATAGGTCAGAGCAGCAGACAGTACCAAATAGCTGCTTCTTCCGTGTGGTCCCGAAGCCAAAGGAGTTATAAACGCTCGCGTAGCTCGTCGGTAGCCGATTTTGCTACTATAACTGACTTTCACCAATGCGGAAGCCCGTTCTACGCTTAAAAGACAAAGTGACTATTAACAGGATCTCACTTTTGACTTTTGCTGATAGAGAACTATTTCAAATTAGCTTCTTGTGAAGTCTCTCAAGTCTCTAATTCGGGATTTATTGTAAATGAAGCATACAGTACGCTAACTTCATAGCCAACTACATCGTAATAAACCAGAAGGAAAAACGCTGGGCTAAGGATTCTTATTACCCGTTTCACTTGCGGCCTGATATAGTTCTCATTCGAAGCCATGTCCTCGTGGCCCATTGGCGCCATCAACTTGTAATATACATACTCGCTTGTTGAAGTTGTGGTTATAAAAACTCAGAGCTCTAGCTATTAGTAGTATGAAATCCCATTTATATGGTGGTGATCTGGTACTGCCTTTAGGACGTCTAGCAATATAATAGTGATTATCAACATGTAGTTACGGTAGCGTGAGAGGTGATCAGAGAGGCGTCAGGAAATTCGGAAATCAGAAGGTGAGAAATCAACCAATGGGATCCAGGAAGGCTTCGATCGCATAGTAATGACGCGACCAGCCGTTCAAACCATCCAACAGCCCAGAGTAAGCTGCTTAATTGTCCGGGCCCAATCTTCACCCAGGTTCGTAAAGACAACGGCCCGCTGTCCCAGGTATGGCCATAATTTAGAGCCCATAGAGGCAGATAGAGGTCGCCTCATAAGCTCCAGATCTAGTTTCAAGTACTCAGCATTAAAAGTACGATGTTTACCAAAAGAATTGGGTATACAGGACGGCAGGCCAACTACTGCGGACGCTGGCTTGTTCCAAATAATAAAAAAAAGACGTAGGTTAAGGTTGCGGTATCTCACAGTACGTTTGGGGGTGAAGCGGTGTGTCTTCTTCACCTTGCTACTCTGCTCATATGTCTCGAGCATAATGCTCATGCTAAATATCTTACGACATACACCACCCTGCCAAGAACATAAGTTCGGATTCACGCCGTATTTACTATTGTAGATTTGCTTACAAAGTCCACTCTGTTTACATTTCTAATCACTTCTCGGTCCCAGAATAAACGTCTTTGTCTCTCCAGATATTTGCTCAATGGTGTATTACTAAGTGCCGAAAAAGACGCTTGGCTGCTGTATTGAGTCGCTTGAAACACAGTTTTGCCGTGTGTGTATCCTATCTAATACTAGGTGAGTAATGACAGTCAACCTAGTAGCGCCCCCGTTTTGTTGATCTGATCGTTAAGTGATGTCTCAGTATAGCTCGAGGTTTTCAACGAGTGCTCGAGGAAAACAAGTGCTTACACATCTCGAAGCTGACAGTTGACGATCCTGACGCCACAAGTTCTCGAGATTAATAATGATACGGTGTCTCCAAACTGTATAAAAGCCGGGTTCAGTCTACTCCAAGCTATTCCAACTCCTGTCCTAACAGAGCAGATTCAAACACTTGAATTATCCACCCCGAACCAGATTCAAACACTTGAATTATTCACCCCGAACATCATTCAACTAACCCTTCAAAACCATTAACATGTCCAAGACTTATTTCGTTTCAGGCGCTAACAGAGGCATTGGCTTCTCATTCGTCAAAGAATTGAGCTCAGACTCCACCAACACCGTCATTGCGACTGCTAGAAACGTGGAAACGGCGGCAGAGTTGAAATCGTGGGCGGACGCTCACTCGAATGTCAAGCTCGTGCAATTGGATGTCGCATCTGCGGAAAGTGTGCAAGCTGCCGCGAAGACTACGCAGGAAATTACCCCAGAAGGGATCGATGTCCTGATTTCTAACGCAGGCATTGCCAAGTCTTCTGATCCAGTCTTGGGCCTATCGGACGATCTTTATCTCGAGCATTTTGTCGTAAACACCTTGGGCCCA